ATTCGTCGTAACAATGTTTTTCCCCGTGTTAACTCCAATGTCCTCAAACTTATAGAAACCGAAGTCTCTAACATCCCCCCACAAAGTTGGGCAAATTCTATTATATATATAGAAAAAGTAGAATAATCGTATATCCATATTTCAAATAATATAGAACAAATAATAATTAGAACAGGCGATGATAGCGATAGTGATGCTGGTGTATTATGTGAATAATTTTAAGTAATTTAAGTAGGTAATAAAAATAATTTGTAATTTTATTTTAGATTTAAATATAAATATTTACATACATAAATAAATAAATATTGTTTAGTATATTTCCCAACAAAACCCCAAATAGTTAAATTCTAAGCAAAGTACGGACCTGTTCGGCCATATTTCATTCTTACAGCTTGCCCGGGTCTTTGCTTAATTCGTATCAGTTAGTCACTTTCTTTTATCTGTGAACAGACTTTATTTTCTTTATTTTAAAATTCTAAAATGAAACTAAATGGAATGGAGTTTTCTGTGGCCGAAAATTGAAAGAAAGAACCTAAAACGAAGGAAAATTACGGATCTCCGATCAAATATTGGCCTCGCAGCCAAACTTTTATAACTTCGGCGGCTCAGTTTGCCTTATGAAACAAAGCCGGAACAAGAAAAATCCATTACCGGGTCTAATCGACTAAATGCGGCCAATAGGGATATACAATGCGAGGCGATCGGGGATTAATTATCCGAAGACCGGGAAGTCGTTTACGCAACGTCGAGAACCCCGTGTCTCTGTGGATTGGCTAAAAGTGCTTAAGCCCCAACTGCTATACGTTGGAACACCATGTTAATAAAATGTCTTAAATTTATATCCACAATGACGAAAAAGAATTTCGGGGAACCGACCTAAATTTGCTAAAAATTTTTTAGTAGTATAGTAAGTGGGGTTCTGGGTCAAAAATCAATTCGTGACGTAACACGTGCGTTTTGACATGTGTCTGATACGAGTTGCATATCGATCCCGAGACGGATCTCTTAAAATGTAGTCGTGAAAAAATACCATACACAATAAAGCAGAAGAACGTGTGTCAGTTTTAGGCGAGTCCACTTGCCATTCGGCATAGAAAAATACTGTTGTTGGCAAACTTCAAGCCAATAACGTATCAAAGATAAAAACTGTTTTTCGCAACATTTGCCGGGCTTTTGAAGCTTCCCGACCCGTCCCGTCCTGATTTAAATAACTTTCCAAAGTGCCGAAACTCCGGCGAATTTAAATGACGCCACTCCTGCTACCGAGACGTGAAATATTGCGCGCTTGTCGGCCAAAGTTGCCCAAAATTGTAAACTTCTTCGCTTAATATGTCCAGACGCTCGCCGCCTCGCGAGATGCGCCGGTTTTAATTTTTAACCAACTAATAGCGTTTCGGAATCCGCGTGAACTCTGACATATATGCGGCCGCCGCGACGCCGTAACCCGGACGCCGAGGTCGTGCGACGCCGGTCGTTACAAATTTCCAAAAAAACTTCCGCTGGTTGTATAAGTTGCAAAACTGACGGATAATTGCTCTGCCCATTGCTTCTTGGTTTTCTATCCTCGGTTCGTCAGCGTGCCTCGTGTGAGTTTCCACAGACTTTTAAGAGATGGTCTGTAACCATAACATTAACCATTGATAAAATGTTTACCGCCGGCTGACGTGTTATCTGGATTCTACATCCAATTTTCTTACACTAATTATTTTAATTTCTTCAAAGTGTGGTTATTTTCTTTTATTGTTTCTTTCTTTAGTTTCAAGTTGAAAACTGTTCAAAATTCATAAAATACAAAGCAGATCCCTTTATAGTTTATCTGAACGTTCAATTAAGTCGATGTGAAATGGATATCTACAGCAATTTGCCGTGTTTCCTTTCATTCCTGTTCGCGGTTACACCGCCTTAGCTAGTTCTCTTTGTGACTGAACTGGAAAACTTCTTCATCGCCTCACGCTCAGTCTAAGTCTAATCTCGAGATCATTTGGTCGCTAGCTAGTGATGATGTCCTGAAACTCTGGCATTCTTTTAATGGTGCTCTGGAAACTAAAAAATCACCAAATATTTGGGTTGATTTTTTATAGACGAAACGGCATACAGTCGCTACTGGTCGCTACAATTTTACATTTCTCCATAAGTTCGGGGTTCCGTTTTCCCTTAGCCAACAACGGTTTCCCGTTTCTGATTAAAAGACAGAATAGCAGTATTTGTTCGGCTCCCGACGAGCGAACGCTTTATTACTCCATTTTTCCATGTCGCGAATTTAAAGCTTTCTCGACCGTTTTTCCTCTATCGAAATTAGCTGCCGATTTTGTAATTGCCAATTAGTCTATTACGGACTTGTCTGCCGGAAATTTACTCGTATATAGCTGACTCGTTGAAAAATTCGGAAGGATTGAAATATTCCCAGTAAAATAATATAAACGACTTAGGAACTTCCGATCTAATTCCGCACTACGGGGCATTAATCATCGTGCCGGGCGGGAGGTTCCGATTTTGCTAAGTAATTAAAAAAAAAACAGCGTCGTTGGAAGTTAGATATGAGTTGACATTAAGAATTAATAACCTGTCGTGTGCTGGAGGTGGTGGCGGGACTTAAAACGTTATCGAAGGCTTTCGTACGGATAATGGTTTCATTTATTAATGGAGCCTTATAATGCGCTCTCCTAAAGGAGCCGTCGGTAAAAGAAAGAAAAGAAAACTACCGGATATTCCGCTTTCCCGTTGTATCTCGTCACGCAGAATACATGTTAATTCGCCGCTTTGAACAGATTTTATCGAAATGTTGGCCGTTAGTGGTTTGGTTTTGGAATAAAGCTTGCTCGTTAATGGGCGGAAACTGCCAGATCGTTGATTTAGGGGTTCGCAGTTTATTCCGTTTTGATCGTCAGCCTCATTCGTCGTCTTCAAATTGTCGCCAAAAGCTGCAAAAGTGAATTATTGTATAGTTCGACTAGCATTGCAGTTGAAAATGCGCATGTTATCTCAAATCGCGAGCAGGCATTTTTTAAATCATTTAGTTTGCTTCGAGACATTTACCTTACTTCTTTGTAACGGTTTACGTTATACCATTCCAATGCGACCCTTTCTAACGGTCGCCCCTTTGTTGAATTGTTAAAATATTCATGAAACCGGCAAGCGGAACGAGAAATAAAAGGTAAAATGTAAATAACTTTAGAATTTGCAGAGTCTCCTAATTGGGTTGTGCCGAATGGGTCGTAACATCTAAAACGTTCGGATAACAACAAAAGCCATCTTTGCTATGGTTATATGGTTATTCTCGTCTTTAATTAAGTTAACAGTCTGTAAATAGGACAGGATAAAATGAGCGTTTCGAACGGAATAAAAAATATTAAACCGTCGGCCTCACTCAACGTTTTGCTTGCCTAGTGCTATTAAATACAAAATAACTATTTCACTCTTGTCGTGTTGAAATAAGCGTCAAACTAAGATAAAATCTAAATTAGGAACCGCTTAATGAGGTCAGTAAAAAGCGAAAAATACATTGCCGTCCCATCGGGGCTGACCTGAAGCCGCGTCCGACGCAAAAGCGAAGCAACATTTCAAAAGGGTTTAATCTGGCACGAAAGTCCTTTCAAGCCGAGTTACGTAAAAGCGGCGGCATAGTGCCCCTAAAATATTTCCAGAACGCAAACCAGTTCAGTTTTTGCAGGGCGACGCAGACTGAAATTAAACGGATAAGAAACGAGTCTCATAAATTTCAGACATTTAATGCGGGGTCCTGTAGTAAAAACTGAAACAAGGACCGCAACCGCGCTTGTTCATCAATTCTTGACGTTATTAATAAATGATCAGGCTCTTCCCGCAGCTTTAGTTTGTTAGTTCCGACGAAACCTATAACAATGTGTCCGTTTGCTATTGTTTTCAACAATCGCATCTTGCGGCATGGGATATTCCGCTTCGGTAGTTTCCCGTCGATCAGAATTTAATTTTCTTTTCTTTAATTTCCTATATATTATTTTAATTGTAATCCACTGTCTGATTTTCTAATTATGTAGCTGATTTTTACACGATTTTTAATTGAATCTGGTAGATCGTTTAGAATCGAGTGAGAGTCACACATCCGATTCAGCGTCATAATTTAACTCCAATTCAGCCAGGCGTTATCGGTTATCAGTTGTATCAGGAACGATCGAGACGCTCTTGTGTGATTATTTACATCGCTCGCACAAACTTCGTCTGGCAGTTGAATTGCCAGACCTATAAAAAATCCCATTAACTTTTATCGGGCCACGTGGATGTTTGTCTATTGCGTTTAATGAAAAGCCAGCAGATTCGCTCCTAATTGACAGTTTGAATTGCGCCAAACGGGTCGCCGCTTTTTATCGAAATTAAAAGCCGATATAAGGACAAACATGCGGTCGGTCGGTGCTTCAATTCTCGGCCGGAAATGATCGTTACGCAAAGTCGGCGGGGGTGGAGGGGCAGAGTAAATATTTTCCCGCTCTTGAATTAATTTCGCAGTTCCCGCCCAATGCGGCAAAGTTGATCGTAACTTTGTCGGTCTGGCGCATGTTGCCGACAAATTTCGCCATGACATATAAAATGTCCTTTAATGTATAAAATCAAATTTCAGGGAAGCGGACGTATTAATTTTCAGTTCTCGCATTGCGGGTTGTCTCGCAAAGGAAAGCTTCAAGCGATTTCTAATATGTTTGCTAATAAAGCGGGCTTATTAATATTAACATCGATCTGAGAAGTTCACTTCGTCCTTCGGACCACCATATTGGCCATTGGTTTGTCCAATTAAATGCATGGAAAAATAGGACCTCGATTTCCAGCAAACATTACGTATCGTACTTGTCAATCGACAACATCTCTCCCGTGTATTCTTATTCAATGAATTCAATTCGAGTCTTCTGTAATCCGGTTAATCTAGTTAAAGGTCTACTTTGAGATGACTCTTTTACCATGGGTATTTAAATGATATAGAAACAACGTTCTGTGGTTTCCTTATTCCCTTAATCTTTGTCTCCTTTCAGCAGAACAAGTTATCGAGGAGAACAAAACGTGCGGGAAGATACTGACGGTCCTGTCATGGGTGCTGGTCGTACTCACGATGCCGTTTTCCCTGCTGGTCTGTTTCAAGGTAAGCGATCGATATCGATATCGACTTTTTAACGTTCTCCTTTGGGCCTAATTTCAGGTAGTGCAGGAGTACGAGAGGGCGGTTATTTTTAGACTCGGCCGGCTGCTTTCTGGCGGAGCCAAAGGGCCAGGTAATTACATCTAAAATTGCAGACGGAGCACTTAGGCGGCCTAATTTGCGATTTTTGTTTGGTTGCAGGGATATTCTTCATCCTGCCGTGCATAGACGCGTACGCCCGCGTGGATCTGCGCACCAGGACTTACGACATTCCCCCGCAGGAGGTGAGCCATTTTAGAATATCGTTTCGAATGTGAAAAAATGGGATTTTTGACGAAAATTACGTATGGATATTATGAATTCGACGTTCTACATAAAACTACCCGCCGGAAATCTAGCAGAAATGCAGTTTTTTTATTGAATAAACGACATTGCAGCATATAAAAGTAACGTATTCGCATGACAAAACGGTAGCAAAAGATTATTTTGAATGTTAATTGGTAAAAATGCTGGCGGTCTGGTAATCGCTGTTTTGATCGCGTTTATGTAGTTTGTCTGAGGGCGTTTAACCAAAAGCATTATTCTGACAAAAGTAATCGAAAAAACCTCGAAAAGAGTACATTGTAACGTGTCGATTCGAAAATTTCGATTTAAAAGCGGATTCGTCATTGTCAGACGAGTTTAACGGGATTCAATCGAACGACGTGGAAAATTCGTCTGTCTGGGCGGCGAAACTGATCCCGGTGAAACCTCTCGCCCGACGGATCAGCCAAATCCCAAATAAAACGGCGGTTGCCGATTTTGGCACGACGACCAAACAAAGAGTAGCGTTTCTCCGACCGCTTTGGTTATTCGTCAACCGCGACGAGTTTTCGCGTTTCGGTTACTATTTTCCGCGGAAAGTAGTAGAGCGTGTAAATAATCCGAAATGCCGTAAAATGCGTTGTGATATTACGTTATGCGTATTTAAAAGTATTCTTGATGAGATTTAGATGTTCTCACAATGTTAAAAGAAAAAACGTTTGAAGCTTTAGAAGAAACACTGCTCTTATTTCTTTTTGTTTTATTATCCCGTTGAAAAACAAAAACTCGATATAATAATAATCATTTTATACTTTGTCTAAAAGTATACTACTTTTATTTAGGTATAATAAAGTCACTGGAATCAACCCACCGGAAAACCGTAACGTTTTTTTCTTTCGTTCAATATTTGACTATTAGCTTTGGCACATAAGGATATTTCCTTCTTTCCTATTTTTTTTGCAATATCCCATATTTACCATTCTGAATCGGGAATAAAAATATATTCGTAAATACAGCGTAGTGTGGAGACGATATCAATTTGTAAAAAGTGAACACGCAGGGACCTTATATTGCCGAACGCAACTTTACCCGATAAAATTCCGAAAATTCCGTGAAATTACGAAATACCACCGGGCCATGTTCCCGCGGGAACGCGCAGGAATCCGACTGAGCCGTGGTGGGTAATTGCGGGGTGTGAGGTCACACGATAAGGATGCTGTAGGTTTTTCTTTTCACTTAACTTTAACCACCTGTAATCGAACTTTTTAAATTAAGCAGGTTTCCGTCGCGAACGATTTTTTCTGTGGCTATTTTTAAAGGAAAAAGTGTATAAAACTAACTACCAACGGGGATAAACTTTCGAATATAATTTTCCTGTGGTCAAATTTCTAAGCCAAATTTTACCTGAAAAGAATTAGAAGTGGGTCAGATTTAGAAATGAAAAACTGACGGCAAATTTACATTCCCCTTCTTTGACCATTTTCCGATTTATGGTTATAAGAACATATTGCACCAAAGTAAACTGACCAAAACTTTCGCGTTTCGTATTCTTCGGAAGATTTCCTTGAGAAATATTTCACGAACTGGATAAAACTTTCAAGTTCGATGGGATTACAAAATGCGAAGGCCATACATAAAGCGGTGGCGGAGTTTCATGCCACGCTATTCGTATGACAAGTAAATTCCGCAACTCCGCCACCCACGGTCCGTCCTCGTTAACTTTCGGCTGCATTTTCACTGCGTAACCTCAATTTCTGCCGTTCGTAACTCGATAAGACAGTTTTTATCCGCAGGTTGTAGATTCAATTTTTCCGCCGACGAAAAGTTAGTGGCGGGGGGTGGGGGCAAAAGGGGGGCTTGAACTCTTCTTTGTGGAGCCACCGAAGTGAGGGGACGATTTTCGCGTTATCCTAACGTCAGATAAATCAACGAAGCTGGCTTGATAAGATGGAACTCTTTTTTATTGGTTATTTTTCTCGTTGCCTTTAAATCAAGATATTCAACAACAAAGCCCTACGGGATATTGTGAGGGCAACGAAGTACGTTATTAGAAAACCGAATAGTCATAACATTTTTAAAAAAGACATGAATATTATTTTCAAATCTTCTCATCAAGTTCTTTTAATTACATTTAATTACAGTAGTAAGCGTATAAAAACTGATTTGCAGTGCGCACCGTCATGAAAATGTAGGCACGAATGTTAATAATCGGAGTCTTCGTTATTGCGTAATCTCTTTGGCGTTTACCCTCTTCGGTGTTGTTTTGTTACCCTAAATTTGGGTTATTAAAGCCCTCTGAAACCAAAGTTCTTCATTTTTAACGCGGTGTTAATGTCTAAAAAATCTATCACAAAAAAAACCGTTCCCTTGAGAAGTCTCCACCGTTCGTGAAATCAGAGCCTCTCCAATCAGTCGACAAAAACGCTGTAATAGGAAATCGAGAGATAGGATTTAATTATGTGCTGGCGGAAGCACTGGTAGGACTTACCTTATCGCGTTAAGCCAAACAAATGTCGAGGGTGTTTTGAAATAAGAGCGCGGAGTGAACAAATTCCATTAGCGTTCGGAAATAATGATCCTCCGTTAACCTAATTTATTGTGCGCGCCATGTTTTCGAGACGATCGAGAAGATCCGGTTCCCTGGAAAAGCTCGTAAATATTCGAATTTTTACATGTACAGTTTGACATGACGGAACAGTGTTACTATATACAAGTTTGTCAGTTTTTTTAGACTATCTTAAAGAGACTATTACAATTAATCACCAGTTTCTTTTATCGATTTTGAACGATTAAAAATTATCTGGCCAGTAGCGAGCAGCCGGTGATTTTTGGTGGCCGAAAGTCAGCTTGTCAGTTGGGAGTTGTAATAGTCTCTATTTAGATATCACAATCCTCAAAAGCCTTCTGTACATTTGTGATGAGACCAATAATTCATTTTTTGCTTTCCATAAGTACATTGTGTCATAAGTACACAATACAAAAGTTACTGCGCGTGATGTGAGCATGAGCTTAAAGACTAATTACGCTGTTCATAGGCTGAGATCTCTTGTTGTATCGCATGCGATTGATTTTCTATTAGTATATCGATTAGGCATCGGGCATCAGGTTATTTGATCGCAGTAAAGTAACGCCCTTCATGCTGCTTGGAAGCACAAATTTTTCTTAATATTCGAGACAACTAAGTCCAATATATCATCCACATTTGTCATTGTCTGTGATCGTTAAACAGACGAAAGGATGGTCAGATACATCCGAGTAATATTTAAAAGTGCGTACGCTTGCAGTACAAAACGTATTAAAAATCGATAAATGCCTCAATTTTTAATAAACATCCGGGGTTAATTTTAGACCGTTCTTTTCCTTTGGACGGTTTTTCAATTAAAACGCCGTTTGCAGTCGCTCTGCTACTCTTCCTGGAATGAATATATCGCGACACACGTGAATTTTGTATGGCTTACGTTCTATTCGTGTATTAAAACTTTGAGGTTCGCCTGCCACGCTCCCGAGACTTCTTGGTCTTAAAACTTAAATTAAATTAACTTTAAATCACTTGATGGAACCGTTATCTTGTTTTCGAATGCAATGGATTTTTGAAAATCGTATTCCAAAGTAACTGAACTTTGGGCAGCAGATATAGAAAAACATTTAGTTGTTTCTTATCGTTGTCCCATTATTGTAAAGTTAATAATGAAACGAGACAAAAGTTAAGTATTCCAAAATGTTCAACCTTCCAATATTGGAGGTTTTTTGAAAACGTGACCTCTACCTCCTCAGTATTGCCGCATTTATTTTTTAATTTAGCAATTTACGTTGTCAACCGCGAGCCCCCGTGGGGGAACTTTTATTTTTACTTACAACGGTGACTCGCAATAAGTCGGCCTTGCGAGTCGAATATCCCGCTTTTTCGATCGCAGGTACTAACCAAAGACAGCGTGACAGTTTCGGTGGACGCCGTGGTCTACTATCGCGTATCGAACGCCACCGTGTCGATCGCCAACGTCGAGAACGCTCACCACTCCACCAGACTGCTGGCCCAGACCACGCTGCGGAACATAATGGGCCAGCGTCCCCTGCACGAGATACTCAGCGAACGCGAGAGCATCTCCCAGCACATGAAGGCGCTCCTCGATGAGGCGACTGACTCCTGGGGGATCAACGTGGAACGGGTCGAAATGTAACTATTCCCGCACAAGTTGAAAACGTGTCGCAACTGTTTTTCTCTTGTTTCGCAGCAAGGACGTCCGTTTGCCGGTTCAGCTGCAAAGGGCGATGGCGGCCGAGGCGGAGGCCGCCCGCGAGGCCAGGGCCAAAGTGATCGCCGCCGAGGGCGAGCAGAAGGCCTCCAGGGCCTTGCGCGAAGCCTCCGAGGTCATCGGTGACTCGCCCGCGGCCCTGCAACTTCGCTACTTGCAGGTGAAGCACGAAGCACGCTTCCACGTGGCAAAGCATATCGCGTGATCGCGCTTGGACGTTGTCGAACGTTTTTTGGCACGACGTCGTCTACGAAGCGAGCGGTCTAGTTGTCGAAATACCGTTGAGGCCTTGGCCGAATCGAAATACTCATAGTCTATGGGCCGGCCCCTGTTTTTCAAATTATTTATTACAAGCTCAATTTTACTGTGTAGCTTCGTTTCCACAAGACAGCAAACTTTTTCCTCTACGAAAAAATTCGACGATTATAGCTAAGAGATTGGGCAGATGCGAAACACGTTGATCAAAAATGTATTACTAACAGTAAATTTCTTAGTTTAATCGTGAAATAATATTATAACAAATATTAAACAACAATTGTATATTAAACAACAATATTTGTATATGCAGAAATAATTTTTTATTGAAATTTTCGAAAACAAAAAAATTGTGTTAATGATAATTATCTATAAAAATAGGTGGAATGAGTCGAACTGAAAAAAAAAATTGTAGGATCATTGTTGTTTAATATCTGTGATAAAATCATCTGAATATTAAACTAAGAAATTTACTGTTAGTAATACATTTTTGATTATCACCAAATCAACGTGTTTCGCACCTGCCCAATCTCTTAAGCGGCCTATACACATGAAGGCAAGTGTTAAGACTTGCCTGTATAGGTCGAGACACGCGAGTAAGTGCCAATGTGTATGGGTCAAAACTCAAGGCGCGTTCAGCAGCAGCAGCAGGCCCCACCAACTGGTGAACCTCGAGGTTTACCTGAATAGTGTGTGGCCGCAATTCGTTTCGCACTTGCTCGCGGACTTATCTGGACACACTTGCGCGCGGACTTGTCTGCATGTGTATAGCCCCCATTAGCTATTACGATCGAACATTTTCGCAGAGGAAAAAGTTGGATCAAACTACACAGAAAAAATCAGCTTGTTATAAATAATTTCAATCGCTTATGCGCACCAAATTGTTATTATTATCTCACGGCACATTAACTCCTCTGCCAACTCAAATTCACTCCGAACAGACGTATTTATACGGTTGCCGAAAAAAACTCCCGCGCGGTTAGGGCCGTAGGAAAGGGCGTTTTTGCATTGCCATTTTCCGACGCTTCCAGAATTCCGGGCAGTGTCGCGTGGACGAACTCCGATAATTAAAGTCGTTGTCCTGGAAATGGATAGTCGATGGGACTTAATAACATTCAATTTAAACTTCTGACGTTAAATTAGAAAGTTTGGATGGTCCGTTCACTTTGAACGTACTATCGATGTCGGAATGTTTGAAATTTTCGATAAACCGGACGATTCGTAAGCCGGTCGGTAATCATCCATGTGTTTCACGGTTTATGGTAAAAATTTTGTTAATTTCATAAACGGCTACGGATGTCAAATATTCACAATATTTAATTTAAAATGTTTGATAAACCTTTCTAAAGGGAATTTAATTTGCCCTTAGAATGCTCGCTTTCATCTCTTTTTATCTGGTAGGCAAATCAATGGTTCTGAACAACCTCGTATAATGTACTACTGATTTCAAAATAAAAAAAATATGTTCGATACTTCTCCAAACCACGTCCAAAATTTTAACTTCCTGTTTGAAAAAATTTCGTTCCTTTTAAATGAAGTTTATTCCAGTGTTTACGCACCTGGAAGGTGATGGAATAATCCAGACGTTTTCTTTTAGGCATCCTTTATGAATTTTGAATTATATTTAACAATATTTGTCGTGCCCGTTAAAAGTAAAAAATAACAACAACCAAGTTTTCAGAACAATCCAATGTACCGTTAGCCGTAACCATCAACCGTGAAACATTACGTATTTGACACAAACATTATTATTAGACTATTTGAACGATAATTTTTTTTTCAAAACATGGTTTTAGTAAGTACTTTCGTAAATTTCATTTCTCTCCCGTTCACTTTTTCAATTTCAGTTGAATTTCTTCACGAAAGCGGTTCCCAGTAAACTAGCCAGGTTAACTCCCCGGAGGGCGTGTTTGCTAAAATTTACTTGGACTGAGCTGGCTTTTACTAAAAATCCATTTAACTCAAATTAAATTGGAACAAAAAATGGTCAGATTTTCACAGTTTTTAATAATATACATTTATCAAATTTACCATAAACCCTCACACACGTACACAATAATACATAGCACAAATCACCCTTCCATGATTCCGAGCCACTTCGGATATTTCCGGGATTTTACCGCACGGATTTGGGAGCAATCGGATGTTTTAGGAGATATTTCCCACGCTTGGAATTTTGACGTTTGTCAATTCTGACGGTCATGTCAGTGAATGTAGTCGTGTTGTTTTGTGAAAACCTAACCAAAACCTAACGGTCGTAGAAAAAGTGTAGTATGCAACACGTTCGGTAAACTTTTTAACTCACTCGTTTATTAAACTCGTGAGTCAAATGGCGTTTACCGCACTTGTTGCATAATATACTATTATAACCCCTCTTTGATGGATAAGATTATAACTAAAACGCAGTTTTAAATAACTTTGAAATCTATCTATCCCATATTAAACACTGAATCCAAAGTTTATAGAACAATAAAATAGATAGCAGAACCTAGCAAAAAAAAATTCGAAACATCTATCTAAATTTGGTGTTAATATTGCTCTTAAAACTTACTAAAAACTAAAAAATCCGGAGTCTACAAGTCGAAAAATTTATATCGGACTGTCATTCATTTAAATTCAGAAATGCACAACTTTGATGCTAATTTAAATATTTTACATTATCATTCAAAAAGCAAAAAACTAAATTCGTTGGAAGCTATGGAGATTAACAAAATGAGATAATAGAATTTATTACTTATTGACCAATTGGATTTAAATCCATCTCCATTGTTAAATAAAATGTGGGAATATAGTTTGTATTGGATAAAAGGCACCGTGTTGCCGAAACAGCTGCCATTAATCATTAAAAACTGTGAAAATCTGAATATTATTTTGTTTTACTTTAATTTGTGTCTGAAATTTACATTAAGGTAATCAATTAAATAAAAAAATTGAATTACGTTGGATTTGCAAGTTGGGTGCCGCCATAGTCGAACCACAAAGTACACAACATATAATTTGGATCGGGGATAACCCGTTTATTTTTTAAAAAGTCTAAAGGTTCACGTGGGTTTGGCATTTCCGCTCGGGGGGCGTCTCTATTGTTCCGGAAAAAATAACACCGTCGAACGCTCACGGGAATATTTTAATTAACCGGCGGGGGTTGGCGGACGACTGTCCACCCACAGATTGTTGAAAATTTTTAAAATGCTGCGGTTTCCCATAAAATATCCAAGCCGATGCTACTTTGTGGCTGAAAATCTATTAGATTCGTTCACTCGCTTACCAGATTTTCGGTTGCCGTTTTAATAAGTTATTAAAAGTACTAGCAGTACTAGTACTAACAAGTACTAAATTATTTTTTAAGAAACAATTACAACGTCCGCTGCAAACTTTAACGGCGACGTTGTTAGATAGTGCCGCTCAGCGTCGACAGAAAGGAATTTTGATTGATTATTGTGCGACTAACGTACCGAAAACCAAAGTTAATCTGGAAACGTTGTCTCGGTTGTAAAAAGGTCGACAACCCCATTAGTAGGGAGGATCGAGTCTTCTGATGACGTCGTGGTGAAATTGTGCACGTTGCATGTTGCTTTCTATCCACCGCATGGTTCCTTTCATTTAAATAATTTTTTTAATAATTTAAAAAACGGTAAAGTCTAAACACGTAGGAAATTTCGAAAATGTTATTTTTTCTTTCATTTTTATGGATTTATTTACTATAAATACGAACGAGTTGTTTACGTCGACTGTATGTTCCAATGTCTCTTGATTTTTTTTATGCACCAGTTGATCGTCGGGTATACAGGGTGGCCATTTTTTTAATGGGATTGTATGGGTAACTAACCATTGAATATACCGAAATGTAACATTATTATTTGCAACAATATATTTGCGTCTTGAAATTATTTAAGCATTTTAATCGCTTAATGATAAATAGAACCAAATAAGAAGCAGAAAAAATGTAAACATGCGCATTTAAATGAATACGAAATGACCAAACAATGCAAACGTGCATTATTTTTATTTAAAAAATTACAAACATTATAAACACAACTATTTCTTTATAATTACACCCGTTCTTCAAAAATCCTATAATTTTTTACTTATACCATGGAAATATTTGGGGAGTCGTCATTTTCAAGAAACAAAACGACGCGTCACGTACGACAGTAAAATATAACCCCCAATGAAAAAAAAAAGATATAAACGCAAATCATTTGTTTCCGACAGACTCTGAACACGATATCGACCGAGAAGAATTCGACGATCGTGTTCCCGCTGCCGATCGACATTCTGTCGTATTTCATGAAGCACATGGAACACAAGGAGTAAAATTCCCAAGCGTCCATTGGCGCGCGTTCAACGATTTTCAGAGACTAATTGAATATCCTGTTATTTATCGTCGGGTATTGTTACATATGGTATATATATTATTACGTCCTATATATTATATATTTTGCTTCTAAAGGCACCGATGTTTATACCGTGCTTTTGTTTTTGGTTGGTCACTAAATCTTCATCAACATCTGACAACGTCGCGTCCAATAAATCCAACAAATCACTATCTTTCTAGACGGTTTCAAGTTTAAATTTTATCCGTTTATATTAATGAACTTTCGCAATAAAAACAATAATCCAATTATTTAATTACAAAAATGTTAAGAATTTTTGCTTACAATATTATAAAATATGACGGGATTGACGCGTCTCAAGCTTATAAAGTTAAAACAATTAATACAATTAATTGTTGTTGCGGTTATTGCGCGAGCGACTCTAAAGAAGACAAGATTCCGGAGGTGGCCTGTTTAGTTCACGATTGTACCGCCGTCCGTGAGTGGAGCCACGTGCGGCAGTATTCGTTTCCGCGAGATGGCGTATTAACCGCGAGCGGTCGCGTTTTGCCGTACTATTAACGGACGAATTATAATCGAAACCTTAAAAAAAGTGCGACGAAGAAACTAGTTGCTCAAGTTTTCGTTTGTTCTGGGCTCCGCGAGTTATTTTTTTGACTCGTGTTTGAACTTACATAAAATATGACGCGTAACACTATTTTTGATAAAGGAAATCACCCGTTTAAACATTACCCTTGAATAAATGGGAGTATTTTAAGCCGTTTTAAAGTTTGACGTTGAAAAAAATTAGCCGTAGTTCGCTGTCTCTTTGGATATTGTAGGTAGGATCGTTCTAGATTTTAAAACAATAGCCACGAGGATTTATTCATAAGTACGTAGTCGCTTGCGGGGCGCATACTATAGCAATCTCTTCGTTAAAGCCCCCTACCGGAGGCTAGTTGAACGTTACCAGAGTACCGACGAAATCAGGTCATTGTAGGTCACCCATCGAACAAAAAAAGGTCACTCTCTGTGTGCTCTTTGGTTATTTAGTTCCACTTTTTTAAAAGTTACGGGGGTCCTTAATATTTTATAAATTCAAACGCGAATTAAGTTGTAAACAAAAGAATTCGCTCGAAATTCCTATGAAATTTCTTCGTACCGCACGCCATGATTGGTTTGCAGTTTATTCGAGGACAACACCCCACATAGTTACGAATATTTTTAAGAGCGAGAGTTAGTTTTTAATAAATTTAATAGATAATAATTTAATAAGTTTAAACTCATTTAACAATTAACAAATAATTAAAATTGGGTTGGGCCTTATAGAAAATCAACCAATGTTGCTATAAAATTTAAAAAAAAATAAAAGCACAGATAATTTTGTAAATATCCCTGGCAGGTTATTTTTAAAATAGCAACAATTCGAAAAATATTTTTCAAACGCTATTTATCTATTGTTATTTGCATTAAAAAAAAAACGACAATATTTCGCATAATTTTAACAACGGGGGAGTACAGGGAGGCATTCGTAAAAACAGCAAAAAAAAATAGAATCGGGATTTATTATCCTGAGTTTCCAACACCATCGCAACACAATGAAAGCGCTGAAAGATCGTCAAAATACAACAGAGCTTTTAGTTTAATCGGGCAAATTTTCGGGGAATAAGTCAGACTTTTTGAAAAATAAGTCCGAATTTCCGAAAAACAATTTCTGAAGAACAAATCAGAATTTCGGAGATGCAAGGTCATCGAAAATAAAAATAAAATATAGGTTTTAATTTAATCAAATAAATTAGAATTTCTGAAAAATAGGCCACAATTTCTAACAAATTTATCAAAATTTTTGACAAGTTCTTATAGTATAATAATAAAAATTGGCAGTTTTCTGACCTGACAATTACGAATTTGAAACTCATTTGAACGTTGCTCCTAGAGTTCCTAGCCTAAAAGTGATTTTTCGTGGAAGGACCGTCCAACTTTGTCTGCTTTTGGTTAGTTTAAGATATTTTTTGCATTTCGCAATGTTCTCGTGTCTAATAACTTCGGTTAAGAGACCGCTGCCCATTTTTTATGAATCACCCTGTATATCTGATGTTCCCATTCGCAATACGAGAGACAGTTTTTCGGAAATTCTGACTCGTTTTTCAGCAAATCTGACATATTTTTCAGAGATTCCGATTTACGGCAAAAGTTTTGAGTTATTGGTCACAAATAGGCCTAATTAAACTAAAACCTTACGAAACACAGAGAATGGCCATTGTAATATCGTTCAAATTCGGTGCAATTGCGTAGTTTCTAGTCGTGAGTAGTAGGATTAACGCCATACCGTATCCGACATAATTTTCTAGAAGCTATCTTTGACTAAACTTAAGACCGGCATGTTTGTTAACGTCTCGCATTTCTCGTTTAGACCTTGACAAAAATATGCCACGGGAAGTTCTCCACCATTGTCTACCCCGTCCCGATCGAGCTGTTGACCCCGTTTAAGGATTACCAGCGTCGGTTTCAAGAGTAGTTAGGATTACCGAGACCCATCCCGAGGATCCACGAGAACGGCAACGTGAATGAGCTGTGTGTCCTCGGGGCCCTCCGTATAAGGTCGGCGGGCAAACAGGTAAAGCTCGTGCTGTTTGCCCGCGACTTTCGACCCATCCCGCGTGTATTTTAAATATTAACTAATTAAGGTATCACGGCAAAGCGCCAGATTGCCCTCCGGTTGATACTGTTGTGCCAAAATGGAATTGAATCTTCGCAAACCCGCATTTTGTCTTCTTTAAGTCTTCCGAGGTTCGGCGCTCGCGGAAAACCGGCAACGGTGTAACTTACGCGATCGGCGCTGGTTTTGCTTTGAAAATTTGAACTTGAAAATTGAAAGGTGTCGCATGAAGTTCCTGGTATTTGGCCATTCCGTTCCATTTTTTATAAGCCTATCCGGAATGTAAATTTTAACGTTCGGGCCCGTTTGTACTTTTAAATATCAGCCGAGAAGCTTATAAACGTGGAAACAGGCACCGTTGAATAATGTAAATGAATATGTGAAAATTTTGTAGGTGAAATCGTTCTAAAACAAAGCGCCACACTCTAACAATATGACAAATTGTTACCATTCCTGCTAAGTAACGCAGGCACTTGTTGCGCTGGAAAAAAGGCCCCATTCTCAAACGATGTTCACCTAATTATTATTATTGCAACGAAGAAATTGTTCGGAAACAGGTTTACAAATGAACCAATGAATTTATTCGCTAGATGACGTTCGCGCCGATCAGCGGCGTAGCTATTAGTTTTATTTACAGAAATAAGAGGCCACGAAGCACTTACTTAAATTATAACGTGCAGTGGTAGCGATTAATTCTTTCCCATATAAACCGTAAATTAAGCTAAGCCGCTGATGCGGCATTGCCAATTCTCCCCGTATATCAATGCGTGTGCTGTCGTTCTACTTTTAAAATCGATGTAACAACGTAAATAACTACATGTATTTATAAATACGAAGGATGCATTTTATATCACGTTTACCAATCGTTTATTGAATGATGTCGTGCAGCACTTTCCCATATTGGGCGGGCCGAGACAAACGTTCCCCCGCCCCCCCGTGTACCCGCAACATTTCACCTTCGTATCTGTATACCCCGATTTTATAATTGTGTATTGTTATTATTCGCACATATCGTCTATAAGTGTAAAACGTATGTTTGGCTCATTAAATTATAAATAAACTCACATTTGGGTGTTTGTGTTTCGTTGGTTTTTTCGTGTCGTTTCGCTTCCGAGTGGCGCTTTGCTGGGTGAATCGCTTTGCTTCGCAGTGGCGCGCGGTTGCGAACCATACGGCAGGTATCGGAAAACAAAATAACGTGGGACACGATATTTCGATCGATTAAGGGAAGGTCGGGAGATTTGGGTCAATTTTCAATGATAAATTTTTATTTTAGAACCTATGGAAATAATTTGAAATTGAGTATTAGTTTGAAAAAGTTATTTGGGAAAATATGAAGCTACGTACATTTGATCCATACGTCCTGCACGCGGGATATTTGGATGGATAGTGTGGGATGTTTATTTATTATTTACTTTTAGGTAATAACGTAAGTAGAGACAAACAACCAACTAATATAACGAACATAAAAGTTATGGTAATAACTGCATAAATTAATGTAAATTTTTAATACCACCTTAATCAACTTCGAAGGCTTTATGTTGCCCAGACATTTTCCGGGAAAAAAAAGCGAGGGTATTGCCTCTTATTCTCATAAAATTGACAGAACATGTTTCACTGCTGTGCCTGACTTCGATTAGTTCTACATATTGAATATCAGTTATCAATCCATTGACAGAGGAGTCAAAGTATTTGTCAGTAACGTAATTGGATTAGACCGAGGCGCTTGAGCAGTCAATGTAGCTCGGATCGTTTTCTCCATTTCGTTAGTTAAGGTGTTAGTCAATTGATGCTTTTGCTGTTTTGAGATCTCGCTTTTGCCTAAAAAAACCATGGCAGGAGGCAAAGTATTTCCTGTAGCACTTGTTTCTGTCCTTTCGTAGCAATAACTCTTGAAGGTTTATGAACAGTGCTGCAGATTGAGTGGAGATTGAAAATATAAACTTCTGATTTTGGAAACACTTGCTAACTTTGTGCGACAGGTTTTTATTGCGGTCTGTGAATCCTAACAACCAATCTCGTTCTGCAGATTGGTGTTCGTTCCATTCCGGCGGGTAAGCAATCCTCAATCGCTTACTGCATGTTTGTAAGTATTCGAAAACGAGTTTCCTTGGTTTTGGAGTGAAAACTTGTAATTCAATCAATTCGATAATGCGTTCCACTAATACAGTTGGGCACGATTGCTATGATCATTCGGCCATTGCCGACTTCCGTCGAGGAAGCCCATTTATCGTAATTGTCCTGCTCCTCTTCGAAAAGACCTGAAAAACTGACACCCAATTCGTCGACCACTCGCCTAATTTTCATTCCATTTTTCAGAACACAACTGACTGCAAATCTAACTTGCTAATTTGACTGACTCCCACTGATAGAAAATCTAAAAAATGTGCTCGAATTTCCCGCTCAAAATTATGTTATGTGTTGGTTGGTTGGTTGGATTGTTTACTAAAAGAGCCCCAAATTAGAGTATAAAAATACCTCCCGTGCTATATCGAATGATAAAATTGAAAGAGAATTTTTTTAAAATAACTTACTCGTCACACAATCGATTTTATCGCCACAGATATCGACCACTCGCATCGACACAACGGTTCCAACGGAAATCGGTTTTGATATTGTATAATCCTCCAGTGAAGGCAGTCGCACATAAAATATTGTTGAAAAGTAATTTTGCTATTGACCCAAACCTTCCGACTGTCCCTTAGGAACATAACAAACAATATGGCCTCTCCACCACCACAAATAATACGAAATCGAATAAACAGTCATTTTTCAGGTCCAGTTTCCGTTTCCATCTAACGCGTTATATGTTATGTTGCTTGTTATGGTCGTCCTATTGGCTCTCGAGATCCTACGCCTAATTTGTGTTTATATACAGACGTTGAACACTATCTCGGCGGAGAAGAATTCTACCATCGTTTTCCCGCTGCCCATCGACATGGTGACTTACTTTTTGAAAGCCAGCGAGGCCTCGAAGGCGAACTGAAAATGCAGCCGCCGTCCTCGCCGACGTCGGTGCACTATTGGCGTCTTTTTTTGCGTGCGTGTGCGTCCGTAGAGTTTGGTATTTTTAGCTTCGTCTTATCGCGACGTGTAACTCGCTCGCTACATTTATTCACGGTTTAGGCGGTTCTCTATTTCCATAATATATGTATGTATACATATGTTTTTGGTTAGGTATTAAATAAAATAAACCTTCTTGTGAATGGTTTCGTGTCGGTCAGTCCCGTGGCAAAAACGTATCCGCCACACGAGCTTCGAGCCTTTGAATTAATTTTGCTTGCATCCCTTCCCGCTCTGATGTACTGCCACTAACCCCACGGAATACCTACTACAACTACACAGAAGCGAAACAACGTTTATTACACTGAAAAAAGTTTGTAAAATACTACTTTTACAATTGTTTTTATAGAATCAATGATTCGAACACAACACACACACACACACACACACACACATTAAAAGCATGGAATAGCCCTTAAAAAAAACTTCATTAATTTGAACATGGTACGCCAAAGCAAGTAAAAACTACTGCCTATTGACATTAACAGAATATGAATTTTTCAGTTTTTCCCAAGTTTTTCTTATTTCAATTCAATAATAGGTACGCAATCATAAAAGAAATGTAATATTACCGCATACTTTATAAATTGGTGTTTCTTATCTGCATTTATCTTATCTACAATTCCTCACAATAAATCATCTTTAAAATTTAAATTTGGAAGGAAGTAATGCTGGCGAAATAATTTTCTGAATGCCGGTTCAAATTGTACGGGTGTGTGATTCCTCGAAAAAATTCTCATTTCAATCAGAATTGAATCTCCTGGATTGAGGCCTTACAGAGGAAAGTTTTTCCCATAACTGTTTAGTGCCACGAATCGTTATTGTAAAACGTTTGAATCATTATTCCAGAATACTAGTCTGTGGTTGTTGATTTCCGCTTTGAGTTTTTTTACTCTCACTGCGACGGCACCACCTAGACCAACTTGCCTGTTGGTACTTCTCCTGTCGATTCAACAGAAAATGAAGCAGTTCTTAGTGGAACTACTACGATAAAAATTGATCGACTGATCGACGATCTGCCAGCAGCCATGTTAGTTGTTCAGAATACAGCAAACGTTGCTATACTACCAAGCATTAGAAATAAAATGAAAATAGAAACTGAAATTCTTTATTATATAATCCTACACAGAGGATATTAACATTGTCGAAAGGAACAATAAAAAAGTATATAACATTTGGCGACAACACACATATTTCACCCCGTATAGTAACATAAAACGAAAGATAGTAGGGCAAAACTTACAATGGTTGGTTAATTCCAGACAAAAAAAACGTTTACAATAAAAAAATAATATAAATTCTTTGAACGCTATTATCCTTTATTCTTCTATGCTACAAAAACAATTATTTAGAAAATAATCTTCTGATTTTGTATTTTGATGGTGTTTTTTCATATGAAATGGAGACATCGCTGGCATTGAAAAGATTACTCCGTCCTCTGATAGACACCATATGAATATTATTCGATTTTTTTTAAAAATGACCGCAACATGGTCTTGCAAAAGGCAGATTTAGCATGCGCCTTAGTATCTGTTATTGTTTTCACTCCCGTTTTTTTTTTCGTATCTACGGTGCACTTTTGCTATATTTACTTGATAATTCGTCAACTGTTGTAAAACTTATAGTCGATGCAGTATCATTCGCGTATTGCGTGATTCTCTAACCTTAACATAAACAATGAATAATAGGGGATTCAACTCAAACTTGGAGAAAAACAGTTGGTGGTATCAAAAGCCTTGGACAACTAGAAAAACACACTGGCCTCTTCTGTCCGGAGTATCGGGAATAAATCTCCACTTACGGGCAAAATGGAAAAAGGTCTGTAATTATTTAACCTTTTTTATATATCGGAACCCCCTTGGGCCGATTCAGATTGTCTGTCTAAACATTTATTTATAATGTAAGCGAGTGGATCTTTTTTTAAAAAATTAGTGGGTTCCCAACTTAATAATACCGTAATCTGTGAGATTTTCCGAGCTATTAGGCCGTGGTGCATTGGTTTTGCTACCAAAGCTTTCAGCTGCTACTGCAGCAGCCATCTTCAGTGGAACGTTCGAACCTCTCGGATGGACGGCGGACTGAACGGTCGTTTGAGCGTCCGGGCCCCCCGCCGTGTTGTTAGTATAAGATTTTGTTTGCGTTTTTTGCAGGACGCCATATTTTGTTTACTTGTAACCCCTCTTCAAGTTTGTTGAAATTGTTTTTGTGTTTTGTGTATTTCAATTTCTTCTCGATGTAGTTTTGCGTGGTAATGTTTCTCCGTAGACAGAACTTCGGTGTTGTCGAATTTGATGTTGTGATCGCCATTAATAAACATGTGTTCTGCCACCGCCGATTTTTCTATTTGTCCCAAGCGACAGGATCTTTTGTGTTCAGTCAAGCGCGTACATATGGTGCGTTTTGTTGTTCCAATACACGTGTCCGCATGAACATGGGATTCTGTATACCCCGGCCGAAAACAGCGGTTTTCGGGGATCTTTGGCCGATCTTAAGTATTGTTGTATTTTCGGGTTTAAAAATTAACTTTATGTTATGTCTCGCCATTATTTTGCCGATACGGTCCGTTACTCTTCCGATATATGGGAGGAAAACCAAAGGTCTGGAGACGTTTCTTGGTTAGGTCTATTTTGTTTCTTCGGTCTTATGGCCCGTTGTATCTCGTTGGTTTTGTAGCCATTTGCGTGAAGCGCTCTCTCTAAATGTCCTAATTCCTCTGACAAATATTGTGGATCGGATATTCTAGTTGCCCTGTCGACTAGTGTTTTAATACTTCTCTCCTTTGTTTTGGATGGTAGCGGTCCGTGTGAGTAGCTTTTCGGCAAACTCTATGTCCCAACCTTAGGTTATCGTCTCGGTTTACCACATCCACATCCAGCAGTTCTTAGTGCCGTTTCTATGAAGCTTTCCATATAAAAATTGACAACAACTGGGTTAATGGGGCTCCCCATAGCGACTCCGCCTGTTTGCTCGAAGAACAAATTGTTCCACTGAAAGTACGTGGTCGTCCGACGGAAATATTTCTTCTATCTTAGTGACGGTTTCGTGTAGTGGTATTTTTTTGAACAGAGAAACCAGGGCAAAACTGACTAACATGTCCGTTGGTTGGCACAATGTTCTCGATTATTTTAATAAATTGTCCCGAACCCCGTACGTAAGAGTCAGTCAATTCATATGTCGGAGATCCAATCGTACTGATTATCGGTCGTAACGGAATGTCAGTTTTGTGGATCTTTGGTAATACATACAACCTAAAAGGTAGTGCTTCTGTTTTGCATATCCTCATTTTTGCCTTTTAATCGAGTGTTGATGTTTTTATCAAACGAATGGTTTGTTTTAATATTTTGGCCGTCGAGTCACGAGAGAGGCTTTTATACGTTTGCAGATCCAAAGCTATGATAATCGGCAACATTGAGAACCACTGTCGCTATTGCCTTTTCTGTCGGCAAGACTATGATATTGGCATCGTTGTTTAGATCTCTCGGTGCACGCAAACAAAACCTTATACTAACAATACGGTGGGGGGGGCCGGACGCTCAAACGACCGTTCGGTCCGCTGTCCGTCCCAGCGGTTCGAAACAGGTACCTACGACTTCGACAATCGGCAGCAGTACCGCTACAGTCGTCGCGCTACAATCTACGTTTCACCGAAGATGGCTACCGCAGTAGCAGCTGAAAGTTTTGGTAGCAAAACTAATGGACCACGGATTAACAGTCCGGAAAATCTAGCAAATTATGACGCTGGCCGTGAAAGCCTACGCAATTATATTAATAATGCCGTCCTTTTAATAATTTGTTGCATCGTCCGTTACACGCTTTTAACAAACGAAATTCATAAAACGACAATCTACGAACGTTTATTTCGAAAAGACTATTATTTGGAGGTTAGGGATCGTCGAAGGCGGACGCGGGCGCCTCCCGTTCCGCCACGAACCTCCACAAGGCCCGTATCTCCGTCTCGCCCAGATCGGGCCGCCCGAACAGGAACTTTTTTCCGGGGTTCGTTCCGTACCGCACCAGGTCGCTCAAATCGTCCGCGGATATCACGAAATCGCGCAAGTCCGCGTGCGAGAAACCGTTTTCCAAGGCCAGCGTGCCGGTCACGTGGACGTCGTCTATCCAAAAGTACCGGGTACGCTGTCCCGTCTCGTACAGGCCAAACGCCACGTCCGGGCTGTACACTATAGCCCAGCCCATGCAGTAACTCGGGTACTCCCTGTCCGGGTACTCGTCGAACCCGACCCTCCACTTGGACCGGTACGACCTGAGCACCGCGCTCCTCCCCTTCGGGTTGCACAGGAGGACGCCGACGGCGCCGCCGTCCGACAAATCGTTCGCGAGCGAGTTGCGCAACAGGGGAGCGTTGACGAAGACGTCGTCGTCGGTTTTGAGGATGTACTTGGCGCGGGGACAGTGGTACAACCCGTACTTGAGCCCCATCATGTGTTTATAGGTTAGGTTGCGGTAAACGTCTAGAAAGTCGCCCTGGATGAGGTCTCGATGCGCGAGGTTCTCGCGGCGCAACGCGGCTCGCACGAGATCGGACTCTACCATTCCCAACAGGAAAACTAGCGTCGTGTTCGGCCCGAGTCCGCCCCAGGTCTCTCTCACGACGCGTCGCCTCTCGAAATTGCCTGGCGACGAGTGCACGAGCACCAACAGGAAAACCCGCTCGTCGCAGTCGCCATTCAAGACCGTAAACGTGAAGTCGATGTCGACGAGTCGGGAGTAGTCGTCGGCGGAGAGTCGGTCCAGGTCGTGCGAGTAGTTTCGCCGGTGGGCTCGTATCCCGGAAGCGTAGCGCTTCGAAAACGCGGGGAAGTCGGATCGCGGCGCCGACGTCAGGCACCTGGTGTGCCAAAATACGCACAAGCAGATCGGGACGGCGAAGAAAAGCGGCGCCTGCCACCGGATCTTGCGTTCACGCATCCTCCGGCGGACGCATCGTCGGACAGGTCGCCCGAAAATGTCCGTCACTCGAGGAACTCGCACGGGACCGGACGCGACACGAACGCCATTGCGTTCTTTTATCTCGTCCCGTGTTTACTTGCCGTTGAACCTAATTTTACCCGGCATCTATAATAATATAAATATATATAATAAATGTTTCGGATTTTGATTTTTATAAATGAAAATAATATAATCGTTCGCAGTTGTCGCAAACAATTATATGTATATATATATATATATATATATATATATATATATATATATATATATATATATATATATATATATATATATATATATATATATATATATATATATATATATATATATATATATATATATATATATATATATATATATATATATATATATATATATATATATATATATATATATATATATATATATATATATATCCTGCAGACGTTTCGCCAAAATATCACTTGGCATCTTCAATGCTCGCGCTCCGAAAACACTTCGAACACAATATATATATATATATATATATATATATATATATATATATATATATATATATATAGTTATGTAATATTTAAAATGGAATATTTCGCAAACGGATCTTTCAAATATTACGTGTGTATACCAGCAGACTTTCATTTCAATAAATAAAATACAGGGTGTTCCATTCAAAAACACGGATAACGGTATTATTTCCCCAATTTACAAACGTCATTTGTCTTATTTGACATGCAAAACGCAATATATACAAATACAATACAAATATCTCGATAATTATTGGGTTTAAGTTGTCCGCGAAACACCTAAAACTACACGTAAGTTTTGTTTAAGCAGAACATAAATTATATGTGCAACAATTATTAAGAAATATTTTTTCTAGTTTCAATGAGCTACCTATTTGGTTTGGAACCGATATGCATGATTGGTTTTTGCAATCGACACTCAGTATCAGTATTATTGTTCTAATTGAGTTATGATTCCCAATATCAAGATAACTTAATGTTTGTAAACATGGCCCCTTTATGATATTTTTGTGATTCGACCCTTAACCACTTTTACTTTCTACGTTAAATATTTGTTTATTATTCTAAATAAATTGTCAATCAAATAATTTACAAAAATAAAACAGATATTACGTACTACGTTGCTTAAAGAAGTGCCTCACATGAAGAAAAGAATGGTTAATTACATTAATATTTTCATGTTAGCTGAACATATTTGTTTAACACACCTAAGTCTTGTTCTGTTCATTTACTTTAGTTGTTAATTAAATTACAAAAAAAGTTGAACAGTTTCGGTTAATTTGACGTCTTGCGGTTTGACTAAAATACGTCGATGGATACTAATCCGTATTCTTTGCTATTACCTGTCAATTAGCAGTCTACGCGAACGCACAAGACCATCGCGTTTATTAAAAGTCGCAATCCGAACTGTTATTGGGTTGATAAAAATACGCAGTTGACACGATTATGTTCCCATAACAAATAATAAATGAAAATCGGTTTGCTGAATAATTTACTAACAGTAAGGACTCGTGCGGTATCGATTCATACTTACTAATTATTATCGAACATCCGCACACTACCCGCTGATATATTACTTTTTTAAAACATATTGTAACCGTAATTTTCCAAACTAAAACATCTTTAATTAACTAATTATTGAATTTTCCATTTTACATTTTTGCCATTTAGCATCGTAACGGCGACGCATCACCTGCGTCGACTAAACTAAATCCCAAAACAACATACGTAAACAAACACCTTTGAACAAAAGTAAGGTTAAGTCACAGACCGGGTTCTTCACGTTACCGATTGGTTCTAACAACTGTTGAGTGCGGCAAAATTTATAAATTAATTTCGAGCAATTTTTAAATTTAGCACTTCAATCACAAAATGTTCGAAAAGGAGGCAATTTTTAAAATTTCGAAAGGAAAAGCTGAAATAAAAAACATACTTATACAGACTAGATTTCGTAAAATTAACATCAAAGCATGCACTGCAACAAAAATTATGCATTACCTCTTAGGTATGATTAATAAGAAAAAAAAAACAATAGTCGTGTCCAATCCACTAAATTACAGAGCAACACACACACACTGCATGTAACATTTTATCAGAAAAATGTATTTTCTGTATCTACTCCCTTAAACGAAAGCACGAGAGATATGAACACTAATCTGCGAGGTCGAAGATTGCCGATGCTGCGGAGGACCAAATCGATTCCTAAAAACACATCTAGTCATTGGCGTGCGGCATCACAATAGTTACAAAAGCCGCTTACGGGAAAAATCGCCATCTATAATTTATGGATTCATTTTCATATATAAAAGTGAATAAAAACGTAATGTTGCTAATTGCAAATACAACCAGAGTAATTATGTGTGGTGTTTCTATTTGTTTATATATTCAAAAGCGAAGAAAAGAAGAGATCCCACGAAGACGCGCGAAACACGAAACTAACCAAAAGGTTCCTTCTAGGTTTGCTCACTCACGAGTTTTGCACCGTGAAACTGTTAACCTGAAATTTGGTGGTCTTATACATTTACGCAATAAGAATACTCGAAAATGTTGAGGCAGTACAGAGTGCGTGATTTGAAGAAATATTTAAATTCTCTAACAAAAATCAATGTGAGCGGCATAATTTATTTTGTATTATGTAATAATTGCGGCCCACAAGGTACAGGTTATATTCATTTCCAGTTTTTCTTTTCAGAACGTAAATGATTTAAATGCATTGGTCGTTAAACAGCTTGATAAAATAGGTGTCAACACGAAGAAGTGTAAACATTTTGGTGTCGCCTTCGAAAGAGTAATTATCAGTAAGTAGACCAACTATTTTTCTAATGTTACCTGTTTCAGTACAGCGCACTCGGGGTGCTGGATTGCCATCGGAATCATACACCGAGGAAAACATGTGACCCGAGAGTAACAATTATTTCCGTTAAATGTGCATGCACCTTAGGGTGTCTCATTTCAGAATCTCAAAATCAGGCGCATTAAAAACGAAGTGGAAAAATTTTACTTGAACATATCAAAAGGAAGCTTTGGCTATGCTGCCGCGGCCATTGCCGTCGACGTCAATAAGGAAGCGACCGAGACGGAAACTTCCGTCGAAGTTATACCTGAACCTCCTCCAGTTCCGGAAATCCAGGAATTGCCTCAACAATTGGTCGAAATGGTTAGTCAGGTAAACGCTTTAGGGGAGCCGACGTTCGCTTCCCTTGGTTTGGGAGGTCACTCCCCGGTGGGAATAGTGCAGACTCTGTTGGAATATTTTCATGTCGGGTTGGGTTTGGATTGGTGGGCTACGATAGTACTAGGTAAGTGTCGCATCCCCAACACTCTGAAACCCGTTAATCTGAGTTAAATTTCAGGAACTCTTCTTATCAGGTTGGCGATGTTCCCGTTGGTTATTTTGTCTCAAAGGAACGCCGCGAAAATGAACAATCACCTGCCTCAGATGCAAGCGATTCAGCTAAAAATGACTGAGGCACGTCAGATGGGTAACAGCCTCGAAACGGCCCGGTACTCTCAGGAGCTCATGTATTTTATGAAAGAGAAAGGGCTTAATCCCTTCAAGAATATGATTGTGCCTCTAGTACAGGTAACATTTGGTTTGAATGTCTTTTAAGATGTAAAAACTGATTGGTGTGGTTAACTACTGAATATTTAGCAGATCTTTCAGTCACTTTGGGACGGTTTTCCTTATACTACAACTTGAGACTTTCAGATGCCCATTTTCGTGTCATTTTTCATGGGCCTCCGACAAATGGCCAATGTACCTGTCGAAAGTCTCAGAGAGGGCGGATTGTTTTGGTTCACAGATCTGACGCTTCCCGATCAGTATTTTCTTTTGCCTATCATCACTAGCGCCACCCTTTTTGCCACCATCGAGGTGAGTTTGAGGCCATATAGCGGACACACAGAACGGCAACTTATCGATTCTCTTTAGTTGGGAACTGACTCCGCTAGGCTGAACGCGCAAAACATGCAGACCATGAAGTACGTGCTCAGGGCTATGCCGCTGCTGATATTGCCGTTCACGTTCAACTTTCCCGGCGCCATCTTGTGCTACTGGGCATCGAGTAATTTTATCTCCTTAGCTCAGGTCGCATTTTTGCGAATACCCGCGGTCAGGGAGTATTTTAAAATCGAGAAGCTGATTCAATATCGGCCGGAAAATCTACCCATTAAACCAAAAGGGTTCACGGAAGGGCTAAAGGATTGTAAGTGGGCGAGTGGGAAAGGGTAAGCATAAACTTAGGTGTGAGATTTCAGCCTGGGCAAATGTAAAAATCACTAAAGAGCTGGAAGAAAGACGGAGGATTGACGAGATCGAATTTCGAAAGGCGGGAAGGGGGCCCATTGTCAAGACGTACAAGTATGATCCCACCAAACGGGATGGACCCGGCGCGCCTGCTTCAGTCAGTGCCAAGGAACGATAAATAGTTTATAATCTTCAGAATTTGTAATAAATAATTTTAGAATTGATGGCCTTATTAATTATCCTCCCTCTCTCATCCAACTTATTCAAAAAATACAAGGATCTTTTTCAAAAAATATATAATACAGATAATATAAAAATAAAAAAAATAATTATTATCTATGGTCAACAAAGGTTAGGATAGCAATTCACTTCTTCACTTTTTCGTATCACATAGTACCAGCTCTTCTTTCATGCTGAAAATTTCATCCAGTAGGTCTCTGTTCGTCTCTTGCAATTTTTTTATGGTCCCTTTATAAATATCCTCCCTGTTCCTGTGCTTTTGCAAAAGTTTTAACGCGACTTCGTTGGTAGAACTCGGCGTGCCTGATTAAAAAATTCTGCAAATCTTTAAGGGAAAAAAGTAAAAGGAATTCTTACTGATATTTGTACCAAATGTTTCTTTCAGAAAATCATTCTCTTTAACAATTCTCCTTAAATTATGTTCCACTTCGTTTTGTTTCGCTCTGTGGTAATTTTTTACTCGCTCCAGTTCTTGTTTGTGGGAACATTCCCTCTTGCGCATATTTGACATTTCCTCGGTTAGCCAAACTATTTTTTTCTCAAGGGCGTCGCGCGTTTCCCGCGACCTGTCCAGTTGCCTCTTGCACTCGTCCAAGGCGTCCTAAAAAACTGGATTAGGATTTCCGATAGTCTCTAAATTAAAAGTTAAAACATACATAGAGTTCATTATTTTTTTGATTGTGACGCTTCTGATCGATATTCTTGTCTTTGATGAGAGCTATGGCGATTCTGTGCATCTGAACTAACGCACGAGACGACAACAACACCTTATGGAATAGTTCAGGCATTGCAAGGGATAGGTCCAATGGAGGCAATCCTAGAGAGTCAAATTCCTACAATAACACAGGAATATAACCACTTCAAATAAGTCTACTACTACAATCCACCTTCGATAAGATACTTATAATCTCTCGAAACTGGCCAAATTGCAAGTCGTTTTCATTCACGCGGGGCCAATATTTCTGTTCTATGTCAGCTAAATCCTTCTCAATCTCTTCAACGTTAATGGCAAATTCGTCGCAGTCTGACATACCTATATGTTGATCGCAAAACTTAACGACCAACAACGAAGACTATTAAAGAAAAAATATTTCATAAAAGTGATTGCCGCTTTTATTCAACTAGTTTCTAGTTTTGGGTTGGTTGGGTATCGGTTCTTCTTCTTTCTTCCCTTGTACTTGATAAGTTTGCTAGGATCATTGGATCAAGATTTTTAATCACATTGAAATAATTGCAGTTTCAATTATCATTTATTAGTTATAATTAATGATGGTTTATAAAAGTAATGTTGTGTTCGACTTACAGATACATTAGGGACAAGTAAGGTCCCAAAAATTCAACTGCCGCTATGCACTTAATCGTCTCCTTCACAAGACGGACTCTTGCGACTGCCGGCGCACATTATTTTGTGCTCTTCGACTTGGCTTGACAGTTTTGTTTCTCTCGTACCAAGGACACAAAAAAAAATTACTACCGGCAAGTAAGGTCTCAAAAAAGTTAAGTGCATTGAAAAGGCGAACGTAAAAGGAATGACTTCCTTTTACGTTCGCCGTTTTTGTTCACGTCAGACAAACAGACATTGTTCACCTGCAGTAGCCGATCGACGTCTCAGAGGCAATATGGCTCGTTCGACGGCCGGCACGGACACCGACCGTCTAGGAAAGTCATTTATTTTGAGCCTTTCGACTCTCGGAACTCCAAGATAGCTCGTTTCGCAACATAAATTTAGTACTCTTCTCCGATAAAGAGACGTTAGCGAATTTTTATTGTTTTTATGGAAGAAAGTTGTAGCCTTCGACTTAGTTTTTTTTTATTCGCTTCTGACGACCTCCGCATGTCTACGGAAGTCCACAATGGCCTTCGACGCAAAAACTTTCATTCTTCAAGTTTCGTATTCTACGTCCTGCGCCTTATTTTCAACTGGAGAGCACAAAAGTCTTCGACGTAACATTCAATCCTATTAGAAAACTTCAATTCCCAAAGCTCTCGAAAATCCAGCAAACGTATTTATATCGCGACCGTGTCGTCCGACAAGCATCGCCAACAACTTGCCATCGGGTGGGAGGAACGTGTCAGCGGACTTGGTTTCGATATAAATACGCTTCCGAGGAGTTTTTGTTTTAGTCTCACACCAACCATCTGAGTGGACGATGATTCATTGTTAAATTTCCATTCTTCCTTTTTGTTTAAACGGAGATAATTTACACGATACGCGCCACCTGTTAACAGTTGAGGTCGTTTTGCCCTAGAGCTGGAGGCTGAAGTCCTCAGACCGACGAAACAAGTGATCACGTATATGTCACGACTCAGCTGTTGGTGGATCGTCTGTTACAAACCACCCCCCCCGCCCGAACCTGAACGCCGTTCGGGACTTTCGATCATTTGACTGACTGACAGTCATGTCAGTGAATGTATTCGTGTTGTTTTGCGAAAATGTACCCAAAAACTAACGGTCGTAGAAAAAATATAGTATGCAACATGTTCGGTAAACTTTTTAAGTCACTCGTTTATTAAACACTCGCTCCGCTACACTCCGCTCGTGTCAAACTCGTGAGTCAAATGCCGTTTACCGCACCGAGCCCCTTCGGACATTTCCGGGATTTTACCGCAGGGATTTGGGAGCAATCGGATGTTTTCGGAGATATTTCCCACGCTTTGAATTTTGACGTTTGTCAATTCTGACGGTCATGTCAGTGAATGTATTCGTGTTATTTTGCGAAAATGTACCCAAAAACTAACGGTCGTAGAAAATGTATAGTATGCAACACGTTCGGTAACATACTATTACATTTTGATTTATTATTATTTCCATTTTCATTTCATTACTGCGAACTTACCAAAACAGATGGCGCCATTAACGCAACTGTTAAGAATATTCTTACTTCTGTGTTCCGTGTCCTCGAAAAGTCATCATTTTTAAATTTGGCTAATGTACGTATCGGAAAATTATCGGTTAAAGTATAATTTAAAATTTGTTTTTGTCTGTTGTTGAGCAACCCAGCTCACTTTTCTCGTAAGAGCAACCGATTTTATAAGTGGGGTTTTTGTTGAAAGGTAACTGAATAAGTAGTTTTCTAATTTGTGCTTTTTTCGAGGTTTCTACTCGATTGCATTATATAACGGCATCTGTTATATCAGTAGAGGTTGCTATGAAGTAATAACAAACTTATACAAAATAGGTATCTTATATATAAAACACAACGGTTTCTACGAGAAATATAGGATGGCATAGCTGCTTCACGATACAATTTCTGTGCATAAATTTTCTTGCGAAAACACTCGTGAATTTATTATTTATCTGGAGACAAGTTTTACGTATAATTTGGTGGTGCCAAAATGTGTGTTTCAATAGATTTTTGTTAATGAATCATTAAAGAAAATGTCCAGTTTTATTTTCAAAACAATTTTATTTAGTGCTTGAACTTAAAAGACATCAATCACATTATGTAGGTTCTTGTCATTAATTTTCACGGAAAAATCCCAAATTTATTTGTTTTATCTGCTTGACGCGAGCGCCTCAATGCTGGCCCTGTTCTTGTAAACACAAAACTCCATAAAGGCAACCGCCAGCATGAGTGCCTGACCTAACAGCTCCTTATCAACTGCCGATTTGGAGTTGAACTCCGTTTTTAACCGAGCATTGACTTTGATCTGGGTACAGGGGATCTGGGGATGCTTGGATCCGTCACCCTCTAGAAACTCCTTAAGCACCTCTAATGCGGACACGCGTTCTCCGCCAATTAAGGTCCTAAATAATCTATCGCACGTGATAAGTAAGTCAAGTTGAACAGCGCTTCAAAATCCTTCACAATTATATCCAAAGGAGACCTCACGACAAGAATTTAATTATTTACAGAGTCAATGCCACACCTAAGATTTATCTACTTATCTATTGTTCTCGTGGAAATATAGGGTTACACAAGTATTTAGATCAAGCATTAGCTCTAAGAAACAAGAATTATTAAGATCAACGATCCTGCGACAGAGGTCTAAAATCAAGGAAATAACCTATAACCTATAAAATGCTTATTGATCACAACTCAGAGGACATTCATGGGTCATGGGTCTATGTGCAAATTTTTAATGTATGAGAGTTACCATGCTAATAATAATTATTATATGAGCGATAAAAAACATAATAAATCAATCCCAATATCTTTAATAGAGTAATTTTTAATTATATAACTTTAGCCTAGATGGGCTTTTCAGATGTAAACTTTGCCATTCTCTCCAAACTGAATGTTTGTTTATGTTTACTGTGGACTTCTAGGACATTTTATTGACGACTCGCGTGGGGGCTCCTTTTAGAATGGTTCTTAGAAATTATATTCACCTTGGCGCCAGTGTCGATTTCAAGAAAAATACCCTATTCTCGATATTGTTCTTGCTATCCATTTTGCCGTTTCTCAGAGAGGCGTTGTGATTAATGCTAGTGTTTAGCAGGGCGACCAACATTGACAGCAGCTCACCTTGTTGCGTGTAAGCGGAAACCATCGCAGGCTGTCGGGAACCACGTGGCCCAGGTGATAGCCGCTGCTCAAATACATACACGTCCGCCGGAGGGATCTTTTTCAATATGCCAATTGTCTAAAGTAATATACTGAGATTTTTAACAATACCTTGGATTGCTTAGTTTGTATAAAAAAAGATATAGACCTTGAATTTGAGAAGGCTAGATATAAATAAAATTAAAGACTTAATATAAAGACAAATATAAAATAAAAAAGCATTATTGATTAAAAAATCTTTTTATACAGTAAAAGATTTATAAGTCAGTGAGATACTTGTAGTTTGACCAATTTAAATGTGAATAATCAAACTTGAAAACACCAATAAAGCTTTACTGATGTTGACTTGCCTGATTGAACGTTTCAACAGGTGACATTTTCAATGGCAGGAAAGTGAAGTTCTCATGGTTCCACTCAGTCAGAGTGTTGTCTGGATAAGACAGCTTGGCCCAACTCACACCAGGAGTTTTTAAATGGATAGCGACGGCATCTCGCAATTCCTATAAATCCAAGATAGTCCTTTCACAGCGAATTGTTTTTTTGATTCAAATTACAATGTTCGGAAGCGTCGGAGTAAGGAAGTTTTTTGCGTTTTTCGTTCGCGATGGCTTTGTTGCAACGTCGGTGAGACTTTTGCACATTTTGCGGAGCCAATTTTCGCCTGAACCGTCTATTTTTAAAATTCGGTCCAGAGATCGGTAAACTCCGTTCGTCTTTCTTTCGTCTATGATGTCGCGGATTATCGTTTTCGGCACATCGAAACTATCTACAACAAACCTTAATTGCAGCAGTATTTTGGTAAAACACAAACCGCTTTCTTACGCCTCTAATTCTTGCGCCGTCGCCTCGTTTAACGTTCCGAGCACTTTTAACCGCTGCTGCGAAGTAAGGTCGTCGAACGAGCTTAGCAAACATCGCGAAATCGTACACAGACATTTTAACTAAAATAAGATTAAATATACGGTTTAACCGACAGGACCGCGAGAACATACCTGGCCGGCGGACGATTTAATACCCAAGGAGACAATTTTACAAGCAAACATGATTTGGTGTGCGATTTATTGTTTAATTCGGATGCCGCGACAAATTATGCAAAGCCAGTGTTTGGTTTTTCTTCTTTTAATTCTATTGGCCAAGATTGCTGGGATCATTCGGCCATTTTCTGGATAAATGCTGATTGTTTTTTACGATCTGGAAGGGCGTCTTAACTAAAAGGGACTGGACAAGTCCATCACCCTCCAAGGGGAACCGAAATGCAATTAATAGATAGAAGCTAAAGATTGATGCAGGAAGCTTTCAAATGTTTACTTATGTTTGGTTGACAAATCCATCTTCCATGGATGAAAAGTAGGTTACTAGATAAAAGAGGGGATGAGAAGTGTGAAGAAGCCAAGGATTCATACAAGCGTTGAGAATTACCCCAATGCAACCGGCAATCAAAGAAAGTGTGGTGGAGGTCACCTAATTCTCCGGAAACGCAGTTTCTTGTATCTCTAACGTTTACTCTCCCCAGATGAGCAGGCGAGCTACAATGATTACTGCTTATGGGATAAATGGTAGTAATTTCTCTGAGGTTGAGGTTTAAACCATGAAACGAAGGTTTCTGAGGAGGACTTGATCGCTGACAGATCGGCAGATTCATGCAACAACCAACATGGCCGCTGACAGATCGGCAGATGCCGCAAAGTGCATCAATTTTTACCGTTATCTAATAACTAAATGTGCGAATCTAACGTACATGCTTGATCATTCCACAACCATGTCGTAGCCACCAGTTTTACGATATTTACGGCCTTATTTTTCCTTACCGCACTGAATACAATTACAAGTAATCTGTGCCTAACAGTTAATTGTTGCTACGGAATTCGCGAAAAAGCCCTTACTCGCGTATTAATTCTCCGACGGCGGCGCTGCTAAGAGTAAACCTGACTGTTTTCTTTCCAAATATAATGTTTATATGTTTTCTTTGAACCTTTCACCAGATCGTTCCGCCTGCATAAACGACAATTAAGTGTTATTAGTGGCTCTGATATCATTTTTTGCGGGGCGTAGTTTTTGGAAAATGACGATAAAAGGAATAATTTATAATCCAATTAAGTACATGCAAAAGGCACATCCATAAATGGCGTTGCTTCCAGTTGTAAGGCTGGTTTATCGGTAAGTTGCACATAGATTGCTAAAATGTGTTAGCAGATTTTAAGATTGTTTAATATTTATCAAGTGACATCCATCAACAGAGAGCAATTTCTTTTATGTAATAAACATTATTAGAATTTGGGAAAATTAGTTTTCCAGGGAATTGGCTATTAATAAATCGAACAGCTCACAACAAAATTTATTGGGACATAAATTAACTCGTAATCTGGGAATCACTCGGCGGGTATTTCCTTCTCCATCCGCGTCAGTTGTATATTTCGGTCGGTTTGCGTGGGCGGCCCGGCAAACTCTCCTTGGCGCAACCTTGCCCTTAGATCGAGGCACCTGACGTCCGTCGTCATTGATTGATTTTTGCCTGCCAGATCGTGATCGATCGCCACCATTCTTTCTTCCAGCGCGTTGTAAGTCGTTTTTGCGCAATCGATTTTATCGCGCAGTTCGCCCGCTGTTTGTCTCAGTCGCAGCACTTCTTCTTTTAAACCTCGCTCGGGTTCGTCGGTAGCCAGTTCGAATCCTGGGCGGTACGATCTGAAATACGCGGCGTTGTCGGATGGACATTTAAGAGCCGAGCGAAATAGGATGCAGAAACTAAATTACTGATTCTTGAGGATTTTCTAGCAATTAACGAACCGAACTAAAACTCGCAAAGCTGTCGGTCGGTAATTCTCGTATAAATTATTAAGTAATTTATTTATTTAGTTATTTACAATCACTTAACAGAATAGCTGCTAGGAGACAAAGGGACATAGGGCGGGGAGGATTCCTTGGTGGAGCTCTTCCCTGGAGCGTCTCAGGAGGAGGGTGAGGAGGCTGTTCAATACAGCGAAGAGCAGCGACCTAGGTACGTAGACAGTACAAAAAAGAACTAGGGGCATCACAGAGGAAGGCCTGGAGGAGCTACTGCGACGGAGTAATGAATACCCCGGACGCCGCTAGGCTCCTTAGGGCTACTTGGGAAGACTGGGAGTGGTCGGCCGATCCGGGCACAGTGGGGAATGCTGAAGTCGGGGGTCGTCTTAGATGCGACTACGCCACGGCAGGGAGGGTGGTTACCCATAGTAGGCTGAGGTGAGCTTTAACCCCTTCAAGTCGGCGGGCGGGGATGGAGTATTTCCGACTCTGCTGCAAAGGGACGGAAGTCTCGTGACCAGCCCGCTGATGGATCTGTTCAGAGCATCAATGCCCGAGCAGGGTAGTGTTCATCCTCAAGGTAGGGAAGAACGACTACACGGACCCGAAGTCATACCGGCCCGTTTGTCTAATCAGCTTCATTATGAAAACTCTGGAGAGACTTGTGGACCGGTACCTGAGGGACTGGGTGGAGCTGGAAGCCCCTTTAGAGCCAGTTCAGCATGCGTACCGAAGCGTGTGGGCTCGGCTCTTCACCATCTGACTTCCAGGTTGGAGGAGGGTATGGGCTCGGGACGGCTGTCGGTGTGCGTATTTGTTGGCATCGAAGGGGCCTTTAATAATACGGCCCTGTATTCGATATGCAGGGAGGTGGAGCTAACCGACTGGAGGATTGAGTCAAGACTGGGTGGGGAGCGGGTCTCCATCGACTCATCACGGGGCTGTTCACGGGGAGGGGTCTTGTCCCCCTCCCTGTGGAGTCTAGTGGTGAACGAGATATTGCATATTCTGAGGGAAGAACACGAGGTCTATGCTCAGGCATATGCAGATGACCTTGTGATAATGACACAGGGGACGGACGTGGGAAGGATGCGGGGGCTCCTGAACGGGGCATTGGCAAGATTCTCACAATGGTGCCGGCAGAGCAGTTAGCTATCAAACCTGGCAAGGTGGAGATGGTCATCTTCACCAGGAAAAGTAAGGTGGAGCGTAACCTCAACAACCTCTTTCTGCAAGTGGAAGCGCCAAGTACTTGGGGGTATGGTTACACCTGAATCCCGGGTGAGAAAACGGGCCGTGGTGGGCTGGAGGTTGCTCCGGCAATGAGGTCGGTAAGGCTTATGATGGATAGGCCCGCCCTCCCTCGGACCAAGGAGCTGCTTGGACTGACCAGAAGGGAGTGTACAGCACTAGCAGGGGTCTACACAGGCTTAGGAGGCATCTTTGCTTGCTAGGCATTGGAGACGACCCGGAGTGCAGTTGATGCATGGAAGGGGAGGAGACCCCGGATCATCTGCTCACCGAGTGTCCTGCTTTGATATGGGCAAGATTTAGAGTCTTCGGAACGGCCCTGATCGATCCGAACTTAGTGCACGGTATTGGGAGGTCTGGGGGCTCAACGGGCCCATCTGGTGGCCTAAATGCTTGGACGCCCGCGGGAGGCGCCCCCTTTAATACCAATACCAATACCCCATAGGAAAGAGGCCGAAGGATGCTCTGGATTAAACAGGTCCTAGGCCTAATGGGAATAATAATAATAAGAAATAAAATGCCTTACCGATTTTCGAGCCTGGTCTCCGCTAGTTTGGCGGCAGCCATTTTGTCGCGCAGAGCTTCCTCGAGGGCCGCAATCTCGCGCTCCAGTTTGGCCATCTCGTCGCCGGTTTTCGCTCGCTGCCACTCGGCTTCGTTGCGCGCCTTCTGCGTCTCGAAGATGCGCCTGCGCAGGACGAAGTCGACGCGGTCGCGCTGCGCAGCCATGTCGTTTCGCGCACGCTCCCTCGCCACGAACAGCGCCTCTCGCAGCTTCAGCGTGTCCGCGAGTTCATCGTCGGCCGCCTGTTTTAATTGGCGCGAGTGCTCGAGCCACGTGGCGTGTGAATGTGACCTGCGCGTAGACTTTTTTCGGTAATGGAGGAGGAAGCATAATAACAGTTTTCAAAGAAAATTCCACAGGCTACTGTAATGTTATTTACGAAACTTCTGGATTTCTCCTGCATCGGTTGTTGATAAATCGCCTCACAAGTTGCAAAAATATATACATCTTCATGTAATTATAATATATTAAATTGGCCAATAGACAAAGTTTACCTTTTTCTCAAATATAATAAATGTGACTGTAATAATATATGAAATATGAAATGACGTTACATACGACGTCAGCAGGACGTAAATTTGACCTACTAATGTATCAGACGGATAATGTCATTTAAGTGACGTCTTTTTAATGTCGTAGTGTCGTCAATTTTTGTTATTTAGGTGAAATCTTTTTTACGTCAACTTAAAAGTCGTATTTTGGTATTTACTACCGAAAATATGACGATTTTTAAATTGGTTTTTTCTTTTTGCAGTGGGTAATGAAGTTGAGCCTTTCTTTAAAAAAAAATATTAGCGGAAGTATAATATACAGCGGCTTTTTAATGAAAATTAATATTTTACATTTTGACTCCCATGCATAACGATTCGAAGTAACTTCAAGACAAGTATAGGATAAATAACGGTATAGTCTGTCTCGATCTTCATCGTGTTGGCTTTCAACTGACCATCCTCAATAAAACTTTAACGGTGTTATTGTTATTAAGTAAAGCCATTAACCATTACTTGAGTAACAAAGCAGATGTGGGCATGGCATATTTCTTTCTTTCTAATATATTTCTTAATAGTATTGACTATTTGCGGCAGTGTGGAATAATCGTTTTTACTGTGCATTTCGAATAAGTTATTTTACGAGAATATAACAATGACGCGTCAAAATCATTTGTCGCTTGATGCAAAACAGGTTGTGAAAAGTGTATCTCAAACTGGAGGACTTAAACATTGAACTGTATTGACTACTAAGTTTTTGATATTACATAGATCTTGGAGAACTTACTAGTTTTGTCTAGTTCAAGTTAGTCGATTAAAGTTAAGTACGGATTGTCGCGCCATCTATGGTCTAAAGGATAAATCATCAATAGGTAAAGCTAAAATAGAGGCGAGCCCTAAACACCAGCTGTTTAGAGAGCAATGCAGTAAACTTACTCTTCTGCCTGGGTTAATTAATATAATTGATGTTTGCGAGTTTGTAAATCAATCAGAGTTTTAGATTTTCAACGACATTGTACAACTATTTTTTCTGGGGTTTTACGAAGGTGATGAATAAAAGGAAAATTCAGACACTCATGAAAACAGGAAGTTTAGAATGCAATGGAAGAAAGAGGCCTTACAGATAACGATTGGCAAGATAGGAGATTGGGATCCTGGATACATCGAGAGATGTATAACTATTTTGAACTAAATTTCTTACCATATACTATAAGGAACGCAGTCCAATTTAGAAGAATTGGAAGTGTTTGCAGATGATATAGTGAAAAAGATGACGACCAAATATTAAAAGGAAGATGTACGACTGCGGAATAATGAAACTGCAAGTGAATTTTCTAATGATTAGTGAATTTATTAAAAGCGGTGCGAAAGAAAAAATACTTGCACTGGCAATTGATTAAACTAATCGCGTTTCAATTTGTTGCTTATTAGTGGATTAGGTTAGATTACCTTGGTTTGTACCAAAAATTATTCAGGAGCAAATTAATAAGACTGCTTGGGAACTAATGGTGGACAAATTTTGTTAATTTTAATATTAAAAGCAAAGTCCTTGCTAACAATTAATCGGGAACCCTTTGTAGTATTAGAGAATAAAATAATTCCGCCGAGAGAGTTTTTTCATATTTAAGTTTATGAAACGCGGGATTGCACGATTTGGCAACGTGGCATCAGGAAAAACGTTATTGCCTAGCTTATCGGTGTCATTATTTCACCCCATGTCCCCCATAGCATAGCACATGTTTTGCGAAATACCAAGCAGCAACCGTTATAACGATTATTTTCGGCATTTATCTCTTGGATTCATTTAGTAAATTATATGATGTCATTTCAATAGCACCCTGCTCTCTTTTGTTTTTAACAAATGTTAGTACTGTCTTTCTTACCCCTTGACGATCCTCAGCGGGTCGAGTTTGTGGCTGATTTCGGCGCAGTTCTTGTGCGTGGCTAACTGATTTGCGTCAATCTCTATCGCCTCCCGCTTGTCGCCGATATCGACGCTCAGTTTGAACCGCACCTCGTTCAGTTTGTTAATTTTCTCCCAGGCGGCGTGACATCGTTCGATCAGCGCCCTCTTTCTGTTTTCCGCTACGCATAGTTCCTAGGAAAGAACGATTAAAAAAGCGCGATCCGTGGGCAGCAGGTGGCGCGCAAGATCCGAAAAAACAATAGGGGTAATAATAATTCTTAGTGGAACAATAGAAACATGAGATGTACAGTGGCTGTTTACAGTTACAGCAGAGTAAGGACATTAAAATCTGAAACAAAAAAATATTTTATAGATTCCCTAAAGAAGTTAAACAAATCGTCTTTGTTCCTAATCACCTTGATATATTGAATTGGAACCAGCAAGATATATTTTTGCGATAAAGGTAGTACTCCTAAGGGTATAAAAGATCTCATGCAGTTACATTGGTGTACCCGAAAAATTATTAAAAAAAAACGTATTCATATTGTACAAGAAAAGCTATACGCATTAACAGAAGTTGAAAAGAGAGATTTTGATATGCGCTTTGGAAACTGGGTCGCCAAGTGAAGTCACTCCGAGCAACGTAAAACACTTTTCTGTTTGAACCACGTAAACCAGAATTGATGCCGCACATACATTCTGTACCTGTTTAACTTTTAACGCCATTGATGATTCTTAAGTTCTAATAAAGGAAATTGTTGTGCATCCAAAGGCACAAACCTTCTTCAGTTCGGCATCCGCATCATCGTTGGTCAATTCCGCGGGGAGTCGATTGTCGCGCATCGAAATGCACTCGGACATGACGTTGAACGGAATCGACATGGCGTCGATTTGCTTTTCGGTCGAGAATTTTTCGTCCGCGAGAAGCGCCATCTCTCCATCGATTCTCGCGGCGCAAGCTTCGAGTCTTTGCCGCCAGTGGTCGGTTTCGGTGACGCGATCCGCCAGACGGGCGTCATTTAGGCGCGTGTCCCAATCGGTGCGTATTCGCGTTTCGTTTCGCAGTTGGCGAGCGTCGTGACGTAAAACGAAAGCGTCGGCGCCCGTCGCTTCGTTCGCCTGGCGTTCGGTCCACTGCTTCGTGAACCAGTCGGCGAGGCTCAGACGCGCAGTCGGTTTCTCGTACGTAATGACGGACATTTTTTAGTCTGCCGGAAATGTAGAAAATAATTTAAGATAGAATGGCAACTCTAATACAACACTGGTCAATACTTATACGCAATACCTCTGGTATCCTGGTGGGAAGTAAGGGGTGTTTTTTTTCGATTATTCGATTGACATGAATTTTATTTAACCGAAAGAAAATCTTGTGGCATTACATTTCAAATATGATTTCTGGCATATGACCACCACAGCTGGTGGGGATGCAGTCCAATCTGGACGTCCAATTTTCGATGACTTTCCAACATTAGTGGCCGTATATCGGCAATAACACGGCGAATGTTGTCTTCCAAATGGTCAAGCGTTTGTAGCTTATCCGCATAGAGCAATGACTTTACATAGCCCCACAGAAAGTAGTCTAGCGGTGTTAAATCATAAGATCTTGGAGGCCAATTGACAGGTCCAAAACGTGAAATTAGGCGATCACCAAACGTGTCTTTCAATATAACCGATTGTGGCACGAGCTGTGTGCCGTCTTGTTGAAACCACATCTCCTGAACATCATGGTTATTCAATTCAGGAATGAAAGAGTTAGTAATCATAGCTCTATACCGATCAGGCTCTACAGCAGCAATAGCTTCTTCTGTGGTGCGAAAACGTTCCATGGTTAATCGAATTAACTGCTCTGATGGACGATTTTGTCGACGATAAAATGGACGTAGTACGCGATACGTATTCCGCACAGAACCATTATTTTCGAAATAAAATTGTACTATTTGCAAGCGTTGTTCAGGCGTGAGTCTATTCATAATGAATTGCCAAACCAAACTGAGAATAAATCACTTGACAGCTGTTAAATCGGTCGCCATCTTGAACAGCAATGCCAACTTAAAGTTCTATACATCGAAAAAAAACACCCATTAGAAAACTTTCAGGATAAGCAAAGTACGATAGTCACTTTGTATAAAAAATATTTCAAAAACATTTCTTGTACTTATATTTTCTTCTCTGAACAGGTCCGAGACTAAAAATTTTTTTCGGAATAAATAAAGTGCAAAAAAAAATACTACTTATTTGTACTTTCCATACATAACAGTACAATGTTTCTCTTATGCTTCACTTAAGATTAAACACAACAACATGGGAAGTGCTTTTGAATTTAAGCACTATTTCTTGAATTATGTGGGTTTAATAACACACACTGAAGCGTTTTATTTTAAGCAAGATGTATTAAATATTAGAATTTATAATAAAACTAACAAAATTCATTCTACACTTGGTCCGCCATTCCACCGCGTGTTTCTTCTCTAGTCACGTAGGCCAAAAAGGATATTTCAAAAACAATACATGTAGTGCCATCTATGTGACAATAACGGCGTTCTGCACTAATATATTCAATACTATTTTGCTATTGCAAAATAATGATCGAAATAATGTAATGGTTTTCTAAAAAGACTCTGCCAAATGACTAAGCTCTCTAAACGCGCAAGGAGTGTTGCACTCTCATTTGTACTGACACCAACAACAGAACAATACCCACTCCGTACTTAAAAGTTACTGCTGTACAAATTTACTTACAGCGCCATCTGCCGGGCTGGCGGACGTTAATATGTTGACCAAGTAGACTCATACGAGCGCCTACATTGACGTAGCACTCAAACGTCAAGCGGCATATATTTTAACGCGTTCAAATTTCTTAAATTCTATCAAATTTGACGAGTGTTTTCCAGGCAATGTCCGAATTAAAAGTTACTAACGGCTAAATTTAATCTACGAGCCCTTAATATTTCTGCCGTGGGAGCCTATGATCTATATTCTTAATGTATTTGGGATTTTGGGATATTACAGCATTGCCGCATGTACTGGAATCAGACTAACTTCATTTTTTAAATGGAATATGGCCTCTCCATATTATTATATTTTTAGATTCTACGAAAAATTCTGAAATTCTATATAACATATGTCAGAAAAATAATTAACTATGTTTCAACTAGATCAATTAGATAATATTTATCAAAAATTTATTTTATACTCACGGTCAAGTGCAACAAGATTAACCGAAGACAGTGTCCGTGTCAAATTTTACACTGAGAAAAATAATTGTTTTATTAGGATCCAAGATTTCACGCCATGTCTTTAGAATGTCGTTCTGTGGCGAGACAATCGCATAGTTCGGATGGTTTTCCTGTCTGGGCATATCTACTATAGCTTTACGGGATTAATGACATAGTATATGGCAATATAAGAAAGTGAAAAAGCTTAAATATCTAATTAATCTTGTGTGCTTACCCAATAGATTGTAGATGTTCGTTTCGGGGTAAAACTGAAATTATCACGCGATATATTGACAAAACGAAACGCCGGTTGGTAGGGAAACATTAAAATTTGACATTTGCCTGTAGGAAATGACATGACATCATTTATATCCGTAGTTGTCACCACCGTTCAGAGATGGCGGTTTGTCGCGCGTTGTTTATTTTTCTGGGACGATAAGTATGAGTGTGAATACTCAATTACTTATTTTTGTCTGTTTTTTCAGATATTAGCTAGTAGAGAATAACAATAAAACCATAGTAGGCAATGGAATGCGCCATGTTATTTATTAAAACATGGTGTCCATAAGACTTCGCAAAGTATTTGTATTTGCATTTCATGTAGCACCATTTATATTTATATAACATTAATAATAGTGTTTTTCGTTCACACAATTTTCTCTATAATCGTAGAAATTGTTAGGGTCAGAGCACTTTGTTATGTTATTTAACTATAACGCCCTTGAGGCTATGAACTGCTTCTCTATTTCGTTTTTATGTTTATCTTCAAAATTGATTTAAATACAGTCGACAGAAAATAAAACAAGTACGATTGTTTTTACTCTGTTTATTTATTTTTGGTTTACTTCCCCGCGCGTGTGAAAAAATTTTCTGGGTCTTCACTTACAAAACAATGCGTAGATGAAGTTTCGGTACATCGTTTATTTCGTTCATACGCAGTAATAAATTACAAAATAATTGTCGATAATAAATAAATAAATAAGTTAATGAGAATTCTGCAATTATTCTAACATTTTAATAACTAGTTTCGAAGGTTGAGTACTAACCGGTTCGGGTTAAACCGTATGATGACAGCTCTAGGATTTTTCGCTTAATATATACCAACATGGTTTCATAATTAAAGTGGCCGGCAAGTAATACGCGAGGCGCCAGCTGAATTAGGGAAGGAATTCCCGCAAACGAATAATGAGCTTTTTCTTTGGTCCGTGTCAGACGGTCCCTATCGCAGAAGGAAGAAGAATGGTACTTTGTTTTAATCGCAGTCGCCCGCGTATTCCTTTAAATAAGTTAATAATATGATCTGCTTAAATGTAGTCAGTCTTAGTTTGCGACTTATTTTACGTCCACATCATCGGTCCCCCTCACTTGATATTCCTTAATGATCGACAGGCACATGACGTGTGGTTCCTGGCCTGGAACGTATATATTCGCCTACTGTACAGCTGGACTGTGACGTCGACCAGTGTCGAGGTTCTCTCCTGGCAAGCACCCGACTTGCAACATCCGGCCGACTCGCACCGGTGGAGCACGGTTTGTTTAGGTAAGGCCTGGAACCGATAAAAGGATTACGCTACTGCGCCAATTGTTTTACACGAAGGTGACAAGAAATAATTTTTCCACACATACGTAAGTTAATTCATATTCTGAGCTTATTAAACGAAATTTAATTGATATTGTTAATTATGATTTTGGCTCGAACCCCATCTATTGACCTGAATATTGATTTTATAAGGCAAATTTTATTTAGAGGCGCCAGTAGTTTTTTTTGGGGTAAATCGTTTGTGATATATTTTGACTCTTTTTGACGGTGACAATTTTGTAGAACATTTTAAAATCCCAAATTTGATTTTATTATTTGTGCTTTATTTTTTACTTTTTTATTCTTAGCTAACGTATAATAAAACAAATAAATGTTTCTAAAATATTTGAATTTGTAAATCAGTGGCCGTAGGTTGTTTACTACTGTTTGTAAATGTTTACTCCATTTTAATTGTGTATCCATTGTTATTCCTAAGGACCACCTGAGGGTGTTTTACTTACGATTTGCTTGACGATCGCTTGGTCCTCCAGAATCTCGTGGTAATCGACGGCTCGTGCCTGAGGCCGGCCGCACTTGAACCTTTTCACTTTCGTCTCGTGCTCGTGGAAGTCCAACACGGTGCCGGCGGCGTCGCACAGCACCGCGACGCCGTACAAAACGAGCAGCACACGCACCACCGAATAGCAAGATCTAGCCATGGCGTCGACGCGAATGTTTTTTACTTGCGCTCGCTATTCGTTTTATTGCGTCGCGTGCCGGTTTCACGTGCGTTTTTGATGGCGTCCCCCGCCTTTATATCTGCATCTGCATACGCGTAAAATACCAGCGGTGATTCTTGCCGGCGGTTAATTTATTCGGTGACTAAGTAAGCGCGGGAATTTCTTCGATCTCGAAATAACCATTCTTCGGCGGACGGTACCCTGATTCAGCGGAACCCGCCCGCACCGCGTGGTATTTTTAGACGCGTCAATTGGGGGACCAGCACCGCCTGAAGATGGCGATCGCGTACGCGCGCGTCCGACCAGTGAAAAACCGGCCTGCTATACTTGCACCAGAAATATAGTACTTTTACAACCGACTCGTGATTAACTTTCCCTACTGTTTATTAAACCAAAACCGCAGCCCCTTATAGAACACTCTACCGAGTAGACCCATACCCGTAACCATCCCAAGACCGTTCTAAAGAATTTATCTACCTACACTAACAAGCAGGATATAAGTATGTCTTCAATCTTTCGTTGACCGAGCAATTCTTGAAATATGTACATAAAAAATTTAGGACAAAGTAACAATTTATGACATTCTGTCATTAATATACAAAATATTAAATATAATAATAATAAAGTATCAATCCTCAACTCCCCCACTAATCGTAATTCTTCTATTATTCGCTTTTCACAATTAGATCAGCTTTGTACTGATATTTTAGCTAACTCTTGCCGACTTACGTTTGTGGTACTGTCACTAAATTTTGGTGCACTGTTGTTTCTTCTTATATGCGCTTTCAACTCAGACCAAATCATCTCAATCGGGTTAAATATACATTGATACGAAGGCAATCTTAAGATTTCATGTCCGTTTGGTTGCTATCGAATCGAATTTATAATTTTTATTAAAATAACAATAACAGTATTTTGTGATCGTTTTGGCAACAGTTTATTATCAAACCAGTCCTCAAATATTTCCGCGGTCATGTTAGGTTCGACTACCATCTCCACTTCGTTTTCAAATTCTGCGTTATTTTCCATATCTTCTTCATTCCACGGTCTCCACATTTTAAAGTGTTAAAAAACATCTCAAGGAAGACCTACTTAATACAGAATAAGCATGTGTTGGGATGTGGTTAAGGTTATATTTTTGGTCGTATTATACCTTTTCACTAGGCCTGTGATTTGGCTTGAATTTCGGATTTATTATTTATGAACGGGGATAATCTCATTACAAAAGAAACAAAGACAAATTATTAGCTACACTTTATCCGTAATCATCAGACAAGAATGTGAAAGCAACTGTAATTCCTTAATTTTTCATTTAAAGTGCGACATGCTAAGATTAAGATACTAGGTAGCATCCAGTAGCACTTATCTTCTGGATATCCTTTAAATATTCACTGTCGGATATAGTATAAAATTGTACAAAATCTAGGGGCAATATTTCAGAGGTAAATTTTTATGTAACTAAATTTTATATGCTTTGGTTAAACCGTAACAACACAACCAAACAATTTTCGTCATGTCATTTTATTCGCGCCAATTTACTGTACACGCGCTTGCAGTATGTAAGTACACTTTAATTATCACTAGTATGGTTTTAATATTTCTTTCTTCAATATTTCTTAAAAGGATCTTTTTGGATTTTAAAAGAAATTTATATGTGTGATCCAAGAGAAGCCCATAAATTTTGCATGTAAGGATTCCAAAATAATATCCAGACTATCCGTTGGACAGACTATTTGTTCATAACAGTTCGTTTGACTTTCAATGGCTTAAAGTGGCTTGTTAGTGTTTCAACAAAGGAACTAACTGAAACTAATAAAACCAACCAAAAATTTACAAACCTGAAATCTTTTCACCAAAAAAATTCCAACTCATTCACAAGTTTAGTGCAATATCAAATCCTGGGACCCACTGGGTGAAACACATATATTTTGTTTTTTTTCGTAAGTAAATATTTTTATATACTCATTTTTGCACGAAACATTTAGAATTGCAAATTTATTTTCCAGGACTTCTTCTATTTGGCCCTAGTAACGTAGAACCAATGTGATGGGCATGTTTTACAACAAATAAAGACGAGTAATGATGAGGATTCTTGTCATCTCTTGCTCATTTATATGAATGCGAGAACCTTGTGTCGTCCCTGTTTAATGATTTAAATATTTGTAAAAAAAAAATTAATTAAAATAATTATTTACCAATTTTTTAGTTTTTTTTTGACATCTAAATCTTCTTCTTTTACCATTGACTAGGAAAGTTTCTCTGTTCTCTGCTCTCATTTCATGTGACGATGGGTACCAGCTGTCTTGCTTAATTTTCGGAGGTCTTTCCTCAGGTCTTCTTCTGGGTTTTCATTCTTGCATATTTTTGCTAACCGTAATTTATTTATATAATCACTCGCTCAATTGAAAGTTTCAGTCACATATCTACTTAGGCAATATCAAGGGCTAAAATTTTTGCATTAAATGTAATGTAAATGGCGGGTGCAATTAGACGAAATGTGTTTAAAAAAATATATTTTATTATTTTGGCTTTAAGAATTATATTCGCGAAATATAAAACTCTATGTATCGGTGATGGGCAAAAATTTTCCGTATTTACGGGTTTCGTCTTCCATAAAAGATTGCGGATTTTGTTCATTTAATGTCACTATTTGTCGTACATACGGTTACACCTATTAACATTGTTAGGTTTCCTTGTAGATGCATCGGAACGGTGCGGTATTCTAATTGTTTGGATTGTTACTAATCACCCGCTGATTAACAGCTTCCGATGTGCTGTCGATTTCGAGCAGCAACGCGCAATAACGGAATGTTTACCAAATAATTGCTCACCGCCTGCGGATTAATTGTTCGCGTTTGTTTATCCGCCGATCATCATCCGCGCAAAATGATAACATACAAGTAAACCACTCAATAAAACATAATAGGTCAATGTATTTATTTTTGATAATAATAAGAACGACTGCAGCGTACCAGCCATTGCCACTGCGTACTGATGAGTCCGTCCATCACTCATTAATCTAGATAAAATGTCACCTAACATCAACATAGGCCCATCTTCGCCCCCAAGTATTGGAAAACTGTAGTCGCTTTGACGATAAAATGGGTTTTGGTACGTTTTATTTTTTTATAGATATCCTTAAGGACATAGAATTAAGTTATCCAGTCGGTTAGCTTCGACGTAGAAAACTAATACACACTAAAGAATCATTCGACATTATCGGGCCTAGGTTCAGGGAGAATATAATATTTTCAGAAACGACTTCACTGCTACTAGAGCTCGTGAGGTTTTGACTGCATAACCCTTAATTTCAAGTTAAAGATAAGTTTTCTGCCCGACGGATTCTTCACGCTTTGCATTCATAGCGAATATAATGCTTTGAAACCTATGCCATAAATACCATTTCCGCCAAATACAAAGTATAGCGTCGATAAGTAGAAGACACTTTCATAATTTAGAAGGAAGCTGATGGACAGCTTGAACCCTTTCTCAATCATCTTAATTCACTTAATGACTATACCAATTCTAACATTAAGAAAGAGATGTTTCTAGATGTGTTAGCGGGTCCATCAACATATACCTAACAATAACTCTCCATAGAGTTAATTTTTCACATCCACCATCCGGCCCAAAAATCATCGGTTATCTTCTCTAATAATTTCCACATTAAAGATATTAAGCATTCCATCACAAAATACACTTCCAGTAGCAATGAGTCTGACAGTAATCGCACACTTGCCACTCTTAAGAAATATAACGTCAATACCAGATTTACAACTTGTCTAAAATTCTCCCAACATCTTCCGTCAAAGACAAAATTTCACTTGAGATGCCAGGAGTTTACAGCATACCATGCATATGTGGCAAAGAATACATTGGAGAGACCGGACGAATAATATCAACTAGGCTCAAGCTTTAAGATTAAGGCAAATGAACTGATGAGCGATTGCCGAACATAGTCACAAAACCGGGCATAAAATTTTATTCGATAAAAATAAAATTCTTGCATGTAATCAATTCTTCTACCAACGAAAAATCCGAGAATCTATAGACAGATCCATAATTTATTTTGATGAAACATGACCCTGTATCTAAAGAATGAGTTGATTCTATTCAAAACTTTCATACGAAAGCACCTTCAAATAAAGGAACACGCAACACGCTGGGTCACGCAGAATCATTCTGGAAAACGAAATTTGGATAGCCAAAACTTAAATAAGTGGCAATGCCAAAAATGCAATATTAAAACAAATTTGCTAGAGATATTTTGCAAAAGAATGGTGAAAGAATATAACCTCAAAATAGTTTAACGACTTTAAAAAGTGCGTTAGCGAAATAAATTAATCACTAATTTGGACTTTTTGCAAAATGTCGGTTTTGTACGAATGGAACGTTACCAATTGTTGCAAATATTTTTTGTGTCGACCTTGATGATTTTCAGTTATTCAACCGGAAAAAACAGTTGCTCATCGGATTACATTCAAATTACGAAGTGCAATATAAGAGGTAACCGGGATATTTACGTAAAAAAAATTATAATGGATAATGCTAAACAGTCGGATTTCGGAAACCAATACATAAATAAATCCAAAAGGGTAAAACAGGCTCTACAGCGTTTCGGTTCGCCTCCATTAAGTGACCTATGGCGCGTCGCTAATCGGTTGCGTCATCGGCGATGAATAATCTGAGGACCAAAAAGCGTTCGATGGGATCCCGCGAACCATTAGTCACCAGAGCCTTCTTCAATTAAAGTTAATGCAGAAAATACAAGCGCCGGATCTGGGAGTCACCGCGGCGACCTCCTCGACAGCGTTGCCGCTTGCCGCAATTGGTAGCTACAAATTTGGGTATAACATTTGCTGGTGACCTCTGATTTATGATATCTACAATAACCCAGAAAAGGACTATTGCATATGCATTTGCAACTGCGAATAGTAGTAGTAGTGCAGGTTATAAGGTTCGACTTTTGAAATTATCAAATTAGACACAAGATATGAACATTGAGGAACCATTTAAAATCTGCTACAACCAAAGGAGTTCACACAACAAGCAAACGATTTGGCGAAAAAAATAATAATAATAATCCATGGCGAGGAATTCCTCTTACTGATAAAGTACTTCGTCGTAGTGTGAATGGCTTAAAGTCCGGCATAAATTCAACAAGGAGAAACAATTAAAACATTTTTAAAAAGGCACACAAATATTTCTCCACGAAAAGCACTTTATAATAACCTCTTGGAGGGCTAAGAATATTTATGAATATTTAGAATATAGACGAAAAGGATTGCCGACTCATGCTTCACCATCCGCAGAAGGTGCTACCTGAAAAAGGATCCAGAGTATATTTGATAGGTTTAGAATATGGGGAAGATGTTACAGAAGACTAAATAAGGAAAGGTTCTCAGATGTAACTGGGATCTATCCCTTTAATAGAAATGCCATGCAGTTGCACCAAGTCTTCCTACCCGCCACCGCGATGGACGCAAATGGAAACAGTGTTCCCAATATGGAAAACCACTGGTATCCAGAAGATGAAATTCCCTTGGCTCAATTAATAGTCAAAGAAACACGAAACAAAAACAATTCTGAACAACTTATTAAAATCAAATTAATATGCAAACAGAATTGCTCGATTTGCGATACAAATTATGTGTATGCTGTGGAACCCTGGGTGCATGAGGAATGCGTTGGCCTCACTGAAGACTAATAAGGCAACATTGCTTTTTTTTATACTTTAGTTGATATTTTAAATTTTTTGTTCCTTACTATTTTTAAAGAATATTTATTTTAGTTACCTTTTTTATGTATCAAATAATAAATATATGCATTTGACATTAAATAAAAAACAAATAATATTAACCTGGCCTTATTACCAGACAGTGCCTTAGTCAAAATCTAAAAATCTAGAGTGTATTTTGTATCGTTGGTAATTTTTCATGCTGACAAGTAAAATTATTATTAGGATAAAACTAATAAGTTTTGAGCAATAAATTTATTCCTCGGCATTAAATTGCGCTTAGTTCAAATTTTTAAATATTTTATATTATTTTATATACCGGGTGGCAACGAAGCTACTCTCCACGGCGGCATTTCAAAGTGACTTAAGATTTTGTAATTTGGTATGTTGATAGGGTTGAACTTTGTTATTTTTTTGACTCGCTAAACAACTTTTGTCTAATATACTTTATGTCAAAAATCAATATTTTTTTAAATAAAGCCGTTCACAATTCTAATTTTTTTTTATTTTGTGACAAAACCAAGTAGGCCAGGACAACAAACATTACTTACACCTTGTGGCATATTTTTGCATGCCATTATTTAAAAAAATATTAGACAAAAGTTATTTTGAGTTGTTCAACAAGAAAAAATTATTCAATTGTTTTTATGCTATAAATGTTCACAATATTCAACCCCGCCAACTTACCAAATTGCATGTTTTTATTTCAAGCCATTAAAGGCCGCTACGGACAGTAGTTTCGATGTCACCCGGTATATTTAATAATTTTAATGAATTAAATAATGTTATAAATACGGAGAGTTTAATGTTAAGGGGTTAAAATATTGTTTTTAAAACGCAACTGGGTATCCCGCCTTCTTCAAGTACAAAGGGCTCCTCGAGCCTAATAAGTGTGGTTTAGAGTATTCTGAACGTAAGTGGTGTTTATAATACCTAAGATTTGTTGGATAATGTGAAGTATGTACAACTTTGTAATCATCCTGAATTATCGATTAAGTTAGCGATTTTCTAAAAGCAAACATCTTTCTCAGTGCTGAGTTTGTGAATTCCGTTTATAATTTGTTGCCTAATAATTGAATACGTTATTTTTGTGATTTGATTTTATGAAATTAGCAATGTTGAATGTAACCATTGTAATATACCCGTCGACCCTGAAATTCACTTATTAAATTATACGATGACAGTTCAATAACGCCATGTATATTTTACTGTGCTATAAGGAACACTAAAAGGTTAAAATAATTGCTTATTTCAATTCATTTGACATTTGAAGTTATTGTTTAAAAGTTGTTTCTTAAATTCTTAAGTTGTTTTCAATTATTGCGAATTAGTTTGTATTTCTTTTCCTGTGAAATTGGGTCATTGGTAAACAATTAATGATCCATGCATACACATTGACATTGCAGTTTCTAAAGTAAACGATTATTTTCATTTCCAATATTATAACCACGGAATTCTGCATTCGTGCAAAGTGTTAATGTTTTTGTTCCAGAAATACATTAAACTTCAGAATATAGTGAAAGTAAGTTTTGAAGAAACCTGAAAGTTGCTATTGTTCTTCAACTGAGGTGACTTTTACTTGATGAAAATCCATTTATCAAAATAAATAACTAAAACTTCAGATTTTCACGAAATTTCGTGAAAATCTGAACTTTTAGTTCTTATTTATATTGCTATTGTTCTTATATAACTTTAAACTCGGCTTTGAATTTCAACTAGTCTTAACCTGTATCACGTATGCTACTGATGGCCGAAATAACTTTGGAACATCTCCCTTCTTCTACATCACCCAATCATCTCAGACCGCTTACACCAATTCTTATTCTTTTTTAAGCTGATACAATATTGAATTTTAATTCGGTGAGATTAGTACCTACCAGAACATTTGAAGGAAGTAATGCACAGTAAGTAACAACTATGGAAAAAAAATTGAAAGATCCTTTCAATATGCAAAACAGCAAAATTTTGTGTATCCTCCTTGTAGTCCAGTCAGTATAGCGACAACTTTAATCAGCACAAATATTCCATAGGTATTGAGAATATTTAATTTTCTCAAGTAATACCTCAAGGTTTGCATAATTTTCTTTCATGCTTGTAGCATGTGCAATAGGGACAGATGGGTATTTATTACCATCATGAAGTAGAACGGCTTTCAAGCTTATTTTTGAAGCCTCAATAAAAAGTTTCCATTCACTAGAATCTTCTGGAAAACTTAGTTCTTGAACAAGCCCTGCAGCATCATTACAATATACCAAATCATCTTCTTTGGATAAGTAACTTGTAAAACTTTCTTGCCTCGTACGAAAATATGAAACTCTCGTACTTTTAGCCAATAGATTCCACTGTTTTAACCTTGATCCGAGTAACTGTGCCTTAGATTTTGAAAATCCCAAGTATCTAACAAGATCATTAAGTCGCCTTGTCCATGTAAATGAGGTTTTGTAGATGGACATGAAGATCCAGATAAAGTGTATGAAGATGAAGATGTACTACCAGAAAGAAAACTCGATTGAGATTGTAGACCTGAAATATTTTTATTTTCAGCCTTCTCATTAACTGGTGGAACTGGAGGTGGAGTGTCTTTATCTCTTTGCAGATAGGACGTTCGGATAAACAATCTTATCTCCATTTTTTTTTTCGAGAATCCTCGTGTAGATAACAATCATTCTCATGATTTTGAGGCTCTCTCCAAATCATTGGCATTGAAAACGACATGGATTTGTGACTTTCTTCAAGCCAACCTCTCAACGTTCTTGAGCAGCACACTTTTGGCAACCAACTTTTATCTCGCTCATCGATAGGAAATAAAAAATATAGCTTATAAGCTGTTTTAACCAGATCGGTCATGACATGTCGCTGTGTTTTTAGTATGTATTCCCCATAAATGTAGCAAAAACAATCTGAGCAATTTTTGCAAGCCCGTGTAACCTAAAATCACACAAAATTAATTTTAAAACAACTTTCAAACTTCTATTTTATATTTATTGACTCCACTTAAAAAAAATACTCAAACTACACATCAAATACTTAAATCCAATGTAGAGAACATGAACTTTATGCAAAACTTACCAAAATGTTTGATATAAAAGGTAAACAATTAAACGACAAGTTTTCACTGAACTGTTGTAGTGTCACAATGAATACTGCGCATGCGCGTACTTTTGGCACTTCCCTCCTTTCTCTTACAATTCTCTGAAACTCATTTTGTATGTATATTTACTTTTTGTAACGTTGACGAATGAAAAATTTGAAAAAAAAAAACAAAATTTTGAAATATAAAAAAAATCACATCGAAAAATCTAGACATGATAGAAAAAATCGGCCAACGGGGATAGATTCATAACGTTTGAATCATTATATTTAACATTAAAGTTTTTAAAGGAGGATTTCATTGCCAATCAGTGGAATCAAGCAAAGCCCTAAGAGCGACCTGGCTTTCAGGCAGCACTCTTGAAGATGAACTGATTCCAGCTGATCAGCTGACCGTCCGTCGCTAATAGATACAACAGATAATTTTACTTTAAAGGAAATCAACAATGGCCGGAATTGAAGAGATGGTAAATCAAGATACATTATCACAATCTCTGCAGATATACAGTATAGAGATGGAAGAATGGAAAAGGAGCATTTGCACTTCTGGAAGTCAGTGAGATGTCATTTGGTGAACATGGTGTTACATTGGGCAATATTAATACAAAATGACGAGTCTTGGCTTGTCTATATATTGACACAGTACGAACTGTTGTGAACAGAATACGCCATCAAAAAGGTCAACTTCTTTAAATTGGTGGAGGTCTTTTAGTCCCACGCTGTATATTTGGCGCCGCCGAAAAGATTTATTACGAAAAATTCCTTTCTCGGGCCGGGATATTGCCTCTTTAACGCTTAAACGATCGAAAAATAGTGCTCGAAACGTTTACTTTATCGAAATCTCGGGACTGCGCGGTCGCATATCAATCCGTCGACTCATACAGGTGTCGCGTAAATAAAAACCGCAAAAATAGAAAGGATTCCTCTCGCGGTGGCCGGCGGATGGTTTCGCCGGCGCGGGCATTTGGCGACCGGAATTTTGTGCAAAATGTACGCACGTTTCCGTCGGTGTTGGTGGTGGTTATTGTTGTTCGGATCTTGGGAGGCGGCGGAGTCGGAAAATGCGACGAAAGTGAGCTACTTGGACGCACAGTTTAGTTGCGCCAGGCTCGGGTTCGCTTGCGGCGAACCGAGGCCCTATTCCGTACGCCTGAAGGATTTGGTGGGGAACGCGGGTACGGTCCTGGAAGGCGACAGGTGGATGGTGGTTCTCAGGTATTTTTTTTTTCAGTGAACTTGATCTAAAATGGAACAGCGTGGTACAAAAGAGAAGCAAATTTTCCGATAAATATGTACGGCTAGTGATGGGGATTGTTGTCTTTCTCTTACTCGTTTATATAAATGCCAGAATGGAATGTTCTCATTATTTTATTACTTCATTCTTATTGAAATTATTTGCACAATATTATTTGTGGGTCAATAGACTTACAATATACTTCTGCGGAAATGCGTTATACATGATTTTTTGGTGAATATTTGTAAAAAATATATGTATACTAACCTGATTTCTTAAAAATCTACTAAGAAAACGTATATAATTTCATATAATTACAAATTAAAAATACTTAAGCCTTTTCTAATGTTTTAAAACAACAGAAAATAGCACTGGGTATTTTTGCTAGCACCATTTCAAAAAATATCAAATCATATAATATGTTGGTAATATGCAATAGGTCTGCGTATGCAACACAAGAATTTACTCTCAATGTACACAAAATATTTCTTCCTCTTCTTCAGCTTTTGCTATTAAATCTGAAGAACGTCAACGGACATGTAGATCAAAGTGCCGACAACGTCTTGTTGCTTCTTATTTCAGCGAAATATTTTTTGCCCAAACTTAGACACTATCCCCACTTCAGTGGTAAAACTTTAATTCCCGTTTTGGATGCAATCCGATCACTAAATTAGAAGCAAATATTTGTAGTATAGGCCCTTGTTGCCCATGTTACATATCTGCTGTCTTTCCTTTTAATCAAATGTTACCTGAAAAGTTCTTAATACTGTGTAACTGGTTTCTGTAACAATTCAAAATCCGAAATTTGCATAACCTATGTGATGACACCATATAGCTATAGATGCACCGCAGGCGGAATTGATTTTTTCGTAGAAAAGGGAATGATTTTCCACGCATGCTTTCAAATTTTACCCACTAACCTGCAATTTGCGCATTTTTTTTGGTTTTTGAAATCTTTACTCTTCGATGTAAACGTTGTAATTAAGGAAATTAAGGTTACTAAGGCCTTATGCTTTCATTGGTGGTGGATGTTTATCTGGGTCGATTTGGTCCATGTAGCTGATACTACAAACGTCTCTGGTATTGTAAAACTGATGCCCCTAAATTTTCCGCATCAGAGTGCTCACTTAACCCATTTTTGTCTTTCATGAGACTGTAATGGGATCTGGGCATATTTTGGTGCCGGTCATTTTGGTTGGTTTCAAATGACAGGTCTTATTGATAATATGGTTGTTGATAATTATGGTAATTATTTTTCACGCATGCCTTTACATTTCACCTACTAACCAGCAGTTCCTATATAACCCATAGTTTGTTCCTTTGCTAAAGTCTAACGCCGAAACTAAACGAGGCATCACGTTGCTAAAATTCTATCGGTCGGAATTCCATAAAATAAATAAAATGATGGCGTCTCATATAATGGTAGTATTTTCCGCACTCACGAGGCATCCCGCACGCGAGTGGGCGTGCTGAATCGAATGGAATTATAAATCAAGTTTGGGACAATAAAAATTTCCCATACCGTGCAATAATAATATTCACGGTGGCGCCTGTGTTAGTGGTCACGCCTTTGTCGACAAATTCCCGCGACCGTTCGGCAATAACTATCACTGGAAATTCGCGTTGCACAAAACCGGCTGCAATAAAACACATATTGCCAACCGATTCGGGGTAGCTACCCGGTTATTCATTTATATAATCTCGCCACCTACGAGGACTGATCAACAAATAAAGTGTCATATTCACAGATGCAGCCCAGACCGCGGATGTTGTCGAGGCCGAAACAAACAGTGTTGCCCCGACAAGGTCGAAACGTTCGAGCTGGAATACAACGTGCGGTCCAATTTAGGCATCACGCAAATCTTCACGACCGCTACCCGCAAGATGCAGAACCATCTGGTGTGTAAATGCAAAACCGTCGTCGACGAACGCCGGGGATGTCCGACGGTCGCCGTGTCTTAGCGCGGCAATTTAGACTTTTTCCGTAATAGTAGTCTGTGATAAATTTATTTAAGGCATTTTAAGGCATTATATAATGTCATCGATTTTTATGTTTCAATAAATTACATCATTACAAAATGGATGAGAAATTTCGTCTGGTAATTGAACTTTTTAAAGTTAATAGCGCGGTTCTAAGTGTAAATGTCTGTTATGGGTGCAAATTTAAATAACTATCACAATAACTAAACTGTTTTATATGATTTATTTATTAATCGTTTAATTAATGAACTGAACCAAACAATATTACCAATATGGCGGCTATTGTGTGTTTAGCAACTAAACTTTTAATTCATTGACGCAAAAAGATTAGAGTATTAGGACAATTTGAGGTCCGCTCCTTAACAAAAATAATCTTTGTAAAAGTAAAATGATTAGCTTGATTGAATTTAAAAGATTATTAACTTCTATCAAAATTAGGCACACATCTGTTTAAATTTATATTTAAAAATATAGCTTTTAGAAAATATTCTTACTTGCAGTGGAGTCATTTATTTATTTATTTTTTGGTTAATTTTCCTCCATTAATATTCACAACTTGCGTAGAACATATCAACTATTATTACTTAACGAGAGATTGAGTAAATTAAAAATTAAAAATTTCACCACTGTTGTTCCATCTACATTGAGATTCTTACCTGTGACATCCATAGAAAGGATGATGGTAACAAATTTGTTTCACCAATCAAACAACGAAAACCTCAACGCATTCACAAAGCGTATAAGACAATTGGGGTACCGTACAGGAATATAAAATCTTCAGTCAATAAATGCTAAAGAAATTTGATCGGTTGAGGTATCGGGCAAATGACCGGCGCCCGTTTGTTTATAGATCGTTCCCCGTACAAGCGGGATCGTTGATCTGTGGTCTTGAGCCGCCGATTACGTAATCGAGACTACCGCGACCGTTCCGCGATCCTAACCTATCCGAGAACGTCTGTCGCGTACCGGGTCACAAGATAATGTTAACAACAATAGTAGGCCGCGGCATCAGACGCTTCGAGGTCGCGGTATTGCGCAAACGGCGCTGTTACCCGCTTTACTTGCTGTTGCTCGTGAACCCGATCAAAATCGCGGCCTGCGAAAGTGCCAAAATGTCCGCGACAGGCGGCGACGGCAGCCACAGGATAAACATCGCCGACGGCCTCCTGCTTTACTACAACGAGTACTCGTTTTATTCGCAGAAGGTGAGAGGTTTCGTCAAGGTCGGTCAATGACATCTCTAATCAAAACAAAGAAGACGAAGCGTGTTTTCGACGGAATTGGTTTCCGAGGTCCGTCAAATTGAGAGGGTCCCGAATAATCGTTTGACGGTTAATCACATGAAAATTTTAAGACCATCGCGGTATTTGCTACAAGAGATCCGGTTATTGGTAGACATCCACTCCGGCGATGCCAGATTTATGCTCATTTCATATAGATAGTAGATAAATTTAATATAAATCTTCTCAGGTGGCTGAGAGTTTTGCCGAAGATCGAACGATCCTCTCCCCACGAACCTGAATTTTCTTTATTTTTTAATAACGGTACACAGATAACAAGATATCTTATTCCACACCGTTATTCGCGTTCAAAAAAAAATTTTTTTTTACTGCTTCCTCCAAAATACCCAACATGCTCTGATTAGGCTTGCGCAAAGTGTCACTTTAACACGTCAGCTTCTTTAAACACTGGCGCGACCCACTTCGGTATCGTCGGTACTTTAGTCACGAGACGTTTGTTAGTTTTATAATTTTATTCGATGTTGCCAAATACGTTAGCGCATTTATGATCGAAAAGCTTACGATTCGTTGACGACTCGCTGTGGTTTTTAAAGGGTGATTTTCAGGTCGTGCTCGCGCTCCACGAAAAGGGTCTGCGGTTCGACACGCACAGCATAAATCTCGCGCGGTACGGACAATACGAGCCGTGGTTCCTGCAAATAAACCCGAAAGGCGAGGTACCGGTGCTGCAGGATACAGGCAAGATCATTCCCGATTCTGCGCGCATAATCGACTACCTCGAGGACAACTTTAGCAACGGTAACGCTTAAAAATCAACAAACTGTAAGACACAGATACACAGCTGAAGGTCTGAATCCGTAATAAAATTGAGAGTCGCGACTGGCTTCGGGCAGATCTGGCAACGCTGCGATTATTATTCTAATAATTTTTGATTACCCTCAGTTATAGTCCTAAGCTTGTTTAAATACGATATTCAAACTGAATTACTCTATGCCAGCTGTTACAGAATGTCGTGAAGAAAATTTAATTGCAAATTGCAGTTTTTGAAAAAAAATGTGTCGCCCCGTTATGCTTAAAATCCGTTACACAACGAGTTCCCCTTCCATTTTATTATCTTACAGATCTTCAAATATTTTAATAGAGAACATTTAGACACACTCTCTAACAGATTGGCCGGAGTAGTTTAATATTTTCATCTATTATAATTTTATATACTATTACGCATTATTAAGAATCAAAAGCTCAAACTTTTGATCTTACCCAATCAATAAAATTTTATAACATTTATTTCTGGAATCGTAACTAAAAACCAAACTTGTTAGTATTTTTTGTAAACGTTATAATTTCTTGTCAAATTAAAGCGCAAAAGGCACATAAAATACTTGCAGTTAATTTCTGATACCTACATTTTCTATGATGAGCCACCGCATCATTCTCGACTGACCTGGGTCACCTGATTTAAATCCTCGCAATTTCTACTCCTCAGTTCATTTAAAGCAACTAACATAGCATTTTTATAGTAAATTAAGGATACATTACAACATCAGTGTCAATGCTTGCTGAAACAATGCTCAAAGAAAAAAAAACCTGAAATATTGTAGAGAGTCAGAAAAAATGTGCGAAGACCATTTGGAGCATTTAGTGAAGCCCAAAGATGCATTGTTCCGCGTTTGGTTCAAACTTTCACGCTAATGCACTCCTTTTCAAAAAAATAGCACACAAAATAAGGAAAACGATGTCTGTTACAAACAATTCATCTCCTTATTCGTGAGTTTAATTAATAAAGTTCTGTTAAGGTTTTTTGTCGAAAATTGCCTGAATTGTAACGTTGAAGTCGGTTTTTAATGGTAGGCGAAGAAGTATTATTACATGCAAAACATGTGATTTTAATTTAAAAAAAAATTAACCAGCAAAATGAAAAGCACTCCCTATGAACTTACGGCCAAATAAATATTATAGAAGACCAAGATATATTCATTAATCGCGTTGCTTGCATTTGTAAAGCTAGTTTGTCGGGAAGTTACAAATATATTGCTGGGTGAGTTCTTCTGAAATGTGCTAGGTAAATTTAAAGAATTTTTTTTTTATGAAAAGCTATTAGGATGATTGCTATTTAATATTTCTTGAGTGACTTACGGCAACAGAGCAATTTGTATTGTTTGGATTTGAAAGCTTTTAACAGCACTGGTCATTCCTTTTTTGCGCTTAAATTTTCTTCACAACTTTAACTACGTTTCTGTACGATGTTTTTTTGGGCTTCAAATATTCTAGAGTTTTCCTATACGAGTTACAGGTGACACTCCACGACTTATCCCAATGGAGCCGGAAGTGCGCCAGCGGGTGACCTATTTCAGGGGAATTATAGACAAAATCAATGGGAACGTCATCACCATCGGCTCGTTCATTCACCCGGAAACTGCGTCCAATCCGAAACTGCCATTTATCGGTCCCGTGAGGAGCGCCCTCTTGCGTGAGTAGTTAGTATTCAAATCGTTCCGCCCTAAGCCCCACATTCCAGAGCAAGAGAGAAACAGTAGCGTCAACCTAAAGAAAATAGCCGAATCTAACCCGGAGGCGAGGGATATGCTGTTGCGCAAGGCGGCAGACCACGAGCTCAAATTCAGTGTGCTCGAAGACAAGGAGGAGTTTCTGAAGGTGTTACGTGAAGTAGACGCGGTACTCGATCAAGTCGAGGCGGAGTTGGGAAACCACGAGGGTGATTCTAGGACCTGGTGGTTGTGTTCGGATCGTTTCACCGTCGCCGACATTTCGCTGACAATGCTCCTCGAACGTATATACGAGGTGGGGCTGGAATCGCGATTCTGGACGGGCGGTAAGCGTCCGCGCGTGGAAGAGTACTTCGCCCGCGTACGGGAACGCGACTCATACCGTAACACGATACCCAGCACCATGTTTTTCGTCAAGATGGTTTTCGCGTCGCAGGCGCCACTTTTTATCGGCCTCGGCGTCGTCACCGCCATCGCGGTGCTGGTCGGCGGCTTCTTCGTCGTCCGCAGGATGTACAAATAAACTTGCATTTGTTCGACGTTATTTAATTTTTTTTTTCTTTCACGCTATGCGGCACAAGATATTGCGACCAAAGGTTTTCACCCATTTGTACATTTACCTTGGATTTAGAAATTTAAATTGCCCGCTGTATGAGTGAATAGTTTTGATTGGTCGAATTGTCAAATCAAATGATCGATTCTGATTGGCTGAAGAAAGTGGCAGGTCGGAACAAGATGGTGGAATTAAAAATGTTTTAGTTTGGGGAAGTGAAGCCTTATTCTGGAAACTTTTTAAAAATACGAGCATACTAAACTGTGTTAAAACTATCAAAGAAGTTGTTTTTTTTTTAATGGTACTCCCTATTATTGCGAAAGTATCGTTTTCTCTTTAGAATTGATCAATTAATAAACCGCATGCCACTTTTTTATTATTTACGCATTACCAGCGTTTAAACAAAGTTTATCTAAGCTATAAATTTATTTTGATTAATTTTGGTTAGTTTCAAAGCAAAATTTAGAAAAGTTTTAAGAACAAGAAAAAACTTTTTTTTCTTCAAAATGAATCATTATTATTATTATTATTATTATCATTTTATCTGCTGAATTCGGACCATCCTGTATATTATAGTAGCGTTTTTGGATGTTGCAAACAAATGTTTCAATAACGTTTACAATACCTAAATCTTAAGGTTCTTTAAATAATTCAAAGTTTCTCAAAATATAACCTAATTTTAATTTCTCAATTACATGTGAAGTATTTAAGGTTTTTTTTAAGGATCGAAACCATAGACCATATTTTATATATTAATTGTTAAAGGCGTCTTATACAGGGTGGCCAAAAATTTATTCTCATCTTAGCAATTTAAGCAAGGTTAGTTACAGAAACTCCGCTACTAGAAAACATGTCACTATTTCAATAAACAGACCGTACAGTAAAACCATACCAAAATAACTGCCTTAATAAATTATTTGTCATCTCCAAGTGTCAAAGGCAACTAGATGTAATAAAGCATATATTTAGATAACACAAAAAATCAATAATTTCCTGTATTCTAGGAAAACGCGGGGAATTAGCTATGTAACACCTGAAACCATTCGATGCGTAATTAAATAGTACACTACCTGGCAATTTAAAAAAATATGGAGTTATATTTAAATTAATTAAGTTAAATTTGGTGGTGTATAATATGTTAAATTTTCTATAATTGGTCTATATTACACTCTATTCACTATGTGACTGACATAATTTAAATATTTGTTATGCAATTAAGAACTTAAAATTAAACTTCAATTAAATTTTAAAATTAAAAAAAAAAAAACGTATTGAAACATAACATTATAGAATCGTAGATCATACTATAAAAATAAGATTTAGGTATCAAGAACCTTATTGAAACATACAATCATTTTGATTGGACAATCCAAAATGGTATTTTTAACAACTGATACCTTTAATAATGGCGTAATGTTAATTTCTGCTGGCAGTTATTTATCATTTTTAGACTTGTAAAAATTGCAATTACATAAACAACCAAGTAAATAAATGAAATAAATAACACTTGGGGCAACCTCTACGGTATTAAAGTAACATTAATCACACATTCCAAAAGTTAAACAATTGTGGCCACACGATTCTGTGCCATATATCGTGAATAACCCTGTATAAATTGCGCTTTAGTCTGTTAAAATTTGCCCAAAAACGATTCGTGGTTCTTCAAAGTAGCGACTAGGCCGTCGGTGTTTACGGCGTCGCTCGCGTCTGCGTAATCGATAGTGAAGTTATGTTTCGTCGTCATTCGTCCACCAAGGGCGTCGAGTACGGCGTTGCCGGCGCACGTGTCCCATTTTTTAATGGCCGTGGCGTGAAGGTAGGCGTCGACCTCGCCCTTCGCTACTTTCAGGGCCTTGAAACCTAAAAAACGGTCCGAATTTCGACGAGTGCAAGATTTAGCTAATCTAAGGGGACACAAATACGGAAATATAGATATTATACGTAACTAAAGTGACTTACGACAAAGTTAATTGGATGAATCCACAAGTGGTAACGGCTGTCAAGAAGGTGATTTTTAAGATTATATTTTATAAGAGTATGACAATTTAAAACTAATGTCTAAGAATTGAATTTTTTGATTACACAGAACTTCCTTGATACTTTACCAATTTTAAAAATGTATATAATATAATAATATAGGCAATGAAACCCTGCCTAATGCATTAACGCAGAGAAACTTAGGAAGCAACTATGAAAACAATTTTGAGAAAGTCCATTCGACATAAGCTTGCTCAAGATTTAAAATCTCGGTTTTGACCAATGACCTTATTCAACAAACAACATGGCGTTGAGAGATTGTCAATAAGTTTGAATACAGAATTTCTACGATAGTGTTTTCTCAAAATATGCCTAGACCTCGTTAAATGTTCTGGGAAAACGAGCTAAATGTGTGGATATCGCCGTTTAGAAATAAAATGGCGCAAAGTGCAGGTTAGTGCCGCATCGAATTTTACCGTAGTAGGGCCCTTATATTACGTAATAGCTATATGATTGAAATACAAGTTGGCGAATATTCTGCAAAATCAGGATTTTTTCAATCAATTGAAATATTATTGTTATATTACTCTGGCGCCAAATAAAAACATTACAACAATGAAAGTATTACTTTTAAAAAATAGTTAAGAAATAATAAAATGTCATTTGATAAACTTTTGCTTAAAAAAAAAAACAAATTTCAATTTAACTTAAAAAAGAATCATTTTTTAAATAATGATTTAAAGAAAATCACTCAACATAAAAATAAATAAATAAATAATATATCCGTAATCTTAATCCATTTTTCTCAAATAAGATTTTGCAACTTCTGTTGCAAAGTTTAAGAGCAGCAGTGGTGTAGCATCAAATTTTGAACATATAAGCATGTTCTACGAACTCGTTTCCCTTATTAAACATCAAAAGTTGACAGTTTTTAAAGATCCATTAAGAAGGAAATAAAAAATGAAAATGTTAACAAAAACCAACGACAAGTATAAAAACCGTGTGTTATAATTTTTCTTTGTAAAATTGACTTTCGTTGTACAGAAAACTTTTTCTAACTGTTCAAGTTAAAAAAAAAACACACAAGTATAATCTCAAAAAATAATATAAAAATATATATACGTTTTTAAAAACTTGTATCTACTGTTTAAGAGTAAACTATTTTCAAGGTATTTAATTTATGTCGCTCTCACAACGATTTTCATTTTAAAAATACAAACTGCAAAAATCAGAGATGCTTCAAAATTCCACAAAAAAAATAATTGTCATAATATTAAACATAAACAATTCCACAAAACTAACCAAATTTAACAAAGTAGCTCAACACATTGAAGCGGTTGGCGACCACTAATTTAGGTCGTCGGTACCACGAAAATATTTTAAATAATTTGTTTTACTAACAAATGTGTTTGCCACACAACCACTAAGAAAACAAGTTATAAATTAAAGCGCTGTTCAGAAATTGAGGTTGCACAGGTTATTCATAAAAGTTATAAAATTTTAGATAGCAACGAGTTAATTTTTTGACTTTTTTCCCAGTAGATTAGCAAATTCTTACACTACGCTCGCCCTACGAACCCGCTCCCGCCGCCACGATAAGCTCGAAGTTTCGCATACTCTTGGCGAGCGCCTCCTTGATCGGCCCGCTGTGCGATCGCGATACGATTATTTTCGTCTTTTGCATCTCGAGTCGGCCCTGGAAAAACGTATCCTAAGTCAGCCGCCATTCTACCGCTACGCACAACTTCATACTCAAACGGAACCCAAATTAAACAAAGGCCGCCCCTGTAAAAATTATAAAAGGAGAAACTACTCGCCTCCTCACTTTTTCGATGTGGAATGGAAGTATGGAGCGGATAAAAGTGGTTATGCTCAATTGTGGATTTTACAACTAACGAAATACGTGTATAGGCTTAAAGGCAAATTGCTTTGTAGCCAGATCAGAGAAAACCATATAGCTACTTAAGATATGTAGGAAGGGGGTCGCTGTGTCCAGACAAATCGGTGCATTTGAACTACTTCAGGCGCCAACTTCAGGTCGGTCGATAAGTATTTATTCTGTTTTATCGGCCAAGCCAGACGGCCAAAAAAGTAAAGAAGAAGGTGTATATGAACTTCAAGCAGGTCGTTAATTATTTAATTAATAATTAATAAACAAATTTTAAAATGTCAACACATAGGAGGAAATTACGTTTTGGTTGCTACGTGGGACTTCTCACCCGCAAGCCTCAAACGTTGATTAAGAATTATTGGATATTGTTTAACCAATCGAGGTCCTGCTCTTGCTGATAATACAGGAACTTATGCAGCAAGTATGAAATTTTTTTGAGGCGTTGTATTCAACGTGCGTATGCGCGATACTTAAAATCTCCTTCCATGACCTTGCGGCAAATTTTCCGGGAAAACGAGTTGCGTGTGGAAATCGCTGTTTAGAAAGAAAATGGTGCAAAGTGCAAGTTAGTTGGTGAAATGCATGAAAATCAGTCCCTTTTCTACAAAAATTTCAATGGCGACTATATTATCTAATAGCTAATAGCGGTTGAATCTTCATGCACTCAAAATCTGGAATCTAATAGATTGACATTTGACATGAAAGGCAGAGTTGACAGTTAACAAACGCGTACTTCAAGTTCACAATGAGACACTTTAAAATGTGTCCTTGGGATATAATACCATGGATACTTGAACCCCTTACCTCTGCAGGTCTCAAATCCGGAGAAAGCACATTTCCCACCCAAGCCCACGACGTCGTTCTGGAAAAAGGGTAGTGTACCACACCTAATATGGGTCGACCTTTTACCGCGACACACGCCATTGTAGTCACGTACTCATACAATTTTTCTGTGTATTCCTGGGTCGCATCCAGTGGATCTATCCACACCATCACGTCCTCTCGAGAAACATACCGGTCTTTGACGGGACCTACGGATGTTTCCCAAGGACTACTTTCGTGTCTAACATTGCCATTCTCGCAAGCTGCTGTCTTTTCTTCTGATACCACTGTCAAGTCAGCAAAAGCGGTTTTGAAAACGTTAAGCATCGCGCAGTGCGACAAAAAATCGGCGGTAGTTACGGTATCTTCTGCGCCCTCCTTCGTTTTCCCTTTGCTGTCAATTTTGAAATTGTTTCTTGCTGATACAACATATCGTCCTCCCTCTTCCGCTGCTATTATCGCAGTCTTTAGTAGACTAAACAAACTGATTTGAACGTTTAACGTTTGTTCATTTATCGGTTTTCTCGCAAAAAGGGTATAGAGCAGCAAAATCGACATCAACACCAGGAGACAAGTAAATATTTTACTCAACAAGCTTATTTTAACTAACACCATATTTAATAACATTTAGTCACGGTGTATTCGCATCACCGTAATTTTACAAATCCACAATCCGTTGAAAATATACGGTTTTAGTTTTAGTTAAAAATATACATTTTCATTATTTACTTAGAAATTAACCCATTTCTTCTAATGTATACTTGCTCGCCTCACATGCGTTCTACTTCTTCTTCTTTACATCTATGAGTCAGACTGCTAAGATCATTCTACCAATGACAACTATAATTCACCTTGTTCTTTATGACCTGGAGGGTGCCTTAATTAAAAGGGCTGAACGAATCCATCACCCTCCAAACGGAACTGTTTAGTTTTCATTTTATTATATATATATATATATATATATATATATATATATATATATATATATAAACCTATCTTATTTATTGGCCGCACCAAGAAGTTATTCTTCTACTTTCCTTCGCGATATTAAAGTCTTGAACTTAACTGGCCAGCTGTACCCGAGAGCGCCCTTAGGCGCATGCTCCAAAAAAAAACACGGTAAAGCGCTAAATCGGTTACTTTCATCGTGTGGTTCAAAAAGTGCCGTTGAACGCATCAGGTCGTACGCGTGGTGATCAACAAATTTCCTCACCACCTGAGACACGAAGGACACAGCATGGGCCGGCTCCTCCGTAATCAAAAATCTTTCGATCCTGTCTCGAGCAATTTTTGCGACTTCTTGCTGTGCCAGCTGCGGCGAAAGTCCGTTTCCGCGCGGACAAAATGAGGAACAAAATAATGGAAAATTCTTCTTTCTTAGAAACATTGAACCAATTGCAAACAACGGCCTCCCCCGCAACCGCCAAGAAAACCATCCCGGCCCATCCGGCCTCCAACCCATACAAAAGGCAAAAATTATACACTTTAAAATATTCACTTAGAACACTAAATTCACACAATGCAACCAATTTCAAGTTTTTGTGTACGATTACTCAGGATTCTGTCGTGAGCGAGCGTAGGCTATGTTCAATGCTCACGACGAAATCCTGCACAGACCTTAGTTTGAACAAGAAAAAAAAGACGAGGAACTTAACCTAGTTAATCAAAATTTTTAAATTGACGGGTTGTGCCATGAAATTCAGAGTAAAAAGCCTAACGAAATACGGTCCGCGGCTAGGAGAGCTGTACGGTATCGAAAACAAGCCCGATCTGGTCTTGGAAACTCCGCTGGCGCTGTTGCACACCCAAGCCGGTCACATTCCGCATATCACCCATGAAGTGTTTAAACTAGTCAGCCAAACGCCGCAAATCCTTCAAATCCCGTTAGTTAGCGTGCATCAATATCAAGACGCGATCCGGCTTTATGAGGGCCGAGTATCCGAATTCGTGGGAAACAGGGATAATTTAACCTGTATTACCCTTCACGATCCCGCAAATTTAACTAAACAAGGTCACCATGTTAAAGGCAAGGTACCCGTATTCACAAAACATGGAAAAGTTTTGTATAGCGCAGACATGTACGTGGATATGGTCCAGAGATTTAAACCTGACATGTGGGTGTTGTTATCGGACTCCGATACAAACAAATCAAGTCCACAAAAACGTGTAACCAAGGCCGTCGAGCATACTGTATCGTTTAACGCAAAGTGTGTGAAGAGGATAAGGAATTCGGAAAGTTTACGTAAAACATTCGTGGTTGCTCCTGTAGCGGGCGGCTACTGCAAACATTCCCGCAGAAAGTGCATCCAGGAAATCTCAGTCAATGATTCACATGTTGATGGTTATCTAATAGATGGTTTACACAATAATGGTCCGGAAGTTGAATTTTTGCCGTTTGACGAAGTTAAGGAGATAGTGGATTGCGTTTTGGAAAAAATCCCATCTGGAAAAATAAGATTGGTGCAGGGTTGTTGGAGTCCCGTTAATATCCTTAGACTCGTCAAGAGCGGCGTCGATATGTTTGACACATCATATTGCGTGATTTTGACTGAACGGTCGGCGGCACTGACTTTTTCCACACAACAGGGCGAAAATTCAGAATACTGGGAGATCATCTTGAGGCAGACGAGCTACTCTGACGACTTTGATCCCATAATGAAAACGTGCCAGTGTTTGACATGCCGAAACTATTCGCGCGCCTACGTGCACCACCTACTCACCGTTCAGGAACTGTTAGGACCTATTCTTATAATGGTGCATAATGTGTATCGCATGTTGATGTTTTTCGAGAAAATCCGAGAATCGATAAAGACAGACACGTTTCGAGAGTTCGAGCAACACGTGACCCAACAGTACAGGGACCATTTAAATCGGGAACAACACAGTATGGAACCTGACAGCGACCAATTAAATACCCACAAAAACGTTGAAACACATGGTGTCATTTAATAAGACCTCCATTATAAACTGCGGGAAAGGATCAGTATTTTAATTTAAACTTTTTAAAAACATAAAAAGCATTTATTATACAAAACAACATAGTTATTTTTAATAACCATGAGATTTATACCCGCCTTGATGGTCACCATGGTCGCCGTGACCCCCAAATCCGCCGCCTTGGCCGTTTCCGTGACCGCCGCCAAATCCACCACCTTGTCCCCCGCCGTGACCACCCCCACGACCACTCCCTTGATGATTTCCATGACCCCCGTGGCCACCTTGGAAACCGCCATCATGGCCGCCACCAAAACCACTACCTTGGCCTCCGTGGCCGCCAAATCCACTATCGTGACCGCCAAATCCACTTCCTCTACCACCATGCTCAGAGCCCAACTGATTGCCGTGACCCGATGAGCCTGTACCAGATGGTACAGACATGGCAGTTGCCAGGAGAACTGTTACTCCGAATAATACCTAGGCAATATATATATGCAGTGTTAAGAAATTCGCATACAATTTGATAACCTAATCTCCACAGTAAATTTACTAAATGTACCTACCAAAATCTTAGTCATCTTGACACACTTTTCACTAATATCCAAAATTGGTCACATTCAAATCCTTTATATAGCGGCTTTTTTGTTATAAATTCTTTGATTGGGTGTCACCTTTAAACTTATGACCTATTTCGTCCTCAGATTCTACGAAGGCATGTTTAGAATGCACTAGTGTCCACAATATCGCTTATCGGTGTTTTCGACTTGATTATGAATAATATTCGATGACCTATGTGGAACATTTATCTCGTAAAAATTGGGTTTTTACTTACTTTCATAATATTTGTGGCTAATTAAACTAAGATGACATGACGAAGGTATAGTTTTTTTTTTCTAGTTCACATCCTAGAGAAACTACGTAAATGTAAAATGCTATCACGTGCAGTACTTATCAATAGAATAACAAATCGACCTAATCATGAACCTTTCCTGCTTCACTCATTAACAATTTTTTGTCATATCTGTCAAGTGCAAAAACGAGGCTGCTGATATATTATTTCATTTAATTTCCTTGTCCTAAATAAAAATAATATCAAAAAGCCTCATACGCGCATATGATCATTACGTCGAAATAAGAAAATAATTTCAGTTTTCGCTTTCAACAATTTTGTCAACAATGTTATGCTAACAAAAACTTTCTTCTTTCTTCTTTTAATATTGTTGCTTTCGCAACATCGATGAAATCAATTTTTTTCACGGTTTCAAAACAAAATCTACCTTGAGAACCGTTGGTCCGCGAAGCGGACGGCGTGCGAGACTCAGGGCTACCACCATTTTAACAGGATATTTTTTCGAAATTAGTCATTGTCAGTATTTTCGAAAATCTGAAATTGTACTAGTTCTATGTTAAAAATACCACCCTGTAACTGAACACCGTACGTCATACAACGGTTTGGTTAGTAAAGCTGTTGCATTCAGTCTTTTGGCTAATCATGCAAGATATTCGAAAAAATCGAACTGGAAATCGCTATTACCAAATTTTTATATTTACCATGGTTTGACATAACTGAAGTTCGGTCGAGTGCTTATTTGAAAGGGCACTTTATACCGGGTGTATGCACAATACAATTCCATTAATTTAGAAATAGATAGAAAATACATAGAAAAATGAAGGGATTGTCAAATACAAAACTCCGTAATATATTCGAAGTTGAAATGATTTGGTAAAAAAGAAACAAAAATACAAAGCACAGAACACGACAATAGATTTGTCAAAATTTTAGTACTTAACCTGTTCTCGTGGCGTGTAAAATGTTTGGAATTTATGACATTTTCGAATGACCACCATGAACAAATTACACTTTAAAAAATTATTAAGAGGAAAAGTATTCCCGGAAGTGGGTAAATTCGTGAATCATATGTTTAGTGACAAATATTTGTTGTATACTAATGTAGGCATATCCTTATGCTTGTCAGGCCTAGGAGATCTCTTAGAACAAAACTATGAAATTTTAACGAACCAGTTGGATCGATGGGATAAGCATAGGACCAGAGACATGACTCTAAGTGGGACCACAGTGGGAGTTGTGTGCCATTACTGGTATAGGTACTTAGACCGATCCTTACCAGGATATACAATACGAATAGTTATTAAAAAAGTTATAATAGATCAGCTTGTTGGATCTCCAATGTGTATCTCCACATTTTTCCTGACAATAGCGTTCTTGGAAGGGTCCACTAAGGAAGAGTTCTACGAAGAGGTGAAACATAAAGCTTGGAGATTATATGCTGCCGAATGGATGATTTGGCCGCCAGCACAGTTTCTAAATTTCTATGTGTTGTCCACTAAATATAGAGTTTTATTTGATAATCTCATATCATTAGGATATGATGTGTATACTTCTCACGTTAAGCACACGATTAATGTTAAGAAAGACAATGGGATGGGTAGTTAACATTTTAAATTAAATTAAATTTAAGATGTTTTTTGTGCTTTAATTGCTAACTAAAAAACCAGATTTCCGTGGATGAAAAAAATTGGGAAAAGGATATAGTTAAAAAAGTTGCAAAAATTTCTCTAGTTTTGGTTTTCCGTTTTTTTTTTGCCATTTAACCTACTACAATTTCAAACCACATGTATCTAAGAAGCGGGAAACATTTCTAGCTATAAATGGTTATAAATCATGTGGAAATACATGTATGTAATTTATCTCTGGTTGGGCAAATTCAATTCAATTCAATTTTGCGTTTCACAAAAAATGTTGGGCAAGATTGCTAAGATCATTCGCCCATTGCCGACTTCCGTCGAGGATCTTCGTTTTTGGTCATTGACCAATACGTACAAAAAAGACATATAACCAATATTTGCTCAACTAGCAAAAAATAATTTTGACCGATACCAAAAAAACCGACACCCCCCGCTTCCACCACGGAATATCCGGCCTCCATACCGGCGTGAACGGGGAAAAGCGAAGGGATCGGCGACGATTATAACTTTAAAACGTTCACTAAACACTGAAAACACTAAATCCACCTAGTGGAGATCAATTTCAAAAATTTTTTGGACGATTACAAAGGATTCTGTAGGGAGCGAACGGAGGTTAAACCGCCGCGTGCAATGCTCCACCACAGAATCGGTTGGGCAAATGTCCCTTGGTAACCTTGTTCAACTGAGAGAAATGTACTGTAATTAAATTTATCTATGGTGAAACTACAGTTTAGTTTTTAAGGTTATGTTGGAAGTTCGGCGTGTTTTAAATAGAAATTGTTTTAAATTCTTAAACTGTTCTTTTTTTCTTAAATATAGATCTCATAAAATGTTAACAATGTCTTTATGAAGTAAATATTACCGTCTGTCGAAAAACGGGATTAATTAAACCGGCAAATATTAATATAGTTTCAGCGTGTTGTAATAATGTCTTTTCGTGGACGTGGTGGCGGTGGGCGCGGTTTCGGGGGTGGTCGCGGTGGCGGGGGCGGTCGAGGAAACCGTAATAGTTTCGGAGGCAGGGGAGGCGGAGGCGGCAGAAATTTTGACCAAGGGCCACCAGACCAGGTAGACTGCAAAGGGTTTTAAAATCTTTATAAAGTAAAGTAGTAATTTTCAGGTTATCCCATTGGGATATTACGATTATAGCGTGCAAGATGACCTAGTATGCAAAGTCGAAATTGAGGACGTGCCATTCTTCAATGCGCCAATATATTTGGAAAATAAGGAGCAGGTGGGGAAGATTGACGAAATATTTGGCAATATTCGAGATTACTCTGTAACAATTCGTTTAGGAGATGACATGAAAGCTGGTAGTTTTAAAAAACTGCAAAAGGTTTGAGCCAGTCGAAATATTAAATGATATTGTGCAACATGTATGATTGTTTTAGCTTTATATTGATCCTGCCAAGCTTCTGCCTCTGCAGAGGTTCCTCCCAAGAGCTCCCGGTTCAGTTCAAAAGAAACCGAGGGGTGGCGGAGGAGGTCGTGGTGGCAGAGGCGGCGGTCGCGGTGGTTTTGGTGGCGGACGAGGTGGCGGAGGAAGAGGGGGGCGGGGAGGAGGATTTGGCGGTCGAGGAGGTTTTGGTGGGGGCGGAAGAGGCGGAGGTGGCAGAGGAGGGGGAGGAGGTGGAGGATTCAATAGAAACAGTGGCGGTTTTAATAGAAATAGTGGGGGAGGGTTCAACAAAAGGTGGTAATGTGTGGTGTCCGATTAAATGTGGTTTTCAAGTTTGTTATTTTAATATTAAAATTTAGAAAATAAAAAGCAAAATATTCCTAAACCTCCATCACTTTTCTTGTTTCCCGCAAATCCTTTGTAGTTATTGATTTTTATAAGCTTCGGTTCTAGAGATTAGGTGAAAAACTTGCATTTTATTACCAACAAGTGAGAGCTAATCTATGCCCCCCATTAAATAAAATGCAAATTAGAGGCGCAATTTTATAATTGCAACAGTTATGATCTAAAATCAGAATGTGTCATTTTCAACTAAAGTTAAAAGGCGCATCTTTATGGTAAATTAATCAAAAGCTTCAAAAGTAAGTCTTCCAAAGGTTTTTAAATTTAGGCGACTCAAAACTACACTTTAAAACTAATTTTTATTTCAAAGTTTACACTCCCCATTAACTGAAAACAACCGTATTTTGGTTAGGTTAACACTTAGTCTATTGTGTCCGCACTCTTATTCAATCAATCAAAAATTATTTTTTATTTGTATTTTTTGAATTTACTTTTTTTCAGGGTAATTTTAAACAAATTACAAGTTATTCCGGCTCCTCGAATCTGATATGCTTGAGCGATTCCCTTTCTGCTCTTCTCATCAACTTATCGCGCCCCCTTTGTTTTTTGTTTTGTTTTTCTAACTTAATAGTTCTATCACCTTGGATCTTTTCCCAATATGATGCTTCCTCCTGATCGGTAAGAACTACCTTCTCCTCTCCAAATTCTTTAGTACAAAACTCCTTAGCCGCCTCGCTATCACCAAATCTTACGTACCAATCCTGGCACCCTGGCTTTGGAATGTCTATGTACTTCAAATCAGGTGCCAAGGTCTTGATTTCTGTCTTTAACTTCCGAACGTCCACACACGGATCTTGCAATTTAAACTTTACTATTACTCCCGGAACAAAATTCAAAGCACTGGAAATTTGGCAAGCATCAGAAGTTTCCCCGGATGTATCAACAGTTTTATTTCTATCATTAAGTTTTTGGGTAAACTTTTGTTTTTGTAAGTAATGCTTGAAGTCGCGCATTTTCTTCCTCTGTAAATCTAGGTATCTATTTCTTAGCCTTTTCCACTCCCTTTTTGACAACACTTGCATACCAAGCTCCTTAATGTGATTTTTCTTTTTGTCCTTTTTGTTCTTTTTCTTTTTTTTTACATCAATTTGTTTGTTCCCATCATCCGAATGTTGCTCCTCAATTTCTAATTTAGCCTTTTTTGTTAACTCTTCCTCCTCTGAATCACTTATTTTTCTTTTCTTTGACGAATCGGAAACGGTCGGTTCACTGGCCAAAGGGGTTGCGTTTTTCTCTTGTGCATGATCTTCAAATGTAGCGATGCTCCTAAGCTGCTCAGGATCTTTGTCGCAAGGCATTTTGAGGCCGACACTTTCAAAAAATGAAAGGGCTTCATTGGCTTCCCTTTCTGTCTCATATTCTATAAAGGCGAAACCTTTATTCACTCTGTTATGTTTGTACTTCGGTATTGATACATAAGTAACTTGCCCAAATTCCGAAAAAACTTGTCTAAGCCATTCATGGTTGGCATCCGATTTTATATTTTCTACATAGATGGTGCACGCGTCCACATTATCTTTTACTTTCACTGGCTTTTTTCTTCCTATCTTTTGGCCGTCCTCCGACAGTTCAATAATTTCCGATTTTTTAATCGCCTTGCGTATATCCTCCACAGTGCAGTTCAATTTTCGTATCTTATTGAATTTGAAAAATAAGTCGATGTCGACGTCTGAAATGCAACATTTAAGTAACTCGCGTTTATCTAATTGCGGTCCAATACATACGATTGTTTTCCGAGAGAAGATGCGACAAAAACCGATCTTTCGATAGATTGGAATCACTAAAGTAAAACTCCATTTGGTTTAGTATGGTGTTATAAAAATGCTTTTTACGATGACGCGGCTGTTTAGGCACTTCGTCATTAACGTTTTCGCATTCACCTTCGCCCATATTAAACTATTTTGTTGCAAATCTTTTCAAAACAAATAAAAATACATGTGGGTTAGGTGCACTCACGGGTTCTCTACTTTTCTTCTTAAACGATATTAATTCCCAAAATTCCAGCGCTAAATTCAAAATATTTATCGGTTCAAAATGTTGATTACATTAATTGTTCTAGCTGAATTATTAACATTTTTGTGAATTGTAAAAAGATTTAAATGTACATACAAAGAAAATGCCATGTCCAGTGAGACAAAGTAACTCCAAGATTTTAAAGAAACGGAAAATGTTATTGGAACACGAGCGTCGCATGCCCTAGGGCACGAACAGCAACAAGGTTTTTGATGCGAAAACATTCCCCACAGCTTTAGAGTTTTGAACTACATATTTAACTGTTTCTGACAATCTCTTCATTTACCGTAAATTTGGCGACATTGCATTGTTGCCTAGTTACTTGTTATTTGTTGCAGCGTGCCTGTGGCATTTTGCATTTTTGCAGCCTAACTTGCTAGGAAGATTTGGTTCTAGAACAAGCGAGAATTTTTGGTATTGACTGTTTAATATAATTTAATAAGGTAGGTTTATTTAGCGCACCCGAGAGTTTTACAATATAACGAAGTAATTTTCCGTTGTGAAATTTTGCCGGTGTGTAATTTCAGTGATTGAAATTAACGCAAATTAACGATTTTGTTTGAATATGCAAAGGGTTTTAATTTGAAATATCGAATTGTAGTTTATCTTAAAAATGGCTCCGACGTTCAAAGTAACTTATTTCGATATTATGGCTCTCGGAGAACCGATTAGAATTCTCCTCAGCTACGGAGGTTTTGATTGGGAGGACAATCGCGTAACCAAGGAGAATTGGCCTGTTTTAAAGCCTAGTATGTTGTCATGACACTTATAATATGTCTTTTTTTTTACTAATGTGATGTGTTGTAGCGGTACCCATGGGTCAGTTACCAATTTTGGAACATAACGGCAAGGTGGCACACCAGAGTATTGCGATTTGCAGGTATCTAGGCAAGCTGACCAAATTGGTAGGCAAAGATGATTGGGAAGATTTGGAAATTGATGCTGCGGCTGATACAGTTAATGACTATCGCGCAAGTAAGGAGGGAGGGATTTAAAAACAAAATGTTTTTGATAGCAGAAAACTGTTTCTTTTAGAAGTGGGTCGTTATCATTACGAAGCAGATCCCGTCCAAAAAGAGAAAATTGGAGAGCAGTTGTTCAGCGAAATTGTTCCGTTTTACTCGAAAAAGCTCGATGAGCAGGCTAAAAATAATAATGGGTTTTTGGCTGTAGGACGAGTGAGTACCAGACAAAAATGTAGCCATTTCTTTGATGGTTTGTAAAAATGTTTTAGCTTACTTGGGCAGATTTGTTATTTGTGGGCTTGATCGATTACATGAACTTTATGGCCAAGAAGGACTTGTTGGCCGGAGTCCCGAATTTACAAAAAGTGAAGGAAAATGTGCTGGCGGTGCCCAACGTTAAAACCTACATCTCAAATCGTTCTGACAATCACATTTTTTAAGAATTTTTGTATGTTTAGCTATTTGTATATCTCAACTCTGGTATTATTCATGCGCTTAAAATTGCTCTCTAGTATTGCTTTAATAATATGTTATTGTTTAGGTTTGCTTGTAAAGTAAATAAAAATTAAATGATCTTTTAATAATTTAAAATGGTCAAAAGCACTTTCGCTGTATGTGAACAAGCACCAACAACACTTACCGTTTTAAAAAAAATTGATCCTACTTTCAAATAAGTTATGTTTATAAATTTTTCTTTAAATTTTTTTTTTGGGAGGTTATATAATGCAAGAGTGAGACAATTATATTTAAATTTTAATATGAACTATTTCAATGAAAACTCACGTATTTCTCTAATACCACGACTTTACAGTCAGCAACAGCACAAAATTAGGCATTTTAACATTAAGTTCTAAAATCCAAAACATCATTTAGCTATCGCTTTGTTTTTTTTGGACGCCATTAAACAGCTGATGGAATGTAAATACATAAACTTATAATGTGCAGGTAAGATTCGTTATTATTCGTTTATATCTTATTTGTTACACTGTTTTTTAGCCAGTTTTACATTTTGAAAATGAATTTCTTGATTTATGTATCAATTTTTTCTCGAAATCAACCCACGAATATTTTGAGGTTATGAGATGCATTAAATTATTTTGAACTATCGCTATTCAAAATTGACCGAGAAATAAAAGACGAGTGTGTGAAAACATTAAGAAAAACCTTGACAAGAGTGTAACGCAGACTTTAAATACAGATACAAAATACAAGATAAAAGTGAATAGATCAACATAGGTTTTTTACTTAGTATTACTAATATGGACCCTATGGAGTTGGATCTCGACTTTTCGGTGGACAAAATCAAAGATTTTCTGAATAATAAACTGGAAGCGGTCCGCCTTGACAACGCGAGGTTGCAAGAAACCCTGACCAAACGTAAACAAATTTCATTGAATTCTTCAGCAAAACATGGTTCCACCTTAGTCATGGTGCATCCCAATGTGTGGAAGAAATTGAATAACGGTAAATACGTCATCGGAATGAACTTGGATGCGAGAGCCGCAGTGATGAATATTAGGCCCCTGTTGAAGTGGGACTGTGCCGAGCCATTTAATTACGTTACAAACATTTACGGCGAGTTTCAGGGGGCCCACGACGTTTCCGAATGCGCATTAGTGACGAATACGGTGGCACGAGTGACTACAGCTGTGGAGGGCTCTTTAACGATTACTATTACGTTCGAAATTCCCACGTGCCCAGATCCCGAACACGTTATCTCGGGCGCGATATCGGTTCGCGTGCAAAACGAAGAAATTGTCGTACCTATGGCGCCCGTTTCCCTTTCGGCCCTCGATTACGCTAACCGATCGCTCCAAAATCACAACCCCCGACTATTCAGCATTGAAAATTTGTTTGCGTTAATTTCTGCCAGTGAAAATTCCGACTTAGTTATGATTACGCCGGAAAATCGGTCAATGGACCTAGGGAGCTTGTTCGAAATACACTGCGCATTGACAAAACTTGAAGTCGGTTCGAGCTGCAAAAGCTATTACTTATCGTACAACGTTTCTGGCGCGTTTGATGGTTCCCTAGTTTCCGTACATGATCCCGGCGAAGCCCACACGTATTTCATCACCATTTACGCTGGAGACAATCGGAGCCTCTTTGCGTTGCTTCACCATTTGCATTCGTGCGCTACGGAGATTGTTTGTTTCCCTCAAACGTATTACGAAAACTACGCGGCCCGCAACACGCTAGGATGCGAGAAACTCCTACAAGATTTTCGTAAAAGTATGAGCGACGAAGTGAAATTCGTTAGAGAAATTTTGGCCGGAAATTCCGTGGACGGTTTTGGCGATAAACTGGCCGCGCTCGAGAGAGAAACTGATAGACTGTATCTTAAGGTGTCCAATATGCGCCATTAGGCCACTTATAAATGTTTTTTTTTAAGAGGGGGTTGATTTCTTTAAGTTATAGAAACTTGCAACAACCTTAAAATTTCAACACAGCTGGGCATGCAAAGATTCAGAGTCAGCTACTCTATTTTGTAGCTGATCTCGCTAGCTAATTTTAGGTTGGAATGTTTTACTAAGGCTCCATAACAAAAAACGAGATCATATATTGATACAAAACGTAAAAATAACTTCAAAGCTTCGACGGCTAAGAAAATACCGTTTCATAAAACTGACAGCATACTCCGATTTTACCAACTCCCACAAAATTTCCCTACTCTTAAAATACAATAGTCCGCACGGCACAGTTTTTGTCCGTTAACATCTTAAATACGGCCCTAGCTTGTTGTACACGTGCTGAAAAGAATGGCTTCTTCCGCTTTACAACAGGCGGGTCTTAAACCCATTCCGAAATCAAAATTTTATAAACACGTCTTGAAGAATAACTTGCTGACAGTCATCGAACCCTATAAGTTCGCCGGTTCAACTGATTACAATTAATTACTGCGTCTTGGCATTTTTTAAAATCAAAATTAGATACCCTAAAGCCACATTTTCAACCTTACTTAATTTTAAATAATTTTTTACTTACCTAGAGTGCTTTGAAAAGACTAGAATTGATTTCACCAGCCAGAACTTAAAATCACGCATTCCGAAAGTATTTCCGCCAAATTCCTACTTTTTTACACCAATATTTATATTTTTGGTTTGTGAATGTATTACGTTTAGTAAGATGACTCGTAAAATTTGACATACCAAAACCAATTGGGATTACATCATATACATATTACTACTATTAGGGGTTCTACAATTCAGTGAGACCTCTGGCGTAAAAAATATTACTATTGATTGCAAGTAAAATATTAGGGAATGGTTGCACTGTTTCCATATTCGGTATTTTTATAAATTCATCCGAAAGTTCAACGTTAAAGCAAAAGCTAATTTTTTGGTATAAAGATTTAAAGATTTTCTCTTTGTTATAGGTTTCTATATCCTGATTTTATCGAGACATCCGTGCTCTTAAGTCATTTTTCACAAATCACCATCACACAAAATGGTTACAGAATACTAACAATGCTTTATTGTCGCTTATACAGGCAGAATGAGCTCTTCAAACATTCATGTAAACATTGGGATTCAAAGTTTAACGAGCACGTTTGTGTACGTGTAGCAGCGCCACCATCAGAGAATAAATGCGTGGATTCTTCTCCAATTTACGCAATCAGTCTTTTTTCGCTATCGATCGATATTTCATTTTGAAAGCGGAGTGGTTGTTTTATGTTGATTTTGGGGTTTCGGAACGGGACACAGTTTACATCACAGAATATTAAAAATTCGGCGAAGTTAAAAACTGCCTCGCTGCTATTTTTTGTCGGAGCGTTTTATCTTCCATTTACTTTTTAAAATATATTAAATCAAAATAAACCAAATTTATAACGTAGGATTTTTTTGTATCAATTTCAAAATAGAACAAACTATTAGGTATTAAAAAATTTTAATTTTTATATAAAAAAATTTACAGAGTTTTATCTTCTTATGAAGAAGCTCGACTGCAATTATGTTTTATTTATTATGTAGCAATGAAAGACAACGTTTAAAGAATTTTATATGTAAATTACGGTTGCTCAGATGATTTTCACCCATCCTGATTGGCAAGGCTCAGTTACTAAATACCATTAACCGAAAAATCACCTGACCTCACCCTGTATTGATTACTTTCCATATATATTGAAAATTAATTTTTCTAACCCAATTTCATTACGTCCAATTGCTGCCAAAGTAACTTTTCAGTTGGCAATAAAGAAATTACTATTAAAATTACCAAGTCGCTGCACTGAAATGCTAATAGGGAACTTAAACAAAATCTTAATTTGAAAAATATTGCTTATATTTTAAGTGAATACTATTAAACCAAATAATTTAGTAGTTCTATGTAACCAATATAAGCAATTAAAAATTGTAAAACTTAAATCGTCTTTGAAACGCGCTGTCATTGGCTGTGACCGGTTGTGACGCCCATTCCCTCGTTAGACTACGCGTCAGCCGGACCGTAGCATAGAGAAGCTAATAGAAAACAACAACGCGTTCGTCTTGGTGGTTTTAATTTAAATTTTAGTCCTCATTCTGTCGTTTGCGTTTGTTATCTTGGGGTTAGTACCAAAAAGAAAGTTTTGAAAATGACCGAAGCCGATTTTTTAAAAGGTCAATCTGAGAACTTACCTTTAGTGGATATGTTTATGGTGACATTTTACATACAAAACACCGAAAGTTTTTCTTTTGCTGAGGTACGCGATGCTAAAGCTAAAAGGTATGTTGATAGAAAATTTAGCTATTAGTTTTAAATCAATATAATCTTGTTATCAGCTTAAAGTTTTCTAGTTTTTAAAAAATTCAAATGGTCTGTCAAATAAAACGTAAATTATTCAACAAAAAAAAACATTTTTTTAATTTGTGGAAATCTAACCTTTATTTTATATAGATCAGTTTGAAGAGTTAAAAATATTTCCACGGTCAAGGCTAAAGTGATACCTGAACATAATGTTAATAAAAAAAAGTTTATCGGGCATTTTACGGGATGTACTGAATCACGATGGCACGATTTGTAATATTATTTTTGTGTTGGTTCCATTATTATCATGTAAAGCACACTAAGCACAAATACAAACTGGCGTAGATTAAATACAAACGCACCTTTACAAGAGCCAAAAATAAACGTAAATAATATAATTCTCGACCTGAGAACAACACTATAACATGTCGCCGTATCGACCGAAAAGCCGCGGTATGACGTCACGATCATTCCCGCGCGTTTAATGTCGTTTGAAAGGAATTCCCGGCCGGCACAACCTGAATTATTTATTGCAACTTAAATATTTGGTTTTGAGTTTTAATATTTGGTATGTATTAAAGAAATAAAAAAATGTTCAAGTTCCCTATTACAGTTCTGTCATATTTTACCGTTTCTGAGACGAACATGACTTCAAGGGTCGCCGTAAATAATAAAGAAAAACGGATGGCAACATTATTCTATTTATTTTCCTATTTGATTTAACGCGGAACGGCTACAAAACCGACCGGGATCGACGTCCCGAGCCGCAGTTTACGACCGGTCCGGTTAATTAAACTCACACAAGTAACAGATAAAAGAAAACCCTAGCGTTTTATTCAAGAATATAATCGATACTAGCACTCTACACCTAAGAAACATCTATCGACAAACAGACAGGATAAGTGAGAAAACAAAGGTAATGGCAAATTAAAATTTTCGAATAAGCCGCTTTACTGTGTGTCTTACTGCGTCGATATAATGGAAGAGATTTTATTGCGGTGGATTTTAAAAAAGAAAACACATCGAAGGGTCTGCTTGCGAAAGGCAAATGCTAAAAAAATTAATTACCTAGAAACCGAAGTGATAAAAATCGATCTTCTCTCTTACACTCACACGAATATGATAGGTTTATTAAGGGTGTTTCGCTTAAAATGCAATGCGGCAGCTTTCTTTAGCCCCGGGGTAGAAAATAGAATGTGATGCAATTTTCCACGCTGGCGTCCTTTAACATAAGATCGCTGTTTTTAATCTAACGAATTAAGAAATTACTAAAAATACGGACACTTTCTTTCACCTTCATTAGGTCAAATAGGTATGTTTTTCATAAGGCAAACTTAATCATCAGATACAATTTCCTTATTGCCATGTATGTTTAAATAATTTCGAATATTAATTGAAGCGAATTTTTGTTTGTCAATGTGAAAAAAAGGCAACTAAGACAAAACCGAAAATTCGAATGGCACATTTGGTTGTTTACCCAAAAGAACTAACTATCATATTTCCTTAATCAAAATCTTCATTTTTTATTTGTCTAAAAACAACCATAGAATAGATTAATTTTAGGAATGATTTCTTGGATAATTTGAAGGCAAAGAGATCACATAAATTATTTTTAAAAGTCATTTTTTTGTACGTACTACACAAGATTTGTACATAAAAAACATATGTGTATGAATTATTCTTTACAGTTAAGCTACATACTTTAAGATGAATATTTTATATACTTGTGGTTGTTTTTACAAAAAAGTGTTCCAGTGGCAAAAAACCAAATGATGTAACTTACAATAAATCAAGTAGGGTGCGGTGTCGAACTATAGGGTGTTTCAAAAAACGCGTCGCTAATACCTAGGGTAAATAGAATATTAACAAATAATGTTAGTTATATCAAAAAAATAGTTTTTTTTTAACACAAATACCTTTGATTGGATCATAAAAGCTATCGTTGATGTTTTGTATAGGAGCGTTACTAAACATTTTTTATGGGGATATTTAATAATATGTTTTTAACAGTTTTCTCTTGTTTAAAGTAAAAAATAAAACTCGTTTTGGAGTTATTTGAGGTTTTAGCATGATCTTGACCGAATTAATACATTATTTCAAATAATTTTCATACGTGAGAACGAACTATCTCAGCGTATAATATATAACAAAGGTATTTGTGGTCTAAATTTCATGTAGCTATTTTAACCCATTTCAGAAATGTCTACTAACCAAACTAACGTTATTTTTTAATATTCTATTTACCCGAGAGATTAGGGGGACGGTCCTTATTGCCAAAATCGTCAGAAGAAAATCACTATTTTACAGAGCCCCGGTGAAATTGAAATAAATCTTGAATATGATTTTTTATGAAATTAAGAGGAAAATATGCATTTTTTTTTGGATATTTTGGAATATATACATTTTAAAACCCTCGAAAGTCGAATAACGCGAAATTGAAGTAATATCCAACGCGACTGGTTCCCAACGTTCAATTTGCAAAAATGAAACAACGAATTTTTTTCCTAAAAAAAAGTGTAGTCAGTCGGGTATATCCCCACCACGTCCCGTAACCGGCGAATCGCGCCTCCTCCGCCGTTAAGCAAAACACCCCGTTCCTTCTAACTACGACAATATTTATCTCTAATTAATTGATGGTCTATTATCAAATAATACACCACGTACATAATTGTATTAACCCCGGGGAGGACGTTTCGAAAGCACGTGCCCACTTTGTCGGCTACAATCTTCGCTTCTCCAGCGTTGGGCATGCGCAGCCGAAGCTCCGCCCCGGCCCCAGTGCGTTTCGGTTGTGGCGCCTGCGCATACGTGACAACAACGCGCAGGCCCGCGACGCCGCCCCCGCGCCCGGGAGACGGCCGTTTAAAATATTACTTGGTTTTTATTTGTGTGTGTATGTTTGGGTATGCCGATGATCTCCGACAGCCTCTTACGTTATTTTATGAATGAGAAAGCAACATAACCGCGGGATATACATTACATATGCTGTTGTACCCGTGCGGATTACCTCCCCGGTTCCGTCAGACAGGCGTCAACGGGGAGCGATTGTTGTTTCGCCCCCTCTCGTGAGTCGCCGCGTCCAACCGCGGCTCTCGTCCCCGCCCCCTTAACCGGTATGGATGGTTGCCGCCGCCGCCGCCTCGTCGGTTTTGTTTTGCTTTTAAAGATTAAGGTAGACCCGCGCGCGCTTGCGGACAGTCAGCCGCCCCGCGCCGCCGTTTCAGCCCGGGGGTCACACCCACGGGGTCCAGCCCTCATACAACAGAGCCAGGTTGTCCAGGTTGGTCGCCTCGCGTATTACGTAATCCACCTGCGAATTAAAACGATTTTCTTGATGCGTTTTTTCGCCCGAACGGACTACATTAGACCACCTTTTTGGTTACGTAAAGCAGAGTAACTATCTTGAATTTTAGGGAATCGAGATGTGTTTCCCTAAAATGTTAAAATGCAGTATTCCTGAAAATTTCTATTTTATTTAAAAAAACAAGAACTTTTTGTTTCTCGGGAGAGATCTATTCTATAATTCATGGATGATGGACATGAAAAAAAGGAAAGATCATAACCTACAAACTACTTTCCTTTTGCCTGCTGTGCTTATCCCCGATATTCTATGCCGATTTTGAGAAAGTTTCGGTCATATTCAGATTAATTAATCTCTTTTTAATCAACTTGTATATGTGATCACTAATATATTACTACTGTACTGCTACTATCCACTAATATAGTCGATAGTAACAGGTACAATAATGAAATGTAATAGTGGCATTATTGGTGTACCATTCTGAGGAATTCTGTTAAAAAATATAGGTCAATATAGGTTTTATTTTTGGTCAGTTGACTATCAAAACCATAAAATATTGTGGAGGCTAGAATAAAATTACTTAAGTTACCTAAGTAGATGCTACTGAGAAAATACAAAATCCTTTGTAGCTGTTGTCTTTTGTATTCCCATTTCAAGCATATAGAGATTACTTCCAGAAGAGCAAAATGTTTTTTTTTAAGAATAGCTACAGCAGATGTAATTCGTCCAGTGATTTTATGTCGAAAAGTGTATATAAACATTAAGACTAACAACGCTTCAGTATCGCCCCGCAGGGCACGGTAAACATTAATTTGATAAACTGATTAAGTAAAACATTAAAACTCGCTTGTATTTTAAAGTTGGAGTATTATCTTATCACATGGTTCTCAACATTTATGGACTTAGAATTTATCTGACTTTTAACCTGACAGTTTGTACACTGCAGACAGCAATAAGTAACATACAAAAACAGAGAGTTCGGAGAACTTATCATTAATGACCTTTGTTTCTGAAACTATGCAACCGATTAAAACAAAACTTTAGTTTTCAACGGAAACCTTTTTATTAAAACAAAACGATTTTACTCATATTACCAATTTAGAGGTCACTTAGACTAGATATATTATTGAAAATATACAGATTAACCTGATTTTTATTTGTTTTTGCAATGAACTAACTTAAAGTCTAAGAAATTCGCAATAAGGGCTATTCCATCCAACAAAAAAAAATGATCAAAACTGAGGCATAAACAAACATTCTACACTCATATAGTCAAGCGAAGCGCCTGCGATATTTCGAGTATGGTCTGTTCATAAATATAAGAAAGTGACCAATTGCTTTTGAATGGGTGGTCATTAACATACAATGCAACAAGATTATTACCTAAAGTTTCGGAAAATTTACCGAGGAACAAAGCGTGCCTACATTAGATATCTTAATTAGGAGGCTTGAAAAAGACGAAACCGCTGTTAAATGTGGCAGAACTACCTTATAGAAGTGTATTCAACACATGGGTTTTAGATAAAAAAAAATTGACAAAAGGCAAGTTTTAAAGGAATCTTTTAGCATTCGGAAATGGCGACTGGAATATCTAGAAAAAATTAGGATTTACAGCGAACCCCGCAAAAGGGTTGGGTTGACTCAACTGATAAATGTAAAACAAATGCGCCATCAAAAAGAGGTAAAAGAATAACTATTTTGCATGGTGGCTCTAAAGATGGTTGGATTCCAAATGGACTTTCTCTGTCTGCGAAAAATATGAAAGATTCTTCTCTGGATTACCATGAAGACATCACCGCTGATTTATTTGAAAGTTGGTTTAAAAACAAACTAGTTCCAAACATTCCTCCTAATAGCGTCATTGTAATGGACAATGGAAGTTATCACAGTAGACAGTTGACTAAAACCCCTTCCTCATGTGACACAACAGCAACAATCCAAAACTACATGTATAATAACGACATTTATTTTCACGAAGATTATACCAAAAAGCAATTAATTGAGGTTCTACAAAGCTTGAACCTAGAAAAGGAATACGTCTGTGATAATTATGCAAAAAATCTAGGATATACAGTTTTAAGGCTTCCACCTTACCACTGTATATTTAATCCCATTGAACATGTTTGGCATCAACTGAAATCTGCCATTCGTCGTAACAATGTTTTGCCCCGTTTTAATTCCAATGTCCTCAAACTTATAGAAACCGAAGTTTTTAACATCCCTCCACAAAGTTGGGCAAATTCTGTTCAACATATAGAAAAAGCAGAACAATCGTATATCCACATTGCAAATAATATAGAACAAATAATAATTAGAACAGGCGATGATAGCGATAGTGATACTGACATATTATGTGAATAATTTTAAGTAATGTAAGTAGGTAACAAAAATAATTTGTAATTTTATTTTAGATTTAAACATAAATACATACATAAATAAATAAACATTGTTTAGTATCTTTAGTAACAAAACCCCAAATAATTAAATTCTAAGCAAAGTACGGACCTGTTCGGCCATATTTTCTTTCTTATATGTATGAACAGACTTTATTCTTAACGAAATCCTTAATAGCCCTTCTCGATGTTTGACATCAAAAATTAGTCCAAGTTGGCCATGACTTTAGGTTGATGTCAAAAGAAACATGAAGTTTTAGTGCGTGTTTGAGGGATCTGTCCAACAAAAAAAAATTACAACATACAATGTACAGCGTTAAGCGGCACGTAAACGATATTAATTAGAATTCGTTGCCAATTATTTTTTGTTTAAATCCCTAATAGTACTCTTCTTCCTTCTCCCTCTTTCGTTAAATAGACCCAGTCGGCCATGACTTTAAGTTGAAGCAATAAGGAAAATAAGATTTTAGTGCAATTTCCACAGAACAAAACTAACGAAATTTTTTTTTATCAAAATCGAATCATAAACAATTATTTTACAAAGGTGGACACACTGTATATGCCATTTCATGGTAGATAACTTAACCTTGACTTTGACAGCACACATATCTAGTATTCTGATTATGTGCCTTCAGTAGGCCACTCCATTTAAATAAAAGTTCAGTGAGAGGTTTCTTTTCAAAATACATTATTTTGATTATATATTTTTGTGCCGCAAAAGGACATAATTTAGCACTGACTACACCACTGGTCTAAGAAAACACCCGGAGATTTAATATGATTTACCTTTTCATTTGTACTTTCAGATTTACAATTTGTAGCAAAGTTGCAAAGTATTTTGTTTGGTGCATTATTGCGTCTAAGGCTGAAAGGTATAAATAACGACCTATTAACGCCACGCCCACAGTGCCACGGGCCAATTTATAACATTCAAACGACGATGCTGCGCAGAGCTGATCGCAAAAGAAAACACGTACTTGTTCTTGCGCGGTCAGCTTCCTTCCCGGGTCCGGGTCCCTCCCCTCCAACTTCATCTTGACTCTGCGCCACACGTTGACTGCGTAGGCGTTCCGCTGTTGTCCCCTAACGTCCCGTTTGTCAGCTCCGTCTACGACTGTACGCCCCTGCCTCGTCAGCTGCGGTCCGCGCTCGCGTAACGCTAGCAAACTCTCGTGCACGTCCGCTGTACTAGACCGGATATTGTCGAGGTGGGCGAGCATGCGCGCAATCCTGTCCTTGTCAAGGGCCACCTCGTTGAACACGTCAAAAAAGGCGTTGAAATGCTCGACGTAAGAGCGGTACTTGCGGATGAAATCCTGTGCGCTCATAGCGCACTCCTCCAGCTTGGCCATCGTTTTCAGCAGGCCCCTTACGTCCTGCATCAGCTTCGTGTGGATGTTGTAAAGCGTCTTGAAATTATCGACGACCGACACGAGGCAGTCAGTTTCGGAGAATAGAGAACCGTTTTTCTCCGCCAACTTTTTCTGGTAAATGGCGATCGCGTCGGTTATCTGCACGGATATGGTTCCCGGCCATTCCGGGTCGTCGACCAGATCTAGGGACAGCATATTCAGAATGCTTTCCTCGGCGGGAAGCAGGTTCTCCGTCTTGGACTCGTTGTAGTGACACGCGATCCGCCACTTTTCATAGCAGTTCAGGAACAGCTTGTCGTACTCTTTAGTAGCGTCGAGACCGGTGCACCGAAGCAGCTCGTGCTGCAGCACGATGTCGTACGACGTGAGCACCTTAATAAATGGATAGATAGTTAAGGAAAATGCTGGAGGTACATAATGAAACGATCACCTTTTAACATACCAACTCAAAAGCATTAAATTTGAAAAAAAAAATGTAAAACCAAACAATTATAGAACTCTCATAATAGTTAGAAATTATATATTTTTACATGACAATTGTTTCGACAACACCGTGTCTTTATCAAATGTAATATTTACAAACTACCTGCTACTATATATAGGAAAAAATGACAATAAAACCTTAATTAAGGTTGTTGTGAGAATTTAAGTTCAATAAAGGGGTGGTATTTAAATCTAATTGATCGTTAAGCAATACATTTGAATGTCTCATTTTATTAATCTCCATGACTTCCAATAAATTTAATTTTCTACTTTTCCTGACTGTATGTAAAATGTCAAAATTGTCGTCAAAAATGTATTTTTCTGTGTTTAAGTGTGTAGCATAATTAGAATCTAGACTATTGTTTTTAAACGCTCTTTTATGTTCGTTGGTGTGTTTCTTGAAGGATCTACCTGTTGTTTTTTTATTAAATTTTAATGTTTTGAAACTTTTTCACTATGTATGTAATGGTTTTAAATTGTTCGTGTTCTTTGTTAGATTTCGGATAAATAGAGTTTACTGTTGTCTGGATTTGTTTTTTATTTATAATTTTATCTATAACTGACGGATTGTAGCCGTTGTTGAGTGCAATTTGTTTAATGATATTAAGTTCTATGTTGTAATTTTCTGTTGAGAGTGGCGCATTAAGAAGTCTGTGTATAAAAGAGTGAAATGTAGCCATTTTGTGTGTATAAGAGTGATTTGAGCTGTTATGTACGTCTGTGTACGTGTGTGTTTATGATAAATGAAAAATGTAATTTGCTTTGCGTCTTCGTAATAGTTAAGTCTAAAAAATTAATAGAGTTATCCTGTTCAATCTCAATTGTCTGTCCGTTCCAATAGAGCAAGCAAAGACATCATCCACGTATCTATAACACCATAGAAAACTTTTACTAAGAAGATGTTCTAGTACGATATTTTCCAAATTATCCATAAAAATCTCGGCTAACAAAGGACTAAGTGGGTTTCCCATAATCAAATCTTCCTTAGAGATGTAAATCTGTCCATTAAATTCAAAATAATTTTCTTTATAATATAGTAGCAGCTAGGTGTTGTCGAAACAATTGTCACGTAAAAATATATAATTTTGTGAAAATCTGAACTTTTAGTTCTTATTTATTTTGATAAATGGATTTTCATCAAGTAAAACCACCTCAGTTCAATTTTTTGTACACTTTGCTTATTTCTTAAAAAAAAAGAATTTACCGAGCGTGTGTGATTGGTTTGGTTTTTGGATAGCGTTTTTAATTTTAGTCTGTTTTGAGTGTCGCGTATATTTTAAAGATAAAACTATGAGCTATTATATTTTTTATTATTTATTTGAAAGAGAAGAAACACTAGGGCTTAATCAATAAAATATAATAAAAACTTTTCAAATAGTCAACAAGCTTTTGTTATAGGAAGATTTTTTAAGTTTAATTTTACGGGTATTGGAAATGTATTACGCACTATTAGAATATTAGAAAGTAATAAATATAAAGAATTCAAATAGACAAGTTTCCCAGCTACCCATTTTATTATATTTTGATGAATAAAAATTTCACATGTACCAAAGCAATTTCGCTAGAATATAAACCCATAACCGAGCCTAGACTGCATAGATACGCATCGAGAGTGCCGCCCGCCCACTTACCATATTACTGATAGCCCTTTAAAGACATGTTGCTAAATTCATTAATGTTATATCTAAGTTTTCCTATTTGTTGCCTTCAATCGAATTTTTGATCCTGGGAAACTCCCAAAAAGGTGAAATTTTCACTGACCTTAAGTTCAATATGATTGCAATTAAAGATAATGTTTATCTGTTGGTTTCAAAGAGAAATAAACTGAAGTGTTGGCTATATTTAAAATTATATTATTAGCTTGAAGCAAATCAAGGGATTCAGTCGTCTTTGACACATGTCCATATTCTCCGCTCAAATGCTTTATATAAATAAATTTAAGACCAAATCGATTAATTTTAAACCGGACAGTAACAACCTAAGCATGATTTATTTGAACTTTATCAAGTAACTTAGGAACAAATTTAATTACATTTTCTGTTTTTTAAGTTATTTATTTTTATTAAATTAAGGGTGCATTTTCGCACAGATGCGGTCAAATTAGTATCTGTTCTGTTTTGTGCTGTTTTTGAAGAAATTGCTTTGCAATTGCAGGTTACAAAATGCCAGTACGCTGCACTTTTGCTTACTGGCCTTGATGAAGTTTAAACATATTAAATTAAACATTGGCTAAAGGTCAGATCTTTGTTTATTATCCTAGAACCAATCACTGCTTGGTATCGTTGACTTCTGCTTACAGAAACCGTTCTGCTGGTCAGTTCTTAAGATACAAGCCTAAAGAAAACTTCTGAATTTTGCTATCCTTCCAAATATGTAACTCATGTTCGAGAGGAGTGACAACAATAAAGTTTTTATTGACGCTAAAGTTAGGTAAAAACCAATCTGACAATAAAAAAGACAAGAAGTGCCACTCTCTCTCCACTGTTCCACACCTATGCCACACCTAAGAGCACTTATTAGCACTTTATATATTGGAACAGTTATGAATTTTCAGCATTGGGTTTATTTCATCAATGCCGCGGGGGAATCTATAGCTCACCTTGGTTGCGATAGTGCGTTCGACATTCAGCCTCGCGTCCATGGCACGGACTGCGTTCTCGAACGCGGCCAATATTTCCGACACGTTGGGGTTCGCGCCTTTCGCCCAGTTCAGCCTCTGCTGCGCTTTCTCGATCAAGATTTGCTGTGCGTCCGACGCTTCTCCTAGTTGTCGCGACAAAGTCTGCAAACCGGTCAGACCGGCTTGCATGTCGGCGACGAAGCGGGCTCTCACCGACGCGACGTTATGTCGCGCGAGAACGTCGTCGAACATCAGGTTGTGGACGTAGAGCTGACTCTGTAGCCGAAACGCGCTCGACTGCAACACTGTCAGCTTCTGTTCAATCTTCTTTGGCTCCTGGATCTTTTCCCACGAGAGCTTGAGGTTAGCCTCGAGGCTGGACGCTTGGGAGACGATGTTCGCGGTGAACGTGCCGTCCTTCATCAGTACGTTGTACGCTTTGTGGTAGAGCTCGTCGAGGGGCACCTTGCTCTCCGCGCCGATGTCTTTCTGTTCGATCTCGTGTGTCACGTCGAGTCCCAGCTGTTGCAGAATCGCGCATATCACGTAAGTAATAATCTCGGGAGTGACGCCGAGCAACTGTCGCGAGATAAACTCGGCCACGAACCGCTTGACGGGCCTCGTGAGCTGCTCGTCGCCGTACACTTTGGCCGGCGCGTTGCACCTTATAGCGTGGCAGGTGTCTCGCGCGAGACCGAAGAACTCGGATATAGCGAGGACCCGTTTCAAGAAGAATATGTTCTCGAGAACGCGCCTCACTTGCGGGTTGAATATGTGCGGCGCGATGTTCTTCGCTTCTTTGACGTGGTCCAGTTTCTTCCAGGACTTGGGCACGTCCAATTCGCCGAGCGTCTTCACCAGATCGTTGATCTCTTGGGTGAGTTTGTCGAACAGGCCGTTGAAGCCCATCAGCAGCATCTGGCCCTGGCTCAATGATTCGGATTGGGTCGGTATCAGAGCGAGGAATTTCGACTCGATAGTGGCGATTTTTTCCAAAACGAAGTCATAACGAGTCTGAAAAATTGACGCAATGTTACGCGGTAAGGGCGACGAGGCAATAGAAATAATTTTTGAGTTTTTAAAATGGCCACCAGAGTGGGAGGGTTATGGTCTGTTCATGGATATAAGAAAGTGAACAATTGCTTTTGAATGGAATTATCCAAGGGTGGTCATTAACATACAATGCAACAAGATTATTACCTAAAGTTTCGGAATTTAAATTCAGGTAAAATTGTGGTCCGTAATAGAAAAGAATTTTATACCTAGCTGTGTTTAATATTCTTTGGTTTGGTATACTACTTAGTTTAAGTTTATTAGTAATCATTCTTATTTCGTATGTAATACAGCGTGTGTTGAATCGTGTGCGAATTATGCAAAATATGTGCGAGTCTTCCGCTCAAATATAGAAAACACTATTGAGACTAAGGAAGGTATAAACAATGTTTATTTAACTCTCATTGAACGTGGTGCCAGCAAGCAAGAAGAAACGGCCACATTGTCGAAAATTCCAACATCAACTATATGGAAAATTGTGAGGAGGAAAAAAAGAAGCGATGCTGACATTTCTTCGAGTGTAGATGAAAGTGATCAAGATATAATACGGCGTAAAATTTACCAGTTATACGAGGAACAAAGCGTGCCTACATTAGATATCTTCATTAGGAGGCTTGAAAAAGATGAAACCGGTGTTAAATGTGGCAGAACTACCTTATGGAAGTGTATTCAACACATGGGTTTTAGATTTAAAAAAAATCGTCAAAAGGCAAGTTTTAATGGAATCTCTTAGAATTCGGAAATGACGACTGGAATATCTAGAAAAAGAATTTGCAGAGAATAGGAAAGGCTAATTATTTACTTAGATGAAACCTGGTTCGACACTTATGATACCCCAGAAAAGGGTTGGGTTGAATCAACTGATAAGTTTAAAACAAACGCGCCATCAAAAAGAGGTAAAAGAAAAACTATTATGAAAATATTAAAAATTCTTCTCTTGATTACCACGAAGACACCACCGCTGATTTATTTGAAAGTTGGTTTAAAAACAAAATAGTTCCAAACATTCCTCCTGGTAATGGACAATGCAAGTTATCACAGTAGACAATTCACTAAAACCCCTTCCTCATGTGACACAAAAGCAACAATCCAAAACTACATGTATAATAACAACATTTATTTTAACGAAGATTATACAAAAAAGCAATTAATTGAGGTTCTACAAAGCTTGAACCTACACAAGGAATACGTCTGTGATAACTATGCAAAAAATCTAGGGCATACAGTTTTATATTAATTGTATATTTAATCCCCTTGAACATGTTTGGCACCGACTGAAATCTGCCATTCGTGGTAACAATGTTTTTCCCCGTGTTAACTCCAATGTCCTCAAACTTATAGAAACCGAAGTTTTTAACAGCCCTCCACAAAGTTGGGCAAATTCTGTTAGACATATAGAAAAAGCAGAACAATCGTATATCCATATTGCAAATGATATAGAACAAATAATAATTAGTACAGGCGATGATAGCGATAGTGATACTGATATATTATGTGAATAATTTTAAGTAATTTAAGTAGGTAATAAAAATAATTTGTAATTTTATTTTAGATTTAAACATAAATACATATATAAATAAATAAATATTGTTTAGTGTCTTTCCTAACAAAACCCCAAATAATTAAAATCTAAGCACAGTACGGACCTGTTCGGCCATATTTCATTCTTATAGCTTGTCCGGGCCTTTCCTTAATTTGTATCAGTTAGTCACTTTCTTATATCTATGAACAGACTTTACTCCAAAAAATGTGTAATATACTTTAATAAATTGCTAACAATTAGCTGACGTTTTCTGATGATGGCAAAAAAAAACTAAAATGCTAATAAAACAACTAAAACAGGTAGAGTGTTCAAAATAATCTTTACTGTGGAAACCCATTTAAGAAATAAATAAAACACAGTGAAAGCTCTCCTTGAGGACAGCTCATTTAAGCGCACCACGTTCCTGGAACCGAATTTCAGCATATCATTTCCAATGTTGAATGCATTCCGATAAGCGGACGCTCTTATAAACGGACGCGGACACTATATTTTTTCTGAAAGTGATTTAAAGGACGATTTTTAGTTCCGTTTATTACAATGTACCTATATAAAATTCGGTAATTCCCCGTTTTTTATTAGGTGATTCCCCATTTACACATTTCGTTTGCCAGCTTGCATTTAATGTTGTGTTTTGTCTTCAGATTCATAATTGATATTGGAGTTATTTTATAATTTTATGTAAAATGGCACCGAAAAAAAGGAAAAGATGGAAATTGTTAACGTTTTAGATAAAGAAAGTGTTTCAATTCGTCATTTGACAAAGAGGTTTAATGTTGGGAATACGCAAGCAGCTGAAAAAGCCAAAAATAAGGAAGATATCATAGGTAAATGGCAATCTGGAACTAATAGATATCAAAAGAAGGATTTTTTAAAAACGGAAAGTTTTGCTAAAGACAAAAGATGTTTTAAGTGGTTTGTGAAAGCTAGAAATCAGAACATTCCAATCTCAGGGTCCTTAGTGAAAATGAAAGCTAAGGAAATTGCGACTACTTTGGGCTACAATAATTTCAGTGCGTCCGACGGGTGGCTTCAAAAGTGGCGCAAGAGACATAGTGTTAGTTTTAAATGCATATCTGGTGAAGCTGCTGCAGTAAATCAAGGTGATGTGTCACAGTTTTTGGAAAAACTTCCGTCCATGTTGCTTGGCTATAAACCAGAAGATGCAGGTGAAAGTGGACTTTTTTTTCGTGCATAGCCCGACAAAAGGAGAAACATGTGCGGGTGGAAAGTTGTCTAAAGACAGACTAACCATTTTATTCTGTGCAAATATAGCCGGTGAAAAATACGATTTGATTGTGATCAGGAAAGCGGTTCGTCCTCGTGCTTTAAAGAAGGTTGCTCCAATTCGACAGGAAAATGGGAATCCAAAAAAGGCAAGTCCTTTCATTCAAAGCTTATCTGAGCTTAAAAACTCTATCAATGTGTTAGAAGCTTTATATTTTATAAAAACAGCATGGAATAAAGTAAATTCCTCGACAATTAGGAATTGTTTTGGCAAAGCTAGATTCAGAAAAGTGAATGTAGCTCAGAATTTACTGAACAAGATTATTACGATCCTGAAGACGATCTGCCCTTAGGGACACTTGTTGAGTTACTGTGACATGCAAAACATTTAGGAGTAACAGAAATTCAGAATGCGGATGATTTCATGACCTTAGACGATAACATAAAAAACAACTTCGAAAATGGATGTAGAAAGCCGCGGCCCGCTTGAACAAGGTAGTCCAAATGACTAAGAAGAAGAAGTGGAAGCACCATGCAGTCCAAAAACGATAAATTCATATCGGGAAGCTGTAAATCATATTTCTATATTAAAAACATTTACTAGAGATGATTTTACTGCATTTCAACACTTAAAAAATTTAGAAAGTTATTACGAAAATTGTTTCCTTAAGCAAAATATGGCGAAATTTCGTCAGATTATAGACTTTTTTCAAAAACCTAAGGAATAGTTTTTTTTTTTAATTTAATTTTTTTAATTTGTACACCATGTATATGTTGAAGATATACATAACTAGTTTAAAAATGTTGTTCGCCTTATCATTACATTATACATTGTACGTATTTATACTTACACACTATTCTTTAAGCGGACACCTCTCATAAGCGGACAAAAGTTATGGAACCGTGAGTGTATGTTTATGGGAGCTTTCACTGTATCGTTTATGGGAGCTTTCACTGTATCTCCTTTCACAGGAATCATTCATTTTATTTTTATCTGACAAAACGCTTCATATCTTCCATACCGCTTTAAATAGTCAATTTAAATTCATTTAATCCAGTGTCTAGAAAAAACCTACGCCCGTTAGTAACGAAGAAAATATCGATTATTTTAATATACGTTTGAAGATACTGCAATCAGCAATAAAATTAGTTAATCAACAATAATTGATTAATTATGATTAGATGACACAACCTAAAACAAAATGTCAACTAGTGGGTGATTTTTTAGCTTTAAGATTTTTATTCAAAATAAAATAGGATAAGTCACTATAAAGGTATTAAGATAGGGTCTTCATTGGGTTGTTGAACACTGATTTGACATGTAATGACGTAAAAAAAGTAATACTGTTGCAATTTTTTTTTTAGAAAAAAACATTTGCGATGTGACAAAGTGGGAAACTGCAATCACCTAACTCAGAGCCTTTTTTAATGATTCAACGTCAAGCTTCTACTATTCAGGGAATTTTATTAGGACGTTTGCTGTGCCCTTATCGCCACACGCGGTGTATTACATTCGCACTAAAATATCCGTTTTTAATTTGGGGACCTATAATGTTTTATATTGTGACGTATGATATTGACATTTTAAATGTCTTACGGCAATTTCTGCAATTTTTAAAAATTTGAATGTTTTTGAAGACGTAACCCACGTAATTAAAAGGATTGGTTCCATCATTCCCATTCTCTCAACCCCGACTTGGGACTTACGTGTACGTCAATGTGCATCAGTATGCACGTTAGGAACTTTTCCAACTGAGCGATCGTGTCGGGGATCGGGGAGTCGCACTCAGCGATAATTGCGTTGACGTCGTTGATCATCTTCAACGCGCTCTCTTCGTCCGCTTGGATTTTCTTCATCGACTCCGGCAAGATGATCGTGTGAAAATTGAAATTCAGGTCGTAAAGTGCCTTGTACAGACCGTTCGCGGTTCTCACGCCGTTCAATAGTTGATAAAATCTGAAATATAAGTTCATCGCTAATGAATGGAAAACTGAAAAGTTGAAACAATGAGAAAAAATAAATTTAAAAGTTTTCAAAATGACAATTATGATAAATATTCTAGATAAGAACAAATAAAAATCTGAAAATGTTTCGAGAAAACGTGCGAGACATTGTAGCATTTCTTTTTTGAATAGTATTAATAGTTAAAGAGCAAAAGATTTAAAGATTTTTTAATTTTTAAATTTAAAATTTTTTAATTTTAACGGTCAGATATAACCGACGCAGGAGGAAGGTTTGTAAATGGTCTTACAGTAAGTTTTTTTTGTGTCTACAATTTTCTGAACAATTTAATTTTTTAACACATACAAATATAATATTTGGGAAATATGAATGAATCCAATTCCTAAGTCTCTAAGTTTTTTCTGATATTTTTTACAGCTTCAGATAAAAAGTATCGTATTTATCTGATGATTATGTTTCATTTAATTAGCCAGATACTATTGCTAGATTGTCTTTATTTCCTGTGCACCCATCTCTATAAGAAACATACATTAATATATTCATTTTTATGATGTAGGTATTTTCGATATTTTCTCGAACTGTTTGGAGCGCATGTCTATAATTTTTTAAATAAATTAACAGGGAGGTGCGAACCAACAAATAGTATTTTCCGACGCAGAACTGCTGTTCGCTACTATTGGCTTTTAATTACATTATAAAAATTAACGTCACAACAACATCAAGAATATCAACAGCCAAAATCAACCATAGGTGCTTTGGAAATGTATTGCCGACGAAATAAAATCACCAAAAACTTACCTTGCGTCGTCGATGTCCTGCCTCACGGGCAAGTTGTTCACCATTTCAACAGCTCTAGTGCTGTGCAGCAGCAGATCGTCAAGGAACCAGTCGCCGTCGCGCGACGTCAGCTTGATCAGGCAGTCGCCGCTACGCTGCGCGGCAATCTCGAGTGTCAAAAAGTTCCGGTTGAGCAGCAGCAACTCGCCGGCTATGACGAATTTAAAGGCGTTCACCGCCCCTTTTTCGGATTGCAGGAACGACGACGCGTTCAGTTTCGCGTTGCCGTACATTTTTTCGAGTAGGGCGTTCGGCTCCTTGGTGCGCCTGATCGCTAGCTCGTCGTAGAGCTTGTTCACTTGTATGAGCGCCTCCTTAGAGTACCGGTCGAGGATGAATGCGACATTGACTATTTGGGTGGAATTTTGGGTTTTGCTTTCGAGGAAGTGGCGCGCCTTGTCGAATACCACGTCGCAGCCCTCGGTGCTCTTCGTGTCCAAGAGGTACTGCGCCCATTCGGTGAACAGGTCCATGCGGTGGTTCGCTATGTACGATTTCGGGCACTGTACCAGGAGCGAGAAGTAATCTTGGAATATCTGGATGCACTTGCGCGTCTGCACGTTCAGGTGTTGAGAGATTTGCGTTACCTGTACAACATGGTTGAACAAAAACATTTGAATCCACATTCCGAACAAATTTACATTTACTTTTGGGACAAAAAAGTGTATACGAGATTAATCATGCTATACAGCACATAGTTAGCCCATAGCTATGCACTATTGTTACTTTTTAAATTTTAAATCACATTACTATCTTCTGGATTCGCCCTGCATTGCTTGTTTTCAATCGAATTTGTTGACGTCTCGCCAATCATCCTATTGGCTTCTTTAGAACTTAACTGAAACTGGTTTGCATTTAAATCTTATTCGACCAGACTAAAATTCCTGGCATGTAATCAGTTCTTCTTCCAATTCTAGAATCTTTAACTTCCACCAATATTGAGTCATCCGAGACTATGTTAGCCCAGCCTGTCACAAACAGTATATAAGCAGGTTGGTTGTGGACTTTGTGTCAATTGTCTTAAATACTTTTAAAGATATAATAAAATTTGACACAAAGTCCACAACCAACCTGCTTATATACTGTTTGTGACAGGCTGGGCTAACATAGTCTCGGATGACTCAATATTGGTGGAAGTTAAAGATCAAAGAATTGGAAGAAGAACTGATTACATGCCAGGAATTTTAGTCTGGTCGAATAAGATTTAAATGCAAACCAGTTTCAGTTGGGCTCTGAAGCAGCCAACAGGATGATTAGCGAGGCGTCAGCAAATTCCATTCAGCAACAACTGATGCAGGAGAAATCCAGAAGATTTACAGTAGCCTGTAGAAGTTTCTTTGAAAAAGACTTTCACATTATATAGGTTGTGCAAAATTGTATTTTTTTAATAGAATCCTATGCATATATAAGAGTACGGAACGGTACTGACAAGAGTATTATGGCAAATGGCGAAACAGCAAAATCATAACTGCCGTTCTCTACACAATATATATGAAAAAACTTCCGACTGTAAGTTATCATGTCGATATTTCAAAAATATATTCCATATAGCATTTTTATATTATACAAAAGCTCTGGTTTTTCATAATTGTTTTAAACGGACCAGTATGGATTCACACTTAAGGCGTTATTGTTCACACACTCGTATTTATTAAACGTAGCCCACCGCAAAACTTCCCTACTTGGCGTAAAATTATGATAGCCCCCGCCCCTCACCCGAAAATATTAACCAAAAAACCCGAATAAAATAAATACTGCGCATGCGAGAACATATCCGAAGATTTTAACAATTTCCCGCCACAACTGTGAGGCTTAGCACAGTTTATCAGACCTGAACCTTTTATCAAAATTTCAAAATGTAACCTGGTTTTAATTTCTCAAATACTTGAGAAATTTTAAGTTCTGTAAGTGAAATTGATAGCAAAATGTAACAATAAATAATAAAAAACGTCCCATTTTATGCTGGCTAGCCAAAAATTTAATATAATAAGGGCTTTAAGGTTGGTATAACTTGATTAATCTAAATGGAACTCCATATTTTTTTATTTACCACAGAATGTCCCATACCGAACTTTTTGCATTTTCTTACCTTCTGTTCGGACTGTTCGCACTGCGCGATCATGTCGTCCTTGCCCGCGTTGTGCAGGAATTCCTTGACCAAATCGAACACGGGAAACGCCTCCTCGCCGAAGCCGTACTTCAGCTCGTTCAGCCACTGCGAGAACTGCTGCTTCTCGTACAGCGTCAGCAGGTTGTCGAACGTTTTCGCGTGGCCCTCGCAGTCCCTTATTATATCAGCCAATCCCTTGCGGGCGGTGTTCATCGCCTCCTGCGCTTGCACGTACTCGCTGTACAGCGATGGCAGCTTGTAGAGCGAATGTTTGCCTGGGCCCTGCGCCTCCGCCTCTTTGACCAGCGCCAGTTGCTGGTGTAAATCTTGTAGCTGATCCTCGATCTCTTCCAGATCGTTCATCAGGGCAAGACACGTGTTGAGGTGGTCGATTAAGTTGGGAATCTCGTTCAGGATTTCGTCTCTGTTCTCTTGCCATTCGACTTTCATCTCGACGCAGCGAACGTTGAACATCGCCAGGGTGACCTCTCGCTCGAGCTCTTTCTTACTCTGGCGGTGAGCGCCGCCGTCCGCGGTTATCTTGACCCCGCTGCCGAACGACGTACCCGCCAGCACTTCACCCCCGATCGTCCAGTCGATCAGGGGATCGTAGACGAAGGCCTCAAGTAGCGTTAACAGCGTTTCGCGACCTTTTCGCATTATCTTCAGCACGTTCTCGCAAGCTAATCGGAAGATACCCTAAAATGGGGAAATAAACGCTATAAGGTTAAAACTTGAATAAACACTGGCGCCGCATTATTACGATGTGTATCACCTATACGATTTGAGATTTTATTTACATATTTAATTCAATTATCAAATTTAACATACATGTTATTTAAGAATTATACTGGTTTTTTTTTTGATAAATATAATGATTCAAACGTTGGGAATCTATCCCCGTTGGACGATTTTTTCTATCACGTCTAGATTTTTCGATATGATTTTTTTTTATATTTCAAAATTTTGTTTTTTTTTTCAATTTTTTCATTCGTCAACATTACAAAAAGTATATATATATATATATATATATATATATATATATATATATATATATATATATATATATATATATATATATATATATATATATATATATATATATATATATATATATATATATATATATATATATATATATATATATATATATATATATATATATATATTTGAGTATTTGATGTGTAGTTTGAGTTTTTTTTTAAGTAGAGCTAATAAATATAAAATAGCAGTTTGAAAGTTGTTTTAAAATTAATTTTATGTGATTTTAGGTTACAAAATGCCAGGGACTTGTAAAAATTCCTCAGATTGGTTTTGCTACATTTGTGGGGAATACATACTAAAAACACCGCGACATGTCATGACCGATCTGGTTGAAACAGCTTATAAGCTATATTTTGGATTTTCTATCTATGAGCGAGATCAAAGTTGGTTGCCAAAAGTGTGCTGCAATAGCTGCTCAAGAACGTTGAGAGGTTGGCTTGAAGAAAGTCACAAATCCATGCCGTTTTCAATGCCAATGATTTGGAGTGAGCCTCAAAATCGTGAGAATGATTGTTATTTCTGCATGACATCTACACGAGGATTCTCGAAAAAAAAATAGAGATAAGATTGTTTATCGGAACGTCCTATCTGCAAAGAGAACAATTCCTCGTGAAAAAGACAGTTCACCTCCAGTTCCACCAGTTTTTGTTAATATAATTTAGGATTTTTTACTGTAAAACTCAAGCCGCCACATTTTTTTATTTCCTTATAATAATTTATACTTTAATAACATTGTTTTTTAATGAGATAAATATTAAATTAAAAACCTACGTGTGGTACTCATTTGTATATAAGATTCCGTGTTTAGAGCATAAAATAAAATGAATTCATGCATGAAAACAAGAAGGAGAGAAAAAAAAATTTTTTGCAGACCAGTGTTATTTCACTCAATCACGAAGAAACAAACAGGAAGGTTACACTAGATAGGCAAGTCATTAGTCGGACTGCGAGAGCCGTCTACTGGGAAATAAACAGATTATTTTTTTATCGCCTGGAAATTATTAAATGCCATATTCATGTTGTCAGAATTCGCCGAGATCCATTTAAACGCGAGCATCATCGTCCAAATAAACTGCATCACATAAATGTTGGGTGTCGTGTCATAAAAATGGAGGGTTCATTATAAATAATTTAAAAAACGCGCCGGACGGTAATATTCTTTTCGTAATGTGGTCTAGCTTATTTGCAGTACTCAGTTTTCGTGTTTAATTTTAATTTTTAATTTAAAATTAAATTTTAATAGCGCGTACTCGATGATACAAGCTGTTACCGGCGCTGACAAGCATGTTTTGTTATTTTTGTTGGCGACATAGAGAAATCAAATAAAAAAGAGAGTAGATATGTGTATTCGCCAGCGTAAGACACCGGCAAACTAATTTTCAGCAATCTTCCCAAGAGGGATCTTTGACTTCTAAAGATACAGGAACGCATATAGACATTCCAAAATGATTACGGATAAATGTAGCTAAACGAAATACAAATTTAAAATTAAATAAAGTAATACACGAACATATTGCTAGAAAAGTGTCTCGAATTCTATATAAGTTTTCTCCGATTTTTGCGAACGCTGTGCTATTAAAAGTGATTAGCATAATTTTTTTTATTTTGTTATTGGATTATTTGTTTATTTAAATACTTTAAATATTTTGTATTGACTCCCAACTATTTTTAACTTCCGTATCTCAAGTGCGTATAAATGGGCAACTAACATAAACATATATGAATGGAAACCAGAAACGCATGAGACGTTGCTAGAATAGCACGGACCGTGAAAGCAAGCTAGTTAGATCTAAGGAACAGAATCATATTTTTTGTAATCATGTAATTTAAAGTTTTGTAGTATTATATTATTGGGTTGTTCGGAAAGTCATTTCGTTTTTTTTTTGGGAACATGAAAGACAGTTTTCGTATAATGAATAAATATTTTATTAAATTATATATTGGCCATTCTGGTCCAACACCTTTTGCCATCTTTCTGGCAGTAACATAATTCCCCTCTCATAAAAGTTTTGGTCCTTGCTGGCAAAAAACTGGTTCAGGTGGTTTTTGACATCTTCATTTGAGGTAAAGGTTTTGCCATCCAAAAAATTTTGCAGGGACCGGAACAAATAGTAGTCGGAAGGCGCCAGATCTGGAGAATATGGTGGATGTTGCAGTACGTCCCATTCAAGCTGTAAAAGTTTTTGGCGAGTGACCAAACTTGTGTGAGGTCTCGCATTATCCTGGTGGAACACTACACCCTTCCTGTTGATTAATTCGGGCCTCTTCTCTTTAAGTGAATCATTCAATTTGTCCAGTTGATGACAATGGACTTCTGAATTAATCGTTGTATTGTCCGGCAAAAGCTAAAAAAAAACGATTCCTTTGACATCCCACCAAACGGAGAGCATCACCTTTTTTTGGTAAATGTTGGCTTTTGACACGCTTTGAGCAGGTTCATCTTTTCTGCTTCATGACCTCTTGCGTTTAACATTGTTGTATACAACCCATTTTTCGTCCCCAGTAATAATCCGCTTCAAAAATGGATCATTTTCTTGACGTTTGAGGAGCGAATCACACAAGTCAACGCGACGACACAAATTTCGCTCCGTAAGGACATGGGGCACCCACACATCGAGCTTCGAGGTTAAGCCTATGCCTTTCAAATGGCCATAAACAGTCGAATTCGACAAATTTAATCTCTCACCGATCTCTCGTGTGGTTATTCGCCGATTTGCATCAACTAATGCCTTTATCGCATCTTCGACCGGCCTTCCAGACCGTGGTGCATCTTCGACATCAAAATTGCCGGATCGAAATTTTGCAAACCAGTTCTGGCACTGGCGTACTGTTAACACGCCTTCTCCATACACATCCGTCAATTTTTTTCTCGCTTGGACAGCATTTTTACCTTTTCTGAAGTAAAAAAGTAAAATATGACGAAAATGCTGCTTATTGCTCTCTATATTTAAAAGGGCACCAACCAAAAACTACTGCGTAGAATTAATCGAACTTTTTCACACACAAGCCTTGCAATATCAGCTCTCAAGACATATAATGGTTATGCGGCTTAAGTGTGAAGTTGGTTTCGAAAAAACGTAATTAAGTCCTCTGACGGGAAAAAACGAAATGATTTTCCGAACAACCTAATATTATGCCGTATGTTAATCTTTTTGACAGCGTAACAGATTATTTCATACAATAAACAATTGTTGCGTTTACGTAACTGTTTATTTGATAATTAAAAATAAATCTCTTTAAAAATCGCAAAATCACCAACAATTAAGCGTTTGTCTTTAAATGTATTATACGAGGGTCACTTGAAAAGTTCTCAACCTCACTCTGAAGATGAGGGCACTAGTTAGTAAAAGTTAGTTTACAGAGCCGGATAGTATGTTATGAGAAACCGGCTCGTAATAATTTACATATACGAGGGTCACCCGACCTAACAATGATGACAGTCTCCTTGTAACTCTATACAGTTTTTGCGGCGATGCTCCCATCCCTCTAACCCGTCCACATAGTACCCAGAATTTTCGCCGCGAAATAATTGTTGATGAAAATCTTCGTCTTTCGAAGGCAGTTTTCAGATGAAGGAAGAAAAAGAAGACGCTTGGAGCTAGACCTGGTGAGTAAAGCCGATGGTCAAGCAGTTCAAACCGTAATTCGCGGATTTTCGCCATGGAGAGTGCTTTTTTCGGTGTATGGTTCATGACGGTGCAGAGCTACTAAACTTTAATTTGCGTAGGCGTATTGCCTTTCAAAAACAAATATTTTATAACAGCTCTATACTCAAGTTTTTCCATTTTCACGAAAGCACTCACATCGACTTTAGTAACTAGTGCCGCCATCTTCGGGGTGAGGTTGGAAACTTTTCAAGTGACCCTCGTATAATACATGAAGATACTGACAATTCCTTGTTGGTGATTTTGCCATTTTTAAAGTGATTTATTTTTAATTGTCAAATAGACAGTTACCTAAACGCAACAATTGTTTATTGCGTGAAATAATCTTAAATTTGTATTTCGTTTACACATACACATATCTACACTCTTTTTTATTTGATTTCTCTATGTCGCCAACAAAAATAACAAAACATGCTTGTCAGCGCCGGTAACAACTTGTATCATCGAGTGCGCGCTATTAAAATTTGGGCTCGAACGAAAACAGATGTTATGATGAATGGTAATGAAATTGTTTGCGCATTGATAAACACGAAAATCGAGTACGGCAAATACGCTGGGCGCCATTACGCAAAAGAATATCACAGTGCGGCGCGTTTTTTTAATTATTTATAACGAATCCTCCGTTTTTCTAACGCGACACCGAACATATATGTGATGCGCTTTATTTGGACGATGATGCTCGCGTTTAAATGAATCTCGACGAATTATGACAACATAAATATGGCATTTAATAATTCCCAGGCGATAAAAAAATCTGTTTATTTCCCGATTGTTCGACGGCTCTCGTAAATCTTTCCAAAAATTCGAACAAAGCACGCATTAACCGCAGGATCGGCACAAACTTAATATAAATGTTATTACACATTCATAGTTAATTAATATGGGTGTATTAACACTATCTAGAGTAAGCACAGATAAACGGACCCGCAAAATATCGTTATCGTAGGACCCGTTCGTCGTTATTTTTGGATAAACGCATACGCGGAACCTAATGGATTTCGTTTTTATTCAATATTATTATTGCTTTGGCGATTTCAACACGCGCTGCAATCAACAAACGCATTCGCCACCGTTTCTTGCGTAGTTTTCAAACGACCGGTTTTAAAATAACCGGAAATTAACCGCGTTTCGTCAAATTTTAGGTTAAAATATTCCCATTTTAGAGAGTTCAATTTTCTCAAATATTTGTGAAACACGACGCCTACGGCTTGTGTTGTCTCTAAAGTCTAAAAGTTATTTAATTTAGGGCTCAAATTAAATACAAATTATTAATTTGAGCTGTTGAAAGAGCCCACAGCCAAAAATTCACCGCTTATTTTTATTTTTTTCAATTTAAGTAACTAGAAACACAAGTTTCTTCGCTTTGGTCTCGTGTTCGTTGGGGTTTGGTTTTGTTTAATGTTAATTAGGTTGCTTGTGAGAAGAAAAACTTTATATATCTTGTATAAAACACAACGTATAAAAAGCTGACTAAAATAAAACAAGTTTAACAGTAATATAAACTTAATAGAAATATTACAAAACGCTTTATACACACATATATTTTACTATTGTACTAAGTGTTGAATAGCGAATAATTCATAGTTTTTCTTCTTCTTCTTAGTTCTAGGGCAGCTGTGAAAAGTTTCACAGCCATTTTTTTTTATTGTGATATAACAAATATAAATCGAATTAGACAGAGCTGACACACGTCAAAATGTCATCAGTGTTTAAAATCTGCCGAAAACATTCGATTCTTATATTGAATAGCGAAATATTCTGACAAGTTCAATTAATAATCAATTTTAAATCTACCGAAAACATCCGTTCGCTCCCAAGTCGTGACTAAAATACCGGAAAGCTGACGTTTTAAAACGAAACTTCGCGGACGCCTGATTATTGAATAATTTTTTTAGAGCAGAAAAAATACTTTTCCTATTAAGATTTGCGTTAGTTTTTTAGTCTACAACATAGTTTCCCATGGATTTTCATAATTTTATAGCAGATTAATTTCCGTCTACGGGGTGAGTTAATTTCTGAAGAAAATCGTTAGTTCATATTTATTTCAAATGTAACAAAATTCAAATTATCCAGCATACTGTGTTGTGCTATACTTTGTCATTAAACCAATAAAATAATCATTAAGTCTATAAACCGATAATTTATTATTTTGTTATTATTTTTAGTGTATGGAGGGTTCTATTTTGTAAGTGATTCTCAAAGGAGTTCTGCGAATACGAAAATACAAATACAATACAAATGCTGTTAGTTTGCTAGTTTAATACTGTAATAATAATAATAATAACAATGATAAAAAACGTTTTTTTTTTATTAGTCAAACAAAAAAAAACATATACATATTCACAATATAATACAAACAGTTCCAACTGAACCCCAAATCGTCGGATTATTGCATAAGGTTGCATAAATTAAATTATAATGTTGTAAGCTGGAGGTATAATGTAACTTAAGATTAATAAAACTATATACACTGACAGAAATTGGGAGCTACAATACAAGAGAATCTGTATAGGAGAAAAAGAAAGTACATGTAAAACAAAAAAGCATGTTTATGGACATTAGCATTGCACACTAAACAGGTAACTCTTATATCGTTTTTTAAATATGTTTTCTTCAAGGGAAGTGAATTAATTCGTTTGGTAAAGAGTTATAAAATTTAATACAGTTATAAGTAAACGATCTCTGGAAGATTGCAGTCTGGTGACGTGGCACAGTGATTTTATTAATAACTCTGACATTCCGTGCGTGTACCGTCTCCCGAAAAACAAACCTATTACTTAAAGATAAAGGTAGCACAGGGTTCGTTAGGACCTTCATCGCAAAATTACCCAAATGAAGTGCTCTGCGATTCTCCATTTCCAACCAATATTTAAATGTATGAACATGTATTTTGCACTTTTTGAATTCTATTTTTGTGTGCTACATCAAGACAAGGACCATAAATAAAATCACAGTAAAAGAGAACTAAATATATGTCTACTGTTGTATATCATTTTTAATGAAAGATATACCATTGAATATATTCCCTAAAGCGCAACTCCGTATCCAATATAACATGTTGTTTCAAAGCAAATGCGAAAAATTTAAGGTCGCAATTCCTTGTTGAAAATAAAGGGCAGTTTGTTATGTAAACATAGGTAAGTCGGAAATTAGGGAGGTGCTACAACTAATGTTTTTATTTTAAATATTACGAAAGTATTACTATTACAAAAATACACTTTCTGCATAGTTTTTATTTTATTAAAATGAGTGGACGGTCATGAATTAGGTTAAACCCCTATGATTCTTCTAAACTAAATTTAAGGAAAAAATTTATGCAAAATTTATATTTTACGGTTTATTTAGAAACTTTTATCTCTTGCAATCTCTTCATAATACTTAACTTTCAACCTAAACAATAAAATCTAAAGCAATGCATAACGAGATAAAAAAAATAAATAAAGACAATCTAGTGTGCTGGTGTCCCTTTCTAAGACGTTTCTAATTATCGTTAAATTCGACTAATGTATTCAAAAATTTATTATCTAATCATTTAATAGTTCAATAATAAGAGTTTTAATTCAATAATGGTGAATTACACTAATAACGAAATGACAGATATGCATTTTATAGGCGGGCGTGCAAACAAAATTATATATTATGCAACAAGTAGGGTAATACTATACTTTTTCTACGACCGTTAGTTTTTGGGTACATTTTCGCAAAACAACACGAATACGTTCACTGACATGACTGTCAGAATTGACAAATGTCAAAATTCAAAGCGTCGGAAATATCTCCGAAAATATCCGATTGCTCCCAAACCCGTGCGGTAAAATCCCAGAAATGTTCGAAGTAGCTCGGATTCGTGGGAAACGAAACTGACGTGGTAAAGTTTATAGTATCAGAAATGTTGATTTACCCATTATTTCTAAATTGAAATTGTTTTAGAAGATAACTGGTAAATGTTGGTGCCAACTAAATTATTTTTCTAAAGTAACTTTTTTTTTCCATATGCATATTTGTGAATGTCTCTAGGATTTCTGTAAATGTCCATTCAAGTTAAATCTTCAAAGAGCTCGTTAGATTTCCGCGGATTATTGAGGGTTTGTTTATAAAAAATGCATATCGCTTGCTAAATGCATTGAAGTCCTCACTAGAGATTAATAGTATTTAATGATGTTCATTAGAAAATGTTATTTTTTCCTTGATGATTTAAGTTTACCAGTTCATGTGATGTAATTTACAAAACGCTCTATCGTAATTCTTGGATTATCAAGACTTTACTTTTTTGATGTTTGCATTCAGCAATTTACCCTTCGGCGTGTACGAAACGAACCCCCACCACCCCGCCGCGCGCACATCATCCCACCGCCGATCCGGTTACGCGCGCCGCCCCAACGCGGTGGCGGCGGCCGCCGCACACGAGTCCTCCGCCTCTCGCGAGACACACGCTCGACTGTCATGGCGACGCCCCCTACCGAACGACTCTGAAGACGCGCGATCATGCAAGAAGTGCTGAACAAAAGCAATCCGATATCGTCGACATGGAACTGTTCAGGCGAAGCTTATTGCGGCACGAACTTTTGGTTCACCGTCAACGTGCTCATCACTGTCGTCACGATATCGGGAAACCTGCTGACCATTTTCGCGATACTCCTCAGCAGGCACCTGTCTTCGATGGTCGCCAACCAGTTCGTGTTCAGCCTCGCCGTCAGCGACTTCTTTGTCGGCTGCTCGTTGCCGTACCACATGGCGTTCTACGTCATCGACAATTTCGGCGCGGACCGCCTCAACTGCCTCCTGAGGTTCCTGCTCATCCAGTTCGCGTGTTCGAGCTCCATCTGCAACCTACTGCTGATCGCGACCGACAGGTATATCGCGGTCATTTACCCGCTGCACTACGCGAGCAAAGTGACCCGCAGGACCTCGCTGACGATGATCCTCGTCGGGTGGGCGTTCAGTTTTTCGCTGGCCGCGGTCCTTCTGGTGTGGAACGAGTGGCGGGATGGTAGCCAGTGCGAATTGGTGGTGGTCGTGCCCGCGAATTACATGAACTTCATTGTGTTCCCGATGTTCGTGCTCACCTGGAGCATAATGCTGTTGCTGTACAGCAGGATCTGCAGGGAGGCGACCGGACACGCGCAGCGGATACGCAGCAGCAATCAGAGCATACCGGCACTCCGGGATTCCAAGTCGTTTCAAGTACGTTCAAACAAACACTTTCATTTTTTATGCGTCGACCATACACACCCAACGTACTTGAACTTGTGCTGTGTGTTAAACAATGATCTAACTTGGCTGTCATTGAATTATAACTGCTCGATTGTGCATGACTCGAATAAAAATAACATACAGGATGTCCAAAAAAAATACGAGCAATCTTCATAAAATTTAATAAAAACATCAATGAAATAACCTCTCATTGAAATATATTTAGTTTTATTCATATACTGGTGAAAGCAAAAAAAGATACAAACTGAGAGTGGACGAATAAAAAAAAGTATCACACGCTGGGTGCTAAATTAACTACTACTTAGAATAGTGCTGTATTTTGAACAACGCTCTATTTCGGGTCAATTATCAGTTGCACAGTACGTCCCAAAATATGTTTGTTGTTGAAATTTCTGTCTTCTCTTTCTTCTGTGTGTTTATGACAAAATATGACATTATGAAAAATTTGCACACACAAATTTATTTTGACTCATTTTTTTGTAATAAATCGTGTTATTCAAAAAAAATCTGTATTTTCCAAATAAATAGATAGGATTAAAGATATAATCAAGACATGGATCGCCCTGTATCTAAAACTCCAAGATAGCTGACATCTCTGTTTCATTTTATAAAAAAGTAGCTTTAGATCCCCAAAGCCGCAACAAGATGATTAATAATCGAGGTACGTCGTAAAAAACCTAAAACAATTGACCGAAATAATTTTAAAAATACAATGAAATTTATAATTATTTATATACTGGATATTTTCGATATATATAATCGAGGTACGCCGTAAAGAACATAAAACAATTGACCGAAATAATTTTTAAAATACAATGAAATTTGTATTTATTTATATACTGGATATGTTTATTTATTCATTTATTTTTATTGCCCGAAGCGCTAAGTATTATATTAATGTATTGCTTGAAGAGGGTTATAGGTAAATTGGACATCACAATAGTTTATTACAAAATACATATTATTATTATTATTATTAAATAATGATAGATAACACTTTACAATTGCAAGATATTATTTAAAACATTTTGATCGAATTTTACTTGCCAATTAAGGAGAGGTCAATTGACCACCCCAACACTAAACAGTGTACAATTTTCTCAGTTTTGACAAAACTTTATATACTCTGAAAAGTAAAATGTTAAAGTCCCCTTCATATAACTTTAATAAAAACATAAAAGGTCCTCTGAGGTATATTTTTGAAAACATTTGGTTTTTCTAGTTTAATAAAGGCGGATTAAGCTTTGCACCTTAACGCTTAAAATATTTAGCATATTAATCAATAACCTCAAAAAAATTGTATGTTTTCGATAAAAAAAACTATTTTTGGGACAAAGCAATTAGACCAAATAATGTATTTTTAACAAAAAATAATTACCAGTGGAAAATACGAAAAGCATTGATAAGGTAGCAACCTTAAAACTCATTAAATTCTATTTGTTGTGCTCCTTAAAATAAAAAAACGATTTTACAGAAAATAAATAAGACTATAATTTATTTTATAGTTGCGGAAGGTTAGTCCGGCTCTGTCATGCGAGAAAACTATTTTAAGAAATCTTTGAAACAATACAAGTTTTACGTTTTCATTTAATACGCATCTCGTACTTTGGCTTGTATTTTCAGCATTTCTTCGAGAGGGGCATCTTCAACATGATACATAAATAAGTTCTCTAGCAGCTTAACTGAATGATTGGTGGTGGTCCCAGATCAACTTCTTCATCTTCTTCTTCCTCTTGGTGCTCTTCCTCACCCTTTCTTGCTTGTTGTAATATGGCTTCCTCTGTCAAGTCTGCTGTTGTAGGCAAAGCCTGATCTGTCACCATAAAATCTTGCAACTCCTCACTTGTAAACGTAATTCTTGTTTGAAACTGCTTTCTTTATCCACTCGCTTAGTGTCCTGTCGCATTCTGTCTCGGTAATAAGTCCTGCATGACGATAGGAGTGTTGAATTGTTTCTGCTGTCACCTCTTTCCAAGCTTTACTAATAAAGTTGACTGCATCTATTATATTAATGGAAAATTTGTCTTCGGACTCGATCATTTCCATTAAAATATTTTTCCTGTAACGACTCTTTATTACGCTCTGGCCCATCGGCTGTAATACACTTGTTTTGGATGGAAGAAATGCCAATTCAATATTCCGTAGATTTGGAATATGGGGATGTGCAGGGCAGTAATCTAAGAGAATTAATTCTGCATCCCATTTCCGTATCTCCTCTTCAAAAATTTGTGATGTCATCCATGCACACTTGTTTGCCCTGTAAGTGACCATCGTGGGTTAGTTGATTTTCCAATCACGACTAGCTTTATTTTTTCTCTCCCACTCATATTGGCAGCTATTTTACCCTGTTATACGTTCTTTAGAAAATTTTTCACCCACACACTTTTCGCTTCGAAATTTAAGAGTTTTATCGGTCGTCATTTTGTAAAAAATACCAGTTTCGTCAGCATTAAAAACGTCGTCAGTAGGGTACTTTTCTGTTAGTTTTGACCACGTCTTCTCCAGTTGGCTCGTTAGTGACGTTTCTGTCGACATCACGGGCTTCGCCACTTATCTGCCCCATGTTTCTGTTTGAACATCCCCAACTATCCTTCCGAAGCCTTGAAATCGATAATGCCCAGTTGTTCAGCAAACTTTTCTGCTTTTAGTTTTACGATAAGTCCAGAGAGTGGTACATTTTTAAGACGTTGCTGTTGGAACCACTGCAACATTGCCAGATCCAAATCGTAAAATTTTGGATTTTTTTATTAGAACTTCCTGCCGCGTCAGCCTGAATGATTTTTTCTTTGCACTTCCAAATCGTGGATACAGCCGACGGTGTTAGTCCGTATCGACGTCACACATCACTTTTCTTTTCTCCCCGTTCTATCTCCCGAAATATCATTAGTGTACCAGAGCCAGACCAAATTTTGCTTATAAATCAATTTTTTCATACATAAATACTATTTTTAGACGTCCTTGCCACAACATAACTTTTACGCTTTTATTTAATTACGTGAAATTATTCAAGAAATTCAAATTTCCAGGGGCGTCTTTAGGAGCTGATATCTGTGTTATGTAACGAGGCTTGTAAGAAAAAATGTCACATTCGTGTTTCACCTGTGGTGTCAAGGCCGACAACTATCTGATTTGACTTCTGGCGCAACGACCCCCCGCAAGCGAGCTTAATAGCGATTTAATTAGGAATTGAAATCCTATCGCGATTCTCGCACGTCGTTTAATGATGGATGCACTTCCTGTAGCGCTTCGACGCGATTGTTTACCTGCCAATATGCGCCGCGAAAACCTTTTCGAAAAAACAATCAAACATGCACCTGCTCCCGTGATGAGCCTTTGATACACATTTCAATCGGCTCGACGGACATTTAGATACAATCGCTTCGTTTCCGTTTAACGGCAAACGCTTTCCAACAGACTTGGTTGTGGCACCTCCTGGTGTATGTTAGAAATGATGGGTGTGACGTATCTAAATATTTTCTAGCGTTGCTGCAGATATAATTAGTTTCTTAATTGCCTCTTCGAGATGATTATAATTTTAATAATTAGATAAGCTAGATAAATCAAAATATTAAAATACAGAAAAAGAAATAATTTTTTCTCTTTCTCTCAACTACATAACCTCTCTAACTTAAACTTATAATTTTTAACTTGAGCCATGAGTTTGGGAGCTATCGAAAGTTTTCGGTAAATGGTACATGATATTATGACGTTTGACCGTCGTACCCAATTGCCGTGCGGGAAGTGTCAGTTTACCATGTCACCTCATGATATTCACAAATATGCATATGAAAAAAAAAGTTATTTTAGAAAAATAATTTAGTTGTTACCAACATTTACCAATTATCTTCTAAAACAATTACAGTTTAGAAATAATGGGTAAATCAACATTAAAGACAAGAAATTTTTCTACCACGTAAGTTTCGTTTCCCACGGATCCGAGACAGTTCGGACATTTCCGGGATCTTACCGCACGGGTTTGGGAGCAATCGGATGGGTTCGGAGATATTTCCCACGACTTGACTTTGGACGTTTAACAATTCAGACGGTCATGCGTTGTTTTGCAAAAATGTACCCAAAAACTAACGGTCGTAGAAAAAGTATAATAGAAGTATAGTAGAAGAGGAAAGTAGAAATAAACAGGCAGAAAAGAAAGGAAAAAGGAAAAAAGAAGGGAATAAAAATAACCAAGTAAACATGCATAAAATGATAAATGACGAGCTGATATGACCAAGTATATTATGCCCGATAACTTGCTCTATATATAATTTAACTTTTGGCTTAAATAAAGCAGTCAACTTAAGGAATTCAGGGAGTCTATGATAACTTTTGAATGCTTGATATTAAGGCAAAATATCATAGCCGTCTTAAGGAGCCTACATTAATTATACCAATCTAATTTTTTTGTGAGGTGCAATCTCATTTTCGAGTACCTCTCGCTGCATTTATAACAACAAACTGTGAAGGACTAAAGAGAAGGCGACAAATCACAATGTCAATTTTTCCAAGAAACTTCCACAGGCTACTGGAATACTTTTCACATGCGTCGGTTTTTGTGGAATCAAACTTGATTTTTGCCTTGTAATTGAACGTTTTAAAATTGCCACTAGAAGGGCCGCGCTCTGTCATTTTAAACGTAAGTTCATTTGACTCTGGGACTTGCAGCCTTTTCACAAGTAAAAATGAGGTTGTGTGGCGAACCCCTAAAAAATAACTTCGCAAATTACTAAAGATCACTTAATAAAAATAATCTAATTTCACTCTCTGCTGATTCTTCTTCTTCTTCAGCCTCTAGACATTCACTCCTGGACATAGGCCTCCTCTTCCAGTGATTTCCATGCCAACCTTTGCTGTGCGGTTTGCATCCAGTTTTTCCCAGCATGTCGTTGAATATCATCTATCCATCTCGCTTGAGGACGCCCCACAATTCTTTTCGTTCTCCTTGGCCGCCACTGTATTACTGTTTTGGTCCATTTCAAATTGTTTCTAGCAACGTGTCCTGCCTAACGCCACCTGAGACTCATTATCCGCTCTACAACGTCACAGACCCTTGTTCTTCTCCTTATCTCTTCGTTTCTGATCCTCTCTCTCCCAGCATTGCCCTCTCTATTGCTCTTTGACAGACTCGGAGTCGATTTGCACTGCCCACTGTAAGTGTCACAGTCTTGAGTACATATGTTGTTACTGGGAGGATACACATATTGTAGACCTTCTTTTTCAAACTCACTAGTATAGTTGGGTTGCGGAAGATATACCTAAGTTTCCAGAATGCTATCCAGGTGAGATTGATTCTTCGGGTGATCTCTGCTGTCTGATTTTCGTTCCCAAGCTGGATGTTGTGTCCTAGATATATATATCCCTTGACATTTTCTAGCTCGTGATTTTCAATGGAGACCTTTATATTGTCAGGGCTCAGAAGTTTAGTTTTTTGGAGGTTAATTTTGAGGCCTACAGCTCTGCTGATTATCCGCATCGAATTATCCAATTCGCATAAAGTTCATAGCATCCAAAGAAATTAACTTACCTTCCAATTTCAAATATTAACGACGTAAATTATTGGTTGGCACTAAAAAGACTAATACAAAAATTACCAAGCCGTTGCAGTTTCTTGCCAAAATTATGTAACTTTACTGTTTCGTGAGAACGGCTCAAGCAACGTTTGTATAGTCACACTTAATACAGGTCATTTGTAAACAAAGGATTAACCGTTGAAGGCTTTATAATTCTATATTCTATAAATTTCCCGGAAAAGTAACGATGTATGATGTTCGATGTAACGAAAAAGGTTTTTTTTTTTGGTCCGATAAAATTGCAAACTCGTGCAACAAAACGCGAAGGCAACGAACGCCGATCCTTTGTGAAACGAGATACGATCGAATCGAATTTTCCGTTGCGCATTACCGCACGCAATCGTTTCGCAACCCGTGTGTGCTAATACCGTTAAAATATGTTAACGGCCGCAATCAACGCGATGCGTATTTTCCGCTAGGCCGCATTACGGATAAACCGAAACTGTTGATCTGTGGTCCTGTCAAAAGCACAGCTCGGTCCACTGGTCAGCACTTTTCCCCCTTGTGGATGCATAGTTAACACAGGGGAGTGCATGATGTAATTTCTACATGTATTTTTTCATGTAAATATTGCAAAGTATCTACCATAAAATTGCAAGAGATTTTTTTCAAATCTGTGAGTGTAAATCGGCGCAAAGCGTTTGTTTTCATGAACGTATCTTCTATGAAAAAATGTAAATAAAGTCGAAAACATGAAAGATGACTCTTAAAAGTCTAAATATAACTTTATAACATACTAAATATCGCACAGGGAAAATGTAAGTGCAAAAAATGTTCATGAAACAACTGTAGCACCTCATTCTCCATTGCAAGTCCAGTAATTGCAAATAAACGTTCAATCCTCATTTCTCTCGTTTCTGGAATTGGGGATTTTTCTTACGCACCCACAAGTCATCATATGGGTGCTAAAAACATTTTTGCATATAGTTTAGTAATTTGACACTAAGAAACGCTACAAGTATCAGTTGTATCAAAATTTAAAAATCAACCTTTAAAAACAAAAATTCTACCAAAATAATGAAGTCCAGTTTGATTGAAAAAATTGCATCGTGTTCTAGCATAAAAAAATTCCAGTTAAAAATACATACATTTTTAAAAGCAATTTTTTTCTGCTAGAAATACATGTAGAAATTGCGTCGCATCTACTGGGCCTGAAGCGTTAAGTGAAACATAACTTTTCAAATGTTGACTAATCAGCTTGTTCAAAATCGCAAAATATTCTGCTTTGTTGAGAGAAAATGGACGAAAGACGTATTCTAGAATGAATTACGGTTGATAAAAATGTTGACTGGTTGGCGGTTATATTTGTTTAAGCATACACCTCTATGCACTTCTCTGAGTTTACTTTTATGATCAAATCGTTTATAACCTAGTCCTCTTACACTGATTAATCCGACTGTTCACTTAGAACGGAGATAACCATTTTCCCTCATGCCCATTGCTGTATGATTTTGAGGAAGCCAAGTATAGAATTTCTAATATACTAATGTAATTCATTATTGTATAAAATGCGAAAAAAATTGATAGTTAATTTTATTAGATATTCCGATGGCTAAAATACATTATTCGATCAAACAAAATGCCAAGAAACCGATAGCACCTAATATAAGTAAAAAAAATATATACTGTAATACAAAATACACAATCATAACGAGTTATATTAAGTATAATGAAGTTATTTAATTATTAACATTTACACTCACTTTTTTTTTATTTAAAAAAAGTTGATTACAATAACACGTTTATCACGATTATTCTAATATTCGTTTCATTCGTTTTAGTAGTTCGCCATATGTACATTCGTACAGTGCAGAACGTGCCCCCGATATGAAATGGAGAAAGGTGAAAAAAAAAAAATGAAAGACGTGAATGGAGACAGATTGAATATACCCGTGTCGAGTCGATGACGAAATTAATGAACTACGGGGGGGTCGCCATGTTTGCCGGCATATGTTATTGATAACGGACGCTTAATATCTTGTCCCGGAAATGATGTGTCGTCGATGATTGACTAATCCGATCGATAGCGGGGTGGGCGATTGAATTTCATCATAACATTATCACTTACAGATGGAAATTGAAAGTTAAACTGGCTAAACTAGCAATGCCGCGTCGCCTTCTTATTAATTAAATTAATTAATTAAATACGCATTGCATATGCATGCAAGACAAAAATCAATAAAAAAGATAAATTCAGCAGTACGCTATTGCTTTAAAGCAGCAGCCAGTGACCTTCATATCAAGTAGATAAGTAAATGTGGTTTTTTTCCAACACCATAAGAGGCCTCTTCTGGTAATACTTCAAAGAAAAGCATCTGGCAGTGCCGTGTACTGCTGGCGGCAAAACATTGCAGATCTCTCCTGGGTTAAAATGACGTGGAAAATAATATAAACAATATTGTCTGTCTGTCATAACTTCAGTATGCCATAATTAGTCAAGCAGATACATCAAAGGCTGATTCGAAACGTACTGAAATTGACAACATCGCGGCAAATAGCATATTATGCAACAAGTGTGGTATTTGAGTCACAGTTTATTTGGCCTGGGCGTAGCGAGTGACTTAATAAAAGTTTACCGAACGTGATTCATACTATACTTTTTCTACGACCATTAATTTTTGGGTATGATTTTGCAAAACAACGTGAATACATTCACCGAAATGGTCGCTCCCAAACTCGTGCGGTCATATCCGAAGTGGCTCGCAGCCATAGCAAACGAAACTGACGCCGTAAAACGTCACTTTCCGCACGCTAGGTCGGTGCATAATTGGATATCTTAGAGAAGGGAGTAAAAAAACAATATTTTTTTAGAACTAAACATGAAGGTATACACTGAAATTGACTTTTGAATATTTTATAAATATTACGTTGTTTGAGGAATCAGTACATTATTCAGTAAAAATACTAGTGAGTGACACTGAATTTGATATGCTGCCAAATAGTGAGAATTCTCTGAAAATTATCAACTATCATTTTACCAGTTTTCTATGGTCTGGAACTAAACTAAAAGTTCAGATTTTCACGAAATTATATATTTTTACATGACAATTGTTTCGACAACACCGTGTCTTTACCAAATGTCACATTTGATAAAGACACCGTGTTATCGAAACAATTGTCATGTAAAAATATATAATTTCGCGAGAATCTGAACTTTTAGTTCTTATTTATTTTGATAAATAGATTGTCATCAAGTAAAAGCCACCTCAGTTCAATTTTTAAGCACATGTCAATGACATCGGGTGCGTAGTGTTGGGACTGATTGATGGACCGGTCAATTAACCACTTCTTAATTGACTAATCAAAAAATGTTTTAAATAACATCTTGCAATTGTAGAGTGTTACCTATTATTATTAAATTTATTAATTTAGTAATTATCAATAAATTAATATTATTATAATTTATTATAAATTATTATGCTTTTGTGACATCCAATTTACCTATAACCCTCTTCAAGGAATACCCGAATAGGATACCTAGCGATTCGGGGAATCTCAATAATAATATCGACTCTATTTGGTTCCTAGAACCACGCGACGGCGACGTAACGCACAATAAAAAATTAGTATTTTTAAAATTATTTAAGTCAATTGACGCAAAAAAATATAACCGGTCAATTACACAACCCTATCATAGTGAGCAATAACCGATTGCTGTGTCACACGCTAAGACAACGGGTATCTCAGCGGTGGTTTATTTTTAAAAATATTATTATTCTTATAGTTATTCGACTGAATTAAAAAAAGATACTCGCATTGTACAAGCATTGTAGCTCTTTCTCTCTCTCTCTCTTTGCAATTTACAAACAGTTGGGCAAGACAATTATGGCCATTCGCCCATTGCCGACGTCCGCCGAGAAATTTCGCTCTCATGTACAAAGAAGAATATAACCAACATTTGCTCAGCTAACAAAAAACGATTCTGACCAATACCAAAAAAAAAAACCGACATCCCCCGCTTCCACCACGGACCATCCGTGCCCATCCGGCCTCTATACCGGCGTGAACGGGAAAAAACGACAGGGCCGACGAAAAACGCTAAATCCACACAGTGGAAACCGGTAACAAACTTTTGGGGACGAATACAAGGGATTCTGTCGGGAGCGAACGGAGGTTAAACCGCCGCGTGCAATGCTCATCGATCCAAATTAAAACTGGGAATCTTGCAAGTAACTTAACTTAACCGCATACATTTTGTCCAAACGCATTAACTGTGAGCCACCCACAAATAAATTTTTTATCTCTCGCTTTCGCAGGTGATGCTGACGATCCTCGGCTATTTCACCGTCTTCTGGATGCCGTACCTGATCATTGCGATCTGTGCGAGATACTACCGCGAACGCAACTTCGCCCTCCTCTACGAGGTGGCGTTCAACCTGGCGGTCGCGAATTCCGGCATGAACCCGGTGATCTACGCGTGGAAGAATCGCAACTTTCGCGACGCGTTCCTCAAGCTGATCCGGTGCAAGTCGCCGGACGCGCAGCCCTGCGGCGCGAACTACGTCACAGACCATGTGCCGAGCAAGAAGAGTTCGCTCGCGGTCCACGCGGTCTTTGGCGTGGTCGACGAAAATGTCGCTAGGACGGATAACGGCTGTTCGGTGTCTATGCCCGGTTCCGACACCACGGACGTAATCGAAATAACCGAAAGCACGGTGGAATGACTACGAGAAACAATAAGCCAACTCCCTGTCATCGGTCTCTTCGATGTTAATAATATCGACCAATATCGATGCGTTCGCTAACCAGAAATTAATATTTCACTAGGATTCTCCGTATCTATCATCGAAGCTCTCTGGTGTATAGCATAAATTCAAATTCAAAATACAGAAGTGCATCTCTGTCGCAGCCGACGAAAAATAGCGGCCTGGGCGCGTATTGCCGGTATTCGTGGTCACGTGACAGTAACAGATCCAGGATTGAAATAGGCTACATTGCAACAAAATAGTTTCCTAAAGGTTTCCTTTAATATTAATTATCTAAAAGTATTTGGAAACTTATTTTAGAGTCAGGTATTTTTTATTGTATTAGTATCAATTGTTTTTTACATATTTTTACTATCTACAATTATTACAAGCTTTTATTTAACATGCAATCTCACAACAAACTTATCTCCCAGTGATGAAACCTTTTTGGCATTTTCAAAGGTTTTTTGTGTCTCTAGGCTTGCTTGTATCGCTGCCTCCATTTGCTCAGCTTCGATATCAGCCAAACTAACAACATTGGGCTGTGTTTGGGTAAAGTACTTTGGGGCATTCTCGAAAATAGTTGGCACAGCACCTTCCGCTAATTTTGGCCACTCACGAGTATATTCTTTGTACTCTCCTTTAACTAGGCACTTGTCAAACCAAATATCTTTCTCTGCAAAATGTTTTCTACATACAGCTGGTTTCTTTAATTGTCTAATATCATTAGGTATCTTTCTTAGCCAAACTTCTTTTTGATTCTGATTGATTTCTGGTACTTGGTTTTTATCACAAATGCCCACGGGTTTTTTTCTCAAACATTTTAGTTATTGATAACACAAAAAATACAGTTAAAAACCGAGTTTGAAAGTTTAAAATACGGCGGTGTAACCTACAAACACTGATATCCAAAGACACAACTTTGCGGGCAGTTTGCACCGTTGTTTGTCCGATTTATGTCACTTGGCTCTTACTACGAATCCACATGGGTTTTTAAAGCATTCCAGTTATTACTGACACAAAAGAAAACAGTCAAAAAACCGAGTTTTAAACAATTTAATACGAGGGTAACCTACATGAACATACGTGTTTTCCCGGACCGCAGCCGGACTGACTGAAATTGCTGGATCTATTAGAGTCACGTGACTTTCGCGCGGCAGGGCCGGTCTTTTTCGTCGGCTGCGATGTCTGTATACTGACGTCATTCATACGGTCTCAAAAAATTCAGGGTTGGCATACTGATTCTCGCAGAGTTAAAAAAAAGAAGAAGAAACGGCCGTTATCAAGGAAGGACGTGTGCAACGGTGCTACGGTGTTAAGAAGAAGAAACTGGCAAGTGGGTCCGGAGTTGAGGCAGACTTTGAAGTGTGCGTGCTCATTTACAACGTCGGAAAACTGTGATATTAGATATTCTTACGGACGTCGGCCGAAAAATGCTGTGCGAGAAATTTTTAGAAAAAATTGTAATTTTTTGTAACGGGTCACACGTAGTTTTATTTCTAATAGCTTCGCACCGCCGAGGAGCAGACTGGATCCCTCCCCATTTTACTAAGGCATATTTGGGTCATTATTTCACCGGTTTAATCTAGGACTGCTTTTTAGCGAATTACGGGCAAGAAATGCATGTCAAAATTATAGCCCCACCAATTAGAAAAAAAATAACATAGGATATAATTTAAGACCGCATCCTGCGAGAAAATACATTAAACATTTGGATAAAGTATACATAAAAAAATATGTGAAATAATCATCACATTTTTAAAAAAAAGCACATTCCTAGGAACTAAAAAATACGCCACAAAAGATTATACGTATAGCTTGAAAACACAGTTTAATTAACCGCAATCTCGAAGATTTCTGAGGTCAGCACACCTCATTTGAATATTAAAATTTAACGACATAAGGACTATTTATTAGTTCACTGAAAAGCATATTTTAACTGCATTTAGTGCGTTGAATATTAGGACTGATTGACAACACATTTTCATAAATTTAGAATATTATACTTTTTGCGTGATAATTTAAAAGATTTGGCAACAGTGCGTTGTTCAGGCAAGGAGTGGTTAGTTGCCTTGCTCTCGTTTGGGGCCGAAACATCAATTTCGACGCTTGCCTTTAAAAACTATCAAATAGATGCCGCAAACAACTATTATTTAATTGTCTTAATTGTTTCTTGAAAATACACCGCACCGTTAATGAAATATGACAATCCTTTACGTTGTTGCCATTTTGACCCTACATAGCATAAATGAAGGGTTGCGTCTAAGCACAATTTTAGCAGTCTGTGATTATATCAGATGGTTAAACGACCTTTTATAAGACTTCGGCATATGAGGGCATTCATAGAAATATTTCGGGATAGTAAACAACTGACTTACCTCGATCCCGGTAACTCCGAGCGCTTCCCTGACGTTGGGCGTCAATCGAAACGGCACCTTCTCCGGTACCCTCAGCGTTTTGCCTTTTTCGAAGCACACGTTGTAGTCGATGTGCACCACATCGCCGGTTGACAGGTCGATCAAAACATTGTCCAGATGACGATCGCCGAGACCGATAATGTACCCGATGATGCTCATGACGGCGACTGAGTACGAGTATCGTTTGACCACTTGCCACCACGAGCTCGCAGAGACCGAATTGAGCCACAGCTCTTTCGCGAGCAGATCGCACGGCGTCTCGGCCATCAGTTCCGCGAGGACTTCCTTGAGGACGGCCAGGGGCCACTCTTTGCGGTTCTCGATGTTCTTCACGCCGTGTTCGAGCAGTTTGTTGTAGAAGAGTTCCGACGGGCGCAGCACGGTCGTATTATTCGCCGATATGCCTGTGGGTGTACAAATCGATGCGAAAATAAGACGAGAACGGGCTCAGAATTGTTGGAATGAATCTTTAAAATAGTCAGATTTCGTAGGAGTAGGGGTTTATTGTGACGTAAACTTTTCTCCAACTGTTAACAAAACACACAACACCGCAACTTTGTGCTAAATTACCTGAAGCGAATCTGGACCTGATGACGTATACTTGTTAGTGAAATTGCAAATCCGCATAGAAAACATCTCCAAAAAGGCTACTAACTCAAAATTTTGGTAAAAAAGAAATTGTACAACAAAACTAATATTTCAAAATACGAATCTTTGTCTAAAATTTCAACATTTCTCCAAAAATTGAAACATATAACTACCATCCCATTCCCAAAACCGAGAACTGAAAAAAATTGGCCAAAAATTACTACCTACTAACACATTTGCAAAAATATTCCACTAAATACTTAATGAATTTTTGAAAAATAACATAATCACCACCAATTCACTAAATGGGAAACAATTTGGATTTGTAAAAGATAAATCGACAACAAGGCAATTATTGCGATTTGGCAAAAAGGATTAAAAAATTATACAACATAAACACACTTTTTTCCATGAAAGGACTTAGATGAGGGGGTACTACAGGACAGTGGACAGTGAACTAGCACTCTTTGCGGAAGGCACGGCAATAAGCTATGAACCTTTGGGGTTGGGCTTGGCCAGTTCGCGCTGTTGCCATCTCTTGTAGAGGGCGAAAACGGGCGTGGTCCCGTCCACCCACGATATCAGGCCCGATCTCGGCCCCAACGGTATAACCGAGTAGTGTCTCGCGCGGTACAGGTTGTGACCCGCCGGATCCGCGTTCTGCGCCATCATCGTGTTCGCGATGCTCAGGAATTGCATGATGCGCTCGTCTAGATGCAAGTCTTCCAGACCCTATAAACGGAATATTACTCCAAACTAATGGAAAACGCATTCGATAACAAAATTGATAATGGTATATATTTCTCGACTATCCCACATCCTCAAAAAATCTCTGATTGCTGAACCTAGTCAAATCTAAGCCTAAAAAGATGGCGCTAAACTCACACCCGCGATTCAAACTTTTTTTATTGAACCGTAATGGTTCCAGTCATAAAGCCGACATAAATTTTGTGAAATAAATTGTATTTGAACTCTGACGCTTAATAAATTTTAATACAAATTAATTTTGATTAAATTAATTAATGTTTTCTTTGTAATACACGTTAATACTAACGGAAGAAAATTGTAATGATTATTTATACTTATTTTTGTACCTGTTTTTAATGGGTACTCAAATCATTTATTCCCTCTTTTATCCTTCATTAAACTAAGCTGCATATTTTGCGTTTTTTTGGCGGTGACAATCTTGTGCACGTGTATGATATGTACTGATAATTTCACGATGATGTTAATTAACGAACATTTTATTTTAATGTTAATATTTAATCCACATCCAATCGACACAAAAGAAAAAAGGCTTGTGCGAAAATCCTTACGTCGCAAGCCACATGCCTGCAATGAAGCTGATGGTGGTCATTTTCATCATACATCATTAGTAACCAAAGGGTCCAAAACATAAACGTTCATAAAATGCGTTTTGTCAATTTTTATGTTTATTTTTTTACTCGAAAATAATTTTTCAAAGAAACTTCACCACCGGCACATCAGGAAACCGTACATAAAATTTTAGTCGACAAAACTAAAATTCTTGCATGTAATCAATTCTTCTACCAACGAAAAATCTGAGAGTCTATAAGCAACCAACAATCTTAACCGCGACTCAGGTCTTTACCTGTCACCAATATTGGAATCCGTCATCCGAGACGGTATTTATGCCCCTCATTAGGCTCCGCCTTGCACAAACAATATATAAGCAGGTACAGAGTAAAATGCGAGCCAGTTTCAGTTAAACTCTGAAGAAGCCAACAGAACGATTGGCGAAACGTCAGCAAGTTTGATTCAAGAAAAACCGACGCAGGAGGAATCCAGAAGTTTTGTGAAAATTCAATTATTTAAAATAAATAAAAATTTCAAAATGGTATGATAAGAATATCCGTTAAGGTACCTCCCGGGACGGTACTGGGTTTTATAAATGACGTTGCTAAATTTCAACAAAATTGATCAAATGTATTATCATACAGGTTTCCACCCGGAACATCCGGCCTCTATACCGGCGCGAATAGCGAAAACAATGGCCGCGACAGATCAGACTTTTCAATAGCGCAGTTCGGCGGCATACGATTATACGCACCTTGAACAGGTAAGTGTAGGTCTGTCCGTCGGACCCGTAAAACACCAACTTTTTCGGTTTGGTTTTCGTGGGCAAAATCGACACGACGTTCGACACGTGCGAGATCGTGACCGCCCCGTGACCGGAGGTCGACAGGCCGGGCATCGCGATCAACGTGTTCTTGATCGAGTGCAGTACCGGCGAAATATCCTGCATCTTGAGCGAGTACGACGCGCGCTTGTGGAACCTCTGCTGGAACTTTTTTTGCAGCTGACGTAGAGGCGCGAGCGACTGCGCCGGCCGTTCGGGCGCGTCGGGATTCTTCAGTTTCGCGATCACCGCGTCCACGTCGTCGAGGTACTTCTGCTGGAACAGTTTCTCGTGCGGCGTCTCCGCCTCTACCCCCGTCACGTCTCGCAGCTGTTCCAACACGTAGACGATCGGTTTGATTATGATGCGGTGCTTCTCGGCGATCATCGACGCCTTCTCTTCCGTCGACAGGCTCGCGTTTTCGTTCACCTTGTCGATCTCGTACTCGAGCTGCGCCTGCCGTTTCGCGATCTCCGACTGGTGCTGCGCGAGCGTTCCCAACCACAGCTCGTCCCACAACAACGTGATCCGTCGCAGCTCTTTGACGAGCGTCTGCACCTGCGTGATCGTCTCCGGGTCCTGTTTGCTTAACGTCTCGACCATCGACTTGAAGCAGCCCTGCAGCGAATTGATCGACTCCTCGTTGTCGCTTTCGTAATTGTTGTCTTCCTCTTCGTCCGCCTCGTTGTCCTCGTCGTTGTTCTGCGACAGGCAGTCTTTCGGCAGCCGGATGTCGGAAAAGTCGAACTTGAGACCGCCCTCCAGGGCGCCGACCACCGCCGGGAACGTGATCAGTTGCGGCGCGTCTTCCGCGACGCGACACAGCAAGTCGGACACCCGATGCCTGACATAACCCTCGGGGTGGTTCAACCGCGAGAACAACTGCGGTATGATCACTTTCCAAGGTCGCGTCGGCGTCGTCTGCAGCCCCTCCTCGAGGATGCTCTGCAGTTCCAGCGCGTACTTGACGATCAGCCGCAGGAGCCTCAGCGTGATGGTGACCGTGTCGCATTCGGTACTCCGCGAGACGTTCTCCTCGTTCAACACCAGGTGGAGGTACTTGAAGTAGGCCTCGGCGCTGAGAGCGTAATAAGTGTACACGCGACGCTGCGTGCTCTTCCAAATCTGCACCAGACCGCGGAGCTGGTCTTCGGTGGCGTCGGCGAGCGGCGCCACTTGCTGAAGTTGCCCCCGGATCATGTCCGAAGTGTTGATCTCGTTCGAGTCGATGTCTTCGTCGTCGCCGCCCCCGACGATCGATCGCGTCTGCGACAAGATGCGGAATATCTTCGCGTAGTCGTCCTCGGACGTGTCGGACGGCAGCGACGCCCTAATTTCCGAACAGTGTTCGTCGGAGAGGTTGATGTCGGCGCTGCGGTCCGTTATTTTCTTGCCCCAGCGGTAGCACCAGGTGCCGAACGCGTTCCAGCTTTTGGCGAGGGAGGGACACTGGTGAGCGCCGAACTGCAGCAACTTGCCGACCGCCATCTCGTTTAACGGCACGACGTGGGCGGCGCCGGCGGCGTCCATCATACCGATATCGGGCAGTACCATGATCAGTTTTCCGAGCGGGCTCGTCATGTCGGTCACGTTGACGTTCTCGTTGGACTGCAGCCAGCCGGCGAGTTTCAGCAGGATTTTGCTGCTGATTTTGCGATGATCGGCCGCGCCGTATTTGGACAACGCGGTCGACACCGACGCGCAGAGGTTCAGCGCGGTAGAGCGGGAGTATTCGGACGTGTGGCACAGCTTGATGACCTCGGTGACCGCTTTCGACACGTCCAGCGTCCACGGCCCGACGTCCGCGAACTTTTCCATGAAGTCTGCGGCGGTGAAACGCAAATCCGGCGCGACGTCGACGCCCTTGTCCGCAAAAAAATTGCTCAGGTGTTTGGCGGCGAGGCCGTAGTTTTTCTCTTTGCGCGCGCGTTTCGCTATATCGAGCCGCAGGTTGCCGGTGAACGCGTTGAAACCGTGGTCCTGCACGCGGCCGAAGTATTCGGACCACCAGAGGATCTTGCGCAGCGCGAGCGTGTCGATCTTGTCGATTTCCGTGTCGAATTGTTCGGACACGAGGAAGACGGTGTGCGCGGGCGCGTTCTCCGCGACGCTCTTCAATCCCGTCCCGACGTACTGCAGCAGGCAGTAAGTCTGAAGGAAGTCGGAGGGCGCGAGGCACAGGTTATCCTGGACCGCTTCGCGGACGACGTCGAGGCTGCGCGCGATCTGTTCGGCGCACGCGACGCCGCCCTCGCCGCCCGCCGCCAAATCGAGCGCCACGTGATAGAGGTTCGTCTCGGTGACGGCGAGGTTCTCGTAGACGCTCCACGACGCGTTCTCCGCCGCGAACCGCCACTCGGCGAGGTCGGCGAGCGCTTCGGCCCCGCCCGCCTCGAACTCGTACAGTTTCCTGTTGCAGTCCCAGTCGACGGTACCGAACCAGTACTTTTTGCCGTCGACGCCCGCGTCTTCCTCCTCATCGCGCCACTCGAACAGCTGACCCCAACTGTTCAGCTCTTTGTAACAGTGGACGATCTGGTCGGCGACGAATCCGCGGACGTCCGCGTCCAGTTGCCGGTCTTCCGCGTCGCCTCGCGCCTCCCGCAACAGCTTCTTGTACCCCTCGGCGGCCAGCTCGTACCGCTTGGAAGCCTGCTCCGCGGCGCATCGAATCCACGCGTATCTGCGCCCCGTTTGCGCCTTGCACCACGCGTACAGTCCGCACAACGCCTCCGGCTCTTTGAGGTTCAGCAGCGACAACGCGACGAGCATCGCGACGCGCTCGAACTCGGGCGCGGTCGCTTTGCCCGCGGCCACCAGGTCCCTGAGCAGGCACTGGCCGTGTCTGAGAGCGATACCGTTCTCGCCCGAGTGCAGGGCGACGTGCATCACCACTTTGCGGATGCGCGACAACCACTCGTTGCACGTGTTGCCGTTGGCGACGAAGAACGATCGCACCGCCTTCGTGGGCTGAGGCATCGCGACCGCCGATCCGTCGGCCGCGTTAGCGATCGATTTTTCGAGATGCTCGACGAACTGGAGCAGCATGCGGACGCGCTGGCCTTCGGTCGCGTTCGCGCTGCGCGTCACCAAATCGTTTCCGAGCTGATTCAGCGCGTACTCGATCTTCGTGAACGTTTCGTTCGGTTTGCCGAGGGGCGTGCGCAGCTTGCAGTTGACGCAAAATTGCGCGGCCTCGAGTGTGCACCAGGCGCCGAGCACCTGGCGCGAGTTCATCGCCAGGTCGTAGAACAGTTCCATGTTCATTTGGGATTCGGAATCGAGCGCCCAGCAACAGACGAACGCGTTGCGCAGAAAGTCGGCGTCGACGCGCGCGTCGTTCAACAGGTAGTCCATGAACGAGCGGAATTGTTGCGGATTGAATTCGCCGTCGACGGAGCCGTTGAGGTGGAGAGTCTGCGCCAGGTAGATCATGTAACTGTTGAAATCGTTCGAGTGGCGCGGATGTTTGGCCACCGGAGGCCCGTTGACCTTGTTGAACTCGACTACGGCGACGTCCCACGGCACGTGCGCGGAAAGTTTCGCGTAGCGCTCGCGCACCGACGCTTCGTTCGAGTTCATCTGCAATTTGCAGAGGTCGATGACGTCGGTGAGGAAGGCGTTGCTCCAGCTGAGCTGCTTGTTGCCGAGCAACTTTTCGAGGTTGTCGCACACGGCCTCGACGACGCGCGAGTTGAAGTGGTAGCCGGTTTTGACGAGGGCGTCCGTCACCCTGGCGAATTTTTCGTGCAGGTAAAACGCCTCCAGGTAACTGTCGGAGTTGACTAAGACGTCGCCGAGCCACTGGAGCAGAAGGAGCGTGACCTCGGCTGATGTGTCGGTCTTGAGGGTGCAGTAGATGACGTCGAGGATGATGGCGAAGTTGCCGGAATTGGGCGACGTACCGGACGAGCCATCGTTGATGCTCAGACCTTCGGTGAGAGCGAATCTGTTGAGCCCCGTCAGCTCCTGCCTTTTGGCCACGAGGCTGCTGCTCGACACGAAATGGCTGTAGCACTTGCAGTGCGAATAGAGGAGGTACAGTAGACCGTATTGGAGGTAGGGCGTTTTTTTGCTAAGGACGGCGTCATACGGACGCAGCTTTACTCCGACGAGCTCGAGGATGCTCGGTTTCAGCGCCCACATCACGATGATAGAACTGGCGTTCGCGAGCTGCGCGAGACAACGCAACAGGAACGTCACCGTCAGCTGGGGGTCCTCGTCGTTGTCGCCGGAGTCTTGGAACGGGTTGTTCTTGACGAATGGCTCGAAATTCGGCACCAGCCTTTTGTAGAAACGCTCCAGGTCGCCCAACACGTACCTGCAGTCGGATAAGTATTGCGGTGTGAAAATTAACCAAAGCGCATACGTCGGGAGTGACTTGGGAAGGATAATTAAGTGGTAAAATTTTAAGTGGCACTAAATTTTTTCTCAAATACTTTTTTTTTTTATTTGTTAAGGGGAAAGCAGAACAAACCAGAGGAGCTTGACTATCCGTACAGTTCTTACGGAGAGAACTTGACCAAACAGAACTGAATTATTATTAGTGGACTACGAAAGAAAATCTGTTCTAAATAATATAAATTCAATATTTTTTTGGGAAAAGCATAGAAGGCCAGGCTGTTCCCATAAAACCTTCTTTTTTGTCTATTTTGTATTTGCATTTTGCGAAGAGCTACATCTCAAAACTAAAAATTTCTCAGTTGAACAGTTTTAAATTTTTAAAATAACCTTTTAATCCGAAAAAATGAATAGAAATTCTTATTCACTAATATGTTTGAAGTGGATGTTTTCGAAAGATCTAAAATTGAAATTAAATAAATATTGAGATATTTAAGTGGGATATTTTGCGGAGGTTCTACGCAACGCTACACCAAAGACATCACGTCAACAATCTCTGTCACTAACAGGGGGGACGCCAAAAGGAGAAATGAACAGAGAGTGACCGGGTTTTTTGAAAGGGGTTCGCACTATAACATGTGCACCATTTCAAGTGCACCCAGTTGAGACAAGCAGTCTTGAATTTTTCCACCTTTCCTTTCTTATTTATATGAATCTTCATTGTCTTTTTGTGTACAACGAGAGAACCAAATATACAGATGTAAAAAGAATTATATGTACACTCTACCATTCCCAAATACCTGGTTTTACTCATTAACTCAATTTTCAAATTAAAATTGTTCTTAAATAAATTCATATGTTAGCCTAAAATATATGATTGATTTCTTCCCTATAAGCCTTATTTATTAATAAAAGTGTACCTATAAGCCTCCTGCAGAAGCGACACATTTTTCAAATTCAGTAGCGATTGGTAGACGCATATCACCGAATCTTGAATATCGGCAAATGGAGACGACCTGAGCCTCAGTATCTCTGAGGTTGGTCCCACGAGTTTCTCGATCAGCTCGGGGGGCAAGTTGGCAGACAGCTCCTTCACCGCTTTCGATACAAACACGAGTATTGATATAATCGCGTTATCCGAAACGTCCCTGATATGGGACAGTTCTAGATCTATCAAACTATACACTGACTTGCTCAGGCTGTGCGGTTTGGAGTCTAAGTACGCGAGCAGCAAAGACACACATTCATTCACTGCTATGGTGAGGTTATCGGACTTAACATCCCCGAAAGCATCCCCCACGATCTTTATTACACGACCGAGACATGTATTGATAAACTCGAGAGTTACATACTTGTTTTGTCCCGGATGGAAACTAGGCCCAAGACACTTGAGCACTGTGTTCAACGCGAGTACGAGAACGGTGACGTGTTCGCGGGACTCGGACGCCGAAAGATCGCCATAATAATTGACGATGTCTTCCAGAAAGTTCTCGACTAGCGAAACGCAAAACTCAAGGTGACATTTGAAGTGCTGCGCCAATTTCTGTAGACTTTTTGATATAAACTCAATATTGGAGAGCGGCTGGGTATGATCTACGTGCCACCCAAACAGCAAGTCAATTGTGTCCCGAAACTGTCCATAAAATTCGTTCGGATAAGTCTCGACTGCCATTACCAACACACTCAGAATCACTTTAAACACTTCCGCATTCTCGGTCAGCTCTATTGCCCCCACCAAGTTACCGATTAGACTCTCAATATGGTCTTCAAGCAGTTTCGACGCCCCATCCATCTCCAACGTTTCCTTCAAGCTTGCAATTAGCAAAATTTGCATGTCCTCATAACTGTTATTAATTTTTGAAAACAACCACCCATGGTACCGCTCAAAGTCGCCCTCCCGCGCCATAATATAGCCCATGCGGCCTAAAGCCCGGGCAGTTTGCTGTTTCGCCACTAGACCAGGCGACACATGCAGGATTTCATACATTGATTCGCCTAGTATGTGGAAAGCTTTGCGAACATAAGGAGCATTGTCAGGCAGCAAGAGAACTTCAAGCAGTTTCTTCGATACTGCCAAGGAGTTGTCCTGATTTGTCTCATTGTTAAGCCGGCGCAGCAGTTTCGATATGCGCGTGTCTTCTGGCAGGTTCAGCTTAATGTCACTCTTCTTTTCCAACTCGTAAAACTTGGCTCTGTAACCTGGAAGATGGGGAAATACTGCTATTGCACAAAACGTCCCAATGCTCAAACAAACAACAAGATTGGCAGTCCCTCGTTTCTACTTACCACTACTAGAGTCATTGTTCTTGGCCGACTCATACCGTCTGCTGCTATAAGTCGCATCAGAGTACTCTCGTTCGCTTCTTCTAGAAGTGGGATCACCCCTACGTCCCCTAGTTCCACCCCTGCCTCCCGAAGACCGGCTTGGACGAAACTCAGTCGAACGGGTCCTAGATCTAAGTGAGCCTCGCCCAAACCTGGTTTCCTTTGAAAACGTCTGATACCTATTGTTGGCCTCCGACACGTCTTGGTCGGTGCCGCTACCTTCGAAGTTATCGCCGTTGTTCGTATACTCCGAATCGGATGCATCACGAGAACTTTTGGGGGTTTTTATTTTAATCACAGACGTGCCACTGTTTGTTAACATCACTTTAACGTCCCGGACTTAATTCTTACAATTTCTTTATGCGGCATCGGAAACGTTTATCTGTAACCAAAACTGTACCGATTAACAATTTTGGATATTTTGTTAAACTGTCAAACGTATTTTTTTGGATGGACGATAACGACCAAACGCCAGTCAACCCATGGACCTCCAGAACTTTATTGAAACGAAACGATAGGCGCATATGTTGCACGTTCCTTTAAAATGACTTTAAGAATATATTTAATGTCTGATTTAATCTAAAGCAGTCCCATCGTTATTTAAAGAAAAAACCATGAGTGACAAATATCAAGGAACAGAGAGGAACACAGACGGCACAATAACTAGTATTCTGTGGACGCCACAGAAAAATTTCTTCATAGTTATCATCGTTGGTATGCAGTTGAGATTTTAAAATATAAAGTAATGTAACTAAAATTAACCTGCTGTTACATCCTACCGTAACTTACCAAACATTAAAACAGTTTCTACAATTATACGAAATCTTTTTGAAGGTAGCTTTTGTACTGAATGTCAATTAAAATTATTTTATATTCTTTCTAATGATCTTAGTGCCTAAACCCAAGAAAACTAAAGAATGAGCTCTAAACTTGAGTTAACTGTTAACTGTAACTTGAGTTAATAATGATCACCGTTTTTATTCAGGAACAGTGCCAAGGAAGAATGGGAAGATTCATAGGGAACGAGGGCACAGACAATAAAAACGGTTTTTTCTTCTTTGCAGTACTTTTGGCCACAACATTGTCTCACATCTTAATTACATAATTACAAACAAGCAAGAATAAAATTACAAAAATCATTTTATTAGGCAGTTACACTGTCAAAGTTAAATCGAAAGTTGTTATCAGATGGCTTAAATTTTCTGTTCACTGAGGTCAGTTCCTCTGGTTTAGATAAATTGTTATCCAGATTATGGTCTAAAATATCTCTACATTCTTGGGATTGAAAATTAAACCTAAAATCATTTTCACCACATGAGTTTACTGCTTTTTTGACGAACATAGATTTGGAATTGGGCTTTCCGGATACCATTTTCATGCTGACTTCTAAAACACTACAATGATAATAGCTGCTTACAAAACGGGTGAAATCGCTGCTAACTTTTTGCAGCCTTTTTTTCTTCAAGCGCCATTTTGGTTCGATAGTCGCCGAACGAAAGCCTCATAACTTGACGCTTCTGCACAAGGGGAGTTTTATTACTCATTAAGGTGTTTAGGCTTTTTGTATGATCCTGAACTAAGTATATTTATAATTTATGCTAAAAATAGTAAAGTCTCGTAAAATTATTACTCACCCTGTCTGTTAGTTAAGTTTGTATTTTTAATGGCGATCTGTAATTGTTGTATGCACCAACTCAGCTCAATTTCGAATTGATCGTTGACTAATTGATCCGCGTTGGATTGACAAGGTTCACTAGTAAATGCTACATTTTGAATTGATGCTGACTTATTTGTGTTTTTATAGAGCTTCGGTTTGGGAGGCATTTTTATTACTATATCGAAATGAAAAATCTATAACTGAGACGATGATGATGGCATTAGGTTAGTATTAGGCTTCTTCTTCCTAACCAAATGGGTGCGTACCTGAGGTAATGATCTCAGTATATGGTACTACCTTTACAAAATAGTCAAGAGAACCGAAAACAAGCTGATCACACAGGGGATCGGAGACAAGTCAGCCAAATCAGACCAGGCGGTCAAAGTCAAAATATGGACGCTAAACAATTATAAACCCGGTTTGAAATATATAATAATCAAGCAATCATGGAGTTGGTAATATCAACCAAAGTGTAATTTACCCTAGTAAACGCGTCAATTGTCGATAGAATTTTCGAATTTGATAATTTTTGCTTATTGATTTTGCTGTTAGTTATTATTATACATAAAAGTGAAAACCGTTATTTTACTACCGTGTATTTTCATTTCATTACACTCTGTATCCCCTGACTGATCAATCTCGGGAGGCAGCGATAGCGGCGCTTGGCGGTGCTTTGCGTGTCGGCTGATCCTTAAGTCTACAGACACGGATTCTCGTCGCACAGTGTCGGAACGTAATTTATTTTCGCAGGTTCGTTTCGGTATAAAATCGACAGTGCCTTTCCGAATTCAAGTATTACTGCAAGCGTAATGTGACATACTTTTTTCGCAACTTTTCCCTCGATACCCCTTGACTCCAATCTGTATTCCGACGCAGATCGAGCTGATGGAATTGTTTTGGAAAACGCGCAAGCCCCTGATTATAGTATTCTTATTATGGGAAGAAAAACAGTACGGTTGAATTCCGCTAAAGGCAAACGATTGATCGTAGGGGAGGCTATAAAAGCTTCGCCATAAGTGAAAGACGACGCAGTGACATACGCGAAAGACGACGCAGTGACATACGCGACAACACTGCTTTTTGACATTAACGGTTTTTGGTATCTCAAATTAAAAATAGTCACTTTTTGGGTATTCGAGTTCGGATAGAGAACTTTCTAACGTCTTTATATAGATAAAACAACTATCAGTTAAAACCAAAAATGTACTCGAGCTTGCAGGGAGGTGTCGGCAAACGACAGAAAACTTCGGCGAGTTTTCTGGCTAGACCTAAACTCGCGTCGCTCCGATCTTTGTTTCCCAATAGACCGACGTCGACATATGCTCCGGACAAAAGGAAGAAATTCAAGTAAGTTGCACCAAATGAGGTCATTCTCTGGATGTCCCCCTACAACAATACCGGGTGACTTCAACGTTGGCAACATTATTATCTAAATTTTGTTACACTTTTAGATTTACTGCTCATATTTTCCTATATTTTCCTACACCTATCCAGAGCAGTTTTCGAAACATTAATTACTTTCCTTGTTTATCTTCAAAGTATGATACTTAGTTACCATTTAAACTAACAGTTTGAAGAAGTTCTGTAGATATATTCGATTCTGAATATTATTTAAAATTTTAGAAAATACTTAAATTTCCCTTAATGTTTGGTGAATATAGCAGCAGTATATGTATATCCCGAGATATTTAGTTATCGAACGCTATGCTATTTACCAATGATTGTTAAATTTAAATTTTAGGTGTTTGACGAATGCTTATCATTATTTTTTTGTATTTGTATACGTTTAGTTGAATTTTGTGCTTGGCCTAATGTTGTGTTATATACTCAAAAATTCTTCCGAGATTTACTGTTCGCTATATCATATGAATATTAAAAGAAAGAAGGATTAAGTGTAAACCGAATAAGGAAAGATCGGCTTAAACTAATGTTATGGCTTTCTCAGATTAAATACTTCACATTGACTAAATAAAGTTATCAGATTTTGGGAAACGTCTAGGCATTTTTAAAAACATACATACAAACAAAACGAAATTTGAAAAAAACTGTTAATTGATATATTTTTATTTTTTACTGTTTTATCTGTAATTCGATGCCCTCCACTATACACATTACTAATAATTTCAATAACGTCTCTATATATTCCGTCAATGATATTTGCACGTTTCGGCTGCCTTTTCCGATTGACGCGTCAATTTGAATTCCCAAGCGAAATTTGGAATAGATACTTGTCCTATAAAATAGTGTACAGCCTAACCATCGTCACTATTATCCATGTAGCTATTAGATATTATAGCTAGTCGCTCTACTACGGTAAAAATTGGAGAAGGAATTGATTTTCCGCGCATACCTCTTCATTTCACCCACTAAACTCCATTTTGCACCATTTTCTTTCTAAGCAGCGATTTCCACTCACTTAACTCGTTTTCCAAGAACATTTAACAAAATCTAGGCATATTATAAGAAAATACTGCCATACTGTGCTAAAAATATTTGCTTCATAAGTTCCTGTTTTACCGGCATAGGCAGGGCCTCCAAATCTCTAGTATTATTACTACTATTTTGTATGCTTGAGAATCATAAACCTGTATAGAGGCGGAAAGAAAGACTTTTTTCATCCTTACGAAATTCCATGCTTGTGTCGTCAGTGCATATTAATAGCAGTAACAGCAACTGTAACAAGATTGCTTCAAAAAATCATAACTGGATGGGGCAAGTTCGTAGCGCGTAGCGAGAAGCAGCTTTTTATTTTCGCGGTTTCTTTTCCTACCTGGACGCATTGTTTTTCTATCGTGCTCCTGCAGACCACAATGGGACTTTCGCAAAATCGATGTAATTTAATTGTGCATGCACCCTGTAGAAAATTTCTTTCAAGTCTCGCCGAATATTAAAATTTGTACAAATAATGTTGTCGAATGATATTTTTTCAAATATCTCGCGCGCCCTGTATAATTGACGAAACCTCAAACTCTCTCGACACAGTTTACGATACTGTTCAAATGAAATTATCGTAGCTTTAGCAGTTCTTCATTTATCCCCAATAATTTACCCACAAAAAAGGAAATTTTTAAAATATTTTAGATTCTTTTGCTTATAAACGACGCACCCTGTATATAATGCAAACGGTGTTCCAAATAGAGGTTATAGAGGTAAACGTTCATATCTCCCACGTTTCCAAGTATATGAACTTTTTCAATACGATAAGTAGTTTTCAAGAAAATACTTGTTTTCTGAACAAATGCAGCACGTAGAATAGTAAATGTAAATTACGTCATCTAGATTGAGGGTGAAAAATGGTGATTATCATTTGAATTTTTTCAAATATCTCGAACAGCCTATGTGATAGACGAGAACCGTAAATACAAAAATTGTAGCTTCCCGTCAGGGAACCAAGCTTCATAAGTGTGCCAAAAATGAAGTCGATAGCTTCAACTTTCGAACACTCATCGTGTGTCATAGCAATGTCCAAAAAACAGTCGAAAATCGAACAGATGAACGCCGAGGTCCGATCGCGGCCTTTTTTCACTGACTTATGTGTTCCATGGGATTATTAAAAAGAGCCAAATTTGAACATGGTACGTCAAGCCGCTCGAAAGTTATGGCCAAATAACGCCGCGCCTTCAGCGAAACTGAGAACAGGGCACAGAGACCGGAAAACAGACAAAAAAAATTTTTTTTTTCGACGCTGATTATTTCTGTACCAGGACCCCTAGGACCAACCGTTGCCGAAATATAAGGTTCGTTACCAAGAAAAATTCGATTTTATCGATTTTTCGAAAGTAACAAGTCTCATATCAAATTAAAAAAATAAAACAAAACATCGAAAACTTTGAAAGACCGAAAGATTCAAAACACGAAACTTTGCACCGTTTCAAACAATCTCCATCTCCTACCGCGTCCGCAATGCTGAGATTCGATTTTAAAACGCACTTTAATCGTTTCCTTGGAAACGATCGATAAAACATTTTCCCTGCAGTGCGATCCCGGTGGGATGAAATCAGCCGGACAATTGTAACATTTAAATATAATTTTTTTTATCGAAATGAATAATCGCACGCGGAAAAGTATCGATCTTAAGTTGTGGTCAGTCCTGATTCGACGCAACGCTAGATACAAACAAAACGCAAATCTTCGTACGTATAGGTAACATACTGTTCATCGCTAGTGATTCCTTCTTCAAATCGGATTAAATTCGTTTAAACAAAAAGCAGGAGGGAGAATCTAGTTGGAGCGACTGTGACGTCAAGTGACCCGCGATCTCCGATTTTTCTTCCAGGAAATCTTACCCGGTGAAAATGGAATTTAGAAAGAAACCGGACTACGCCGACATTGCTTACCACGAGGCAGTGGGTCGTCTACGAATTCTCTTGGCCGAAAGTTACACTCCTCCCATCCGAAGGCGAGTATAAAATCAAAAAATTTATAGTGTGTTTGTTAGCAAGGGAGAGTAATATAGTGGTATCGTCAGGATAAGGTCCGGTCTTTTACGTTTTACAAAAATACAGAATTTTTATACATAAATGACGTAATTTATTACAAAACGCTGGTTACCTGTCGAAAATAAACTTGTGTATGCGTGCAATAAACGAGTGACTTAAAAAGTTTACCGTATATTTTTGTAAATAGCGCGGATACATTCACTGACATGACCGTCAGAATTGGAAAACGTCAAAATTCAAGCCGTATGGTAATATCTACGAAAACATCCGATTGCTCAATATCTTGGAAATGTCCAAAATGGCTCGGATCCATTCGCATGGTAAAGTGACGCTTTCCGCATGCTAGGTCGGTTTATAAGTTGGTATTTTATAGAAGGGCGTAGAAAAAGTATATTAACAAAACGGACACTTTTTTCCATAACCTACTCGTAACAAAAATAAAATTAGAGATATACGCTTTGTATTTGAAATACCTCTAATGTGGTATATATTTTTAAAGAGCTCATAATAAGCCTAATAAAATTACTGAAAGACATACAGAGTGTTACATTGATAAAAACAAGTTTAGCTTCTATATAAAAATTTGTGAGTTACAGGAGAAAAAGATTACTCCGGCCCAGTTTTCACCATTTGATAAGTTTATGCACAAACGAGCCATAAAGGGTCTCTAAAAATGCAAAATTGCTAAAATCACTAAAATCGGTATCTAAAAATTATGACATTTATGTACACCGTGTGCCAAATAAAACGATCCACTATACGATCTGGAAACCCCTATTAGATACGAAAAAAAGTTTCGTACAAAAGTTTCTTGGAATCTGCTGAAGATTTAAGTGTCCCCTCCGACATCAACGTTGTTATTTTAAATGGACCACTCTGTATATTTATGCTAGAATTGATATCTGAATTTGAAAATCTTAAGATTTTGTTAATTGAATTCGCCAAAACGACACCACCTGTTTGGGACACCCTGTATAAGCTGAGTCGTATTTGTCAAACTGATTGAGTAGTGCATCGTCCCCTTAGTCTGTGGTTAAATTTTCGTTGCAGTACCTCGATCATTAGCGTCACAATACAATTTTATATGGAGCAATCAAAATGTGAAAAAAAAAAACACATAACCACAATTTCTGCATAAACTATGCAAAAGTAGAATAGGAATTTCTTAAGAAAGGATTCCAAAAATGTCGATATATACAGGGTTTCCATTTAAAACAAAAGTTTATGTCGGACACCCTGTATCAACAAAATTCAGAAGAATCCAAGAAACTTTTTTTCGTATGTTCTATGGGTTTCCGGATCGTATAGTTGATCGTTTTATTTGGCACATCGTGTACAGTGCATTCGGAATTCGCACCCTATGGTCTTTTATGAGACATTCAGTGAATATTTCCACTACGTTTGAAGTTGCAGGGTGATTTCAAGATAAATGTTTTTTTCTGCATCCTCCGTTGAATTCATTGCGTGTTGGATTTAATTTCTTATAAAATAGAACGTGAAAAAGCACGCTCTAGCGGCATGAATATAGACATATCAGGTAAGACGGGTTTAATAAAATAAAATAAATCACACGCTTACGATTCTCCTACTTATAATTTCCGATATTCTAACTTGGGGATCAGTATACTGCGTTTTCCGAACGAACAGAGTATAGCGACGCAGCTTATTGACTATCATGGCACATCTGCTTATAGGTTTTACGGCCGAGCGATGCGCGAATTGGATAGCGCGGGAGAGGAAACTGACAATCAATCGCTTCTGAGCGGGGTCAGTCGAGTTTCCAGGCAAGGCCGGTATTACGCGGGCTATCAGTACAGTTCGACTACGCCCAGGAGGTACCACTACCCAATCGCAAAAAGTGCCGGCACATTTGTACCTTCGGAGCAACACGAAAAAACCCAAACGTATGTTAGAAAATCGATAATAGTAATACTACGAATAGGGTCTGCGCTTCAGTGTCGTTAACCGTTATTACTTGTTATGACGTCATTGAAATTACCTTCGGTATATTTAAAGCCATCTCCGTCCAGCTTTCCGAAACTTTCAAAGATAGGGATTTAACTAGGTTCGATCCCTACTGTGACGTAGGTGTGGTTTACACCCTCAGGTCCGATAAACGGTGGTCTCGGTTACAATACTTGTTGTTACCTAGTGCTAATGAGTTTCCGGACACTGGTTCTTCCTATCGTTTAGGGACATTCCGAAACTAGAGACCGGTCCTCCACCACCGGAACTGATGTCGTTTATCGAACGCCAAGAGGATTACATCGAGCAACTGGAGAAGGAATCCAGGTTCTGCAAGGATGAACTCTCCTCGCTCCTGACCAAAGTCAAGGAAGTGATCAGCGAGAACGAAAACCTGCACGAGCGGCAAAAGTCGCGCCTGATCAAATCGGTATTCGATCATCTAGAAACGGAAACCGAAACGGAGACCGAATTGGACGGGACGAAAGCTGGAACCAAATCGAGGAAGGCTCGTCCTCTAGAAGGACCGTCGATCGTCTACGAATCGAGAATATCGGAACTGGAAGCCCAGCTTACTCAAGCCAAGATCGACCTGAAGAAGGCCCTCGAAGAAGTCGACTCTGTTCGCGAAAACGCGAACAAAGTTTCGCCCAACGAAGATTACAAAAGGCATTTGGACGCTTGCAGCAGGTAACGCACAATAGATATACAGGGTGTTGCTTTTTTAGAACATCGTTACTAAAAATTTATTTCAGACAAAATAACAATGAATCCCGTTAAGAACATATACAGACTACTAATAATTTATATTATTAGTATTATTATTATATGAATTGTTGTCAATAATAACACAATCTGTAAAAGGTTCTACAGTATATTTATTTTTCAATTGTTAAAAATCATCAGTTTTGAGCTTTATACAAGCACAGAAATAAAGAAATATACAATATATTACTAAAAAATTAAAAAAAAAATTACAGGTATCGCCGACTTCCTCACAAGCAATATTTATTCTCAGTTAAATATGGCAAATGCCGAACTTATAAACGTAGCACTCATATTTCCAGGAATTATTTTTGGTAATGTGGTGCCAAATTACCTTTCACTATACACAAACAAGTGAAGTTTCACTTATTACCTCTCGTGAAAACTAAAAAGCAAAATTGCGAAATCCATACTTCAAACCCAAGTCGCTATTCAGAGCAATGTAACCATAAAACCATCTTTGGATTGAGAAATCCCACTTTTCCAAGACTTACTGTTATTAAAATAAAAAGTAATATATAATGGGTAGCCTATTAAATGGAGAAATTGAATCAAATTCTGGTTGCGATAATAGGATGCTGTGGGTCTACATTTTAAAAATAGTTTGACTGCTGCAAGGTTGCCAAATCGACTTAGCTACTTTGACAACGTTGGATTTAAAAAAATTTAATTATAACGATCAACAGAAAATTTAGATTCTTTTGGTTCTTCTTTTGTAACACACGTTATTCAATAATTGTTATTGAAATTAATGTATAATTTAAAAAAATTTGAAGTTAAATGAACGGCTACGATAAGGAATTTTGGTTGTAATCGCCGTGCAGAGAGAAATCAGAGTTGCGCGACAAGGCAAAGGAGCTGCAAGCGCTGTTGTCGAGACTCAAAGACAAAGAGAACGACACGTGCGATCAAGTGAAGAGGAGCTTGGACGTGGCGGAGCAGGCGCAATACGAAAAAAGCGCGGCCGAACTCGAGATCCGACGCCTGAAAGACGAGCTCGAGCGGCAACATTTGAAACTAAGGGACGCCATCGCCGATCAGGTGAGTATTACGGTTTGTCGATAGATCAAACCCATACAGGCACAGTTTAACCCATTTTGTCCCAGTGGTGCGTTAAGGCACCACCGATTCTATGATTTTTTTTGTCACATCCAGAAAAGTTTTAGTTGTTTTCTATCGAATTTGAACTTTCTTTTGTATATTTATATATAAATTATATGTTACATCTTATGTGCCCCAAAACATTATTTAATGTTTTTTTGTAATGCATTGTTAAGTGCAACAAAATAAATAATTTTAGAGCAAAAAAGTATTTTTTTATTTTTTTATGCTTGTGATAATATGGGTTAAGAAAGAAACAAACGAAAAAATCATTTATTATGTTCGTTAAGTGCATAATAATAATAAGGTAACATTTTATCACAAATAACAAATTACTAAACTAAAAGTAATTTCGATTATTAATAATTGTTTACGAAAGATGGTCTTTGACAGAATCGCAGGGTCGCCGACGAACGGGCGTCCGCGGAGCGCAGGTATACCCAACAAATAGAGCAGCTTACTACGGAGCTTGGCGTCCAATGGGAGTCCGCCAACAAACTGCAACTGGAGCTCGACAAGCAGCGGCGCGAAAATGGCGATCTGCGCAGAGAAGTGGCGCAGAAGCAGGCGTTGATCGACGAACTGAAGAAAGACATGCAGAGTAAAATACGTAAGTGTTGGTGGACGGCTCTAAAAATCGTAACAAATTGCGCGTGTTGTGAACAGTGACACTTCAGTCTGATATCGGAGTAAGCGGGGCCGAGAAGAGTGCTCTGGAGCAGCAAATCGGTGCCCTCCAGATGGCGAACGAGCGCACCGAGAGGCAATACAAGCAGGAAATCGCGAGGCTCCAGGCTGAGATTCAGTCGCTGAGGCAGAGGCTGGACAGGGCGGACGCGGATCTGATCCATAGTCGTCGCGAAGGCATCCGACTGTCGGAACAAGTAGCATCGTTGGAAAAAGAGGTGAGACGGCCAGAAAGGCACCAAACAAAGAATGTATATTTCATTCAGTTTTGATACGTAGTAATGAAATCGAACACCACTTTTGATTTTGGATTTTTCGTAAACCCAAAGCAGAACCCGTCAATTCTTTAATATTGAAAGAGAAGCTGTTAAATTCTTCTTTGTAAACTTAGTAGTAGGTGAGCGGCGAAACTTTCTTGGTTAGGACCTGTCTTACCATCTGTCGATGAGATGCGAAACTTTGCTAAGTTAGGAATCTGTAATGTCATCTCAAGATCTTGTTCTAGGGACGGGGACATAGAAGTTAGGTATCTCTACTACTTGTAATATCTGTTCATGTACGGTTGAACTCGCTTGACTCTTGGATACGTTGTGGTCCACCTCACCCAAGTACACTATCAGCCTTCTTGCTGGGCTGTGAACAACATAGTCGTACACTAGATAATATTTAGGATCTTTCAACATGGTTTCATGTTTTACTTGATATAATAATGATGAAGAACGTTTCACCATCAGAAAAAAATGAGCCTTTCTGGGAGGAGACACTCGTTCACCGCGATCATCGACACCGTATTGTTCCGAAAGTATGTTCCTTCAGTTGGTTGTCATTCGAGGCGAAATCTGCAGTTGCTCGATTATCGCTGTCATCGAACAAATCTGACAAAAGAGGTTCTATCCTGATGGAGCTATAGCTTTGGTTAATTTCATCAGTTTATTTTGAAATGGGGATGGGTGGATCAACTTGCTTCTTTTCTTTTTAGACCCAGGGTGTAAAACGTCTTCCCGATCAAACTTGCTTGCGTTACGCCCGTGTGAACTAGAACCTACAGATCTTGAAGAGATATTTGCTAACCACTGTCCATTTTATCTATTTCAGAAATTTAAGAAACGCTTTGTAACAATCCGCTTTCGAACTTAACAACGTAACTTATTGTCGCAATTTATTGACTGTTAATTAAATTCAAATCAATGCCTACCGGTCATGTCAGAAACGATGAGATAATATGTGAACGGCCCTCGAATCTATTTTGTATATATTTTCATTTGCATTGCATACTATTCAGCAGTGGTAGCTATAGATAGAGATATATCTATAAAGATGCGCCACGGTTGATAACTGTTAGTTAACTGGTTAACAAAAGAATATTTTTTTCTAAATGTGCTCTACTCTCTATTCTAAATTTCCTATCCGCTGTCAAAAAACCGCTTCTCATCACGATTGGGATCTAAATAACAGATCAGTAACAGTGTCAGATACGAATTCGATTTAATGGCCACAAAGTGTTTATAAAAAAATTTCTGGAAAGGCGAAAATTGCTATACTTACAAATTAAAAGTATTTAAGTATTTTAAAAAATATTTATTGGTTTTATTGGTTAGAAAATAGCAGTATTGTTTCAAAAAAGTCCTCATATAACACATAAAAATGTATTTTTTTTTAATTTGAAAACTAAATCAAAAAGAAAATAATACCAAAATACATTATCGTGTTAGATGTAAATCATAAAATAAAATAAACAATTTTTGTTATTAAATTGAAATTTATTATTAAAATAATCATATAGCATTCTATAATATTATGTTTATATAATAACCCGATGAGTTATTATTTATTTACAAAAAACATATTCTAATATGCAGCACAAGAATTTACCATTTTAATTAATTAATTAATTGATTGATTAACCATCTGATACGAAGAAGTACCCGTTATCAAACGTTTTAGCCTCGAAAATCCCAAAAATTGAGAAATAATATAAACAATCTCAATCAACAAAGAAACCAATGCCCATCTCACTCTAAATAAAATTTGCTTCACAAAATGCATATTCCACTTCTTCTTGTAGAAGACGAAAACTTATTAATTTATTTGGAAAATCATTTTTGATTTTCGTTTTTTCGATCTTATTTCCGAAACTATTCAAAAAGTTTCAAAACAGCTTCAGACTCGTTACCCTCGCCCATGTCCTATCTTTTATATTTGTTGATAATTTGAGTGTGTATTCAATGGTTTCGCGACGTTTCAGTTGAATTTAAACGCCGCTCTCGCGGAAGAACGTTCCAAATCGGCAACGCCGAGAACTTCCGAAGCGATGGCTCTGCCTTTACCCGCCAAAAAGGACGATCGTGAGAAAGAGCTGACTTCGATGATTCACGATATGGAGACCAAACACGGTAAGCGAGAGCGGGGAATACGGAGCGTTTTTGCCATGAGTTGATTTGGGACGCGATACTAAAACGTGATTCGTTGTTGCAGCGGCCACAGTAGCCGAGCTAGAGGACCTGGTCCGCTCCCAAAATCAACTCATGGACAAACTGTCGAGTGAGTGCCGCGTCCTGACCCGGAAACTTGACGACGCTAGCGTCCGCCATAAGTAAGATATAATTTGTGTAGGGCAACGCGACGCAAGAACGGCAAACCAGAGATGATAGTTACTTCTCATAGGCGCAGCACTTCTGTGACGTATTGCGTCCCTCTTTAATTTGGATATTAGTAGCAGTAGTTGGCGGGTTTATTTAACATAGTCGCTTCCTTATCTAAATGCTAAAAGTAGTGGAATGGTGGACAACAAATACTGTTGCATGATCTTACTCCAAAAAATCCATTAATTGAACTGAGGTTAAAACTGCTGGTTTAAAATTAGCTTTCAGAACTAACAACACAATAGGAAAAATTTTTAAAAACAATAAAACGAAATGTCTAAAATCTCAAAAATTAGGTGTCTACCGGTTGAAATGCGGATCTTGTCCTAAAATTTATATTGGAGAAACAGGTAGATCCTTCAAGAAACGCATTAGCGAACATAAAAGAGCGTTCAAAAACAACAGTCTAGATTCTAATTATGCTTCACACTTAAACACATAAAAACACATTTTTGACGACAATTTTGATATTTTAAATGCAGCCACAAAAAGTAGAAAATTAAATTTACTGGGAGCCGTGGAGGCATTGAAATGTATTGCTTAACGACCAATTAGATTTAAATATCTCTCCATTATTAAACTTAAATTATCACAACAACATTATTTAAGGTTTTATTGTGATTTTTCGGTATATATAGTACCACGCACTTTGTAAATATTACATTTCATAAAGACACGATGTTCTCGAAACAATTGTCATATCATAATATATAATTTCGTGAAAATCTGAACTTTTAGTTCTTATTCATTTTGATAAATGGATTTTCATCAAGTAAAAGCCACCTCAGTGCAAAACAAAAACCACTTAAACCATTTTTTCTTCTTCTGTTTTTCGTTCCAATAATATATACTACACACTTCCCTTAGAACAAGAGTCTCGCTTTTTCTTTGATACATGTTTTGATCACTTAAGTGGTCATCGTCCATTGTATAGAGCTGACGAATACTTATACTTGTTTAAGTAAACAACACATGTAGTATAATTTTAAGTTTATTTACATATCAAATTCCATAATTTATTTATTTATTTAATGCCGATCCGCTTGTGCATTATCTGCTGACTTACCATTTGTTGTTTCGTAAAACTTATTTGATGGAAATAAAGTTCTTTCCTTCCTCAGTTGCAAAAAAAAAACACCCGCTACTTTGTGAGGAAAGAGTATCCACAAAATGTGCATTCAAGTAGGGAACCAGAATATTATGAAAAGCATGAAAGAGGAATTCGTTCAGTGTATATAAAAATACCTTGGCAGTGCATAAATAAGCAATATCTTTAGTTTGTTTACTTATACCTGCGTTCTTTGTCTTTTTTTTTAATACTGCATTTGCTAATTTTGCTTTATTTTTTTATATTTGTACAAGCTGACCAAATAGGCATTCCCAAAAATTTTGTTACTAAGGTAGTTAAGCGAAGACCGTAGAAAATATTTCCAAGATGGTTGTCAAAGGTCACAAACGTAAAATTTTTTAAATGACCTTCCTCTGAACTCCGCACAACATTTAATAATATGAAGTGGTAATTCAACAAACACCTTTGAACACGCTTTTTGATAATATTAAAAGAAAATTACAAAACTCTGTCAAAAAATATTTGCGCCAATATGACTTTTTTTTTTCATAAAAATGTAATGATACCTTTTAATCTAGTTTCTCGATGGATATCGACGAGAGTTTGTAGCATATTTGGCCCCTGCACAGCTCGATGTCGTAAAACCAGCTTTTTGTGGAAACGGATATTGGTGTGTTTTTGTATGAATTAGTAGTCGCTTTTATTGTCCTGTTAATTCCTGTAGGACCATAGGGAAGATCTAAATAACATAAACAAATCTTTTCTGGTTGGTCGTTCGGGGTCCTGACGGGCGCTTTTTTCTAACGCTGACCTTGTGTTTGGTAGGGACGGACGGGCAGACAATAAAATCAGAACAAAGAGAGTCAGGTTCGCCGACAGTCCGGCCGACCAAACGCAAGGGACCAATTAAACTCGACATAACGGTTAACGTCGTGCCCAAAACTAAAAAGGTTGGTTGGTTTTTCGCATATCCTCAATTTCCGTAACTGCTTGCATCGGACAAAATCGCCAGCGGTCCGATGACGAAAGCGATCAGGTATTAAGTTCGATCAATTTAATGCGGCATGATCGTCGTAACACGTGACTATCGGATCAGTTGTGACTGAATTATGATCTTGGATAAAACAATCGGTTGGTTACTGACATTTCTTGGTTGGTTATGACATTGAGATATGACATAGGCATTTCTGACAGATAGTTAAATCAATTTCTACATTCTACATTTATATGTCGATTAAACAAAGTGGTCAAAACCAAAGTTTATATTTAGATTCATTGTTATGAATTTTCAAAAATATCTAATTATTAATATTTATTTCTGAAGGACAATGATCACTTTATTCCATATAAAATGTCATGTTCTAATGACATATATCAAGAATTTATTTCTTTTTGGACTGGCCAAGATAAAAGGCCGACGCCACTGGTCACAATATAGTTAAGTTTAACGTGACGTCATAATGAAGCAAACTTGCAGCGTTGCTATAAGTACAAAGGGTACAAAGTTTACAGAACATTAACACTCTCCCTAAATCTATTGTCCGCATCGCTTGACAGAACGCACCTTCAGTTGTTTTTCTTGATCGTATATACAGGGGATAGTATTACATTGGTAGGATATTAGTAAATCATTGTTGGACCCTTACTTGACTTGGTGTCGAAAACAACTTGGAGTAGTAGGCATAGACAGTTTAAAAATCGAAGATCAAAACCGGAAGACCTGATTCGCCAGAAGTAGGAGCAAATTTATGAACAATGCTGCATATTATTACCTATTGTATCTCTAAACAAACTCCTATGGTAGTTATTAAAAAAATATAGGATTTTATATTTAAGAGAAAAGGTTATAAATTTTGCGAATGATGAAAAAATGTTAATGGTAAAAATATGGTTTTGGTTAGTTTGTAATAACATTGGTAATAATCGATCACGTCACCTTAGACTTATCTTACAAAGCATACGACTGCGTCTTCATATCAATGATGACGCTAGTGCTTAATGACGTATCTGCCAAGTTAAACTGAACGAACAGTATCTGCGCCACTCGGTTTAGTTAACAATTTCTATGTATTGTTTATAGGGAGGAAATACAACAATTACAAACTAGTCTAGAATGTTTAAACGATAAGTTTTGTCAGTCGCAGTTGAGCACTTCCTCCGTCACAGGTAAAAGGTACCTTTTTAAAGGTTTTCCTTAACCTAACAATTGTAACATGCGTAGGTGGTAACGACCCAGTGAAAGTCGAGCCTTCAGCCCAACCCAAAACTCAGGATGAAATCAAACAGCCAGACATGCAATTTGATCGATCACCACTTCCGGGCAATGAGCAAGACCCGCAGACCCTTACTCAGCAACATGTAGATGGTCATCAATACCCTGACCCGACCCAGTACGACCCCAACGCAGAGTACCAAGGGTACGACCCCAATATGCAATATGGAGACAACAGTCAGTACCAGTATGACCCCAATATGCAATACGATCCGAATCAGTACGAGGAGATGTACGACCCGAACCAGCAATATTCTGATCAGCAATACACAGAAGAAAATGCAAAAGAAACTGAGCAACAAATCTCGGAGCAAATGATAGACGACAAAGTACCAGTGAGTGAACAATAAGGTGGTGACAGTGGGTGTGTTATGGCTTGTTGATTAATTAAATAAGACTGTTATAGGATATTGATAGTGTTAGTTTTTAAGTTTTTCGTGTTCATCATATCGAAGCTTTGACAAGAAACTACCGAAATAATTGCGATGTGAAATGTGCCGCTTTCAACAGCTGTTTAAATTAAACATTTGCAGAACTTTTATCTTCCGTTTTATTTGTCTCCTCTGTCCTATAATTTTGGTTATTGAAAAATAGGACACCGATCGCGATTTAGAAAATTTTATTTGCACGAATTACCCCAGTTGAAATATTCATGACAATATTTGAAAGGGTAACGCATCCATTCTAAGAAGAAAACTCATGTTGACGTCTTGAAAACATTTTAACATGCGAGATACAGGGTGGAAAAGTTTCTGATATTATTTTAGCAAATCAAAATGTCAACAGTCACCAGCATGTACAAAAATTGTAGCTCTTGATGCGATCTACGTCACTGAAGAAACCTAAATTGACAACAATATTTTGACTGCAATTGCCACTAGTCAAGATAGAAGAGGTAAAGATAGATAGAAATAAAAATAAACAAATACGGATCAAATCGCAAACAGCATTATTTAGACGACTACGCCACTATATTCAATATAAAAATTTCAATAAAATTCGTTCTTCCCTAATTAGTAGGTAAGTGGTCAGACAAGTGGGAAACAATTAGTATAGTATGTCTCAAAGTATATCGTCTTGAGGGCAATTATCGAAATAACCTGCAGACGACAAGTAAACACCTGACCAGTCGGTATTGTAGGACATCAGGGACGGACTTTTAAAGTGCTTTCAAGTAAAGTATTGTATTATATAAAGTACACAAATTATCAAAACTTAACCTAAATAAGTGCGGTTTTACTCAACCCAATTTTATTTCAATATAAATACGAATCTTTAATTTTTAAAATGTGCATTTTTCTATGAAGGGAAGGGGTCTGTCCAAAGCCAAGACGCTATACTTTGAGACTACTATACCTAAAAATGCAATATTTTCAATATCCAAAATTCGTGAATAATCCACGATCACAAATAACCCCTGTAGAAACCAACTCTAATAACTCGTTTAATTTTGGGAGGAAAATTCCTTCCAAATTTCAAATCTTGAACTATTTCATAGTTACAGGAGATTCCAAGTTTCTTATGCCGCGTTGTATAATATTAAATTTTCGTTATAGATGCTCTTCTCAATCCAAACCCGACCGAGTCAAATATTAACGATGAAAACGATATGTTACAAGTGTCCACTTTTAAAGAAAGTTTGTCTACATCTCCTTTTTCGAATTGACCTTTTAAGGTCACACTCGAAGCGTCTGCGAAAACAGGAGCAAAAATAAAAAACAAAAGCGAAACAAAATTGGAACGATCAAATATCAACCAGACGACTTTCATTACGTCATATCCGTCGACGCTGCTTGGAAGAATTTATCGAATATGTGAATGAAATTACTAATGAAAGCACTCCTAAGATATACGTTGTATCTAGAAACACTGCTGACTCAATAAATTTATGATTATATATAAATTAATAGGTTTACTTTTTTCACGGACATTTGATAATTAGTCCAATAGCTAGGCCGTAATTTCTCTAGGTTTAATTAAACAGATAGCAACACTTATTATACAAGGTGTTTCATAATAGAATGCTCATACTTAAGGGTGTGATTTCTTAACGCTAGATGGAGTAAACGTGTTGTCCTCATTTGCAATGCATAGAAACATTTTCCACGTTATTTGATGTCAGTTTCTTATATTCAATTAAAGAAATTACGATTATTTCCTTTTTTTTTAATTCTGACCATTAAATAAGATTTTTCATTACTTACTTCATTACAAAGTGAAGAAATAATTTTTACTAAGAAATGAAACGCGATTACAAAAATGTAGTTTTTGCCTAATAAAAGCAATGGCGGGCTATTTATTTCGATAAAAATATTCCATGTCATGCCTAATTCACTGGTGAAAGAAGACAAATTATTTAAAAAAAAAGTGTTTCTATGCCATTGCAGTCAAGCACTAAATTTTATCAAAATATCCATAGCAGTTTCAATAAAATTGAGAAAACCCAGTTCTTTTATTTCAACGGCCTGTATATAAAAAAATGAAGCTTAAAAAAATACGCTTAAGGAACAGGAACACTCTGTATAATATTAAAATTAGTTTAGAAATACGATCTTTAAGTAGCACCCTGAATAGAAACAAAGTGCTTTAAATTGCCGACTAAAATTGTCTACTAGCGGGAAGTTTATCGCAAAATGTAATAAAAACGAAAGGATGCTTGCTTGTATTCAAAAATATTATTATTATTAATATGATTATAATTATAACAATTAAGATTAAGCATACCAGACAAACCTGAATGAGTTTTCTAGAATATAGTTTTTGCCCTCTTCAGAAAATATTTTAATTTTTACATTCGTTACATTACATTAATTTACATTCTCGATTTTAGTTCATGCTTTCTGCGTTGTTTACCAGCTAGAACTAATTGTGATATTAATATGGGACTGGAAGGTGAACTGGATAGAAATGCATTGCGGTATGGTGAGAAGCGGCGATGTTTCATGTTCTAAAATATTTTTAAAATTCAAAGGGCTCAAATTTTCAAAAAAAAATCTACTTTCTACTATTTAAGGAGTTAATTTCTTGTTTAAAATAATGGGTAGTTTGTTTTATAAACATGGCATCAAAAGCCAACAATTAGTGAGATAATAAAAAACAAATAAGAAAAACTTACATAACGACATGGAAAAAATAAATTTAATTTTAAGTTTTTTAATAAACTTTCCAAACAAAAAAATTTAAAGCATAGCATATAGAAAAGATATATTCTAAAACAATAATTTATTCGGGTGCTGTCAAACAGTTGTATCTTGTATCAATCTATCTACCAAACAATTACATTTGAAAAATAATTTATCAATAATATTTGAAACCAATTATTCCATCCGTGCTTAAACTACAAAATCTTTTCTTTAAAAATATTTTATTTAAACACTGTAACTCAAATAAAAACACAGCAAATAAGCAAGACTTTCAGGACAAAAAAAAAATTATAGTAAGTGTTGAAAACGTCAGCTTTGCGATATGTATTTATCCTAACCATAATTTAGTCCATAATGCGCTAAAATGTGCCTGGATTATTTCTTATGACATCATTCGATTTGTTAGGTCTTCGATATTCTGTATTGATATTTATTATTTATTATATGTTGTATTTAGATATCCCCAGATATAATGATCCGAATGATTTAAACCTCGGGATCAAGGCGGCCCATGATAAAGCCTACCTCTACCTCAGACTTCATACGTACGATTTAAAAAACGTATAACATTCAACCTTTTAAAACTAAACCTGAACCTCTTCTAGTTAACAGGGGCACATATTTTAGCAAACTAACTAATTCTTCTTGCAGAAATTGAAAATAGTTTGGCCGATTGATGTTTGCAACTTGCCTATTGAGTTTTTGATTTGTCATTGTATTCTCACCCAAGGCGAAGTTCTGTGTTCTGTCTTAGGTGATCTAGACAGCATAGGTGAGTTCTATCTTAAATATATTCCTTCCATTCCCGTTTTGACCCGGCAGTAATATAGTCATCCTTCTATCTTTAGACGTTTTTTTTTTGTCTCCTTCTCTACGACAGTACTCCGATTGAGATTGTAGCGGCCTAGGAAGCCATCTTGCTTTGTTCACTGTCATCCCCAACGTCGTACGGTACCCGGTTAGCGGCGGTGAGCCACAAATTCCCTCAGCGAGCCTGTAGTTTCAGATTGCAGGGTTTGCAGAGCCATCAGCCCGGCGCTACCAACCGATTGGACAAGGATAAGTACCCCCTATGGGAATAAAAACACAGTTTGCGTATCGTCCTTATACTTACACTCGAGGTAGATACATATTTTCTTTTGGACAGTCCGTGATTATACCGGGATTATTTTTTGACAATATGTAGTCAATGGTTGCACCTCCTATTGCAGAAACCTATTTTTTTTTCTATGTAGGATAGGATGGTTTTTCACTTTGTTTTGTTTTCTTAAATTTTCATTTAATTTTGAAAATTCTTGTGTATCACCCTAGTGGGATCAAAAACGTTTTAAAATCGGTATTTTTTTTTTGAAACATCTTGATACCAAAATTTTCAAAATCCGTTCAAAAATAAGCTCACAGGAAGGAAAAAACCAGATAAGTAAATACATTTTTAGAAAAACAAATCTTGCTTAGGTGGCTTTGCTTCAATTCATCAAGTCGGCATGATTGAAATTCTGACAGTTTGTATATTTTTATCTGATAATCCATTTTGTCCTGTTATCGATTTGGATTATCATGGAAAACAATAATCAATTTACAAATGGAGAAAAAGTTGATGGAATGCAGAAAAAACTCTCGACAGGCCCGCGCATTGTATGCAGCCCGCTGTCCGACACGTCGCCTCCCTGCACATTCTTTCTTTAGAAAGCTGGAATGGAAAATGAGAAATCCACAATATAATCGACATGATAATTTTATTATAAGTGAAGAAATGAAAAACAATGGACAAACTTTCAGAATTTTTAATCATGCCGACTTGATGATAAATAGAAGCAAAGCCACCTAAGTAAATATTTTGTTTTTATAAAAATGTATTTACTTATCTGGATTTTTTCTTCCTGAGAGCTTAGTTTTTAACGGATTTTAAAAATTTTGGTGTCAAAATGTTGCAAAAAAAGTACCGGTTTGAAAAAGTTTTTGTTCCCACTAGGGTGCAATTTGAAAAAACTAGGTTATGCTAAAAAATTAATACTTCATTGCATTAAATGCTATTTGCCATTAGACAAGTAAAGAAAAGTTTCATTTACAATTTTTCCCATGACCAGGTGACCCGGTCAATTGTATTTATAATGGTCACAGCCTCCTAGACGCAATTTTCAAAAATTAAATAAAAATTAAAAAAAACGGGAAAAAAAAGAGAAACACCGTCCTCTCCTGATCTCCTGAATCCCAAAATGGGAAAAAATATAAATTGTGCCATTTAAAATTCAAAAGTTACTATCGTTTCTGCTCACAGCGTATACGAGTATTAACCCTTCCAAATTTTAAACCACTATCTCAAGCCGTTTAAATGTTATAGTGTTCCCACTTTCTTGTGTCACCCGGTATAGTAAATTCTATAAACATCGGACTTATATTGTTTCTGTACGTTACTGTGTAGTTCAATAGGATTAAATTTCGTTGTTAACAGCATAGGTGAATATTATTGACCAATCGTGGCTCTCGAGAGTTGGTCAGTTTTATACATTATCAATATTATTGCATTAACTGAACCTCATTAATTAATTATTGCCCCCTGCATAGCGTAATTTCCAGTTCCGACCGACACTTTTAGTGTTTTTTTTTTAATCAGCGTCTTACTCAAGTGTGTCCGAGTGATAAAACACTTGGCGCCCAATTAAAAATTTGAACGGCCCATACTTCCATGTTAGTAGCAACTCAATAGTCACGTAACAATACCTGTTGTGGAAGTTTTAGAGAAGTTTTGAGAAACCAGGAATGAAAATATTTGAACAAAAGAAAAGGATCGTGATTACATGTGATACATGGCTATTTAATTCTAGTATTTAGAACAGCAACTTCTAATCCTATGTTCGAACTTCGCGGTGCCGGCCGGTATCAAAACTACGGTTTTCGAAACTTCCAGATTCATGTAGCGTTTGATGAACCCTGCTAAATATGCTTTGATGATGAGGTCTACGATTAGAATACGATTGTGTATAAAAACGACCAGCTTTCCGTGCAGGCCTGTACATACATAAAATGCATATCTGCAATTTCTGCTTTAGTGCAATTCACAATTATTCAATTAAAGCTCTTGTTATTGGCCAATCAAATTATCCTTATTTTGTATTAAAACTAACTGAAGCAATGTCATATAAAACAATAATAAGATCCGCCTTAAGCAGTTATGCATTGCTTATGTTTATTTCGTTTTTTGTTGGAATCGGTACGTAATTTAGAAAAATTGCAGGAGTTAAAAGTTTCTAAATAAAACATAATTAAGATAATACGCGTGGCATTACGTTAAAATGTTGCCGATTAACAAATAAACCGCGTGTCCTTTTTTCTTAGTGCGCAACCTCACCTTGCACTTTAAAAGGCTCTAGAAAATCAAGTGACCGTGTCAAGTACCTACACGCAATCGAAGGGATAACAATCAATATTTAAGATGGATTACTTAACGCCAAAGAACCGGTCTTCCGTTGAGGCGGTATAAAAGTTCGGGGACCGAATGCGAAACGTATCAGTCAACCTGCAATCATCCACCTATCGACCCACCCTAGAGCGAGTACATATTTTTCAAATCACCGAAATGGCTTTCAGAGTGAGTACTTTTTTGCTACAAAACCCTATTTTACGTAAAAGTTGAGTTGGATATTAGGTGCTTAAAAATTCAGAAAAAAAAATTATATTTGGTTCAAATTCCATCAAGTTGGCAAGACTTCAGAAAAGTCGCTGCATGATTTAGATGCCTGACTAAGCCCTTAGTAATATATTGGACGTGTTTATTTTAAATTTTTCCCAGATATTTATTTTTTTATTAAAACAAATTTTCAAATTTGTGATAAATAGAAGTCGACAAATAACGATTCAAAATTAACATAAAGAAACGCTGTATTTCCACATTTTCCAAAGATAAATATAATACCATACACTTGCATGACTGGAAAATAAAAAATACGTAGTACCAGTTAAAGTAATGAAGTTATAGATATAGACCAAACAATTTTCTTAAAATAGGCAGTTACATTTCTCGTTACAATATTTTTTTGGACGCCCTGTATAAACTGGAAAGCATTTTATAATTGGGATTTAAAATCCTCTAATATAATTCTTTGGAAGCAATGCGGAACTAGGTAAAAACTCTGGACTCAGCTCAAACGTGTGCCTAAGGATGGCCGACAAATATACAGGTTGTTTAAAAAGGATAGGGCAATATTTAAGGAGGTAATTCCTCAGATCATTTTATGCAAAAAATTTGAAATATGTAGGTCCAGAAATGCATTATTTCCGAGATACAGGGTGTTAAAGTTTTGTTAATCACGGCTCTAACTAAATAAAAATTAAACAGAGGCGTTATGTACTCCACTAACTGTAATTTAATTTGGATACTTCCCCGACGTAGAGCGACCAGAGCTACTAGGTTTTCGTCTGAATTTTTCTCGTTTACGAGATAAAAAATAAAAACTATTTTATTGTGTGTTCATTTATCAAAAAATATTTTCCAGCATTCCAATAATATTGCAATTCGACTAAAAATAACTTAATGTTTATCATATAAAAAATTAACACAGTGACGTTTTTTAATTATTTAACATTATTTGAAACAAAACTTTATTACCCCGTGTCTTGGATATAAGGTATTTCCGGACCCACATATATGGGAAATTTTTTCAAAAAATATTGCCGCGTTTTTTTTAAACACGCCGCATACAATCCCAGTGACGTTTTCTTTTCAGTGTCTAATCCTTTGCGCAGCCGTCGCTTGCGCTAGCGCTGGAGATATTCTGGCACCCGCATTCAGCACATACGCCGCCCCCGCCCTAGCCTATGGCGCACCTGCCATAACGTACGCGCAGCCGTTGACTTACTCCGCCCCTGCCATCACCTCGCAGTCCTCCAACATTTATCGCACCGCTGGCAATTTAGGCCAGATTTCAACATATTCGAAATCGATCGACACACCCTTTTCCAGTGTGCGTAAGGCCGACGTCAGGATTTCCAATCCCGGTTTGAGGATCACTGCGGCCGCTCCGGCCCTGGCTTATAGCGCGGCTCCAGTCGCACACGCGCCGCTTTTGGGCGTGGCTTATTCGGCGGCGCCCGCCGTGTCGCACATCACCTACGATTCCGGCTACGCCCACTACGCTATTTAGGACTGATTTTCTTTTCGTGTTCAAATAAATGTCGTTACTTATGTAGTACCTGTTTGTGACTTTTCTTTATACAAAACTATCTGGGCGGTAACAATATTATATCAAAAAGATTTCGAATAATCATTATGTTGAACTGTTGAACTAACTAGCCAACATGGTCACTGACAGTTCGTGAATTCGACAGTTTTCAGTTTGACTCTTGCAGGTTTTCAGCAGAATTTGACAAAATATTCCATTAGAATTCCAAGAAATATTAGTTAAGTGTGAAGATCGTTTTTTGGAAAGAAAATGGGGCAAATAGAAGTGCAATATGAAGAAACAGTTACGTCACGTATAGAGACGTAATCAAAAATGATCCGTATGTCTTAGCTATATATAATCACAAATAACGATTTCAAAACTGACAAATAAAATTCCTGTGTCAATTTACGACTTCCAGTAATGAACTAGAAAAAGATGTCATACTATGATGTAACTGCACAATTAATTGCTCTGACTGGACTTTAGTGTGTGTATTTAACGGTATTTACGACCCCTTTAATATAATAACATAAAACAATTTTAAGCGTTGAAACTGAGAAACCTATTATATATCTTGCTTTAGTTTGCTATAATGTATCTTCTTACAACAGTGTAATTGTAATTATTATAAATTTCAAGGCGGTTCAAGGAAAAAACAAAATGATCTAAATTCGTTATTAATTATACACTGATTTTCTCCTGTTGGAACTAGATTCCTAACCCCAAGGCCTCCAGTCGTTGGCAACTATGTTTGGAAAGTGACATTGGGACATTTGTTGTGTTTGTCATAGGCAAGGCATAGGCAACTATTTTTTATGAAAACACTTAAATTTACTAACAATGGTACTTATTGTTGTTTTTAAATCGACAAAAATTGTTTAGGCCTGGGAAATTAAACAAGTCACTCCGCTGAAAATTCATTTCGTCCAAAATAACGTGACGAGAACTATTTACACAATTCTATATATTATACATACAAATAATATATTATTATTATTATTTTTTATTATCAGCTGATTGTTTATACATATTTTCGCGCTGTACGATTTTACATTTTGATTCATTGGCCGGAGAGCTGCGCTTTTATATTTCGGCTAGGACCGAGTTCTTGGACCGCAACCAGTGTCGGTCTCAGCCCATTCAGGTCGCTCATCACAATATTATTATTATATCTTTAAACAGGATCTTACGACATTTCTTTTAAAAAATTCAATCTTAATTATAGAATTGAAAATTCCAAAAAAAAAGTGAACCCATGTAATATAATGATATGAAGTAACCGAGTACGAACTACCCAATATTTTCTGAGGTTGAAAATTACATGTACTACGGATTTCAACGGATACGATTTTGTAGGTTATAATGGTGACAAGTCACATACGAATAAAACTACAGCACATGTATGAAAATATATTTATTTTCGCGCCTACCCTACGCTCGATAGTTCGACCAAAGATCTTTTTTAAGGTTCTCAAAATACAACAAATCCTCTCGACTTATAGACGGTTTGACGTTATCAATCGCAACCACAAAATCTTGAAAACCTACGACAACGTCCTCGTGGCTAAATTCTTCCGAAGCCACATTACCTTTTTGTTCTATTAATCTTTTAGCTGCCCCAAACCAGGCGCTCGAACACAGCCCGTAAAAATCGGCCCCGGTAATGTTTTTAGGGCACATTTTTATCACTTTATCTAAATCCATATCTTCTTCGAAGTTAAATCTACAATTTTGTTACGATTCCACGTCAAATTAACGCCCTGCTATTTGAATTTTCTTACTTTCTAGTCAAAGCATTTAAAACCGCTTTCTGGGATTCGATATCTGTGCATGGTCCGACGTAGAGCAGCTTATCGAACCTCCCAGGCCTCAAAAGTGCGGGATCTATCAGATCTGGCCTATTGGTAGCACCGATAACAAAAACTTTTCCCGATTCATCCAGCCCGTCCATTTCAGCGAGCAACTGGGATACTACTCGGTCCATGACCCCACCAGAATCGCCGGACAGGCCTCTATTGGGAGCCAAAGAGTCCAGCTCGTCGAAGAATATCACACAAGGTGTCGCCTGCCGCGCTCTTTCAAATACTAAAAACATATCCGCGCATGTACCTCACGAACGAACCCAGCTGTTAAGGCAATACATTTAGACAAATTTAATATAGTCTGTTCATATATATAAGAAAGTGGCCAATTGCTTTTGAATGGGATTATCCAAGGGTGGTCATTAACAAACAATGCAACAAGATTATTACCTAAAGTTTCGGAATTTAAATTCAGGTAAAATTGTGGTCCAAATAGAAAATAATTTTATACCTAACTGTGTTTAATATTCTTTGGTTTGGTATACTACTTAGTTTAAGTTTATTAATAACCATTCTTATTTCGTGTGTTGAATCGTGTACGGATTATGCAAAATATGTGCGAGTCTAGTGTATCTCAGGAGATGCTCCCGCCCAAATGTAGAAAACACTATTCTATTAAGACTAAGGAAGTTATAAACAATGTTTATTTGGAAACGTGGTGCTAGCAAGCAAGCATCTTTAGAAGAAACGGTTACATTGACGAAAATTCCAACATCAACTGAACGGAAAATTGTGAATAGTGATCAAGATATGATACGGCGTAAAATTTACCAGTTATACGAAGAACAAAGCGTGCCTACATTAAAAACAAACGAGTTCCAAACATTCCTCCTAATAGCGTAACTGTAATGGACAATGCAAGTTATCACAGTAGACAGTTGACTAAAACCCCTTTCTCATGTGACACAAAAGCAACAATCCAAAACTACATGTATAATAAAGACATTTATTTTCAGGAAGATTATACCAAAAAGCAATAAATTGAGGTTCTACAAAGCTTCAACCTACAAAAGGAATACGTTTGTGGTAATTATGCAAAAAATCTAGGGCATACAGTTTTAAGGCTTCCACCTTACCACTGTATATTTAATCCTATTGAAAAGTTTTTAACATCCCTCCACAAAGTTGGGCAAATTCTGTTAAACATATAGAAAAAGCAGAACAATCGTATATCCATATTGCAAATAATTAGAACAGGCGATGATAGCGATAGTGATATGTGAATAATTTTAACTAATTTAAGTAGGTAATAAAAAAAATAAATATTATTTAGTATCTTTCCTAACAAAACCCCAAATAATTAAATTCTAAGCAAAGTACGGACCTGTTCGGCCAGCTTGCCCGGGTCTTTCCTTAATTCGTATCAATTAGTCACTTTCTTATATCTATGAATAGACTTTACCCCATACCGATACCAAATACAGCGACATTACCATATAATTTTTTATACTTTTTTAATCCAAGTTCCAAAAAAGCAACGCTATTTGAGCTATACGATTAGAGAAGTAAAGAAAAATGTACAATAAAGTTACAAACATCTTGAATTATGCGGATCGTACACATCATGTGCTATAACTAACTCTGGGGTTCGTTCTGGAGTCTTGGCGAAGTTACCGAACATAAACAAGTCGAGGAGCATCAGTCTTCGTCAGCCCAATTTTGTTAGAATAAGACAAAAATGTTCTACATATAATATAATAAAAATAAACAATATTATTTAAATTTAGAAAAAAAATTGGTTCAAAAATTGTTTCTATTTCATTGGTCTGCACCGATATATTTTCTTTATATTTAACAAATTATCAACCACAAGATATTTATGGAACCTACCCAAGAAGGGTAAAACCTGTTTCTGATTTTAACACCTAAACAAATTGTTCAAATTTATATTAAATGGGAAGAAAACGCAACATCATTTTAAATAATAACATTCAATGTAGCTCACTATAGCACCCATCAACAACAATTAACTTATACACTATTAAGGCAATAAGGTTACACATACCTTCTCGGACATTTTGTTCAGACTGGCCCACGTACATGTTTAACAACTCTGGTCCTTTAACTGCTAGAAAACATAAACTACACTCTGTAGCCACTGCTTTGGCAATTAAAGTTTTGCCTGTGCCAGGAGGTCCAAACAGCAGAATTCCTAAAAGGCAATAATATCTAATTCGCGTTACTATAATGATTTAAATTAAAGCAGAAACCACCTTACCAGACCTTCTCAATCCCGATTTCTTCAGTAGTTCTGGGTACAGTAAAGGAAGATTAATGGTTCTTACAATTTCATTTTTCACATCCTCTAACCCTCCCACATCGGACCACTGCACTTTTGGCACCTTTGGAGCTCCCAAGCTTTCATTGTAGTTTGATTGCATAAAATCTGAAAGTTACAAGTTTTCTTCGCAATACCACTGATTTTCAGACACCAGCACTAACCGATGGCAATCTGAAAATCATCTTCAGTCAAAGCTTTTCTATTAGATTGCCGTTTGGCGTGGTAAACTAGCGCTTTTAAGTCTTCAAAATAAAAACCGTGAGTTTTATTTGCAACATTTTTTAAATCCACATTTCTGGACGACGTGGAGTTTGCATCGAGCAACCACCTGAGAATTAGTTCTCTTTCTTCGTCTGTTGGAGCATTTACTTCAAAAGTTTCTAGGAACAACCTCTTCATATCCGGTGCGATATTACTTCCTTCACTGCTGCAGAAAAGAATCACCGGGAATTCATTGTTCTCAAACAAATGTTCCAACTGGTTTTTGAAATTGCTGATCAATCTTTGGTCATATTGACCCTCATTGTTTTTTGCAAAGTTCTAAGATGTGCAATGATTATCTAAAGAAATGTAATCTAGATGACATGTGTTACCTGGAATTTATCAATAAATACAATGCAAGGGGCTGACATTTTCGCGGTAAAAAAAGCATAGTTTAACTTGGATTCATTTTGAGCGTACACATTTGCACTTAAGTCAATACTAGCTAGTCTGTATAAATGAACACCCAACTTTAACGCCAAAGATTTAAGCAAAATATCGCTTCCGCAACCTTCTTCGCCTTGAATCAAGAAAGCGGGAGTCAAATTTGGTCTTGCTAAAACTTGATTTTAATAAATTTAATTCAATGTTAAAAAATGTTTACTTACAATTTCGTAAGAATGGTTTCACAGCCTTTTCAAGTGTTTGAAAATAATGTTTCAAGCCATTTGGGCAAGAATTTATATCACAATCCATTTGCCCTGAAGCAACTTTTAACACCTTTGGAACATAGCTTTGAATATTCGCAGCCTGCCTAATAGTAGTCTCGCCGATCGCACAAAGACGCCCCTCCATGGTGGGAGCCTCATCATCAGTTACTCTATTGCATTTTAAATAGACTCTCTGGACCAAATTTAGTTTTAAGTCGGAGTAAAAATCCTCCTTGGAAAAATGTTCAACATTAATTTGAATGATATCGCCAGCATATATTATTTTGGGGAATTGAAAATAATTCTTTATTAAAGAATCCAAAGCAAAGTTACTTATATCATGGGGGCTGCTTATTAATGAGAGCTCTACCTCCTGAGCAAATTTTGTATGGGTGGTGGGTAAGAGCTGTATAAAATTATCACTTGTAGTACCAAAATTGTACAGTAGGGCATTCGAAAACAATAAGGTATTGCAGGACAACTCACATGGGATGACAAATACTTTACGACATTTTCCCGACTGTGTAGAAAATAACGAAAGAATTAAATCGTTCGGGTATATATTTTGATCTTTTACCAAAACTACATTATGAATGTCAGCACAATATTTAGAATTCGATTTCGTCTTATGAAAAATTATTTCATCTGATACCGCTGTAGCTTTGTACTTAATTTGTCTTTTGAGTACCCCATGGTATTTCAAGTACATGTAAAAAACAAACCAGTGGGGCTTGTATTTAGGGTAGATAATGCTGGAAATATATAAAATAGTGGTCATTTTATCCATAGTCGAGTAAATAATATTTAAATTTAAGACAAACGTGAAAAAGAAATTATTTTATCCATAGGTTACAACTTCCAAATTTGAGGTTAATCTGAACCACAGACTATCAAGATCTAATAAATAATAATATTACATTATAATCTTCTTCGTTGTTTCAAAGTAATTGAGCAATGATTGGAAAATACGTTCCCACACCAACTCAAAGCAAATAGGCAAATAGGCCATCCACAAAGGGCATGTCCTTGTGCATCTCCGCGCATCCATGTACGCCCGTCTTGTGACATAATTTGCACGTGCGCGATTTACAAACTTGCTCAATCATCTCTTCAGAATTGTTTCACAATACTAACGCGATGCAATATTTATGGCTGTAGAAAAACATCAATCTCTGTAATTTTTGAACTTTTATTTTTAACAGCGGTGTTTTTGACTGACAATCTTGTTCTTGAATGAGAAAGACTAAAAGAAAATAACAGAACACTGTTTTGTTAAATAGTCTGTGCCTAACTTATTCCACAACGTTCCTTACTTTCGGCAAATAAGCTAAGAATACTCGCCCATTAGCGTAAGCATCTTTAATAAATTGTGCTTTTGAAACTCTATGGCGAAAACCGAAGAGTGAATAAGGATAAATACTTGGTACAGTTTCTACAACACTAGTTCATTATGTAGATTTCTTTTTTTAATTGTATTTTACCAAAGTTATAAAAGAAACCAAGATCACATGTCCATTTTATTTATTTATTAATTATTTTTCTATAATATTGCCCAAGAAAAGTAAAGAAGCCTTTGACAAGCTCTATGTAGTTATAGTCGTGCGTGGCAAAATAAATGCAAGAATGGTGCAAACGTGAAAACGGATTTATAAAAATGAGCATTAGGAAGAAAAATGTTTGCGTCGTCGTGCTCGGCGATATAGGCAGAAGCCCGAGAATGCAGTATCATTCTCTTTCCCTTGCTGAAAACGGACACTTCGTGGATGTTATAGGATATGGTGAAACCCAACCCATGGATTCCATCAAGTTAAATCCGTTTGTGTATTACCACTATATGTTTCCAGTGCCTCAAATCCCCCTAAAATTGTTAAATTACGCATTTAAAACGATTTTCCAAGCTTTAAATTTATTATTTTTGTTATTCACCATAAGAAAGCCCCATATTGTATTAGTACAAAATCCACCTGCGATTCCTTCATTATTGCTGTGTTGGTTATATTGTAAAATTGCTCGTTCCAAATTTGTGATCGACTGGCATAATTATGCCCACACTATAATGGCGTTGAATTTGTCTAAGCAAAACACTTTGGTTAAGTTGACTGAAAAATGTGAAGCATTTGTTGGTTCTAGAGCTGACTGCAATTTTTGCGTCACAAACGAAATGAGACTAGATCTTGCGAAACAATGGAATGTGAAGGCAGTAACCCTTTATGATAAACCTCCTCTAATGTTTAAGCCTATTAATTTGAAAGATAAACATGAATTTCTTTTGAGACTTGGAAAACTGTATCCAAATATTTTAGACAAAGAAAATTCTACAGTTTTCACAGAAAAACTCAAAGGGGAGGTTTTGTTGAAAGTAAATCGGCCTGGATTTTTGGTTTCCAGCACCAGTTGGACAGAAGATGAGGATTTTTCTGTATTATTTTCTGCCTTTGAAGGTAATTATTTGCGATGTGTGTGGCCCAGGGTTAAGTTTGGCTTTCAGAATTTGAAAACCATCATTTAAATGGCAACCAAAAAAAACTGCCTGATTTGATATGCTTTATTACTGGCAAAGGACATTTAAAAGATTTTTATACTAAAAAAATAGAAGAGCAAAATTGGAAACATGTTAAGGTAATAACACCATGGCTAGAATCCAGTGACTATCCTCTGTTGCTGGCCTGTGCTGATTTGGGTGTCAGTTTACATACAAGTTCAAGCGGTCTGGACTTACCAATGAAAGTTGTTGACATGTTTGGCTGTGGTTTGCCAGTATTTGCATACAATTTCAAATGGTAAGTTCAGTTTGTCCAAAAAATAATTTAAATAACCAGCCTATATTGCAGTTTAAGTGAATTAGTTGTGGATGGGGAAAATGGCTATACATTTCAAACAGTTAAGGAATTGTGTGATAAATTGTTAAACTGGTTCGAGGAATTCCCTATGAATCGGAAGCAAATAGATATTAGGAACAAATTTACAGCTAATCTGGAAGTGTTTCAGAAAAATCGATGGGCTGAAAATTGGCAACAAATTGCTTATCCATTTTTTAGATGATTTGTGCATAATTGCTGTGCATTTTTAATAAATCTACAACAGTAATAGATGGCTGGTTGTTTTGTTTTAACATTTACAAAGTTGACCAAATGATTTGACTACATAATTTTGTTTTCTTAATCACCCCTGCTTTTAAATCAATATTCAAAAGGAAAACTGCTTGTTCAGGACACTTGAATGCAGGATCTTTTGAAGGACGATGAATGCTTGAGCATATTCCACTCCCCATCAACTAGGTATTCTGCAGAATTGCTGAAATTTTTTACAAAATTAACCTAATGATCTTAGTCAAATGGTCGATATGGAGCAAAAATAGAGAGTATAAAACATGGGATAACCACGATTTGACTGCATTGGAATTAATTAATTAGATCGAATTTGCTAGATAGCGAATAAAATAAAAGACCATTTACTTAAGGTATCCTTTCTCGTTAATTGGCCGAACGATCTCTCCGAATTTGACTAATGAGAAAGAAGAATAAGACATAACCTCATAGATTGGCAGCAGCAAAAAAAAACTCGTATATATAATGAATAGCAGTAAATAAAAAACTTTCCTACATGCTAAGTTTTCTTATCCACATAATCAGCCCTCCTTAAATAGGCGTTCGTAAATTAGTTGCGTTTGAGATGTTGGATGGTTGGTATTGTCGGTCAATCGCGAATGAGGCCGCTGCGGCGGAGGAAGAAGAGCAAGCGCTCGAAGAGTCGAAGTTTAAGAAGGAATATAAATACTTGAAACGTAAATTCCAAAACCTTATTTATGTAAGTAATATAGAGACGAGTAGTTACAATATTCAAGCGGCCCTTGTTAAAGGAAAACGAAGCCTTTCAACAAGCTTTGCGTACGGCGCAAAAGAGGCTGCTGGCCGTCACGAGAGATCGGTCTTTTTTGCTGGATAGACTACTGATGCACGAAAAGCTTGATCATTCCACTTCCGAGTCGGAAGAAACCGAGTCTTCGGACGACGGCGAGGTAGTCAAGGCTGAGCTACCCGCCAAGAAGTAAGTAATGACAAAATGTTTACGGACAGAATAACCTCTTTTGTTTGACTTTTAATACCCTCTCATAGAAGGCCCACTAAAAGAGACTGCATAAGTTGCTATGGTAACCACCTAAAGTGTGAGAAAATAATTCCCGAGAGAAGCAATAAACCGTTGGCTAAAATATAACAATATTAATAAATTCATAATTATAAAAAATTGCAAAATATGTCTTATGCTGTATCAGTACTGGCAACATTGTCTCAGGCCGTCAAGACATTGGCATCATCTTAAAAAGAAAACAATGCTTTCTTCATTGATTATATACCTATGGGATAGTCTATCTATATACCTTATCTATATCTATTGGTGATGTTGTGGTTAGTTTACAACATATTTGACCAAAACTTATTTTTTTATGGCATTTACATTTCTTCTGAATTATTCAATACTAACCAAATTAGATTATGTACGCGTTTTAGGAAGAAGGCAGAAGTTTATCACAATTCTTCGCAGCACCACCTTGGCGCTGGGAAAGTCATGGCAATCAAGAAGAAGAGATCGGCTGCTCCAAAACACTCGAAACTCCTTCACCAATCAATGGTACGGCTTTTCGTTGCTGAAAAATTACCTGCATTTAATGAAGTCGGGTTTTAGCAATTACATGTGCCCGCGACGGCAGCGAACGTCTTGTCTGATGGTCACATGACCCCTGAAGAGGTCGAGCGTCACTTGCAGTCGCAGAGCTTCCTTGATCTGGTGCCGGAAAGGGCGCCCCCTACCGTGCCGACTGAGATGTTCAGTAACGAGCCGTCGCTGGACAGCGAGTCCAACGATATGATTGGCGAGCTGGAAACGTCACCCAGTAATGTCGAAGAGGAAATTAGTATTGACATGCTGCCCGAATAATAATAAACAGAGTTTAATTCCGTAACAAACCTTGTACCTTATGTGGATTGTCCAAAAATTAAATCTTAGAATTAAAGTGCCTAAAACTGGACCAATTTAAATAAACCGTCATATTTTTTTCTTTTCCACTGAGGGAAATGGATTTGGTAGCATCCTTCTACCGGGTGTCCAAAATCTAAATAACATCGAATAAGATCAAATTTCTCGACACTTTTAATAAATTAAAAAATTTGGTCTAGAATTCTATGCTCTTTATTGATTGTATAAAAAACAATTACAAAACGTTCCTTACATCCGTTGGTACAAATAAACATAACCTAAGTCTTTGGGGGGGTTTTCAGACAGCGCGACCTTGCTGTCGTTGAATATGACCCAACGCTCATCTTTAAGCAGGTGCACAACATAGTGGCCCACCATGGTCGACGTGCCCATGTGCGAGATGAACCCAATCAACTTGTACTCTGAAATTTAGCCCATTAGTACACACACTATGGCTAAATGTTTTAATCTAACACCTAAAATTTCAAGGTTCAGATTAAAAAAAAATCTTGACAAATTTTGACTTTATAACTCTTGGTAATGCTAATTTGAACGATGAAATGAAACTTACTGCCGTCGCCATCTTTGAAGCGAGGTCCCGAGGGCGAGCCCGCGTTGTCCAGCTCGCCCTGGTGCGAGAAAATCCAGTCCATCGCCCTTTCCACGTTATTGTCGGTCGCTTTTAGTGCTTTCGCGGCCTGATCACCGGTGAAACCTTGCAACATAACTTCAGAGTTTAAAAAAATATAAAAATCTCGCGCCTACCCATCGATACGATGGTTTCCAAGGCTTCGGGATTCGGCGTGAAAGAGGAGGGACCCGTCTCGGTGCCGGGCGGTACGAACGGATCGGAGAAATCGGAATCGGTGATGTGTTCCATGATCCAAGCGGTCGCCGCCTCCAGGCCCGCGTTGCCCGTAAAAAACACGGCCCGTTTGCACGATTCCGGCGGGAAACCCATTTCCGCCAACTTCGATAGCACCAGCTCGTCCAATTGAGGCGCGGGCGGTTTGGTGTCCGGTTCGGGGAGCAATTCCTCGCCGGGTCGGAGACCCGTACCTCTCAGGCACGACGCATCGAGTTCGTCGGGCATTTCCACCGAAACGTCGAGCTTAATCGGTACCCAGTCGTCACGTAGCATAAATTTTTTAAGCTGGATCAGGAGGTAGTCCGGGAACGTGGACAGTCGGGTGGTCCTTAAAAAAACAAACAAACAAATGATGGGGGCGGGGCGTTCAAGACGCTTACTTCCTGGCCGGTACGTTCTCGTTCACCGCAGTACTGTAGAAATTGTTGATGATTTCCGTTTGCGTAAACGACTCTAAGCACGACAAGAAATTTATCTTGGGTCGTACCACCGGATCCCGCCCCTTTCCGTCGTCAGTGCGTTTCGCCTCATACGCCGCGACCTTATGAGAACGAGAAAAAATATAAGCGCGTGCGCCCGTAGTTCGATTGTCCCCCCACCTCTTCCTTGTTCACGGCCGCGTCCATGGGTATAAGCAACGGCAATATGACGTCGCTACGAGTGAGATACTTGACTTTTTTGCTCTGACTGCACTGAAACCGTTCCTCCATCTCAAACCGGAAGCAGTCGCCCGGATCCTCGCCATTTTTGTTGTGGCGTTCGAGCAGCGTGAGGAGGTGCAGTATGAATTCTTGCACGTCCTTCCGGCAAAGTGAAATATTGTTTCGTCATAATATAATTTATTACACCATGAGGTAAAATCTCGTCATAGATGGCGTATCAAGTGTATAAACCATTTATATATACAAATTTTAATTATAAAAAACAAATTTAAAAAGGGGGGACAACATTTAAACTTTTTTTTAAAGTTAAGGTAATTTCATAATTGCTTCGTATTCATCTAGATTCTATAAGGTAGAAAACGATGGCGGAGAAAAAATCCGAGAGAAATTTTAAAAAATGTTTAATAATTTTTTTTTTGTTTGACGGGAGAAAATTATAGAAGTATGATTCTGCACTAAAGCTGCGATCTGTTTTTCCTGTGCATTTTGTTCCCGAAACAAAGGCCGATGTGTCAACCGTGTACATACAACAGTTGTTTTGTATTTTTTGAAGGCGTCGACGATCAAGGAGTGTTGAAGACGGGCAAAATAATACGAGACAATATGACAATGCAGACACAATATATGACTCACAGAGTTAGGAAAAAACTTTGTTAATATTTTATTTTTTTTACTATGGGTTCTCTTGTTACAAATTGTATTGTCAAAAAGATGTATAAGATATAGATTAATTGTATTGGGTTAATGTTGAGTAGCTGACCTAGTCAGCTAGATTTGGGCCTTTGAGATTTTAGTGTTGTAAACTGTGTATTATGTATATCATGTATTTGAAATCTCAATAAAAACTATTATTTTTTTGACAATACCTTATATATGATACGATCAATTTATTAATTTGTTTACATGCAATTATTAGGTGGTATAGCAAAGAGGTTCTCTTTTTTTATTATCTAATCTTGATTATTCATACCTTTAAGGGTGTATAAATAAATACAAAACTCCAATCTCCAGTCACTTTGTTCTAGTCAAATAAGTCCGTAGAAGAGTTTTTAAATAAATAGATTGTTTAACATTTACATTTCATCCCTGTGTTTCAAATTCGACTCTCACCATCTCAGAAATCCTAAGAGAGCAGGTCAAATTAACATCGAAATTTCAGCTCTTTGAGTTTATTTTGCCACCACTTTATTGTCAAATTAGAAAAAAATCGAAAAACACATTCTAATTGGTGCTTTTTGTAATTTTTTACCTAGAGGAAATTAGGTTCCAGAATATAATATTTATATATAACTTAATGGCCAAGTTGAATTCCGGAAATTGATTTACTCTTTTCGGCCATGGCTCTTCTAAGCCCTGCCTTTGAAGACTTTATTTAAAACGAATTTTATTAGGTGAGTCACCTGTTGCCGTTTGGTCGAAAACTCTTGATGCCCTTTGCCGATCAGCGTTTTGAACATGGACGGGCATATTCCGGGCGGATCGGCGTCAATCGGCGAGCCTGGGGGTGGTGGCACTGAGTACTTCCCCGATAAGAGACCATGGCCGAGTTTCGCCCTACAAAAAAATGTATAACCGCCAGAAAAAAACCAAAAGGTAACTTACATCTGGACGTTGAAGTCTTCCGCAGGGTTGCCGGTCGCATTACGGAAAATACCGGGGCCGCCATCAAAGTACTTGTTGATGAAATTAGGCACCCTGAAATAGCAAAGACATGTTTCCTCAAAATCCGATACCCCCGCGAAAATTTACCTAAACACCATCTGCATGGCGCTGTTTAAGTAGCAAGAGTTGCCCAGGTTGACCATACCAGTGTACCCAGGCCCATAAATAGGCTTCAATGCGCCTGAGCTCTCTTGCAGCTCCGCCCACTCGTTTGTTTTCTGGTTGAGCTCCAGCTCCAGTTCAACCATTGACTTTTCGGTTTTTTCCATGTTCGATATGTTTATACCCCAATGACTGAGGTGCTGAATCAAATAAGGGTCTTCGACCATGTCGTCTTCGGCGTAACTAAAAACGTCCGCTTTGCCGTCTTTCGTGATGGTGCCAAGTTTAACGGCCAATGGAAAGTTTGTGACTGTGTATCGCTCAATAGCGTGATTGTTACCGCCTGAGCCATCAAAGAATTTGCGGCCGCAAAGTATTGAACCATCGCTCAAATTTAACCACAGGTTTTCAGTTTTGTCACACTTCTCGCACTGCCAACCTGTTGGTGGAATTTTCTTTCCGTTTTCTAATTGAGTTAAATTTTCGGCATGCTTGGACACCTTCCTAACTTCACCATCCCAAGTGCCACTCAGCGCCTCCAGTTCTGCCACTTTGCTAGCGGAGGGCAACCTAATTATGGCCTCTACCGATAATTTTACCTGTAATGATAGAATATTTTTAGCATTGCTGTTATTTTTCCTCACTCGAAAAGATCTCAATAGTTAAAACATACTATTTCGGGTAAATCTTCGTTGGGCCAATCGAAACTGACGAAACCGGGCAAAACGACTACCTTATAGTGATCAATCAGATCAAATTTTTTCTTCCCCCCATCGGGATCAAACCCACCCACTACACCTATAGCCAATCGGGTGATTTTTTTCTCGGGGCCGTCACCCTGCGGAGGCGATGACACCTCGCGTCTTTCCCTGCTAAGATGGAGGTACACCGCCTGACCCGTTTTTCCGAAATGCCTCTCAACATGGTCCCTGCCGAATCCGTAAAAGTTGGTCAAACTAACGTACAAACCGGTATCAGTTTCCTAAAATGACGGTCCCTGTAATGGACGATGTTTGAAAATAACCGGCGTGATCTACCGGATTGTCGAATGAAAATACACATTCGTCCTTATATACTTTATCCTGCTGGGACGGAATTTTTACATTCTTCAAGTGTTGCGTTAGCAGTTCCATATCGCGAGTTTTGATTTTAAATCTCGCCTGCAAAAATTCAAAACGAGTGCGAGGCGATTATTTGCAAAAAAAATAGATGCCAAATAAATTGACAAACGGCAGTGAGGTTAGGTGCGGGTTCTTCTCTGTTTATACTGAACCTTTGTCCAATGTAAAAATAGATTGTAAAGCCCGGCAGATACAATACAATTTTTCAAGTAATTATTGCAATGTGTCAACCACCAAAATGCAAGAAATTTGGCCAGGTACTCTTTCGCGTTTGTTTTAATAGACATGTAGGTTTAACCTCCATGAAAAATATAAATAAAGTTAAAATCACGAAAACTAACTCTTAAAAGTCTAAATAAATAAAATAATAAATATGCAAGTGGAAAAACTGTTCAAGAAACAACTGCAGAACTTCACATAGATAGAAAAGTTTCGCTTTCCAAATGTATAATTGCTTCACCAAAATAATCAAAGCCCATTTTGCACGAAAAAAAATGCATCTTATCATAAAAAAATGATAGATAAAAACACATGCATTTTTAATAGTAATTTTCATCTGCTAAAAATGCATGCAGAAATATATGTAGAATTTGCATCGTTTCTACCTGGCTTTAGTAAAACGAATTTGGCGATGTAATAAAATATGTTTATTTGTGAGGAATAAGAGTTATTCAGTTTGACAAATCCAAAACAAGAACAGGAAACAACTGACTAGATTAGAGGTGAGAATGTATGGAGTATTTTGTACTTGGTCACATGGTCAGTTGGCATTATTCGCCTTCCTTGTCCATTAATATCCTTCTGGTGGTATCGCTTTCTGTCCTTGCCCGCGTCTGCACGCCATTTAAATGGATATCTTGCTCGTCCCGTACGCGTCTACAATCAATTGATTATCAACAATCCAAGGCATAAAATACCGTGGTAAAACCCTACCTTCCGAATTTTTCACCCTCCTCGAAAGTCTCGGGCAGTTTTCTGTTCAATGTTTCCGGTAACACGAGAGACATTACGCCCCCCACAAAAGACAGAGCTCCGAATATTAAAAGCGGCAACGGTTGCCAAATACGGGTCTAAAAATGGTCATTAATATTAACCAGATCTGATAACTCATCACATAAATTAAATATTTATTTTAATCTCGCAAAATAAAAATTCCGAAAAGAGTAGGGAAAATCGTTTATCGTCATCAGAACTTTAAATGAAATAACACCGTGTATTAAATCTGTGTATAACGGCAGATGTTTACTATGGTCCCTTAAAAAATATTTAACGGACCCCACCAAAAATGAAAGAAAAATTGAATAGAGTTCTCCGAACAATATACCGTTTTTACAACCTTTTATATTAATGAAATATTTATATTATATTAAATCATATTAGTGTGCTTTTTATAAATCTTCCTAAAACAGTGCCCACTTGAGGTAGCTCGATTTATATTATTAAAAACACGTTAGAAAGCCTAAACTGATTTACAATTTAATAGTTTGACATAATGAGTCTAACATATGTTGTCAGTTTTATTTTCTTATTCGTCGAAGCTTTGGAGTTATTTCTATTGCGTCTTGTGTTTGTAATTAGTAATTAACCACTTGTTATTCAATTGTGTTCCATTTTCAAAAATGTGTATAACATGTAATCGAAGAAGAAAATGTTTTTATAAGTCTACTACTAGTCCCAGAATTAATTATTAATGTGGGGGGACGAGTCCAGTGACGATAGTGATAGTACCGAAGTACAGTTCTGGAATTTCATTGTGGGATTGCAAATCTATTCATTGAGGGTTACAAAGAGAAACCCAGGATAGGTAGGCCTGCGGTTAGACCTTCAATGTATACTAACCATACCAAAATCAATGAATATTTTTGGTGCAGTTTAAACTTTTTTGCTTGCGACTTGTTTTATTTACCATTTCTGGATCCCTAAACAATTCGAACCCGAAAAAAGTATTTTTCATATAAACCAAAATTTACAATTTCCAGAATCATCTAAGCTACCTCTATATTAATCCATTTACGTTTGTAGGTTTGTGTCGGACTTTTATGTTCGAAGTGGAAGATTATCATTAGAAATTACTGGGATCCAGTTTAACCCAAGAATGGGAGTGAAAATTTAAGGATGAAGGTGATTTCGATGATAAAATGGCCAAACTGGAGCTTAAGTAATTCGGACTTAAAGATTCAACACCTATTTACCAAAATGTTAATGTAGGGCGCGGTTATGGATCCAACTCGTGCGCACGTCGAGCCAGCGCCTAGACCGGCGTTTCTGATGACAGTCGGAAACTGTTCAGTCGAAAAAATGTAAACAGCGCCGTAACTTGCGGTGATCGACAACTTCCCGATCATCGCGAGTGAGATCGTGAGCCACTGCATATCTGCGACGTCAAATTTTCATGGTCCGTGCTCGGCGCGGCGCGTTTGACCTACTCACCGGCCGGTACGACGATCGTCAGTAACAAAGCGCACCCCGACAGTATCATACAACCGCACATAACGAACTTCCTGCCCCACCTGTTCAGCGTCAGTATTAAGAACAGGTAACCGGGGATTTCGACGGCTCCGGATATCACGAAGTTCAAGTAGGGGTCGCCCGCCAAGTTGTTTGTGTTCCATGACAGCCCGTAATAAGTGATGTTGTTCGCGAACCAGTCGAAAAAAATTATAAGGGAGCGTTTCCTTAGGTTTGGGTACCTGAAAATATTGATTACGCTGGTTTGTTTGGGGTCGGCGTTTTCCTTTGCGCGCGCACATTCGGGTACCAACAGCGATTCGAGGGTTTCCTCCGCGATCGTCACTTGGTTCACCTTGGCGGCTTCGTGAATTAATCGCTTCGCTTCATCCGTTCTGTTTTGGTTAATCAGCCACCTGCATGATTCGGGGATTAACCTGAAATCGACAGCGTTGCCATTTTGCGCTATTGATCATGGATCCACCAAGCCAAAAAATAAAATACTTTAAAATATCGCTTCTCTTTGTTTTTTATTCTGTGACAACGTTCTTACCACCAATAGGATAAGAAAACGATGCCAGGCGCGGTCAAAGCCAACTGCAAGGAACGCCATTCGGTGATGTAAAGGGCGAACACCGTGGTAAGCATGTAGCCCAGCGAAAAAAACATGTGGCACACCGTTCCGGCAATCATTCGCTTCGACGGGCCGACCATTTCCAAACCTATGACGTAGGCCACGAGGAAGACGCCGGAAGTGGTCGCCCCCACCACGGCTCTGGCAATGGAAAAACTCCAAAATTCGGGCGCGAAACCGGCGAGCGCCCCGAAAACCACCTGAATAACGAGCGATAGGAAGAACGTCTTTTTCCTGCCCCACCTGTCGGACATTTCCCCGAACCCAATCGATCCGATCATCACTCCCACCATGAAAATAGAATTTCCGGTGGCGATAAGGTAGGCGCTATCACACGTCAACTGCCACTGAAAATCGCGATACAATTTTTTTTATTATAATGCCGAAATTTAATAGAATTACTTCAATCACGGCAGTGTATCCGTATAACGTGTGGTCATAAATAAATGTATCACAGTTTTGCGTTTTATTATCGATAATTATTTCGCATTGCGAATACCGTTCGTCGGCGATCTTGGGATACCACAGGTCCCACTCTCTCGCGTCCAGTTCATAACTCGAATTTGGAAGTTCACTTGGCAACTGACACCTAAAAATAATTTTTAAAATTACAAACTCAACGACCTTGGTAAAATGCAAATTGATTTACTAAGTAGGACAAAAGGCCAAGTGAAGGAAAAGAAGAAGCCGACACACCACGGGCGCATTCTGTCGTTTCGCAAACTAACTAGTTCACAACCAAAACAACTATAAGAGCGGGTAATAAACGGAATTTATAACCTAATTAAGTACGTGTAAAACCAAGCAGATGTAAACATGTATTACATCGTGATCCGTGAGCAGAAAGACACGGACACCCCAGCGGTATCGGAAACTTTAAGAAATGCTTACGTCTCCAATGTTTCCAACACTTTCTTTAACGCTCTCGTTAACGAAGTGAGTTTTATTTCATTCTGATTGAATTCCTTGTTAATAAGCAGGACCGTTTCGTAGGCTACCTTTCAAATAATTGTGATAGTGTCGGCGCTCTTGTTTATATTTTTTCAAATAAGACTCCTCTACTGTTTAATGACGGTACCCGTCATTCTCCTGCTGATGTATGTAGTAATTTACGGCGCGTGGACGATGAAATCCGCACAAATTATGTACGAAAAGAGGCCGCTGTGCGCTTGGGTCGCGGAGGCCTACGAGCCATATTTTACCGACAAGAGTCCCGTGTCATGCTCATTCAAGATTGTCACCGAAAGAGACTTCAAGGAGGATGACATTCGATTCGAAGGCAGACGAAAGGTAGTAGCACGGAATTATAGCCTTTCATATAATCCTCATGTGACAATTATCAGTTTTGACATATTTACAAGAGTGCTCACTTTATTTGGTTAGCAGACTTGGACTGATTGGCCTGCGAGTTTCCAGTGAAATCACCGAACAAGTTCTAAATTCCATAAGTTTGTGTGTCTGACAAGACATGTTATAAAACCACAAATTTAACTAGATTAGCGAGCCTTCAACATGACAATTTTGATCAACATGTAAATTAATTACATGCTGCTGCCATAATTTCATTTTCATTCTTTTATTTTTGGGTACATTTACAGATATTGTTGTCCTTGTTAAGCAGATAAAAGCAGAGATCTGCGTTACTTTCGATGAAAAATGCTAATGTATAATATAATACAAAGTACCAAACAGTAACAAGTATTATTTGCTATAACTTAGGAAGAATCCACTATAGATACAGAAACATCAAATTAATAATTATCTACATTTAACGTAACAAAAAACTGTTAGCGCTTAGACTTAGAACGCGATAGTTTTGAGAAGCTTCACATTATGCAACGTGAAAACAAACAAAATGTTGAGTGCAATAGCTTACATTTTTTTTTTCAAAATTTCCGATTTAAAAAATTTGCCATATTTTCCTTAATATGAAAGATATTTTAATTATATAAAACCTTGTGCACTGCAACCTTTTTAAAAGAAATAAAATGGTGCACTTAAAATTTGAATTCAAATATTTGTGTTTCAGGAAATTACAATTACAAAATAAAATGTGATTTATTGTTATAAAAAAAGAGGTTAAAGTTAAACTTATATAAGATTTTGTATATGACAATAAAACTGATATATTGTGAAACTTTATTGTGAGAATGTCAGAAAACATTGAATAATAAAAAGCAGGATAGCATCTAAGCCCTATTTAAGATTCAGACTCCGACGCAAAGCTTTTATTTTTTAGAGTTGTAATAAAAAATCGTGGAAGATATGGCAAATCTGTAAAATCGCCAATTTTTCAATTTTCTCTCATCGTTCACAAGAATCTGATTGCGCCATTTTTCAAGTCTCAAAAGAGTAGTTGTTTGCAAGAATGCGCCAATATTTCAAGTTGTTCACCTTGTGTAATCTCCCGTAATTAATATTATGCAAAAATTGTCTTTCTCTCACTCCCTATCTTAACAGCTAAACCACAGCGGCCGCGAGGTCGCTCCAGGTTTGAATTTTGCGTCGCAGAGATCGTTCCCTTCGACGTGTACCCGTTCCAGGTGTTCCAACTCGAAGGCCTCCGGATGTACAGCCACTAGATCGTTGTGCTGGATACGGATACTTCTAACGCACCCCGCCCCCGCGAACGTGTCCTTTTCTATCCGGGTCAGGATATTGTGATTCAAGTCGATAAACGAATCGGGTCCTGCGTCGATTCGATTCGCGAACGGTTCGAAGAAAAAGTAACCGTCGATGTGATTTAACCGATTGAAACTCAAATCGATCTGCCTCAAATTGCGCGTGTTGGAAAATATCCCTTTGCGCAGGCTGTTCAAACCGTTGCGGCTTAAATCGAGCGTTTCGAGCGACTTCAGGTTGCGGAACGCCCCCGGAGCGATGGACTCGATTCCGTTGCCGACCAGCGACAGTTTCACCATGTCCAGACCTTCGAAGACCCCCTCAGTGATCTCGCGCAATAGGTTAAAATTTAGGTTGAGGGTACGGAGGCGGGGCAATGCGGAAAACGCCCCTCTTTCGACGAGTCGTATTCTGTCGTTGACCAGCCTTAAGTATTGCAGCTTTGTTAAGTTGCGGAACGAGCCGGTCACCACAGCATCGACCGTTTGGTTTTCCAACACGATTTCTGTCGCTTCCGTCTCATAGTTAATGTTGTCCGTAAATAAGGTGACAAGGGCGCGGTCTCCGCGGTACACGGTGAAGTTTACACTCGGGAAATACGCGGCTAGAACCGAGCGTAGCCATACTAGCAGTATTAATTGCACGATTATTAATAGGTCCCGCATCGCATATCGCGGCGGACGCACTGCCCGTGCTAGCGTCTTTTATTGACGAATACGCGTTATCGATGTGTATTTTTTTTGCTTTAGATTATCGGAACCGTGGCTGTGATGAAACATTTTCATGATGCGGAACGGGCCTGGCTCTATCGGCTGGCGGTGGACGCGAGGTAAACAACGCAGAATAAACGGAGAAGTGACAAAGGGGTGGCGAACGGGGTTGCTTATACAGGGCGTTATCGATTTGACGTTGTATAATTTAACTGATGAATCTTTAATATTTTTCGCACGCCTTTCTCCTTCATGCGCCTTTTGTCATGGAAGATTGGCGATAACTTAAGCAAATTCTTTTCGTCCCGCTGCTGTTCTGGCGAGTATTTGAACGTTCATTCCGGTCCATTCTCGGGTATTTTTCTTCCGAAACTACTGTTTTCTGGCTGGACCTCGCGTCCCCTTAATTTGACTTGTGCTGATCAGTGTAGGTAATATTTATTATTCCTGAGAATATGCCGGAACTATTCGAATTTCCTTTTCTTCACATTTCAAAGGCCTCAATTTTCCTCACGCATACGGGTATGTCGTGTTAAATCTTTGCTACAAAAGAATTGCTTCATTTTGAGGAAAGTGCTACTGGCCTGTTTGATTTTGGCTTTAACCGCTACATCCTGGTCCAAACCTTTGGCAATCCAGCACCCAAGATGCTGGTTGTTGCTACTTGTATCACTTCCTCGTATATATCTTGCATCACGCCACGTTCGTTGGCCGATGTCCTTTCTTGGAAATAACCAAAACTTTAGTCTTACCAATATTGATGTTCAGTCCGTATTCGTTCCCGGCTGTTGTGTGTAAAAATTTTTGAAGCGAAGCTTCGCTGTCACCTAATAACACCCACTAGGTTTTCAACGATTTTTTTCATTGAAGTCTATGCCCTTTTGCTTCAAGAGATCAATTAATTTAGAATGTTGGAATCTGTTAAACACTTTCCCGTAATCGACGAAGCATAAGTACATGTCTTTCTGTTGGTCCCGACATTTCTGTAATAATAATAAAACTAGATATATAGAACATGTGGTACGTTTGATAGTGTCGTCCATTGTCGTTCCCCAATATCCTGTTCACATTTTCGGTATATTCGAAGCAGAATGAAACTGTTGAGTCTGAGATCGTTGCATCTTTTTGGATTTCTCGTTTTAGGTATAGGGACGACCACAAATATGCAATCTTTTGGAATATTGCTACTTCTATATATGCAGTTAAAAAGTTTATGTATACCATTAGGGCCAAGAGCACCACCGTTGTTGTTCTAAGTGGGGGTTCGACTTACGATTTTAAAATGTCTGTAGTTATTTGTTCCGGTGTATTTTAGATTTTATTTTCGTTGTGGATCGTTACAAAATTCTTTAGGCTCCTTTCAAAATCGAGAATTTGGTATTTTTAAAATTTGAAACATCAAGAAAAAATTGGTGGAAGGAAAGTCTGAGGTCTGCATCTCCTTCGTCTGGGAAAGACCTTGAAATATCAGAACTACAGTACAGATTTCTAATCCGGTAACTAAAGGATTCCGATTTAGTAGTAGTAGTCACTTATCGAGTGGTGGCAACACATTTTAGATTTATTAAATTGCTGATATATCGCGTTTCCCACACTCTTGTCGCTTCTGTATAGCGCTTTTCCGCCCAATGAACATCGACATGTTTCTTAGGTATAGGAGGAAGGGAGTCGCGCTCCGGCTAGTACAAACCGTCCGGAATTGGTGCAAAACCAACCGGTTTAACAACATAGAACTGGCGATGTCGGAGTGTCAGGAAGGGGCCCGTGAACTGTTCGCGGCCGCCGGGTAAATGATGGACGAAAGGGGTTCTGCAATTTTTGCTCTCATTGTGTTTTTAGCTTCGAAACGAAACAGCTCTATCACAAAAAGCTATTAACCAGCTTCTATATGATACAGATGTTCCATCTGGTGTGCGAAGTTAGACCTACCTTCAGCTGACTGCAGTATTAGCTTGTGATATTTAAAATATAGGACCACATTTTTTATTATTTATTTTGAGCCTCCTCCCAATCGATTCAGTGGACTAAATAAAAACTACACAAGATATCTACAAAAATATGCGACTATACAATAATTTATTGTCGAAAAAGATTTTCTTTGACTGTAATAATAGTTTTGCGAGAAATCGAAACAAAATTTCTTCATTGGGATTTCGAATATGCAAGATACATAATATTTCGTAAAAAGAAAATGAAATTATCTTTGTTACTTGCCCATGTCAAAAATCCAGGCAATGTTTCGTTTTACATGAATCATAAACTTTAATGAAGAATGTCTCGTTAAACGTCTTAAAAGTGTAATTTTGAGCTTACTACTTCTTCCAAAATAACAGCATCAAAAAGCTGACTGGATCTCGTCCAAAGAAAGGTAACTACCGCTTAATAACGGCGGACATTAAACCATTAATTATGTAGGCGCGGTGGAACCGATCTTAATCCTAAACTTACCGATACTTTGGTTCTGCCACGAGAAACACATTGCCCAACTTGTGGAAAGCGCACAGAATGGCCGGCAGACAAAGCAAAAAATAGATTCGTTTCTGGTACCGGCCGAAGTCGCCCAACAGCGGTATGACGTCGTCGTAACCCATATTTCAAGGCGAACTGTTTATTAGGAAAGGCGCGGGTTGTAGCGTCTTTTCTAATCGCTCGGGCTCACTTTATCTCTTCCCCGGCAGAGTGTTATCGCCGACCTATATCTACAGGGCGGCCTTGAATGTCTAAAACAAATCGCTCTTTGTCCCAAATGAAGACGCGATAGTTTCGTAAGTTGACGCGGAAATTTAGTCGCTTCCGTCGGACTTTCAACTGGACGCACAACAGAACTTTTGTATATTTCTCAATGGAACGAGAGAAATTCGCAACCTACCGGGAAACGGAAGCCGTTAATAAAATTACTTAACTTTAAAAGAATTAGTCCTTAAACTGTTCATAATCAACCCAGCGGCGTATCTATGCGTACCCGTTATCGAATCGCATTGTAATCTCCTTTCGAACCTCTGTTTATGTTTGTAGTGACTTAAGGATAAGTATAATTTAATTTAGTATAATTACTATTCCACACGTGTTATTCATTACCGTATACGTACAATTATACCATTTATCAACGTTTTACGTGACTACCTATGCAATTGACGAGTTACGTATTATTTATAGAAAATTGCCGTCTTATCTATAATCTTACCACTTTTGATAAAGACTTGGATTAGGATTAGAAAATTATTTGTTGATAAAAAACGGGACATTTTATAAATTTATACAGTGAACTATGTAGATTAAGGATCTGATATTTTCGGTTGGTCAATATCACACTTCCTAAAGCAAACAGTCTAAAGTTCGCGCTCTTGCAATTAAAATGAAATTTAATGGTGTGCATTTTGTACCTACCTAACCTTTTAAACCCCCGAGTTGTTCTGAAGCACAATTCACACTTTAAACCAATTGTACAGTAACCGACACACTGTTTCATATCGATGCGGATACCGTCAAATAAAATTCGCCATGCTAACTAGCGCTAAATGCAAAAATGAACCATTTGGATGTATTTATAACTGCGTTCCAGGCATTATCCCGAGGAGAATCGCTCAATTCCAGAAATCCCGATTTGCCTTATGCAACACGCGATACAATAAAAATTTGTGAAATAACAGCGGACCTTACATATCCTGCCAAAACAAGTGGTATATTAATACATGTTCTCTTGTAAATTTATACCCCTTACAAAGAATACTTCGTCTAAACCGGCCGGTTTGATATAATGTTTTTCAAATTCTTGTGACGTCTTCGGCGGAACAGTGACGCGCTAATTAACGTAAATCGTAAAAACGACGCACGAACGTCAATTCCGTTTTTCACGGACCACAAATATAATCTTCGTTCTTCGTTTTTCAATGGTTCGGGTTGTCAATTGTAGATGTGCGAACCTCGCCTTTATGGATACTCTCGACTGGAAAGATTCAACGTTTCTGATTCAGCGATCAATACAAACGTCAGGAACGACCTCGATTTTCGGGGGGGTGGACGAGTTCAGTGGTTATTGACATATATTTGCGAGAAATCCATAATATGATTTTTCGAAATTGCTAAGCTTAATGTTAATAAAACAATACCTAGTACGTGTCTCATTTCGCGCGTACGTTGCGGGTTGTTCCGTCGCGGTGCCGTGTACGCAAATAGCGTGACGTTTTAGCGGAAATGTCGGCTGCCGGGACGCCTTCTACTGACCCGTGGGTCGTTCTGGCTCGCGAAAGGGCTCGCTACGAGGACCAGTTTCGATCACTGAAACCCGTTAACGGTGTGGTCACGGGAGAACAAGCCAAAGGCTTTTTTCTTCAATCCCAGTTACCACCGCTCATATTGGGGCAAATATGGTAGGAATACTCTTTTAAATGGGTGCATAAAATCTCATGGGGTGTTAATGATCCAGGGCACTCGCCGATACCGACTCCGACGGCCGAATGGATATCAACGAGTTCTCTATTGCTTGCAAATTGATCAATCTGAAGCTTAGGGGTTTCGAAGTGCCCACAAGTCTTCCTCCCGCGCTTTTGGCTTCTCTTAAAGTACACACTCCGCCCGCCATACCGCCGTTGCCGACCCAGAGTTTGGTAGATTTACCACCCGCGAGACCCGATCCTCCCAAAATCATTCCCAATCAACCGGGCCCTCCTCTAATCAGTAACGGATCAGCCTCTCTAATTGGCGGTACTCCTGTGGGGACTAATGCGTCGCAGACGTTAATTCCTAACCTTATGGGAATGGTTCCTCCAATGGGAGGACCGACCACCATAATTCCTACAGGTATGAATGGGGAATGTTTGTCGGAAAAAAATATCGCTCTTCTCGATTGGTTTCAGGTATAGTACCACCTATGCAGTCAAACATTTCCGCCGTACAGCCCCTAATCGGGGGTATTCCGCCAGTGGTGCCGCCTATTCGTCCGCCACCGCAACCGGTCGTCGCTTACGGCGCCCCGTTAATTTCGGGGATGGTCCCAGGTTTGTACGCGCCATTTTTTTTTTACCTTCCTCGAGACTTTAATCTCTTTCAGCGCCGCAGCCGATTGTGCCCCCTCCCTTGGTAACCGCCGTCAGTTCCGGTTCATTGGGTTCAACCGGTCCCATGTCACCGGGAGTTTCGGTCCACTCTCCTGGCGCCACCAGCACGCCCAGGGCGAGTGTGACTAGTCTTGAGCGGACCGGCTCTATCGATTCAACATTGTTCGTATCACGCACAGGGTGTTTTAGGGTGGAACTTTATAGAGAGAGTTTTCCAGGCAATCCGACTGGGCGGTACCTCACCAGACCAAGCTTAAATACACCCAGATCTTCAACACAACCGACAGAACAAGGAGCGGGTTCTTGTCGGGGGCGCAGGCCCGGAACGTCATGGTACAAACCAAGCTTCCACAAAACATTCTTGCGCAGATCTGGTAAGTCACTTAGTGAGAAGTAACATTGACAATCACAATTGGGGGATCTCAGCTTTAAAATTTCTGGCCCTAAAATTAACTCAAATCGAATTAAATATTTTTTTTTCTAAAAAATTGTATCCATAGAAGACCAGTACAATTAAATTTAAAAGCGCGTAAGGCGTAGTGTAAAACATTTATCGTAATGACAAATTAATGTACATTTAATGTACAAGGTGTGTTTAAAAAGTAAGGTAACTTTTAGGTTTTATCAAAACATTTATATATCAAAATTAATGTTGTTCTCTTTAAAGTATCCCCCATCACCAGATATAATACACTTGTTCCTACATTGTCTCCAACCTTCGAAGAACTCCTTCCTTTCATGGGTTTCTTGAGTTTTGGGAACATGAAAAAGTCGCAGAGGGCCATATCCAGTAAATATGGTTGGCTGAGGCATGATTCTGGTTTTGTTTCTGTATGTTGATGTTGTTGATATTGGGACATGCTGCCCAAGCCGAGAGAGAAGGGTGATCTAGCGGGTCTAGGTTTTGGTCCTTCAAGGAAACGCAAATTTTTAACACTTCCTTCGGAATATATTTTGAAATACCTCATGTCTATGTTCTAATCTAATCTAATTAATTATCAATAATATAGAGAAAAACGGCATAGTTATATATTGTAACTTTAATATATATAAAACATACAAAAAACTGTTAGTTTGCAGCAATTTGGATTGTTAGTAGCTCATCTTTTGTGGTCTGTTATCCTATGATCGTATTATTATGTTTAAAGTGTAATGTGAAAGACATAATCAACAATCAACATAATAAATACTAATTTTACTTTCAAACTATAGTAATACTTTTTCCGTCAGAGGTCTCATTGAGTTGTAAAATCGCCAATCGCCGTCTAAAAGTATGTCAAAATGTTGGTTAATAAAACTAAACATGCTTCTAGACAATTAAAAAAAATTTAAAGTTATCAATGAATTTTTTTCTGTGTTTTTTTTTTTAAAGCCTGTAAGTGTCTTATTAATTTTATAGGCTCTTATTCTAATGTAATGTAAACTGGGATTGACTCTTATATTCTTCTTATTGATATATGTAAGTATTTTTGAATACTACTACATGAATAAATTAATTGAAGTCGCCATCGATCCCGCCCACTCCTAGTGACGTGGTGATTTGCGCAGGGCTCTGGCTGACATGGACGCTGACGGGCGCCTCGGCTGCGAGGAGTTTGTCTTAGCGATGCACCTGTGCGAGCAGGCGCAGCAGGGTCACCCTCCACCCACGAAACTACCACCGGATCTCGTCCCGCCCTCGTTCCGGCGGCCCGCGAGGACCGCCTCCATATCTAGTCAAGGCAGCGCGCCTCACGTAGACTTGGATCCCGCGTCGACGCTGTTGCAATGTAAACAACCTTCAGGATTGTTTGGTTTTATATTTTCGGTCGTGATTTTGCAGCGTCGTTCGAGGACAAACGCAAGGAGAACTACGAGAAGGGTCAAGCGGAGTTGGAGAGGAGGAGAAAAACGCTCCTCGACCAGCAGAAGAAGGAGGCGGAGGAACGGGAGAGGAAAGAGCGGGAGGAAATCGAGCGCCGCGAGAAGGCTCGACAAGAGGCGGAACGGAAACGTATGGAGGAGCTAGAGAAGCAGATGAGGGAGCAGCAGGAGAGGGAGCGTCTGATCGAGGAGGAGAGGCGACGCCAGGCGGAGCAAAAGGAGGCGGCAAGGAAGGAGATGGAACGGCAGCGGCAGCTCGAGTGGGAGAAGCAACGACTGCAGGAGTTGCAGCAGCAGCGGCAACGGGAGCAGGAGAACGTGCTTAGGCTGAAAGCGCGGAACCAAAGTTTGACGATCGAACTCTCTACCCTCAATGAACAGGTGCGGGAATTGTCGCAGAAGATTTGCGACACGCGGATGGGCGTGTCGAACGTAAAGACCACCATCGATGGTATGCGAAGCACGCGCGATTCGCAAATGCAGGAGATGTCCCAGCTAAAGAATAAGCTGAAGGATCAGAACGCGAGGCTCTTGGCGTTGTCCCAGGAAAAGGTCAGGTCTGTATCGCGTCTTTCAGTAAATTTTGAATATTATGGAATTATTTGCGATTATCAAAATATTCCTAATTTGTTTTTGACCTGAATTTGAATGAAGTTCTACCTGCCTTGCTTAAGACACAATTATAAAATTTCGGTCGCTGAAATACTCTTAAAAAACACAAAGAAAATTGCTTGGGATATTAACTTATTTATTATGAATCAGGATTAAAAGTGGTGCTTAATTAGCATGACGCAAAATGCAATCAAATTAAATTGTCTTTATTTGGCCCTGTTTGCTTCAGTTGCAGTCCTACTGAGATGGAAGTTTCTTTGTAAATGAAAAATTGAATGGACACATCCTGTATGAAAGTTGATTTTGACTAAGTAGGTTATTATTACTGTAAATAAAAAGAGCTGGAGGATTATTAAGTTATTTATGAACAAACATTTTTTTTAGTTTAACCCTTGAAACATCTTTAAAAAATTGTCGGACTTGCGTTTATCAACTCAATATCACTCGAATAATCACTTACGGAAATTTGAGCGCTTATTTCAAAAACACCGTGTCATTGTTGCAGATTGGACGCTAAGAATAAAATGAACGCGCAGGACTCTGAACAGACGAAAGTCGCTTACGAAAATCGGGAAATCAACATCAAAAACCTGCGCGAGAAGATAAGCGACATACAGGCCCAGCTGGAGGCGAAATCGTCGGACATCGAGAACAACAACAGTCAACTGGAGGAGCTCAAGACCGAGCTGCGCGGTCTGTTGTCCGATTGCGAGCGGTTGTACGCCGTCTACGAGGAAAAGCGCGACCTGGTGGTGGAAATGAAAAACGCGAACCGCACCACGGGTTTCGAGGACGCGTGGAAGAGCGCCGACGCGTGGGGCGCGTCCGAACCAGCGGCGGCGGCGGCGGCGACCGATTGGCCCGCGGATAATTGGGGCGCCGACCCGTCCGTGCCCGCTGACATCGAAAATATACCGGGCGTGCACAAATATAGGGCCGTGTACGAGTTTGTCGCCCGGAACAACGACGAGATATCATTCCAACCTGGTGACATTATCCACGTACCGGAACAGCAGACCGGCGAGCCCGGATGGTTGGCCGGTGAAATCCGCGGGAAGACCGGCTGGTTCCCGGAGTCGTATGTCGAACCGTTAGATGGCGTGGGTATCGCGGCCGCGACTGCGGAGCTTGCTGAACCAGCGGTACTGGAAGAGATAGCGGAGGTGCCGGAGGCAGCGACCGTATCGCCTCCTGCTGTGTGTAGCGGCGAGCCCGAGTATTACGTGGCGAGTTATCCTTACCAGTCGCAGGAGCCGGGCGATCTTACCTTTAACGCCGGCGACACGATTGCCGTCTACAAGAAGGAGGGCGACTGGTGGACCGGGAAATTGGGCGACGCCGTCGGTATTTTCCCAAGTAATTACGTGCAGAAAATGGACGCGGTAAGCTTTCTCTACTATTTATTCATTTATCTACAAGGTCAAGCGCAAAAAGGGAGGAACATCCAAAATTATATTAAAACAACTCTAAGGACAAAAAGGAAAACAATTATGACTTTAAAACCTTAGTAAATGCTCTGAATGTTTCTCTTTTTACAGCAAACTGATGTTTCAGAACAGTTTCCAAAGAACATATCAAACGCCCTTTTAATGCTTATAATGCTGTTGTTTATTTGTTCCCGTAGTGGTACATTTAACGGATATTATAATTTAATAGATAAACTTTAAAAGAAAATATATATATATACAGACTTCATTTTGTTGCAAGTTTTTGTAATATCCACATTATCAATTATAGGCAATTAAGAAGCCCCAACACTAATGGCATCTTACAAAATTTTATTTTATAAATTGTATAAAAATAAGATATTCACTTTGCTCTTTAAGGGGGAATAAATGTACTTTCAGAAACAAAATATATATATCCACAGTAATTACAAATCTTGTTTAACTAAAAAACGTATTCTGTATATATTTACAAAATAATTAAAAAATATTTTTATGGTTTTGTTATCTCAGATTTTTTCTTTAAATATTTAGTCCTTATCTCTGGTTGCAACAATAACTTTTATGTGTTATTTCTAATTGAGTGATTTATACGAAAATTTTGAAAACTTATGTTCAATAATTTTGCCATTTTGACCTGACCTGCCTTAGTTAAGACATCATTATTAAATTTTGGTCGCTGAAATACCCTTAAAAAACACACTGAATTCAAGTGTGTTGAAATCCTTCGCCTTTAGGGAAACGATAAAATGATATTTTTTCCCAGATTTTATTTATTTGCTATTGCTGCAGACAGCTGTAAAACATATGTAAAAGCAAAAATCATCAGGTATTTCTACCATAGACAAATTCAGTTTCTATTCCGCTAGGAATTATTACTTGAGAAAGAAATTTTCCCCTCAAATGTAATGTAAAATCCGTAAATAACGGCGCATCTCCCGTACCTCTTACTCTGTGCGGTGTGCGGTGGGCAGGTTGGAGTTGGTCTGAACTAAATGCTAACCTGTCATTTCGAAGAAGTTTCCATTCAATGTATTGGTTTGTTAGGGTTCTGGGATTGAGGGAGCGAGGCAAACAGAAGAAGTAGCTCCCGCGGCGGGTGTGTCGGCGGCCGAGATCACGTCGGCCCTGGAGAATATCACCGCGAATGCGCAGGTCGACAACGAGGTGTCGCAAATTACGGAGAACAAGATAAGCGACAGGCCGCCCGACGCCGGCACCACTGCGGGAGTGCAGGTGCGTTTCGTCGTAGGGGTGGAAATCGGTACGCGGTGGAAAAACTCCTCTTTTTTCCAGGTCATGAAAGGCAAAAAACCGGAAATAGCGTCGGTAATAGCTCCGTACCAGGCGTCCAGTCCCGAGCAGCTGTCCCTGGCCCGGGGGCAACTGATTATGATACGAAAGAAGACGGACTCGGGCTGGTGGGAGGGCGAGTTACAAGCGAAGGGTCGCAAGCGGCAGGTCGGGTGGTTCCCCGCCAGCTACGTCAAGGTGCTGAACAGTTCGGGCAAGATCAGCGGCCGGTCGACTCCCGTATCGACCACCCGGATGCAGCAGGAAGTCGTCATCGGTAACTTAAGCCTTTGCTCCTTTTAGCGCGTCCGCGAAATGCCTGCTTTTTTCTTTTTTTTTTTTAAGACAAGGTTGTCGCGCTGTACGCGTACACAGCCGCGAACCCCGACGAGCTGAGCTTCCTCAAGGACGATATCATTAACGTGACAGCGAGGGAGGAGGAGGCGTGGTGGAGAGGCGAACTGAACGGCGTTTCCGGCCTGTTTCCGAGCAATTATGTGGCGCCGCTTCAGCAGCAATGTGAGTAGCGGAATAGGCCCCTTGCTCCTTTTTTTATTAATTAAAAATGATCATCGGTCAGACTTTACAAGTACCTCCCAAAAATTTTTTTCAGATTCGTGAAATATCAACGCCGTAATAAACAAATAAAATTCAAAATGTTTAAATTCCCGCTAAAACGGGACGTTCACGTTTCAAGCGTTGGTGACGTCACAAGGTACATCTGTCAACTTTCGTTTCGATTTTTGACGCGTTGAAGAGTGGAGGGTGCATTGTGAAAGTTTTTGATGCGTTTTTCGTTTTTGATATGGTTTATCGGTGTTGTAGTGTGCCAGTTTGTAAAAGCACAACATCTTTAACAACCGCAAAGACATTTATTAAATTACCGATGGAAGAAAACCAACGAAATGTGTGGTTGCAGGTAATGAACCGTCGTCCTGACTATATCTTCGCGATAAGAGTTAATTTAAATTTCCAAATATAGCTTGGGTTTCAAAAAATAAATATCTTAACCCCAATTTTGCTCCTTATTGTCTTGAAAACTTCATTCTCTTCAATAAAAACAGTATAATTTTTGGTTTGAACCTTATGTTCAGGACAGATCTCGCATTTCACTATGCAAGCGTGATTTTTCCTACTGCAGAATCTCCATAGCTCTCTCTTCCAGCCCCGAAACAATACAAAAATTCAATATTTTTTGCTGGGCTTTGGTAATGGTAACATAACCACATTTTCCACAAGGAGTTTAAACAATTTTTGCCCAATTCTGGACTATATTATGCTAAAAGTAAATAAAACCTTTCATTCCACGTTGCTCGGCAGAAGAAAACATTTTGTAATTGGCTACCATCAATGAGTTCACCAAAGGTAGATTATAGGACTATGCTCTTACAAATCCTTCAGCCATATCGCTTAGTAACAAGTAAACTCAAAGTTTAAAATACAACAAATTGCACACAAAAAGTAAAGAAACAGTAAACTAACCACAAAATTCTCCCTGTTGTTTGACAATGATGGATCGAACACCAAAACGAAACTGACAGCCAACGCAACGCGACGAACCGAACGATGACAGTTGTACCTTATGGAAAAGATATTAGGAGGAGCTTATTAAGTAGCTTTTGTGTGAAAATTGAAATATGTGCAAGGAGTCTATTAAAATGTGTAACTGTCGATTTTAACGGAAACTATTTTACGTGTTACGGACAGTGTATTTTTTGACGGGTGACATCTTTTCCCAATTCATAATCGATTGTCAAGCTTAATGCAATTAGAATAGATGGAATCACGTAGCCTTCAAAAAGGCTTTTTTTCTCGGGATAGTCAGGAAATACGAAGAAACATAAGTCTGTCTGTTCTGTCAAACTTGAAAAAGATGTATTTTTGACAAAAGATCTTTTTTGGATTAAGCAGTTAAAAATGCGAATTTAATGTTTCCTGAATTGTTTTGAGTATCTCGCTTGGTTTTCAAAAGTAAAAGAGAAAAAGATTAGGCAATCTGAAAACAAAATTAGCCTCTTATCACTGCGAATATGAATGTCAATTAAATAGGATAAAAAATTATTGAGATATTTTTTAAATTTTGTTCGATACCCTATATTTTGAAAAAGAATTTTCGATTCTGCGTTTATTAGACCTGTTAGCTTTTAAAGTGAAACGCAGCACCACAAATTTGCACATCTATCATTATTATCCTAAACAGCTGAATCAGTATTTTGTCCAAAACAAAACGTTCTGGTACGTTGGTTGCGTTAAAACGCGATACCATGTTAAATAAAAATAAAAACAACTGCTTTTTCTCCCTAGTCTTGACGTGACTCGCTTAAAAGGTCTGAATGGTCCGACAAGATTTTCCAGGTTGGGTATTTAGGTTTCCAATTCTTTCGCCTTGATTTCGAGATATTCCACACTCAAGATTGCAATACCAAGTTATTTTTTTTATCGTTCTAGGAACGTGTGTCGTGTCGTCACCCATCCTACCATACGAACCCCGAGTTGAGTAGTCGCGGGAAATAGACAAATTAGGCATTCTTATTAGTATCGGTACGACTCTGAAATTAACGTTGAGGCACCGCTGAATCTTTTGTTTAGGCGTAAGACTAAAAAACGACTTTTTTTCTGGGGAGCGACTACGCATAAAATGGCGCTCCGCAAAATCGATTGCTACTTTTTATCGAACCATGATATTATGTGATCGTTGGTTGTTGTTGGCGATAATTTTTAAGGGTTATTATGTAACCGGTTTCGCGGCCGGACAAAATTTTATTTGGCTGCATGTATTTAAATGAAACCTTTTTTTCTATGTGAGTTTGGTAGGGTGGGTGTTTGACACCCCTGTCGGTAATTGAAATATTTTTTATCCGTTCGTTAAGTTTTTAATCTCCGCACACTCCCCACCCTACTAGACGGATCTGTGTTATTGTTAAACGAATAGTACTCCTCAAATTGTACTGGCTATAGGCACCACAATTAAATATGTTACACTGTTTTGTCCGTTTTACTCGTCACCTTCCAAAAAAAAATGTTCAAATAATCGCACATACGCACAGGTATTCATTCAATCTTGACTTGAATAGTACCTGTTATTTATTACCACTTTGTTTTATGTTTTTGTTGCGCTTTATCTACACTATTATCACTCATTATAAATGTTTAAACCGGTAACTAGTATAGACAAATAAAAATTCAAAGTTTTTCAACGGTTTAGATAGTGTTAATTATCACCACCATAGACCGATCCTAACCAGGATTTTTTGAATTTATTCAAAACTGCCACTGTTATATAATCTTTCCATTTCTGTCTTCTTTCATTTTTTTTGTATTTCATAAGTTTCATCTCTACACTATCATTTTTAATACAAACCTTTAAAATTATCCAATAACAAATTACCATTACCCCAACGAAATGTAACTTACGGCGGTGGTTACTTAACACTAAGAAATGACACTTAACTTTTGCGCAGGTGCAGTTACAACCACAACCATACGCCTCCCACACTTCTACCCTAGCTTTTATCTGTGCTGTCCTTTTGCCAATCGGTCCTCGTTATTCCGATATTTTATAGTATTTTTTTATGGCTCATTCACACTCTTACAACCCTCAGTTTACACATGCGGGAACGCAAAACAGACTGGGTCACGTCATCTCACGCGAATTTTACCCGAGTACGGTGGACTTGATCTAAACTGGAATGACAATGGCAGGATAGAAAAGTGAAGCAAATTTTCCAGTAGAAAAAGATGGCTCGTGATGATTCTCTTGCTCAGTTCCTAATGTTTATTGAGATAATTCTTACTGACACCATTTAAATGTTGTTATTGATCGAAGAATATTTTCTTTAAATATTTGTATAATATAAAATTTATACTAATGTCACTTTGTAAAAAATTATCGAAAATCCTCTAGCGTTTTCAAAAAACAATGTTGGTCGGAAAATAGCAGAATACAACGAGTATGTAAAAAATAATATTAAAATGCACATGTATATTATATATAGAGAAACATTTTAAATTTTCTTCTTAACTTTTAATTACAGCGAAATCATTAGATAAGAAATTCCAAGGTACTGATTTTTTTTTCTTTTTTATTTCTAAATAAGTACTCACAAACGAACATACAAACGGTAAAATCAAATTAACAATTATTACTTTATTTCTGTAATCATATTTATATATTTTATTAATGTAATAACTCCAATGTTTACTTATAAACCAAATCACATCATACATATGCAATGCTTTGCTTTGCTAAAAAATACACTTTTTTTGCCGGTTATATACAGCAATGCTGCAACCATATATTTAATATATTTATATTAATATTTAATTAACACCGGCACTAAATTATTGCTAGGTATTTTACCCACATTGACAATCTTGTCAAAAATAGTCAAAATATATCATAACCAGTTTCTGCAAAGATGGATAACTGATTGAAATAGTTTCATACAGGACTCTCACCTTTCAAAGAATCCAAAGGGGAAGAAAAAAATGAGAATTAATATAAAGTATTATCTTATTACACTTCTTTTAATGTATACGAAAAAGAAAATTTGTCTGACAAAATCGATATCGGTTGCATTTCAGTTTAGATCGATTTCACTTCCTGAATATTCAAAGATTATCGGAAGTAACATAAACTTTGGAATACATTGCGAATAAGATATAACAAATTGGGCCTATAATCTATCCCGCGGCGCGGCGTGGTTTAGATTCCGACACGTCATCCGTCGGGGACAAAAAGAGGCGCGAACACATCAGAGAGTTCGTCGAAACGGAACGGGCCTACGTCCACGATATGGCCGTTGTGCACGAGGTGTTTGAACTGCCCTTACGGAAGAGTCGGCTGATTTCCGCGAAGGAAATCGACGAAATATTCGTGAATTGGCGCGACATACTTGTCTGCAACGAAAATTTCCTCGCGGATTTGGACGCGGCCGTGGCAGGCGCGGTGACCGTCGGTGACGTCATATGTAGGCACGTACGTACGGCGTTGTTTTGGCGTCGTTCGGAGATACACGCCTTGCTTCTCGTTTTAGTTGCCCAGGATGACGGCATACATAACTTTCTGCGGGAAGCAGCTGGACAGCGCGGTGCTGCTGCAGCAGCTGACGGAGAGCTCGACCGCGTTCCGGGAACTAGTGAAGAGGTGCCAGAATAACGTCAAAACGAAAGGAATGCCCCTGTCGTCGTTTCTCATCAAGCCGATGCAACGGATCACGCGGTATCCGCTGCTCATCGCGAAGATTCTAGAACACACTCCCGATAACCATCCAGGTGGAGCTGTTGCGATGATTTGTTTCAGCCCGCATTGACCGTTCGTTCGGATTTTTAGATTACGAGTATTTGAGAGAGGCCCGGAGGATAGCGGAGAGATTCTTGAACGGCGTGAACGAGAACGTGCGTCTGAAAGAGAACAGCGATCGACTGGAGTGGCTCCAGCAGTACGTCCAGACCGATCTTGGCCTGACCTTTAACGGGCAGACAAACAGGCTGGGCCCGAGACAGCTGCTGCATTTCGGCACGTTCGCGAAACTGAAAAGCGGCAAGGAGCTGCTCGGGTTCCTATTCAACGATTTCCTGATGCTTGTCCAGCCGAGCAAAGGCATCGGCACGCAGTTCTCGTTTCAGCGGAACCATAACGTCACTTACAAAATGTATAAACAGGTAAGCGAAATCGGTTTATATTTACATACAAAACCGTTAGTATTCAAAAATACTACATATATATAAATCACTTTCTAAACATAAATCTATAAAAATGGCGCCGAGTATAATCAGTTCTCTGTCGCCTAAAGAAAGTTATGAAATAAATTGCAAACATTGTTTAGAGAAAGTGGTTTTAAAGGTGAAATGTGTTAAGTGTAAAGGACTGGCGCGGAATCTCGAAGCATTAACACCTGTGCAATATAATCAATTATAGAAATTGGTATTTACCCGATGATGCACGGTGCGTTGGTACTTGGCGTTGGGTAAGGTCGCGAAAATTTTGGAAATATTGCAGGAAAAGAAAACAACAAAGTACGTTTTTTATTCACTTTTACGCCAAACGATAAAATTTGATTTGAAAAAATTTGATTCATTTTCTAGGGAAAACCTTTTGTGTATTATTTTAGCCAGATTTAAAGTTAAAGTCTTAAACCAAACCCGCTAGAGTTTCCATAGTCTGCCGATTTTCTCTACAGAGCACTGAATAAAATTATCATACACTGATAGTTTCGAATATTGACGATAAAATAACTTTTTTAAACAATAATATTTTAAGTCTGTTCGATAAACATGCCCCTATGAAGGGTTTCAAAAAAAATATATATAGAGACGATGACCTAAAATCCTTTAAATTGACAAAACTCCCTGTTCAGTATACTCATGCTTTAAAATTCAGAACTTCAACATTAAGGATACTTGGTCGGAATTTAAAAAAATCAATACAGCTAAATCTAGGACACACAATCTTCTTCCAAGTAATCTTTCGGATCCTGAATATTTGATATAATTAAAAATATAAAATCTAAAGCAATGGACTCTGATCGGTTGTCCTGTCATCCTGTCCGATCGTAACACATGTGATAAATTTGTGCATTTTAGAGTTTTATTTTCCTATATCCTGGGAAAAAAAAACCTAATAAGCTCAGATCGATTAGTATTTTAGTTTTTAACGACACTAGACAAACAAAGGAGAGGATTTCCGACAGAATACAATATTCTACCCAAAAAGAAGGCTGATAGCTGTGAAACTGCTCTGGCAGATGTTACTCACGATATATTACGAGCAACTGTTTAAAACAGGCAAGTGAACTTAAGAGAACTGATTGTAAACATGAAATTGAACAAGAATACGACGACATACCATTGACAGAGGATGCGTTCCTGAAAGAGGAAAATAAACTACTTCGAGAAATTATTAATGATAAGGAAACTATCATAGCGGACAAGGAAAGTCTCATTATGTTACTAAATGAAAAAATTGGAATGGGTTGGAACAAAAGCTGAAAAACAAATACCATAATAAACTCGAATCTCATTCAAACAGTAAACAGGAACTTGACGCCACAAAAAAGAACCTCTCACAAAAACCTGACACTTCAGATATAGACAACAAAAATGTATAAACAGTCAGACGATATTTAATTAAGCAGCATTTTTATTCTTTTGATGAATATTTGTATTTCAATTACGATGTACCACGTGATTTTTAAGTATATGTTATTTTATTCATTTTTGTTTGACGTACGTGAATCATCTGTGATAGTAACATTAATAAAGTATTCATATTCGTAAATTGCGTTAGAGCATTTTTACTACAGAACGGTTTGCCGTTAGAGTTTTACAGTTCAATTATTTTATTCATTTTTGTTTGAAGTACGTGAATCATCTGTGATAGTAACATTAATAAAGTATTCATATTCGTAAATTGCGTTAGAGCATTTTCACTACAGAACGGTTTGCCGTTAGAGTTTTACAGTTCAATGAGACGTCGGGTGGAACAATTGTCCTTGAACTCAATTAAAATGATATGGTCATTTAATAATGCTTCGCCTTCTACCAAAACTCTGGCTTCCATGTTACAATTTAAATGAAAATTTTCTTGTGTCATTTTTCACAAATCACATACCACAAAAACTGATAATAAAAGGCGTATAGTCACTTATACACACGGCAACAAAATCTGGAACAAACAGGTGAAGCAGGTCCGGATATTACCAACAACGTCATAAGTGCCATAAAGGACGTGAAAAACAAGTCATTCCGACCTGACCTTCAAAGATCTTTAAACTTATTGATCGAAACCATATGCGGCCTTTAATACCGTTTACAAACCGGGCATAATCCCCAAAAGAATGGCTTTTATCAACATTTGTAGCTATTCCGAAAAAGCCGAATGCATCTGAATGCAGTGATGACAGACGCATAAGTCTGATGTGCCACGTCCTAGAGATATTTTTAAAAAGCGTGTATATAAGAAACTTGAAGAAGACATTAGTGAAAGCCAGTTTGGGTTCAGGAATACAACAGGAACATGGGAAACATTATGCTCCTCAAATATTTTAATACAAAAGTGTTTTTGGTCGAAGTGTGTCATGACAAATTTATGGAAATCCTAAGCGAAAAACATATAGACTTTAACAACATGAGAATAATTAGCAATCTATATTGTAATCAAAAAGCTGTTTGTATAGGGCGAGGAAATAATAGAGGTAATAATAGAAATAGGAGTAAGACATGGATGCGTGCTCTATCCTATACGTTTTAACCTCTACTGGGAGAAAATCATGCAAAAGACTATATCTGAAGAAACAGCAGGAATAAGGATAAACGGTGAACTCATTAACAATAACCGTTTTGCCGATAACACCTTGGTAATATGTCAGAGTACCGTGCACCTACAAAGAATGATGGAAGAAGAAGCTGATCTTGCGCTTAATACCAATAAGACAAAATTCTCTGTCATCAGCAAAGCAAATATCCAGGAAGTACCATGTTAAACTCCACTGGTGAAATAAGAACAATAGGACAAGCTATATTTACTCACATGTGAAAAGTATTCTGCGCCAGAGATCTAAACATCAAATTTAAGTCAGATTGGCGAGATGCTATATTTTTTCAATCCTTCTTTATGGAATTGAGTCGTGAACAACGAATAAAGACGAATTAAAAAGACTCCAGGCCTTTGCAGGCGCATGCTTAGAGTTTATTGGACAGAGAGAGTAACAAATGCAATGATATTAAGACGAATGGATAAAATAACAGAGATAGTGGAGACTGTAACGACAAGGAAGGAAAAGGTGCCACATGCTACAACTAATAATACAGGGAAAATCATAAGGCAAGAGAAGCGTGGGGAGAAAGCTGAAGAACTTGAGAGAGTGGTACCACATAAAGAAGAAGAAGTCACTTATACAGCTGGTCAGAGGTTATTATGACATGCTTGCAAACGAGAGTGTTGAGTGTCGCTCCTCTTCTCTCACACAAATTATCTTGGCGTTATCTTCCGCAGCCGATTTTGGTCCGAGACTTGTCGGCGAGCAGAGGGAACACCGACAACGTCGAAAGCAACACCGATTGGAACCGCGTGCTGAAACTGCAGGATGACAAGGCCGGTTACAAAATTAGCCTGCTGGCTTCGACGGTGCACGAGTGCACCACCTGGAGCAAGAAAATCGATGCGGCGAGGGAAGCGTACGCGAAAATCGACAATCTTAACAAACAAAATAAGCGCAAAACGCGTAAGTACGCTTAAACCGAGAGTATACGTACAGATGAATATGTATATAATACCTTACCTGTTCTTTGGGCGTTGCTGTCAATTTTAAATATGTCAGATGTACTTACGCCTAATCAAGAACCATGAGAGAGGATAGTTACATCTGCGTTATTTATATTTTGGCTTTTAACGATATAAATTTAGCTTGTAAGACAAATTTCATTGAGCGGGATGTAGTACGCTACACACTCTGCGCCGTCAGTTAGAAAATGGCGGACGCAGCTCTTACGAGAAGTAACTATCCTTTTGTCAAATTCTTGCGTGTGTTGTGGACGAAAAAAGAGGAACCGTAACTTGTTTTATGATGGTATTGGTTGATTTTTAATAGTGAAGCGATGTCACCTTACCTTGGTGCTTTCTGTTTGTGGGTTTCTATTAGGTTTATTCTGACAACTCTAAGAAATAAATTTCAGAGAAATATTAGGCGCGATAAAACATAACGGTGTCGGTGTTTCAAATTTCGTTGTAAAAGTGATTTTGAACTGTCGCATTAAAATAATCGGTTATATCTGAAATTATTGACTGCAGATAAGTGACTCTCACGCTGTTTATGGCCCATTTCAGAGTCAGCAATTTAGTAGCCAGCAATATCTATTTCCGAACGATGTCAAGTTAGTGCGCGTTTTAAACAACAAGCAGTACCTTAAGGGAAATTGGTTTCCTACGATAACTTCGGAAATAGTATATCATGCATTAAGTGCGGTAAACGGCACTTGACTCACGAGTTTATTTGACACGAGCGGAGCGAGTATTTAATAAACAAGTGAGTTAAACAGTTTACCTATTGTGTTGCATACTATACTTTTTCTACGACCGTTAGACACGAATACATGCACTGACACGACTGTCAGAATTTACAAACGTCAAAACATCCGATTGCTCCAAAACCGTGGAAACGAAACTAACGTGGTAAAGTGACGCTTACCGCACGCTAGATCGGTGTGTAATTAGGTATTTTACAGACGGGAGTAGAAAAACTGCATTTGACTCACGAGTTTATTTGACACGAGCGGAGCGCAGCGACGCGAGTGTTTAATATACGAGTGACTTAAAAAGTTTACCGAATGAGAGCATAGTATATTTTTTCTGGGTACATTATCGCAAAACAACACGAATACATGCACTGACACAACTGTCAGAATTGACAAACGTCAAAACATCCGATTGCTCCCAAACCGTGGAAACGAAACTAACGTGGTAAAGTGACGCTTACCGCACGCTAGATCGGTGTGTAATTAGGTATTTTACAGACGGGAGTAGAAAAACTGCATTTGACTCACGAGTTTATTTGACACGAGCGGAGCGCAGCTGAGCGAGTGTTTAAAAAACGAGTGACTTAAAAAGTTTACCGAACGTGTTGCATAGTATACTTTTCCTACGACCGTTAGTTTTTGGATACATTTTCGCAAAACAACACGAATACATTCACTGACATGACCGTCAGAATTGACACACGTCAAAATTCAAAGCTTGGGGAATATCTCCGAAAACATCCGATTGCACTCAAACCCGCGCGGTAAAATCCCGGAATTGTCAGAAGTGGTTCGGATTCGTGGGGAACGAAACTGACGTAGTAAAGTGACGCTTTCCGCACGCTAGATCGGTGTGTAATTAGGTATTTTACAGACGGGAGTAGCGTATATTACCACTAGTTTGGGAACCGTCATAGACTTGTTTCAGGTTGGCTGTGAGAATAAACCTATAAATATATAAAAATACCAAGGTGCTAAATTCTGCCTATATATTTTAAATGGCCGTTGTGTTTGAAATTGCCAGTTTAGTGTAGATTACATACAATTCAGGGTGGATTTAAAAAAAATATAGCCAGAATTGGATTGCCGTTTTACAAATAAGAAAAAATATGTGTGGGATTTTCCGACGCCGCGTATACCTGGGGTGTGTCGTATACTTAGACGTAGTTCGTGCGTTCGTCAAATAAATTACATGCAAGTTTTCGTACGCAGAGCTCCACCTGGGGCCGTCATGTGGTCGTCTGCTTGTGCTCGTCCAAAAGGGGAAACGCTTAGCGTACTCGGGTAAGCCCCCTTTAACCCTCCCCTTTGCATGTTTCCAGTACTAAACGCGAGCGAGTATCTGTGGTTAACCGTAATCGAGGGGCGGGAACTCGCGGTCAAGTGCACGCCCCAAACTTGTAGAATTAACCAAAAAAAAAAAGGTAATCGCTTGTCGCGCGCTAATCACTTAAATGCGTAATGTAGTAATCGGTTTGCGCGTGCGCAGGTAAGCACGGCGAGAAGGTTTACTGTAAGGTGACGTTGGGCAGTCAGGAGCAGGACACCGATTTCGGGGGCGACGGGTCCAACAATGGTAACGCGACACCTGGCGGCGGCGCCCCCCAGGCCCCGCATCTGGTGTGGAACTACAGCATGCAGTTCCAGCTGCGCAATTTGGGCGAGGAGTCGCTAGTTTTCGTCGTCCTCGAGCATAATCCGTACGGTTTGGACGGTAAGGGTACCGGACTTATACAGGGGGTTATTGAAATCATATCGCATAACCTAATAAATAACTGTGGACCATATATGACTGATGCCGAATCGATATTTTGTTCGGTTCAAATCGACTATAAAATAGGCTCTCATTGTCTGTGATCGACAACCGCGATGCCCAGCAACTAACGAAATTACGAAAAACCATAAAAGTCGTTCCCGCCCCCTTCATTTAATTGTGATTATTTTTTTAATTTTCAGCCTCTCACAAAAACCGTTCCAGACGGGAAACGGTTAAACTTATATTAGACTTTTTATTATTGTTCGATAGAGGAAGGGCCAAGGTATATAACATACAGATTTCAATTTCTCATAGTTTCAAATAAGCGCGACATAAAACATTAATTTTTGACCATCGATTATTTCTGCCCAAAATGAGATTTTGAAGTAATTTCCCAAAAGCGTGTAAATATATGTAAATTTTGCCTAATTTTGCGACATTTTATAATTGAGCGCGATATTCACATGGATTTCTTCAATATCTCGAGAGCGTGTGTGACAGAAGAAAACAGTAAATACAAAAATTGAAGCCCTTAATTTGGCCTACAAGATGGTTTAAATCGAATTGTCTTATTTTTTATGTTTTTTTTTATTTGCGGACTTTTGGTTTTTTGCGTATAATTTGAGCACCCAGTACATAATCGAAAAAATGTCTGAAGTAAAAGTTATAGTCCTAGATTTCCCGCGTTTTATGGTTCAAGAATTTTTCCGATCGGGTAAATAGTTTTTGAGAAATTAACGTTTTTATACAGCCCTACATGACGACCAAAAATATTTCGAAAATTTTTAAAAAGTATTTGCGTGTGGGGGTGGACTTCTACTACCCTGACAAATGTAATGTAATGTTAGTGGAGATGATGCAATAATAATAATTGTAATGTAATTTGGCAGCTATTTTGTTCGCATACCAGGCAGTAACTGTTTTTAGAACCCCGAGATTTACTCATGTAATTATTTTAATTTCATTCAAACTTTCAGAGTTCCTGGGCAGGGCTGAGTTGAAGCTGGCGGAGGTTTGTAGGGAGTCTCGCAACACGAACGGTCCGATCGTGAAGAAGCTGATACTTCATCAGGTCGAGTCCGGAGAGATCGTAGTCAAACTGGATTTGCACATGTTCAATACCTACTGAAAGCACGGAATCAAATTTTTTATCCGCTTTGTCGTATTTGTTAATTTTTATAATATAGGTTATGACCTAAGCGAAAAGTATTGATAAGTATCATTAACTTGGTGCGCACTTCCAATCGTTTCGTGCGCCCGTAACATTTACAGCCATTTTCGTGCGCTGAAAAACCGAATAAGTGACTTGCGAAGTTTTAATATGATTAGAAATGGTAACGGTGAAGAACGTGCCACAAACGTCTACGTCGAATCGCATGACCAAAACAAGTTTTAGGACAATTTTTTAGGATAAAACCTGTGCTAGGGAATTTTAAAATTCGTATATGACGCAACCATCCGGCAGACAATAAATATAAAATTCTCTCGTCCCTGACCCGCTGCACGTTAACGCTTTGTATCAATTGTACTCGACAGAACTTAACGGACAATTTGATCTATTACAAATACATAAAATGAAATTAGAAAGAGACAACGCTAGAATTCACAAGTGGACTGGTAAATGAATGAAACATCAATTGGCTGCATATGAAAAACCATTACTTTGAGAAAACAAATTTTTTTGGAGTCGTATGTGAGGTTGGTTCAAAAAAAGTAACTTTTGTTTGAATATTACAACGGAAATTAATATAAAGCAAATTTAATCAATACTATTGCCAACACAATAGTCTCAGTGATGTTCGTCTAATCCAGATACGGAAAACATAAGGGGGGTGGGGGAAAGTCGCTAGAATCTTGTCATGCATATGCGTGCGTGTCGGTTTTTTGGGCCAACAAAAGCGTGTCGGAGTGTCCACCTTGAAATAGAGCAGCTTCACATATTCTTTTTTTTTTTAACAATAACTTATCGTCGTTTCGTTAGTCGAAACAAAAGATCCCACGCTAATGCAAAATAATTTATTTAACGGTTAAATAAATAAATAAATAAGATTTACGATGGCATTTAGTTTCCTTCGTTTTTTCATCGTCCGTTCCTATAGAAACCAGCGTTCGTTTTTAAAACACGTCGCACTAACCCCCGGAGGAAGCGTCCGAGACCGTCGAAACATCCCTGCGGATTCACACACTAAGCGCCTCCGATAGCCCGCATCCCACCCCATAAACCCACTTAACCTAACCCTACTTTTCCTGTCGTTCGTTCGACGGCTCTTCCGCGGGAGCGTACAGTGGCTTGAACCCGCCTATGAGCTGTGGTTTAAAGTTTTCTATATCGAACTCGCTGGTCGTCGCGAGCGGTAACGTCGTCGTCTCCGTCGCTTCGGTCGGCGTCGTTCTGTTCTTCCCTCTAACCACGTGCCATCCTTGATTTATGGCCGTGTCCAGCTTGAGACTTGCCTGGAATGGTGCCTGGAAGTCCTGGTGTTCGACAGCTACCGGTTCCAAAGTGTCGCTCTTATGATTAAACTGGTGGCGGTACTGCTCCGGCACGATGTCCAACGATCCCGGTCGGATCTCTGGAATTACCGGGCTTCCGTAATTGGGCATCGAATATTTATCTATATTTAGGTGCGACTCGGTCGGGGTATACGCCACAGCGATAGGTTTATCGGTGCCGACTTTCGGCTCCGACCCTTCCTCGATACTGTTCCACTGGTTACTCAATACGTGGGGATTGACGAAACCGTCAGCCGAATCGCTCGGTCTCTCCAAGTGGTACGGAAAGTTCGACTTGACCGGAAACGACGGTTTCGGATGCGGTTTCAAAACGGGCGCGTCGTTTCTGTCCTGCTGCTCGTAGTTGAAGTCGTTGTCGATTTTAGACGGCGGCAGCGGCATCTCCGCCATCGTCCCGATCACCACGCCCTCTTTTTTTTCCATATCGATCGCGTCCAGTTTGATCGGCGCGGTGTTCACCGGGTACACCTTGTAGATGGTCTTGTCTTCTTTGGGCGCGGTCTCGACTGTCACTCGTACCGTGTCCTGGGGTTGTTCCTCTGCTTTATCTTTGCCGTTCTTGGCCTGTATCATCTGGAGAGTCTCGACTTCGGCTTCCACGTCGCTACGTCGCCTATTGGCGATCTGCACGTTGGGCGGGGTCTGGTAGAGGTTCAGGTCTTGGATACGGGGCCCGTTTGGCTTGGCCTGCTCACCGTTGAAAATCCTGTCCTCTGCTTGAATCTCGTCAAGGCGCTGCAGGTTGAGCGAGGGTCTCCTTTCATCCAGATATTGAGTGTTTTTCCTTAGGTACGGCCTGGGAGGCGCCATTTTCTCAAAGTAGCCGACGGGCCTGTTGGACGGCCTTTCCAGCAATGGTTGTCTATTTAAACGTTTGTCGAAGTAGTAGGGTGGCGGTGGTGGGGGATGGTGCTTCGCGTTGGGTCTAAACTGTGGCAGAATGTTCGGCAAGTTGTCGATTCTCTTGTACGCCACTTCGGGACGCGGCCTCGGGGGTCTCGCGTACTCGGGGGTACCGCTGTAGAAGTGTCCAGGTCTCGGGTCCCACGGAGGTCGTATTGGTCGATCGAACCTCGACGGCAACGATTCCTTCTGTTTGGGTGGGGTCAAGTCGCTCGGCAGTTGATGGTACATGGGTTTCGAGTTTAATTTGAGTACTTCTCGGTTCGGTTGTGCGTTGTCCTGGGGGAACACGATCTTATTCGAGCCGGAGCTCGGAACGTTGGGTTTTTCGTCCACAACCTGACCGGATACCTGCTTGACGTTGTTCACCGGTACACCGATGGCCAACGACGCCTCGGAATTCTTTAGCGGTTGGATGGTGATCGCGCTTTCGATGGGCGGAGCTTCGATGTCGTTGTTGCTGTAGGTCGCGTGTTGACCGTAAAGAGGCCTGAAGGGGTTGCTGTCGTACGGGCTCTCTTTCAGGGAAGTGCCGACGTAATGGCCACCCTCGACGCTCTGCTGGTTGCCTACCACGAAGGATACAGTGTCCTGATCGGGGGCTATGTGGATGCTGCTCTTGCTGGGTGCGAGGCGCGATGGCGGCTGCTGTTCCGGGACCTTTTCGCCGTTTAGCTTCTCGCGCAGGTTCTGGGTTGCCACTATGATGGGGTCGGGGTTAACTCCCGGAGCGTGGATATGATTGTCACCAAGGGGAAGAGAAGTAACCCTCGTCGTACTGATGGTCGTGGGTAACGGGGTGGTCGTCGTGGTGGTGGTAGTCGTCGTCGTTGTCGTCGATTTCTCGTCGACCGCGTTGATCTCGGTATGAATTTCCGGTGTGGTCGTCTTCGGTACCAGCGGTTCGACCTTTAGGTTGCTTTCGTCGCTGGTGATTTTGTTTTCCACTGCCACGTTATCCTCATACTTTTCGTCGGGGTAATTGTCCTCGTATTCGTAACTCGAATCTAGACCCATGTTCGTTCCCGTCAGGACGTTCTTGGGCGCCTCCGTCGTAGTAGTGGCGGTTTTGTTGGGTAAATTGGCGAAGAGAGGTGGCGGTTTGCTCTTCTGCGTCGTCGTCACCGTCTCGTCGTAATCGCCGAACAGTTGTTCGAATAAGCTGAGCGTTCTCTTCGTGGTACTGGTGATGGTGGGCGGTACCTTGGATGTTGCAGGCTTACCGGTGGTGGTGGTGGTTTCCTGACTGTCGTAATACTCGTATTCAGCGTTGAAACTCGGATGAGACATGCCGGAATTGAGAATATTGGGCACCGTCGTAGTCGTGAGGTAGATTTCCGGGTATCTTCTCGTGGTCGGTGCGGTGGAAGTAGTGACGGATGTGGTGCTGACCGTCCTCTGCGTGGTTCTCGGATTAAAATACGAGCCGGTGGTGTAGTACGTCGGGCTCGCCGTCGGTTTTTTGGTACTGGGCGTCTTCGCCTGGTAGTCCTTGTGGTTGTGCAGCTTGTTAACGCTGCCCTGGATCTTGGTGCTCGCGTACGAGCTCGATATTAGCGGGTAGACGTATTTCTGCGGGTTGTATTTCACGGGTAGGTTGAGGAAATCGTGAAAGTTTGGCGTCAGTTGGTTGACGTCGTTACGCTTGTGGCTGGCGACGCTTCCGTCTTTCCGATCGATGTTCGATTTGTCATAGATGTCGCCGCCCCCGCCTCGCTCATCGTCGACATAGTCGTAAAAGTCGTCGTCCTGTTGGAGGGACGGCGACTTCTGGTCGAAGTCTAGTTTCCCGGTTACCGGGTCTTTTTCCACGTAGAATGGTTTGCCGTGGTTGAAGATGTTTTCGGGGAGGTTGTAGCCGGGCAGGACCAACGCCGACGGGTCCGGTATTTCTTCGGAATTCGTGTCCGTCGATGTGTCGTTCTATAATAATGTTTATAAGAATAGTTGTTCAGTAATGGGACAAGTTGAAATACAGAAGGATTCATACAGAATGGCCATTCTCTAACCTAGAGATACAAAACATCAAAATCTTATGTTTGAGCTAGCACCCTCTAGGAGCAACGTCACAATTATTTTTAAATTCGTAGTTGCTATGTCAAAAAACCTTTACAGCATGTTGAGCTCAATGTCGTGAATCCTTACCTCGTGACATACACATTGTACAGTGTGTCCATTTTTCGTTGGTATTGCGGGTTATCCCAATTATTATTACAGAAAGAGCGATGCGGTTTTCGCAATATTGCACTCGATTTTCGTGAAACGAAAGATGGCATTTTCAAAACAATCATGACTAGCTTTGCTTTTGTATTTTAACCTCCCTGTGTCGTAATGAGACGATGAAACGAATATAAGGTATATTTGTGTTTTTATAAATAAATTTGATTGCGCTTTTTATATGCTTTTCAAAACTGCACATTTTTCCAAATATATTTCTTCAACTACACATCTACTTTGACATTCCAATACCAAACTGGGACGGTAGGACTGTGGATAAAATATAATATTTTCTTTGCAATGAGAGGAATTCTTCCATTTACTTTAGAGATTCTTCTCTCCTCCCTCAACAAATTCGATTTTTTTAAGTGTTTTTATCTATCGCACACAAGTATCATATTGACTTTTAATAAACTATTTCCAGGAGTAGTACAGCACTTTAAAAGGAGAAAAAAGACACCATTTTCGTATCGAATTGGATCTTTTGCGCAGACACCATCGAAACAAAATTTTGCTAATTGTTTTTGAGCTGTGGTTGCCTTCTCTCAGTGCGATAAATCGGTACCATGGATATCTGTCGATTGTGCTGCTTGTTTTGAAACGGTCTCTAAGAGTCTTAGCAGCCGTTTTCTCAGTGGTGTATTATATACGAATGGTGTACAGATCCCTCTGAACAACATATAGCATTTCGATCAATTCCGAAGCAATTTCCGAAGGACATTGCAAACAGGCAATCAACTACATATATAAATCATATTTATTTATTGTGAAATTAAAAAAAAAAATGTAAACAGACAGATGAAAATGTTCATGCAGCATATCAACAGAAAAAATACTGAAAATTCAGCTTCGCGTATACTGTAATATTTATGGCTCACAGTATTAATCTAACGATAAATAGTAACAGAAAAAGCAAAAAACTACAAAAAAACCTTATCAAGTCATCAATCTCAAAAAAATAATAATAAAATACTAATGGAGAAAAAAATGTGAACATTTAAAAAAATCGTTATTAAAACATTAATATTTTAATCGACGTATGTCCCTCCCTTTATTTTAGGAAGCATTAAACCAACAAAATATTGACTACTCTTAACTATTTCAATTTTTTATCCATTTTAATTTTCATTTTTTTAGGCACAAACGACATTTTGATTGACCAATTCAGAATATATCTCTTAGCGCAAATCAAAGCAAGGTCCGAGTCAAAATTTAAATTAATAGTGTCTTCAATTTCAAAGTTTGAAACATTCAACATATTAAATAAAAAAAAATGAAATATCACATATCTATATCTAAGAACACTACTAGTTTTACTATGTTTTGAAAAAAAATAAAATAATATATGCAAATGTTTTAGGGGGCTATTTACATCGAAAGTCAATTCTGACAGTAAACATTTTCTTCATTCCTATTCTAAAATTTGATATTTTCAATGGTTCAAGTAATTCATGAAACTCGTATCGCCACCATTTTGGTGTTAGTTCAGTTTTGGTTAGTTAATATGGGGTAGAAAACTGTATTTGTTTATATAAACGCAAATTATTTGTAATTTCTCTTTTACCTTGACGTCTTCCGTGCCCTCGACGGTGCCGTATTCGTTGTAAAAGACGTCCGCATTGACGCTAGTCATTTGGGGATGGTTGACGTTGTCGAGGTGGCCACCCATCAGGGCCGCGCCGTGCGCATGAGCTACAAAGGCCGCAACCAGCAACGTCGATATCAGGATCTTAATTATCGTGGCAATCACGTGCTTGAGTTCCATCGTAAGAAGTCTGCTGCAAAAGATTGAGAAAGGAACTGTTACAAAAAATCCATTTTTTGTTCGTTTGTACATGTGGCTAAATTTGGTAATTTTCCAGTTCAATTTTTTACGTGCTCAGTAATTAATTTTATTCATTAGTAACTCAAATATGAGAAACCAGATGATCAAAGCCACTGCCATGTGAGGCTGCTTAAGGCAGATAATATGGGCAAACGAATACATGCAAAAGGATAGCGACAATTTATAAAACTTGTATCAGGCCAATCAGAACATGCGGAATAGAAACCAGAAATGAAAATGCCCAGGGCTATAGTGGGAAAAACAAGAAGCGCCCGAATTAGGAACATCAGGAAACAATGTGGGGTGCAAGACATCGTAACATGGGGGAGAGACAAAGAAAAAGATATTGGTAGGCTCACGTGAGAAGAATGGAGATGACTGCCATGCATTGCACTTGAAGGGAAATCAATAGGGAAAAGAGCATCCGGAACACCACCTAAGAGATCGAAGGAGAAATGTTAGTCCCTCTCCCGGGAACTGATACAGAGGAATCTGCAAAACTAACAGATCACGAGATCTTAAATTCGAATAAGAAGAAGAAGAAGTAAATATCTTCGGATTTTAACTTTGTTAAATTTTGGTTACATCATTTGCACTGATAAAGAGCAAAAGACTTTTGTTTTTTTTTCTTTTTATATTTTGCTTTGTTTTAGACATAAAAAAAACTTAAACCAGCTTTATTTAAATATAATAAAACTTTTACAGTCAAAGTGTAAATTCATACTAGCTTGTTTATTATCATAATAACACTACTGACTATTGTCTTTCGGTGCTCTGCTTTATCCATGGGAACAGAATAGTCGAGATCGGAATTTCTGAAACGCCAATTCAGCATACAGAGGCTGATTTATCATAGAGCTAAATTTGGGGGTTCCTCCCAGACATTCCCCTAAGCAGTCCTTTTTGGCACAAGGTAAATTGAATAATTGAATATTATTATATATTTTTAATGTTAATTTGGGTTTTTAGCGACACTTTCAAAATTTGCGTCGGGCTGATATTTTTATTTTGTAGTACTCTTATTTTCAAGTTGCGGTTGAGTTATTAATCAACCTTACATATTTTTTTAAATGGAACATTTATAGTCCATAGAATATTCCTTTTTACGGCTGTCAAAAATGACAACTTTCTAAATACATATGCCTGGTTTCGTGTCACTTACGTCTGTCATTAGACTTTATCAATTTTAGAGTTCTTTAACCACGGTTTTCAATCTTGTTTACATTGACTATAAAACGCAGCTTGAAACAGGGCAATAAAAAGATAAACTATCTGAGTTAAAAGATCAACACTACTGATGTCAATTTGCAGTTTTATAATTTGTAGCTATGATTATAGAGACGTGTATATTTTGACATTTGTTTCGTAAATACACGTTTCACTTGCACCCTTGCATGAATTTTAATTCGAAGCACAACATCCTAAATCTTTTTTTCACGACCTGTTAAAGTCTACCTGATAAAAATTTATGTAAAAAATATTCTATTAAAATTAAGTACTTAAAGTTCGCACAGAGCTCTTTAAAAATGACATCCCATGAAAACACCTTGCGACCACACGCCGTATTAATTATATCAGCCGGAGGGAATTGTGAAACTAACCTAAACTTGTTTTTATCTATAGATTATACTTAGCTGTAAATTATAATATTTTCATTATAGGTTATGTGTTTTAACCTCCTTTGCGGATTCTGCAATGATGTGTTTCACATCTACTAATAAACATTTGTAGCCAACAAATAGGCATATATGTAGGTCTAATTATATGTTAAATTCGCTTTTATTTCGGTGCTGTAAATTTTATAGCACAGTAAGTGAGCACGCAGGGCTTGATATCTACCAAGGTTTTGGGCGTTTTAAGAACAAGTTAAGGTTTATGTTAAGTTGTAGTCTATTTAGGTTATTATATCGATGGGTATATATTGCGCTACCTTGTAATTAGATATTCTATAATGAATATCTGTTAGTTTGCTCGTTTTATCAATAAATAAATAGAAGCAAAAGCGAAAAAAAACTTTTATATGCTTTTTAAAACTGAGAACTAACCCCGATGAGCAAACAAAAAGGTACGTTGACAAAAGTCTTCGTCCCAGTTCGCACGGCCGTCAAGTACCACGCTACGTGCCAGTAATCTTATTCTAATTGCGGCGGACAGAAAATAATAAGGCGAAAATGGCACGGAAAAAGCAGTTCCTTATTGCGCGGAAGTGTAACGGCCTATGCAAATCCGCGTGTTACGAATACGTTTTGTTTTGGTCGCCGGGGCAGTACAAACTCGAGTTACCGCTACGTCGATGCTAAAGCAACGGAGACCCGGTCCGCCAGTGGCGCGCCGACCCTGTCAAATAACGTTCCGGGATGTTTATAGTTTATATGAAAAAAAAGTTGAACAATTCGAAAGATTAATTATCAATAACAATTTTTTTCCAAAAACATGCGCCATCGCTCGACTGGAGATTTGTCATCCAAACAAAAAAGTTAATTGTCAAAGTGGTGTACGCCACTGATTTTTTGCAATTTGGTTATTTAATTTGAATAAGTCGCCAAAAGTATAAGCGAAGTGAACATAAGTGTCGAGTAGTTCATTTCTATGATACAGGATGATAAACTGGAAAAAAATATTTTTCAGATAAAAATACCGAACTGAATAGTGAAAACTAACCACCATTCTACATCAAAACATTCAAAAAAGCATTTAACATTAGTGATAATAAAACGATTAATGATGATAGAGTTTTTATAAATGGTATGTAAAATGTATTGGCTTGCGCAATTTTTTTTTAGTCCAGTGTGTCAAGTTTTATTGATATATTAAGTCAATAAAAAGAGGAAAATTAGCACTTATATTTAATGGCTTCAATAAATTTTCGGGGCACTCAAGTGAATATAATTTATATAAAATATTTATATAACAAACAAATTTATCACAATTTATTAAAAACCGAATTTTAATAGTAAATCTTAAAGAGAAAGCATTTCCGGACTTGCTTATGTATAGTGTGTCCCATTTTCGATACTTCTGCGTTGTGTCCTGCTAATTTTAAAAGACAGTAAAATGCGCTTTTCGCAATAGTGTGCTGTTTTTGTTTTTTAACAAAATGTTGTACTTATTGAACAACTGATGCCTACTCCTTTATAACTATTCGCGTAGCGGTGCCGCTTTCTGAATAACTAACAAGAAGATATTCGGATTGGATTCATGTAATAATTTTTGATTCGGCTGAACAATACGAGCAAAAATATATAGGTATACATACATATTCGTTATATAGTTATTTTCAATAAATTTTGATATGGTTACGTACGATACCGACAGATTTCGAGGTTAATGCAATACGAACTACGCCTACGTAAATAACACTGACGTTACGTTAGCGGTACAATATATGCGCATGTCTTAACCGCCTATTGGACTTACCAAGGCTGAAACGTCGATATTTAAATGAGTTAAACCATAACTAACATAGATCGCGAATATTTTGTCTTATTCAACCTTAAAGTAAGCCAAACTAGTTCGTTGTAGTTGCTGCCATGTCACTGGATACCAATAACGGAATTCCTGGTTATACTCGGAACCGATTATCGAGTCGACTTTTCCATTCGGAAACGCGACATCACAGTATCGGATTATATAAAGACCGACCAAACCGCATTCTTCGGTCCGAGCGGTAGCGGTAGAAAGCGCTGACGTCACAGATGACGTTTCCGAACCGGTCGCCTCTTCCGCGTTAACCGTTAACTCGAGTTCAGGCCTGAAAACAGTTTTCGGAGCGAGACGGAGAAAATTCGAATCGAACAGGGACGACTTTCTTCCGCGAAGGAAAGAAAAAAGCGATCGACGAAAAATGTAGGGCGGCTTTGATCCCGGAGAAGGTCGCGTTGGTGCTTAACCTTGACCGAGAAACGCCTGTCGGTCGCGTAGCACCGTTAAGTTGCGTCGTCGCCTCCCACAACATTCTTGTCCGTTGTTTTTTTCCTGAACCGTCGTCGGTCGAGCAATAAGGGTGGTCTGTGGTTGTTACTCTTTTTTTTATTGTTACGTTACTCCGGAGAGATTATATCAAAAATGCAACGAGAAGGTTGTCACAATAAAGTCCTCACCTCGAATCTTGCACTGGTCAACAAAATACTCTTAAAGTCATAGCGTCTCGTCTGGGGCGGGAAAAAGGGTCGTCTCATTCACCGTTCGATGAATTCACATGCCCGACGATAGGGTGATGTTGCGCGTGTCAGATGTAACCGACGTTCACTGCCGCGTGTGAAGAACTTGAGCGATAACGAAAACCAACTGATCGGTTTTTTGCCGTTCTTCTTTCTTCGGGCCTTCCTCGTGAGTGCTGTTAGTCGATCGTTGAATGTATTACGCGTGCGTATTAAACTGACAATGGAACAGAGGCATCGCATAATCAGGGTGATGAATTCCCAGATCCGTTTCTAAATCGCAGAACAGATTAAATTAAATTTTTCCTAATTTAGCGTGACTTTGAGAACCACCTTCCTAGTTCTTTTTAAGACGAAAAGTTGAACGGTGTCCTTGCTGATAAGGCGTTAAGGTTTTATTTTTGATTACAGAAGAAAATATATGGCTTCATACATTCTCATACAATTCTCATACAAGAGTTCAAATTTGATTTTCTTTTTAAATTAGCCAATCAAGATGTAGAGCAAATAGACTAAATTGAAAACAGAATATAATTCCGCTTACAATATTTAATCTTATATTTTAAATATATGCAGTTTTGAGACGCTGTTGATGATTTTTATGGTCTGTGTGTTATTAAACGCAAACCTGATTTTGCTCTTTCAAAATATTTGTTTAACTACCCAAATTCCAAAGGAAAGACCAGAAAAAGAACAAAATATTGTAATTAATACATAAAATAGTAATCATATACAAAATATTTATTTTTATAATCTATGTCTTTCTAATTGTGGTTAAAGTTATCATTCCGGAGTCGCATCTCCCAGTCCTGCCTCTTAATAGTCAAACTTATGTTCGATATCAACTCAACCAATGGTTAAATAATTATTGTTTTAACCGTGAACCCAATAATCCTGTCACATCATATCGCCGCTCCGGCAGAACAGTGACGTAAGTGCAGAATTTTTGGAAATTGAGTTAAGTCCATCATTAATATTTAATTGGTTTAATATATTTGGTAAAACAATGACGAAACTGTATTACCATACAATACAACGTTTTCAAAGACACAATTATGCATGCTAAGTTTTAGTGATAAATATTTCAATATTTCACTTTATCATCGAAACTATTTGTACAGGTTTCGTATCGGTATTCGTATTATGAAATATCCCCTGTATCTATGGATGCGGAAGCAACTTATTGTGTAAGATGTTTTTTTTAATAAATGCAGTCGTTGCAGTCTGTTGCAGTCTGTTAAATTATCTAAATTTAAGGGTCGCTATACATATATTTTAGATAACGAAAGTAGATACGTGCTCCTAATGGCCTATTAAATATTTTAGCATGTCCTGTTATTCCGTGGTGTCAATAATAATAACGATATTAGTAAAATGGTCACATTTATTCGAATAAAAAAAAAGTTATCTGTGAAAGGAAAACCATACCCACTATTTCCTTGTGTCTATGACATGGTTTTTTTGTACTGATAAAAATTAGTGAAATAGAACTAGTACCCAAATGTCGATCCAAAATATCAAATTTTGCGGGTTTTATTACTCCTCGCTATTTAGAAATGGAACATAGGTAACAGTTATATTATTTGTGTTTTATTTTTACAATATATTTACCGGATAACTTAACGTATCGGCTTGACATTATTTATTTTCTTTTTTTGCTTAAATATTCATTAATCATTACAAATTGCGAAAGCGAATTTCCAGTTCTTTCCTGTGATATAGTACCCGATCTACCTTGGTGTTCAATTCCCTGCTATATAAAAATATTTGCGTGGATGGAGATTTGTAGGTCTATTAACAACGGTCTAATATCTTGGGTGAGTAATCCTAAAGCGGACATATTTGGACTATGTTAAAATTAAGGGTAGCTGTGTATAATTTGTTCAACGTATCACACATATCAAAAACCTGGGTTTGTATTTCTTCCCGTAATGAATGAGACAAACTCATGACAATTTTGACATTCAGCTAAGTAATTGGAATTCTGGTATGTTTTTGGGATGAAAATATGATTATGTGTCAATATAGCATATAATATTTTTGTTCTTTAAATGAAAATTATTTTAAATCCAAAAGATAATATTTATTTCGTTTGAACAAATCGTTTTCAAAATATATCCATTGTAATATAATTGCTAATTCAAAATTTTTAAAAATCAAAAACAATTTAAGAATGGATAAGGTATGGCTGAACTCAGTTTTGAATACTTGACATTATTGATAATTTATCGGTACCTTACGTCTGGATCACAATATTTGGGGATGGTGCTTAATTAAAGAAATCAATGCTAAGCCCAATACCCAAGAAGTTTACTATTTATTCTTAATTAAGTTGAAGCAGTGTAAATAATATATTGAAACTAAAAGTACTGCGAACAGCCATTGGGTTTATTTACCTTAATTAGTTTCTACTACGTTTCGGACAGATGGATGACGGTCCGGTATCAAGTGTAAATAGTTTATGTCTGTCTGAAAAGTTGTGTAATTAATTAAATAGAACAGAACATAAATTTCTGAAACAAAGTACAATATTTTTAGAAACTATACACAAAAAACTCTAATTTAGTCATTGTTACTGAACAAGTTTGTCAACTTTTACCATACTAAAATAGCACGAATGTTTTCACCATTAGAACTGACAAACGTCAAAATACTATCGGTGGCTAAAATCTACAGAAAACATCCGATCGATGCTGATGAGATGTCAACCACTTGCGCGCGGACAAGCTTGCGCAAAGTGACATTAGTGACGTGTGTGTGCCGTGTTAATTTTTGATCAATGTGGAACCCCAGAAAATTGATGGTTTCATCCCGCGAGACGGATGTTCGAACTTCTTTCAGTTTCAACACTGAAACATTATCTCCTAATTGTGACACGTTGGAAATTGTAAAAAACCAGGCGGATACATTTGGAAGCGTACTACAAACGCCCGTGATTCTGGTATATGGTATGCTCGCGCTAAGGTTTGTTGTATTCGGGGTCCGAAACTGGGTCAAACAATGAATTTATGTCTTTAGGCTAATGACACGGCGACGATGATTCCCCAAAACGATTTAATTAAAAATGTATCTATATCCTCCGGCGTTTTTAGTTTCTCACAAGACTTTGATGCCGAAGGCCTGTTAACTTGTTGATATTAAATCGAGAGCTTGTAAAAAATAGTTCTATCGACACGCTGTTACGGTCTATTAAAAATATTTGTTTTCGGTATAGATAATATGGCAATACTTGCTAACAACAATAGGCCTCCTAAGACAAGGTTGTGTTGTGTCCAAACATTTATATTTATTTTGATAATGAATTCCTGTGGATTTACAATAAACAGAAAACAAGAAAAAGCAATTCGTAATTAAATAGAATGCGGATCTTAATAAAAAAATAATAATTAATTAGTAAATATACACTACAATTATTAATAAGCGTATAAGCTATAAGCGTTTAAATAAACAAGGAGCACTTTATCTCACGGCATCGTGCCTACATGAAAGCCGCAAGAGTAAACAACTTGATTTCCTGGAGAAATTAGAAATAACGTTTTTAATGACGCTTTGAAGTTTTAATCGATTATAACTTCCAATAAGACAAACTGCAGACATTTTTGGAAATGCTTTAAAGCCAGATCGACATAATGAGAAACCAAAAGAGATACGATTAATACTACACGGAAAGGTCGTAGACGCAGGAATTCGCAGAATCTCCTGGTTGAAAAACCTTAGAACTCAGGTTTTCCTATCTCTACACGGGGAATATTTAGAGCAGCAGTCAATAAGACAGCCAGTAAGGTTCAAATCGCTTTGCTTATTATTAAATTCTTAAATTACACTTAGAATAGGAATACTCGACCATTAACGTAAGTAAAAGAAGCAAGAAAGTTGCAAACTATCACAGCAGATATTTACGTATCCTATGAAAACAAATTTTTAGCAGGTTTTTGAAAGTTTTACTACTTGAAACATTTTTTTAATTTACCAGTAATTTATTATACAATTTAGCTGTCAGAAGGTCAAGCAATACTAGTCTCTCTGCAGGATAAGTTAAATTATTGCTGTATCTGTAAATTATGAATATTACTGTTAAGTGTAAAACAATGCAAGGGCTCTTTGACATACAGCGTACAGCTCGTTTTTGCAATTTAAATAGTTTACCATAATGAGGGGTATTATACATCTGATGACGGTAGTATGCGCGAATCATTTGTGACATTTTACAAAGAATTCTTGAGGTGGGTGGTTCCTTCGCAGTTATGAGCTATAAGAAAAATGATAACCGATCGCTTAGCGGACGCCATTTAACAGTTTCCGTTTCCATCGGCGTGCGATCCCGGAGAATTTGGAATAATTGCGCTGCGACCCACAAAGCCATCGAGCATGAAATAATCTTGATTCGCGACGCGGTACTTCGATTGCGGAGAAAGGGTCAGATATTTCTACAGGGACAAGTTAATCCCAATTTTAGGTTTTTGCAAATCTATATAGTATTCTAAAAAAAATTACAAATGTCAAATATTCTTTTATTCCAGCGATTATTGAAGTTACGAGGTTAGTTAAATTAAAAATAATTATTAGAATAATATAGGCATTATTGGTCAACATAAAGTATCTATTTACAGACGAATATATGGTAATATCGAAACAAAAATAAAAATAAAATTAAAATAATTTTTTCCACTTAATAAATACCGGAGTGATGTTACACTGGGCTAGCCAATTTATTTGAAAGAATATTTTTTGGGACGGTTTTTACATTTATTCTCGAATCGATGGCGACCTCCTTTCTCAATATAAAATGTTATTATGATTTTTCTTTGTAAAACTAAAAATAAAAGTTACTGTCCAAGTTATATTAAGTTTACAATTACAATTCACCATCATTACAAAAACAAAAGACAATAATGAAGAATAAAAACTAATGTTTTTAGCAATTTACAATATAAGACAAAAATTGATGATCAGTAAGAAGTGTCATCCTGTCACCTAACCTGTCTAAACTGTCTAATCTGCTTATCGGGTTAAAGAGATCAGATATAAAAAGAGAGTAATAGTACTAATACTCTTAAGGAGTACAAAGAAATAGAAATAGAATAGACAGAAATAGTTTTATACTTGGAATTATTAAAGACTTGGTTCAAGATAATGTTGCAAAAACGATGCAAAAACGTCAATCAGACAGTGTTGATTGTTTACTCTAGCAGTTCTATAAATTAAACAATTAATGCGGCAATTATTACGGTGAATTGCTGCGCATATAGCACTAGTTGCTTTGGTATGGATGTGAAAGGTTATAGGGCTTAACACACATATATAAGGTCTATATTAAGAGCCTGTGTGACATTTATAATGACCAAAGGCGCGAGGGCTTGTGGCACCCCAGATATAACGTCTAAGGGTTTTGAGAGAAAAATAAGTACCTAAGATTCAAGCGTGTTACGTTATGGATTAAAAAAGCTAGATCACCTATATTTTGCAGATTATTTAAGGAAGCATTTTAAAAGCCTTTAAATGATGCACGGAGAGACGGGTCAGATGTTTGTTACTCTTACTTCTTATACTTTATATAAAACTTCTTGATTCCTCCTGCTAGCTATCTAGCTAGCTAGTTCGGGTCAACAAAAACCGACGCAGGAGTAATCCACAAGTTTTATAAAAAGTATTACAATGGCCTGTGGAAGTTTCTTCGAAAAATTAATCTTACCTCTTATATTCGAGTTTCTTCACAAAATGGTGGATTCCTTGATAATAACGTTAATTTTTGAGACGCGAAGATTGTTCACTACTAATATAAAAAATTGAAAACGAAAAGTATTTATTAATTATTTTAGGAGTAAATCATATTTTTAATGTTAAATACGTATTCATTCTAGGAATATTAAAAAAGCCTGCTGTGTCGATAAGTGGAGGAAAAAATGTTCTAAAGGAAACATTTAAAGAAAAATTGTCGAAATACATATTAAAGCACAACTTGAAAATAGGTTTAACTAATTACTTTTTTGAATTTCTTAAAATAACTAACATCGTATTTAAAATGTTTACGAACAAAATTTATCAAAATATTCATAAAATATTTATAAAATATATGCATATAGTTTGAACTAAAATAAAAGTTGCAATATAGATAGGATTTTTATTTTAGAGGCTTCCGGTTCAAGGGTAAATTATTTAATTTGGTGGTTGCTCAATAAATTTTAATAAGAATCAATTATTATAAAAAGCAGTAAATGTGTTTTAATAAACCGTTTTGGTTATGCGACCCTTACAGAACGTTTATTGGTAATCACCATAGTGCGCACAAATAGATTTCCTTAAGCGAATAAATTGGTAGTAAAATCATGGGCGGGGCATGATCACTGGCAATAATGTTATTTCAGGATTTTACCGATTTATTAATTTAAACAATATATCCGTGTACATTCGATATTGTTAATTACCGGCCATCAAGAATAGAAGAAATTAAAACAGAAAACATAACAAAATTGTGTTAAACAATGGAATTAACCCGCCTCTGACACCATCAACAAATATCTCGAATCGGACGCACTTCTGCAATTAAGTATAAATTAGGCGCCAATTGTTTAAGATGTGCCACTATTAACACATCCAGATTTTGTTCATATGCAAAAATGAAGTGAAGGCTGCGTATTTTGGCGAAAACACAAACAATGGCACGAGAAAAAATTGGAAAATCTAAACAACAAGCGAAAACGTAAGTAAATATGGTAGGTCAGTGACTTGAGATGCGATAATTTTTTTCGTGGTACTGATTAACATTTTGAATTACCAGAATAATCCACCCTACAGCAAACATTAAGTTTTCTTTCGACAATACACCAGATTCGAAATTGAATTTACTTCTTTAAGTGTATCAAGAATGATTAAAAGAAATATTTTTATCATGATACTGTTTTTTTAATTGCACACTTCTTTCTACTATCAGGTTCGCAAGTTTCACTTGTAAATGTCCTTGATACACCGAAAGACAACTTTGACTATATAAAAGCTTTTAAATTTTTAGAAAAGATGAGAAAACGAAAAATGACATGGTGCCATACTATAAACTGGTAAGTTGCGATGACCTCGCTGATAATTTACTCTTAAAAGTTGATCGCAAGTGGACAGACACTTTTCAATTTGGATATCGATAGCAGCAACAACGCCTAGTTTTTAGTACACATTCGCCACACCATTGGACAAAATATTAATACTAATCGGCACTTTGGGATCAGCAGTGTGCGGAATCTTGCAACCGTACATGATGATTTTGTTCGGGGACGCTTCTGGGATTGTAGTAAACTATTTTACTAGCATCGAATTTAATGCCACAGACGCAGACCGGGAGAGAGCTGTCGAATACTTGTACGATGGCATTTTCGACTTTTCCATCTGTACTTGCGCTGCAGCCTTCGCCATTATCATCGCCACGTACATCACGGGGGTAGCATTCTCATACAGTTCTCTAAGACAGGTCAGTACTTGCCTATCGACATAATTTTTATTTTAAAATAGATTTTTTTGTTCTGACATTGAACACCATAGTCGATATTAATGGATCACTAGACATGTGATTCATCATAAATTCATTTTGGCAACATTAGACTGGGTTCTCCAATGTTAATGTTATTGAAAAGACTGGAAAAATAGTTTCCCAATAAAGACAGCAATATAATCTTATAAACCGACTGATCGGAAACTCAAGAAAGAGTAGAAATTGGAATTTACCAATGTAGATTGAATTCCAATTCCAATGGACAAGTAGTTGGAATATCTGAGATAAAAGAACGAAGGAGAAGGAAACGGTCTTTTGAAACTTGTTGTTACTATGATAGTCAGACCAATCAATGCCTTCCAAAATTCCAATTAGATTATGTGTAATTTTATTTCATACATTTATGAATTTTGACTGATTCCATTTATTCTTTTCCATTTTACGATCCCTTAACCTTTCGCCCTGTTCTGGCAGACGTTCAAAATGCGTAGAGATTTTCTGGAGAAGACGTTGAATCAAGACATGGGCTGGTACGACCAGAATCAAACGGGCGACTTCGCCAGCGTAATTACGGAGTAAGATCATGGTACCGCTATGGTAGACTTGTTGCGTCACTCGTATTTTCCCTAGCAACATTCCTAAAATCGAAGAAGGCATGGGCGAGAAACTCGGCACATGCCTCTTTTTCTTTTTTACTTTCGCTTCGGGTCTTGTATGGGCTTTGATTAAGGGGTGGAAACTCGCTCTGGTCACTCTAGCGACGTTCCCCATCCAACTTCTGGTAATGGGCGTGATAAGTTGGGTAAGTATAACAATAAGCGAGAGGCGTGCTCGAATAGTTTACCACCCTCTAGCTGTCGGCTAAATACTGTAAACAAGAGATGCAAGCCTATAGTGGCGCGGGTTCAGTTGCCGAAGAGGTACTTAGCTCTATAAGAACAGTTGTGGCTTTCGACGGCCAAGAAAGAGAGTGCAAACGATACGAAACATACGTAAAACAAGGTACACATGAGGGTCATGCCTCTGACTGATATCATGAGATCCATGTTCTCGTTTAAGCTAAAGACAACAACATGAAGAAGTGTTTCTTCAATGCGATCAATCAGGGCTTCATTTGGTTCCTGACGTACTCTTGTTACGCGCTTGCCTTTTGGTATGGCGTCGGACTGGTGATCGAAGAACGCGCCATACCGATCGAAGAGCGGGTCTATACCCCCGGTAACATGATAGGGGTGAGTTTTAAGGTGGTCCACATCCTCGCGTCTGCATCGAAGTCTTCAAGGTATTCTTCGCTACTTTGATAGCCACCTGGAACTTTGGCAACATCGCTCCTTTCCTCGAGGTGTTCGGTATGGCTCGAGGGGCAGCCCATAAGGTGTTCTCCATCTTGGATAGTAAGCCGCTTATTCATAAGAAAGGAAATGCGGGGAAGAAACCCAATTTCAAGTCTAATGTGGTGCTGCGCAACGTCGGGTTCAAGTATCCCTCGAGGTCAGATGTGCAGGTGTTGAGAGGCGTTAATCTCGAAATTAAATTTGGGGAGACGATCGCTCTGGTGGGACACTCGGGTTCCGGCAAATCTACCATCGTCCAGCTACTTCAAAGGTTCTACGATCCTAGTTCGGGATGCGTAAGTCATTGTATGTTCTTTACGCGCTTTACTCATATGCTCTAGATCCTTATTTGCTAGAGTTGGCTTTCCTTAGTTAACGAATTGTTAAGGCTTGAGAGATTATGGTGACCAAAGTGATTGTTTGGGATTTAAATCAAAATTAAAATTTAGTTCTGCTTATACCTCTTTCCAAATCAGCACTGCGGCATAATTACAGTAATTCAAGCAGATCCACGAAACACGCTTAATTTAATTTGCTCATTTTTGAACGCTCCAGAAATAAAATCCTCCGTGGATTCCGCTTCATGATAGCAACGGTTGCGGTGAGGGGAAAGTGGTATGTAGTCGCGGATTTGGGCCTCATTTGGATTGACTATTCGAGATCTGTTGCCTCAAAATATTTTTAAATGCAAATTAAAACTTGCTTCCGCCTTTATCTGTTTGGTGTGCTGACAATTTTGGTGATGGGATCTGCTTCAGATATTAATAGATGGCGTGAACTTAAAACACGTCAACCTGGCGCACCTGCGGAAAAACCTAGGAGTGGTAAGTCAGGAGCCGTCACTGTTCGCAACGACAATAGCCGAGAATATACGGTACGGCAAACTCAACGCCACCACTGAAGAAATCGTGTCGGCTGCTAAGAAGGCGAACGCACACAAGTTTATTCAAAATTTGCCTAACGGTTACCAGACTCTAATCGGCGAAAGAGGAGCGCAACTCTCCGGAGGTCAGAAGCAACGCATCGCCATAGCCAGAGCTCTTATCAAACATCCCAGTTTACTGCTTCTCGACGAAGCCACATCAGCACTCGATACCGAGAACGAGGCCGAAGTACAAATGGCTCTGGATTCAGTAAGCGTTTTTAGAGAAGTTAGAAATAATGATATTGAGGTGAAGCATGATTGTAGATCGACTACACGTGCACTAAAATTGTGGTGGCTCATCGGTTATCGACCATCAGGAACGCCGACAGAATTATAGTTTTCGATCAAGGTCGCGTCGTGGAAGAAGGTTCCCATCAGCAACTGATGGAGGCCAAGGGGGCGTATTGTAATATGATCAACTCTCAAGGCTATACGGAATTAAATAGAGAAGGTAATTACTTTTACTTAAACCACTACGTGACAATTGCCATATCTGCTTTTAAACCCGAAGACAACAAAATCAATGACGTCCAAAAGAGAAAATGCTCCAGAGTAAAGAGCATGACGTTCAGCTCTCATAGTGGCTATGACAGCGATTCGGACGATGCGAGTACTGAATTTGAAGACGTATGGTAGCATGTTCTCTTTCCCTATCCTGGATGCTAGCTTTGGTACATTTTGCAGGAGGAAACCGAGGAGATGAGCTCGTTCTGGGTTATAATGAAAATCTTAAAAGTAAATTCCCGCGAATGGTTGGCCTTTTTAACGGGTTGTCTAGCGTCGGTCTTAAACGGTGCATCCTTACCCTTGTACGGATTAATTTTCGGTGACATAGTCGGGGTGAGTCATTAGCATAAATCACGTGACTTTGCGATCACCACGTTTTTTTTTAGGTGCTGGTTATCTTGGACGACGAGCTGCTCAGGGAGCAGTCCAATCAGTTTTGCTTGTACTTTCTATATCTCGGGATTGCCATCGGAATAGCTATGTTTATACAGGTAAAGTCTGTCCATAGATATAAGAAAGTGACTAACTGATATAAAGTAAGGAAAGACTCGGGCAAGCTGTAAGAATGAAATATGGCCGAACAATTCCGTACTTTGCTTAGAATTTAATTATTTGGGGTTTTGTTAGGAAACATACTAAACAATATTTATTTATTTGTGTATGTGTTTATGTTTAAATCTAAAATAAAATTAGAAATTATTTTTATTACCTACTTAAGTTACCTATAATTATTCACATAGTATCACATTCATCAGTATCAGTATCACTATCGCTATCATCGACTGTTCTAATTATTATTTGTTTTATATTATTTGCGATATGGATATACTATTGTTCTGCTTTTTCTATATGTTTAACAGAATTTGACCAACTTTGTGGAGGGATACTAAAAACCTCTGCGTCTATGAGTTTGAGCACACTGGAGCTAACACTACAGAGAAACTCCATTTGGAATCCAACCATCTTTAGAGCCAGCATGCAAAATAGTTATTTTTTTATTTCTTTTTGATGGCGCGTTTGTTTTACACTTATCAGTTGAGTCAACCCAACCCTTTTCCGGGGTATCATAAGTGTCGAACTAGGTTTCATCCAAGTAAATAATTGGCCTTTGTTGTTCTCTGTAAATCCTATTTTTTTCTAGATATTCCAGTGGTCATTTCAGAATTCTGAAAGATTTGCTTCTTTATTTTCCTCTCTGAAATGGGATTATTCACAATTTTCCATACAGTTGATGTTGGAATTTTCGTCAATGTGGCCGTTTCTTCTAAAGATGCTTGCTTGCTGGCACCACGTTCAATGAGAGTCAAATAAACACTGTTTATAACTTCCTTAGTCTCAATAGAAGTGTCTTCTACATTTAGACGGGAGCATCTGCTGAGATACACTAGTCTCGCACATATTTTGCATAATTCGCACACGATTCAACACACGCTATTTTACACACGAAATAAGAATGATTACTCATAAACTTAAACTAAGTAGTATACCAAATGAAGGAATATTAACCACGGGTATTGTATGTTAATGACCATCCTTGGAAAATCCCATTCAAAAGCAATTGGTCACTTTCTTATGTCTATGAACAGACCATACTATGATACTCTTTAAGTTCTTGATTATTATCGCGAATCACATCAAATGCTTCAGTTTTTCGCTTTTGGATACGCGGGTGAAATCTTAACTTACCGCTTGCGGAACTGGACGTTCGAGGCCATGCTCAAACAAGAAATGGCGTGGTTCGACAGGAAAGAGAACGGAGTAGGAGCGTTGTGCGCCCAACTCTCTGGAGATGCCGCTAGCGTTCAAGGAGTAAGTAAATGTCAACAAATGAATCAACAGTACTTATGAAATACATACGTCAGGCAGCAGGATCGAGGATTGGGATAATAATAAACTCCCTGTCTACTTTGGCTCTATCCTTGGCCTTCGGTATGTACCTCGACTGGAGGTTGACCCTGGTCGCCCTCGCGTTCTACCCTATGGTACTCTTCTCGATGTACTACGAGCGAAAGTCGATCCAATCGGACGCCACCAAGACCCAAAAGTTGCTCGAGAAGTCCGCCAAGGTAAGCGTAGGCATGCTCGTTAGAACTTTGTAGACGCAGATCGCTCAGATTGCAGTCGAGGCTATCGAGAACATCAGAACGGTGAAATCACTTGGCTGCGAGCATATTTTCTGCGATTCTTATAATGAGGAGCTCTCAATCTGCATCAAAATGGGTTTCAAGAGATGTCACGTGCGGGGATTTATCCTGGGATGCGCGCGCAGCTTGATGATGTTTGCCTACGCAGCCGGGTTCACTTACGGAGCCAGTCTCATGGTGGTTGCTCACGTCGACAGCGCGACAGTATTCAAGTACCACGTGTAGATGTTATTTAGGCAAGCCTATACTGAGCGAACGTTTCAGGGTTCTCGAGGTGATAATCACGAGCTCATGGTCGATAGGTAACGTCCTCACGTACTCTTCGAATATGCAGAAGGGTTTAACAGCTGCAGCGAGGATTTTCAACTTGATTAAGCGAATACCGGAAGTCCGAAACGAACCAGACGCAGGCAAAGCGGAATGGGTAAGTCGTACGACAGAGAGGGGGGGATCCCAGTTAACCTCCTTAGATTTCCAGGACCAGGGACGAGTGGAATTTTCCAAGGTTCAGTTTTCGTATCCTACTAGACCGTCGGTGCAGGTCCTAGATGGTATCGACCTGTCGATAATGGAAGGAAAAACAGTAGCGTTGGTAGGAGGTAGCGGATGTGGAAAATCTACAATTATCCAGCTTCTGGAGAGGTTTTACGATCCTACATATGGCGATGTGTTAGTAGACAGGGACGACATCAAACACGTGACTTTGGAATCGCTTAGGCTCCATCTGGGTATCGTGTCGCAGGAACCTAATCTTTTCGACAGGACGATCGCGGACAATATCGGTTACGGCGTGCGGGATCGGAGCGTGAGGAAGAAGGAGATTGAGTTGGCGGCGAAGGCGGCCAACATTCATAACTTTGTCGCCAGTCTCCCGCTGGTAAGTCTGTAATTATTGCAAGTCGAGAAGTAATACGGCCTTGCAGGGCTATGAAACGCGTCTGGGTACAAAAGGCACGCAGCTTTCCGGAGGTCAGAAGCAGAGGATTGCTATAGCGAGAGCGTTGCTGAGGAATCCGAGGATTTTGCTTCTCGACGAGGCCACGTCAGCGTTAGATAACGAAAGCGAGAAGGTAGTACATTTTTTGAGTGGGTTTTGCAAGAGATTTTCCACGAATTTAAGAATAATGTTTTCTTACACTTTAAGCAGTTCATGTTTTTGCAGGATTTTTACCATTGTGCACCACATTCCCTCGGTTATTTATTACACCTTGTTTTTTTAATTTCCTTTTTTCCTTTGCGCATGTTTTTACTTTTTCCTATATCTATTTGATAATTTATCACTTCGAGAGCGTTGCTGAGGAATTCGAGAATTTTGCTTCTCGACGAGGCCACCTCAGCGTTGGATAACGAAAGCGAAAAGGTTATACATTTTTTGAGCTAAACGCTTTCTAGGAATTTAAATTTTTCATATATTGTTTTCCCTTGTTTTCTTAAACTCAGATTTTTTTCTTTTTTCACATTCCTCATTTTGTTGTCCAGACATGTCACGTTTTCGCAGGATATTGGCTATTGTCACACGCGGGTTTTAAACATTAAAAGTTTATCTCTATTTTTTCATTCTCATTTTTTCAGAAGTATCGAATTTTTGCTACTCAGCATTCCCATATTCCGAAGAATTTTGATTTCGCAAAGGTTAGATTTTTTGCATTTGTGAGCAAAACAAACAAAAGTTGATGCCGATAAAATTACAATCCTTACAGTATCGAGGCATGCAGTTTTTCTATATTTTTTCAAATTTTCCTTTTTGCATGTATATTTCAAATATTCGCGTCAATTGCTTTCTTGAAAAGTTTTCAGCTATCCGGAAACAGATTTTAAACTGTTTTGTATGAAATTCGAGTCTACTGCTTTCATATTAAGAATGTTTATGAATGTTTTTAATTTTTTGTTTTTTTTTTCGCACTTTTTTGTGATATGTTACGTTGTTATAGATTGTGCAGGAAGCCCTAGATAATGCTAGACAAGGACGGACGTGTATCACGATAGCTCACAGATTGACGACTATCCAAGCGGCTGATTTGATATGCGTCCTCAAAGAGGGAAAAATCGCCGAGACGGGCACCCATACGGAGCTACTGGAGAGGAAGGGATTGTACTTTGAATACTATAAGCTTCAATCCGGTCAGGGTTAAACAACTCGCTAACTCGCCATGTGGCGCTGATGACTCGGTAGTTGTATTTAAGAGAAAACCCTCATTATTTTTAATAGATTAATTTAATTGTAATTGAGCAACGTTTTCTTTAAAATAGTTTACCGCCCTTTAGTTTTTAAGGAAGTTGACGTATATGATAAAAATGATTGATATTGGATTAAGAACCATCTACGAAGGAAATATGCCGCAAAGTTTGAATCCAAATTTATTTACTTTTGACAATTAAAAAACACCTTAAGCCAGACCTTATAAATGTTTTCTATAATCTAAAATTAACCTATTTATTCGCAACTTGGGGATTGCCTTCTGTTACGCCGAAATAAATTCTTCACAACCACAGTAATCGAATGAATGACATTAACCCAACTTGTATTTTTTGTCTATTTTCGGATTCCTCCTGCGTCGGTTTCGGTGAGTTGAACTTGCTAACGTTTCGCTAATCATCCTGTTGGCTTCCTCAGAACTTAACTGAAACTGGCTCGCATTTTACTCTGTTACTGCTTATATATTGTTTGAGAGGGGCGGAGCTAAATGAGGGGTATAACCATCATCTCGGATAACTGATTCCCATATTGGTGACAAGTCAAGACCTGGGTCGCGGTTGTAGCTTTCTATAGATATCTATAGACTCTCGGATTTTTCGTGGGCAGGGGAATTGATTACATGTAAGAATTTTAGTTTTATGAAAAAAAAATTATGTCCGGTCTCGTGATTGTGTTCCGCATCTGCTGATGAGTTTATTTGTCTTAGAGTGTGTCTGTCTTAGACAGTAAGTAAGACAAATAAAGTAGTAAAACAAATAAACTCATCAGCAGTTGCTGATCACTGTCACGAAACCGACATACAATTTTATTCTGTAAAACTAAAATTATTACATGGAATCAATTCTTCTGCCAACGAAAAATCCGAGCGTATAGAAATCTATAAGTGACCTAACAATCTTAACCGCGACTCAGTTCTTTCCCTGTCACCAATATGAGAATTAGTCATCCGAGACGATGTTTATGCCCATCATCCGCTACAAACAGGTACAGAGTAAAATGCGAGCCAGTTTCAGTCAAGCTCTGAAGAAGCCAACAGGATGATTGGCGAAACGTTAGCAAGTTCAACTGAACAAAAACCCACCCAGGAGGAATCCAGAAACTTTGTGGACGTTTTTTTGAAAAAAGATTTTCAAAAAAGTGAAAAACCACATAAATGTCAAAAATTACAAGATTTCTATAAGTGTCGGTTTAATGTCTAACACTTCCGCGGGGTTCTAGCATTGACACTGTTTCTCTGAACTATGAAGAAGACGCGACGTTTGATTATGCTTGAAACTAGTACTTCGAACTTCCAGGGTCCATAAATACCAGTAGTTATGTTAGTTTAGGATAACACTGCCGTCAACTTTATTTACTTACTTTACCCTATTTCACTACCCTGGATAGAAATATTTGCTTTTGATAACTACGGGTGAGACTTTATACAGCGAAATTTCGAATTGTCGTTTGCCATCAACCCTTCACATGGATAAACTTAACTCTCGTGTATAGAGGCCTTACCAAAAACTTCCTCTGAGTCGTCGCTTGCTAGTAAGGAGGCGGCAAAACAGTTCTCCGGCCTCCCGTACCCCTTTTGCACAACAGGGAGTGGTATCGATTGTCAAGAAGCAACGAGTTGCGTCTTTTGGCTTGAAAAAATATTTTTTTGATCTTTTTAACTTCACACCAGAAGAACTTTTTTGAGAAAAACTCATTCTGATTAGAAACTGTAGCACACGGTAATTTTAATTTTTGGTACTAAGACGTTGCTGAAGAGATTTAGATTAATAAATCTTTGCTTAATCAAGTTTGAAGAATAATTTTAAGCGGCAAATTAATCGCAAAAGTATTTTTAGTCAGCATTTCCAGGTTTTCTCTCTATTTAGTTCGGTATTCATTGCATTCTTTTAAACACCTCCTAGGCATGGATTGTTTTAGAAGTCTGCAAGCGCAGAAATTTTCTATTGGGTTAATGTTTGGGCTACAAGGTGGCCACTGTAAATCATCTATAAGATTATTCTGTAGTTAGGCATTGAACCTCGTTGTGCTTGAATTTTAAAAGTAGTAATAAATTTTCTTCTGCATATTATTGAATGACGTTTTCCGGTATGTTAATGTAGTCATGGTATCCGTTATTCTGTAAAGTGGATCACCCACCTCCAAATATCACCGTTTCCCTAGTGTAGCGTGAGTCATTTGGAGGATGCCAAATAAAATGTTTCCCATCAAAATCTTGGACTCATCTCAATATAATAAAAAACTTTCATTATTGGACGTTCGAAGTAAGATAATGCCTCGCAAATTACAAACGGCTTTTCCGATTCGCTTCAGGTAGGAGAGGCTTCTTTCTTGGAACCATGCCAAAGAGTTGTGCCTCGTTAATACGGCTTTCTTGCAACTACTAATCATTTCTACAATATTTTGATAGAAATGACCTTTTCTCTGAAGAGTAATAATAATTTGCCTTTGATTTTCGGTACTACTCTTTTGCGAACTAACCCACTAAATCTATATGGTAACGATCTCATAACAAACCTACTGTAGCGTTTCCAATTAGTTTTCCTTTTAAAATAAACGAACGAATAAAATTATTGTGTCAATAATAATAAATATACATCGGAACAATAGTAACAATTTCATAACATTTTTGCCGTCATCGAATAAGGAATTTATAAATAATGATATAGGTCTGTTTGATAACTGAATTTTGAGCCCATTGTGGGCGAACGAGATATTTACAAAAAAAAAGGTTTAAGGTTATTTTAAAAAGAAAAGTTTGAAGTGCCACAATCATTTTCAATTTTGAGTCACAAAGTGTTTAAATTTAGTAATATTGGAACCAGATGCCCCTGTCAATGTTTTCGAACAAAAAGTATTAAAATATTGCGGGGATCAATTATTTTGCCGATGAATTTGTAATTAAAGCTACCGTTAAGGAAAATAAAAGTTGTAATATGGACAGGATTTTTATTTTACGATCTTCTGGTTCAAGGGTAAATTATTTAATCGAGCCTTTGCTCAATAAATTTTAATAAAACTCAATTATTATAAAAACAATAAATGTGTTTTAATAAACTGTTATGCGAGCGCGACCATAACAAAATGTTTATTAGTAATCACCATAGTCCATAAGGGAATAAATTGGTAGTAAAATCATGGGCGGCTCGTAATCACCAGAAATCATTTGTTCCGCTGCATGCATCCGATATTGTTGAATATCGGGCAGCAAGGACACAATTAAATAAAACTGCAAAAATAACACTTATGTTAAAGAATAGAAGAACGCGCCACTGACCGCGTCAATAAACATCTCGAATCGCATGCATTTCTGCAATTAAGTATAAATGAAGCGCCAATTGTTTAAGATGTTCCACTATTAACAGACACAGATTTTGTTCATACGTGAAAATAAACCGAATGCTGCATATCTGGTGAAAAATAAACACTGCAGATAAAGCCTCAGAATGGCACGAGATAAAAATGAAACATCCAAACAACAAACCAAACCGTAAGTAATTTGGGATGCGATCATTTTTTTCTTTGGTACCGATTAATCCAATATTAAGTTTTCCTTCGATACTACACATGCAAAATTGAAATACTTCTATAAATGATATCTATGATCTATCTTCGGGATCCACTGAGATAAAACTTTTGTGATAAAAAACTTTTATAGAAATTTAACTTTTAGAAACGATGAAAAAACGAAAGACGACATGGTGCCATACTATAAACTGGTAAGTTACGATGACGTCGTCGGTAACTTACCATTAAAAGTTGGTCGCAAGTTTACAGACACTGTTGACTTTGTATATTGATAGTAGTAACAACGCCTAGTTTTTAGTACACATTCGCCACACCATTGGACAAAATATTAATACTAATCGGCACATTGGGATCAGTAGTGTGCGGAATTTTGCAACCGTACATGATGATCTTGTTCGGGGACGCTTCTGGAATTATGGTGAACTATTTTACTAGCATTGAATTCAACGCTACAGACGCAAACCGAGAGAGAGCTGTCGAATACTTGTACGACGGTATTCTGGACTTTTCCATCCGTACCTGCGCTGCAGCCCTTGCCATTATCGTCGCCACTTACATTACGGGGGTGGCATTCTCATACAGTTCTCTTAGGCAGGTCAGTACATTATTTTTTTTATCTTGGAACAGGTTTGTGGTCCCCAAAATTAACATCATCATTAATCAATCATGATGAAACACACCAGAAATACATTTTGGTAACATGCGAGTGAGTTCCTTAAATTTATTGCTATTGATCATTACAACAAACACGATGAGCTACACATCCCCATCAGAGACGACTGGAAGAATGGTCCCCTAATAAAGACACAATAGGAGTCGGAATCTACGAACGCAGAATGAAAATGAAAATTTCCTTTTAATTGGACAAGTTGTCGATCGTAATCGATCACAGCGCTACTATAAGTAGCAAGGCAAGAAATCTATTAAGATACAAAAGCGCCCACAAAATAGCTTGCAAAAATTCTTTAAGAGGCATGATCGAACCAGAAAATTCTTAGTGGGGTGTCTAACTCTCTTGCCAAAGCTGCCAATCAGCAGACCTAGGAAGCAACGATTGGAATGCCGGAAGGAAACAATGAATGGAAATTTTGCCAAGAAGGGCGTATGAAACGGGAGACCTCTCCTATCTGTCATTGATAACAACAACGTTGATGTAACCGGCGGACAATTATAGTTTTTTTAGCCCGACATGTTTGAAAAACGCCAATTCCCTTTTTTGTAATTTTATTTTATACATTCGTCTTGCTTTGGCAGACGTTCAAAATGCGCAAAGAATTTCTGGAGAAGACGCTGAACCAGGACATCGACTGGTACGCCCTTGCCATTATCGTCGCCACTTACATTACGGGGATGGCATTCTCATACAGTTCTCTTAGGCAGGTCAATATATTATTTTTTTATCTTGGAACAGATTTGTGGTTCCCAAAGTTAACATCATCATCAATCAATTATCAGACAGGTAATAAAACACACCAGAAATACATTTTGGTAACATGCGATTGGGTTCCTTAAATTTATTGCTATTGATAATATCCAAATTGATCATTACAACAAACACGATGATACACATACACATCCCCATCAGAGAAGATTGGAAGAATGGTCCTCTAATAAGAACACAATAGGAGTCGGAATCCACGAATATAGAATGAAAATGAAAATTTCCTTTCCATTGGACAAGTTTTGGGTCATAATCAATCACAGCGCTATTATACATACCAAGGCAAGAAATCTATCAAGATACAAAAGCGCCGACAAAGTAGCCTGCGAAAACTTTTTAAGGGGTATGATCGAACCAGAACGTTCTTAGTGGGGTCTCTAACTCCCTTGCCAAAGCCTGCAATCAAGGAATGGAACGAAACTACTCATAGGCAATGAAAACCTGATCCGCCAGCGAATTACCCTAAAACCCATATGCCAAATTGGCAGCAGACGTAGGAAACCACGATTGGAATGCCGGGCGTATGAAACGGGAGAGTTTATCCAGGGTACGTTTTCGTCTGGGTCGAACTAAAGGGTAGGCTTTGGGAGAACTCTCCTAACTGTTGATGTTGATCTAACCTGCGGATGAAGATAGTTTTTCGAAATTAGAAATTCGTTTTTTTGTAATTTTATCTCATACATTCGTCCTGCTTTGGCAGACGTTCAAAATGCGCAAAGAATTTCTGGAGAAGACGCTGAACCAGGACATCGGCTGGTACGACCAGAATCAAACGGGCGACTTCGCCAGCGTAATTACGGAGTAAGGTCGTAGCACCGCTATAGCAGACTGGTCGCGTAACGCGTATTCTCCGCAGCAACATTCCCAAAATCGAAGAAGGCATCGGTGACAAAGTCGGCACGTGCCTCTTCTTCTTCTCCACTTTCGCTTCGGGTCTTATATGGGCTCTGATCAAGGGCTGGAAACTGGCTTTGGTCTGTTTAGCGGCGTTTCCCATTCAGCTTTTAGTGATGGGCGTGATAAGTTGGGTAAGTAGATTTATAATACAGAGGCGTACTCGAATAATGTGCGACATGCCAGCTGTCCGCTAAATACTGTAAACAAGAGATGCAAGCTTACAGTGGGGCGGGTTCTGTTGCCGAGGAGGTACTCAGCTCTATTAGAACAGTAGTGGCGTTTGAGGGGCAAGAGAGAGAGTGCAAAAGATACGAAACATACGTGAAAGAAGGTAAGTGGGAAAGGCGGTGCGTTTAATCAATATCAACCGCGATATGCTCTCGTTTTAGCCAAAGACAATAACATGAAGAAGTGTCTGTTTAACGCCATCAATCAGGGTTTCATTTGGTTCTTGACATACTCGTGTTACGCGCTTGCCTTTTGGTATGGTATCGGACTGGTGATCGAAGAACGCGCAATACCGATTGAGCAGCGGGTATATACTCCCGGTAACATGATAGGGGTGAGTTTTAAGTTCAGCCACATTTTCTCGCCTGCACCGAAGTCTTGAAGGTATTCTTCGCTACGTTGATAGCCACCTGGAACTTTGGTAACATCGCTCCGTTCCTGGAAGTGTTCGGTATGGCTCGGGGGGCAGCCGTCAAGGTGTTCTCCATCTTGGATAGTAAGCCGCTCATTCATAAGAAAGAAAACGCTGGCAAGAAACCCAACTTCAAGTCTGATGTGGTGCTGCGCAACGTCGGGTTCAGGTACCCCTCGAGGTCAGAAATACAGGTGCTGAGAGGCGTTAATCTGCAAATTAAGTTTGGGGAGACGATCGCTCTGGTGGGTCACTCGGGTTCCGGCAAATCTACCATTATCCAGCTACTCCAAAGGTTCTACGATCCGAGTTCGGGATGCGTAAGTCATTTATCGTAGTTTTAAAAAAATTAGCTTTTCATATTAAAATGATTGTTCTACAAAAAAAATTGCAAGATCGTTACAAGAATCCGTTTTAATATTTGCCTAAAATGTTCGCCAGACCTTAACTAATTAAATTTACTAATAAATATCCTCCAACACATGCACACATACTCAGTTATCCTATTTAAGGAGACCACTAACCACCATGTTATATTAATTGAACTATATATATATATATATATATATATATATATATATATATATATATATATATATATATATATATATATACATACATAGTCTTGCAATACAGACATCAGCGCTGCGGCTAACAGATGGGTATGATTGAACCGATCCACGAAACCCACAAAATTAAATTGGCTCACTTTTGCACGCACCCAGTATCTAACTGCACAAAATAAACGACGAGAAATGAAATCCACCGTGGATTCCGATTCTTAATAGCAACGACTGCGGTGCGGGGAAATAGGTGCTGGATTTTGGTTTTGGACCGACTATTCGGGATCTGGTCGCCCCAATTTATCTGTTTGATATACTAACAATTTTGGAGATGGCACCTTTTCCAGATCTTAATAGACGGTGTGAATTTGAAACAAGTTAACTTGAGTCACCTGCGAAAAAACGTAGGAGTGGTTAGTCAAGAGCCGTCGCTGTTCGCTACAACGATAGCCGAGAACATACGTTACGGTAAACTCAACGCCAGCACCGAAGAAATCGTACGGGCTGCGAAGAAGGCGAACGCCCATAGGTTCATTCAAAATTTGCCTAACGGCTACCAGACCCTTATCGGCGAAAGAGGGGCGCAACTCTCCGGAGGTCAGAAGCAGCGCATCGCCATAGCCAGAGCTCTTATCAAACACCCTAGTTTATTGCTTCTCGACGAAGCCACATCCGCTCTCGATACCGAGAACGAGGCCGAAGTACAAATGGCTCTGGATTCGGTATGCGTTTTTAGAGACATTAAAGAGTAATAATATTGAGGTGAAGCATGATTCTAGATCGACTACACGTGCACTAAAATTGTGGTGGCTCATCGGTTGTCGACCATCAGGAACGCCGACAGAATTATAGTTTTCGATCAAGGTCGCGTCGTGGAAGAAGGTTCCCATCAGCAAATGATGGAGGCTAAGGGGGCGTATTCTAAAATGATCAACTCCCAAGGGTATACCGAATTAAATAGAGAAGGTAATAATTTTCCCAACCACTACTTACCAATTGCTTTATCTATTTTCAAACTCCAAGACGACAAAATCAATGAGGTCCAAACAAGGAAATCCTCCAGAGTTAAGAGCATGACCTTCAGTTCTCACAGTGGCTACGGCAGTGATTCAGACGACGCGGATACCGAAGTTGTCGAGGTATGGTACTATATTGTTTTTCCCCATCACAGAAGTTAGCTTGGAATATTTGCAGGAAGAAACTGAAGAGCTGAGCTCCTTCCAGGTTATTACCAAAATCTTAAAGACAAACTCCCGCGAATGGTTGGCCCTTTCAGCTGGTTGTCTGGCGTCGGTTTTGAACGGTGCATCCTTACCCATATATGGTTTAGTTTTCGGGGACATACTGGGAGTGAGTTACTGCCTCAAAATATGCGGTGGTGGGACCACTACGTTTGTTTTAGGTGCTTGTTGTCGTGGATGACGAGCTGCTTAGGTGGCAGGCCAATCAATTTTGCTTATATTTTCTCTATCTTGGGATAGCCACCGGAATATCTATGTTCCTACAGGTGCGATGCACTTATGGTTTATTAAAGAAGGTCAATGGCAGTTTTAGAGTTCTAGACACCCATGTAGTTTACGCTTTCGAATCTCGGTAGCACATGCATTGTATTTGCAACCCTAATAACATCAAATGCTTTAGTTTTTCGCTTTCGGATACGCGGGAGAAATCTTAACGTACCGCTTGCGGAACTGGACGTTCGAGGCGATGCTCAAACAAGAAATGGCGTGGTTCGATAGGAAAGAGAACGGAGTAGGAGCGTTGTGCGCCCAACTCTCCGGAGATGCGGCTAGCGTTCAAGGAGTAAGTAAATCTCGGGTGAAGGAAACAACAGTATTAAATGGTTCCCTCAGGCTGGAGGTTCGAGGATTGGTATAATAATAAACTCCCTGTCTACTTTGGCTCTTTCCATCATCTTCGGCATGTATCTCGAGTGGAGGTTGACCCTGGTCGTCCTGGCGTTCTATCCCCTGATACTTTTCTCGATGTACTATGAGCGAAAGTCGATCCAATCGGACTCCACCAAGACCCAAAAGTTGCTCGAGAAGTCCGCAAAGGTAAGCGTAGCCATGTTGTTACAGCTTTTGTCGATGCAAGTGTTCAGGTTGCAGTTGAGGCCATTGAAAACATCAAAACGGTGAAATCTCTTGGCTGCGAACACATATTTTGCGACGCCTACAACGTAGAGCTCTCAATCTGTATTAAGATGGGGTTCAAGAGATGCCACCTGCGCGGATTTATCATGGGATGCGCACGCAGTCTGATGTTCACCTACGCAGCCGGACTCACTTATGGGTCCAGGCTCGTCGTGGTTGCTCACGTCGACAGCGCGACCATTTTCAAGTACTTGGTGAAGATAACATTTAGGCGGGCCTATACTATGTGAACGTTTCAGGGTTCTGGAGGTTATTATATCGGGATCATGGTCGATAGGGAACGCGCTCACCTTTTCTTCGAATATGCAAAAGGGTTTAACCGCCGCAGCGAGGATTTTCCACCTAATCAAACGTATACCAGAAGTCCGAAACGAACCAGAGGCAGACAAAGCGGAATGGGTAAGCTGTGCGGTAGAGAGAGGGTATCCCCAGTTGACCTCGCTAGATTTTAGGACAAGGGGTGCGTGGAATTTTCAAAGGTTCATTTTTCTTACCCTACTAGACCCTCAGTGCAGGTGCTTGATGGTATTGACCTGTCGATAATGGAAGGAAAAACAGTAGCTTTAGTAGGAGCTAGCGGATGCGGAAAGTCTACAATTATCCAGCTTCTGGAGAGGTTTTACGATCCCACATACGGCGACGTATTGGTAGACAGGGACGACATCAAACACGTGACTTTGGAATCGCTTAGGTTCCATCTGGGTATCGTGTCGCAGGAACCCAATCTTTTCGACAGAACGATAGCGGAGAATATCGGTTACGGCGTGCGGAATCGGAGCGTGAGGAAGAAGGAGATTGAGTTGGCGGCGAAGGCGGCCAACATTCATAACTTTGTCGCCAGTCTCCCGCTGGTAAGTCTGTAATTATTGCAAGTCAAGAAGTAATACGGCCTTGCAGGGCTATGAAACGCGTCTGGGTTCAAAAGGCACGCAGCTTTCCGGAGGTCAGAAGCAGAGGATTGCTATAGCGAGAGCGTTGCTGAGGAATCCGAGGATTTTGCTTCTCGACGAGGCCACGTCAGCGTTAGATAACGAAAGCGAGAAGGTAGTACATTTTTTGAGTGGGTTTTGCAAGAGATTTTCCACGAGTTTAAGAATAATGTTTTCTTACACTTTAGGCAGTTCATGTTTTTGCAGGATTTTTACCATTGTGCACCACATTCCCTCGGTTATTTATTACACCTTGTTTTTTTAATTTTCTTTTTTCCTTTGCGCATGTTTTTACTTTTTTCTATATCTATTTGATTCGCATTCCCGTCTTCTAGAAGAATTTGGTTTCCGTGAAAATTCTTTATTCTCAAAGTTTTGATTTTTTTACTAGCGAGTTACATGCCAATAACCTGCTTATCCCAGTATAATTTAATCGCACTGTATGCATTTAGATATCGCTTTGTTTCGTTTATGCAACTTCAGGCAGTATACTTGCTTTTTGTTGTTATAAATTGTTCCCGTTTTTAACAACAATAACAAATAAAAAACAAAAGTTTTTGCCGAAAAACTTATCTTTATGTTACACTTAATCCTTTTTAATTTAATCATAAAAACTAAAAACCAAAACGCATAATTTTTTTTCTTGAAAAATGTTCAGCTATCGCCAGAATTTTACTTAGAAGTTTTCTTTGGCAATTTATCGCTCTTGGCTTTTCATTTTCTTATGTTTATTATTTTCGATGTTCGAAGAATTTTACCATTTCCATGTTAAGAAAATTCCACTCTTTGGTAGAATTTTCCCTCTAAATTAAATTTATGAATGTTTTTAATTTTTTGTTTTGTTAGTATTTAATTTTCCCGCACTTTTTTACATTTGTTATAGATTGTGCAGGAAGCCCTGGATAATGCTAGACAAGGACGGACGTGTATCACGATAGCTCACAGATTGACGACTATCCAAGCGGCTGATTTGATATGCGTCCTCAAAGAGGGAAAAATCGCCGAGACGGGCACCCATACGGAGCTACTCGAGAGGAAGGGATTGTACTTTGACTACTATAAGCTTCAGTCCGGTCAGGGTTAAACGACTCGCTAACTCGGCCATGTGGCGGCGCTGATGAGTAGTTTCATTTAATAGAAAACCCCTATTTAATAGATTCTTATTGTATTTGAACAACACAGTTTACCTTCTGCAATTTTTAAACAAATCGTCCGGCATATGATGAAAATGATCAACGAAAAAATCTGTCCCTAATTTTAATCAAAATTTATTTAGTTTTTACAATTAAAATAATACTCCAAGCTTGCGCCAGACTTTTTTTAACTTTTTCTACAACGAAAATCGAAGACTAATCTAATAAATCGCAACCTGGAGCTTGGCTATGAGAACTTCCGTCACTCCGCAATGAGTTCTTCACAATCACAGCAATCGCATCGATGACATTATACTACACAAGATAAAGCCGTACTTGCAATTTTTGGCGATTTTCTAGGATACAACTAATCCCATAATAGCAGTTTTGTTTGATGCAAAGCGAAAAGATTTTCAGAAATGTGAAACGTCACACATAAACTTCACCTAAAAAATTGTCAAAATTTACAAGATTTCTATCGATTTAATGTTTTTGGTTTATAAACGTCCACCACTTGCGCGCATATCCAGTATTTAAACTTACATGACGTTAAGATCGATTAAGATCGGGACTGGTAATTCAAACTTCCATTGTCAATCATTATAGAGCGGAACTGAGAATAAGGTGCAGAGCTATCATTTTTTATACGGTCCTCAACACGCTAGACCCTGAATAAATACCAACAGTTGGACTTTAGTCTAAGATGACACTCTCATCTTGCACTGCTCAACTATTCTCCTAACCAGCTTACTCCACCATACCCGAAAGAGGTATAATGGATCGATAAATTTAACGGCGAGTCTATATACGATGAAATTTCGAATCGTGAGTTGCGATGTCCTCTTCAGATGGATAAACTTAACTCTCGCGTATAGTTCTCACGGAAAACTTCCTCCGTTGCGACGTCTCCGCCTGAGAAGTCGCTTCCTCGTAAGGGGGCGGCGAAATCGTTCTTCCGCTTCTCGTACCTCGCGTGCTCCTGTACAAACAGCTTTCGCCGAACCTCTGCGGTGGTTGAGGAGGTTGTTGCGTGTAAGGTTGGTGTTCTTCCACCGTCGGTGGTATCGATGGTTCGAGAAGCAACGAGTTCCGTCTGTCGAAAAACGATATCTTGCGAATCGCCTCCTTCTTCCTTCCGACGTCTTCGTCGGGAGGCCTTAACGAAAACCTCCTGCGACTCAGTTGCTCGGGCACGGGGTGCACCTCGCTGATCATAGACGGTCTCCTACGTATGTTGGCGATGATGCCTTGCCTGCGACTCTTGGGCGACATCGTTTCTTCATTATTTTCGCGTGGTATCAACGCCTCAGAAGACGTCACCACCGACAACGCTCTAATGAAGTCGGCGATGGACGTCTGTTCGAGTATGTTGTCCTGCTGGGTCGACGGGGCTGACATCCTGCGTCTTGTAATGTCCTGCTTCTCCACGTCAGAGCTCGTCTCGTCCCTCGACATCAAACGCCTTCGAATACGTTTGAACATATTCTGACGATCCACCTTGCGTACCTCCGGGGTGTAGTTGGTACCGTAGCGCTTGCGGTACTCCATGATGGCGTGGTCTGCGTCTGCGCCGTACCAAGTGTTGTCGTTAGTGATGCCTAGTGAGAAAATCTTCGGGGGTCTGATGTCGCTGATAGCGCGTCTTCTCTTCGGCTTCATCGAGATGGGATCCGGCGGGGGTTTTTCTTCGACCGCAGTGGCGCCTGTAAGAATGTGTAAGAATGTGGTAAGAATGTGGTAAAGTACTGTCTTGATGGCAATTAATTTAAACAGTTACCTTAAGAGTCAAACTCGATATATTGCCAAGTTTGAAGAAGCACTACATGGGTAATGCTATAAAAGATGGGTTTAATGAAGGTGCTTGGACAAATAGAAGGCTCATTCTCATTTCTGCAAACTATAATGGAGAATCCGAATACTTTACTTTGAACCTTGACTAACCTTGAAAACCCTTGTAGTTTTTTTTAAAAATATTTTTACCCTGTAAGGCTGAAACTTTTTTGACTTCACACTAGAAAAGTTTTTTCTTTTGCAAAAGCATATTCTTGGACAAAATCTATATTTCAAGCCGTTTCCGAGATATATATGCAACTTGTAAAAAGTGAAAAATGTCGTTTTGACAGCTGCCAGTAACAAAATATTCAAGGTGTTTCGTTAATATGTCACAAACGTGTTACTTTTTGAACTGTCATAAGGGTCTTGAGAAAAAAATAACTTTTTTGCCATATCTTTTTCTATACAAACATTCGAAACATCATGCCTAAGTGGTCAAACGTCGTAGGTGGCCTTATGCGAAAAAAGTGCTTCTCGTAAAAGTAAGTCTAATTTGTCAAATTTGCTCCAACAATGACCCGGAGCTCAAAAATAAAGAGGTTTACGTCAGAAGTTGATATTTACTTATAGTTTTTTACTATTATATCTATAAATTATCCGCTATGGAGCAATATGAGATACTACGATATAAATCAAAATGAATAAATTTGTTCAACAAATGTTTTCGAAAATCATTGTCATTAAAAATATTGAAAGGAATACGGATCCGAGCCGCTTCGGGCATTTCCGGTATATTACCGTTCGACTTTGAGCAATCGGATGTTTTCGGAGATTTATACGTGTTGTTTTGTAAAAATTTTCCGAAAAACTAACGGGCATAGAAATAGTATAGTATGCAACACGTTTGGTAAACTTTTTAAGTCACTTGTTTATTAAATAGTCGCTCCGCTGCCCTACGCTGCGCTCCGCTCGTGCCAAATAAATTCGTGACTCAAATGCCGTTTACCACATTTGTCGCATAATATTACTATTCCCAAGACTCTCCCTTCCTGTTAAACTTCAATGCCGTAGGCCTGGCGTTTCTTGACAATCATTAGATCCTGTTACGTGTATGATTTTAAGAAGATTGTGTTTATCAATGTAGGTCGGCAATCGTTTTATGTGGATATACTGAGTGCTCGAAATGGTTATTTTGTCATTTTCAATTGAAATTGCTTTATGTATTTTGTTAGTTGTTTGGCAGAGGCCCCCGATGCATAGAAAAAACAAAAAAGCATTTATATGCATATCAACAAACCACAAAGTAATACAAAATAAAAAATATATATTTCAAAGTATAACTACCAATTAAATAAAAATTTAGAAAATATATCACACACTACGCAAAGTCGAGAAATACTAAAAGCAGTGGCGTACCATTTTTTCAATTAAAATATTTTCACATTGCGTTTCTCTGTATTCTCTATCCAATTTTGACAAAGAAGAAGAAGAAGAAGAAGCAGCTTTTTTTTGTAAATTCCAACATCCTGTAAAAGAAAGCGATTGCAGACATAATTTCTTAATATTATCTACGGAATCACACCATCAAGAATGTTGTATCATGCAGCTTTAAATATGGGACACTGCTCCCGTTTAACTGGTATTTTCGGTCATTTTCAACACGCTTCTGCGCAACCCGGTAATCAAAAGGGGTGAACTCTGAACATTCCAATCTGGACCCTTAGAATGTTCTAGTTAGAAAAGAGAACAGATAAAAAAGAGATTTTACTCATTAGAAGCTGAGATGAATTGAATCAATGAGAAAGCACCGAGACTCAAGATCGATTTTTGAACACGACGAATGAGAAAGGGCTTACTCAGTTCGAAGTTGCGATTGATGGCGGCATTGCCGACCTCCTCCAGGGATTCCGCGCTGAGCGCGTTCACCACTTTGAACAGCAAGCCTGTCTGGTCAAGGAACCGATTGACTGACCCGAACGTCCGTTCCTTGTCTATACGGTCCAGGTCCGTATCCGATTGCACCTTGACCGAAGCTGCTGACCTGTAGCATTCGGACATTGCGCGTTTTCTAACCGCGGAAGGAGAGTGTTTCGAATAGAGCTCCAGGTCCGGGCAGCTCTGACTCCTGCCGATGGTATGCGGCGGTACTACTTCCGCTTCGTCCTTGTAGATCGGCTTTACTTTCAAAAACAACAACTCGTGAAGTATAGAGCGGAGCTCTTCGCGGATCTTCTTCGGTTTTATGTTTTCGCTAAGCATATGCTCGATCTGCTGGATTTTTTTGCTCCGCATGCCTCGCGAGATGAAGCTCAGTATCATCGCGAGGTATCCCATCCCGAAAATGATCCAGACGAGGAGGAACAGCTGGTAGATTTTGTAATACGGTCCGAAGTGGTTCACATCGTTGACACCTTGTAAGAGAATCGCCTCTTGGGTTTCGTTTCTGTGATTTACGGATAATACGGTACCTGCTACGTAGTCCCCAAAGCCGATGGTGCTGAGAGACACGAAGGCATAATACACCGACACGTCGTACTCCCAGCCTTCGAACACGGTCATGATGGTCGACGGAAGAAACACGAAGAACGTAAACCCCGGTACTAAGTAGAGTACAACCTGACCTACGAGACCCAGTTTGGCAGTGTCGTAGTCCAGTCTGGTCTTTTTCCATCGCTGGTACAACTTGGTGAACTGGAAAAGAGTTCGTGTTATCACGCGCCTGTTAGTGGGAGTTGGTTTAGGCTCACCGAGTTGCCGAAAAACTCTCCGAGCGTGAAGATCACTATGCCGTTCATCGGGATACCTATCAGACCATAGAATATCATAAATATTCGGGTAAACATCGTGGTGGGTGCCAAATTTCCATATCCTAGAATGATAAGTGTTGTTAAAGTATTGCTATGCGTTCCCCTTATCGTCGACGCCGTAATTATAGACATAACTCGCGTGGTATTTACAAAAATATATCGTTATCATACAATTGACGTAGGTATGACCTTTAGGTAACAGTAAACAATGTATTTCTTGACATTTAAGTGAAAAGAAAATACGCTTCAACGATTTATAGATATACATATTTATCATCAGTGGCTTCAAGAAAGAAGAAAAAAGAAATGGTTTTAGAGCATGGTAATGAGAAGCTTGTTTCAGCTGGTTTGGATGTCATTCAACGCTATCGCTTACGAGTACTCTGGCTCGGAGATTACGAATATTTCGATGACCCTATTTTGATTAGGCAACTAATTAATCAATTTCACTCGTGGTTAAGTATTTTGCTTTGGCATTAATTAGTAGTTTCGAGTCGATCAGTATCTACTGTTTTCGTGGTTTTGAAATCGTCAACAAAACATCTAGTTGACGCAAATTTAAACTACGACAGAATTCGAGACTTGGATGATGGGGTCGTTTGCCTTATCACCTCTAGAGACATATCCAACCAACATACATTGCAATATCAGATCACGCGCCAGATAAAACGTGAAACATGCCGATAGCAATTCTTACCGATAGTACTCACGACCGTTATTACGAAAAATAACGAATGATAAAAGTCCCATTTGTCCACGATAGGATCATCGTTGTACGAGGCCGTGAACGGTTTGCCGCAATATTCGCTCAGGCTCAGAAACAGGTCCATTCGGGCCGAGTAGTTCCCCTGGAAGTGCTCGATCAGCAGACCTGAAATCATAAATTCGCTATTTATAAAAAAGCCATCGGGATTTCACAGACTTAAGCATAATCATTTTAGATTATGTTCATTAATTCAAAAAATGATTTAAGAGTTAATTTTTGTTTGTTGGGCGAGCTGAGCTAGGTGTTTCAGTGGCGTCTTGTGGGGAATCTTTCTGAGCTCTGGTCTTGTCATGAACATAATTTTCATAGTTAGTAAGTTTCTTATGAGGAAAAGGAAAAGAATGTGACAAGTTATTGCTTATTTTGATTCTATAATGTTATGAACAAGGCGCTTTTTGAAGTGGTTTTTGTAAAACAGATGTATTATTTTCAAGAGATTTCCACTATGATATTTTTCAGGTCTGCGTAACCAACTCGCTTCCATAGTTGCAAATTGTATAACAAATTTACTTCTGCAATTTTATGAAGCTGATTATTCTCTGCTGCAACCTGGCTTTGTTCGCTGTTATCCGCTATATCCAAGTCTCCAAGAAGCACAATACAATTAAATCAACTTTTTTTAAGTAGAGCAGATTTGTAAGCACAAATATACCACCAGAACTGGGAATAGTTTATTAGGAATAGTTAATAGGTTAAAAAATATCTGAAATAATTAATAATTCGTTCCGACTAAGCAATCTGTGAATTCATTTCCTTTGAAATATGAATGATGCCTGCAAGCTGTTATCTTAATTTTATAAAGTCTTCTTTAGACTACACCTAATGAGAGTTCAATCGTCAAATAAATCGCCAAGAATAAAGCAATTAAATAAAATAATTTTTGGGGTTCGGCATAAAAAGCACACCAGAACTTCACAAAGTGAGTTTTAGACTAGCCAGATGTGTTTTAAGTAAGAGCTCGATAACATAAAAGTTCAACATATCTGAGGTCCTCTAGAATTTGTTTTTGAGGACGAGAAAATCTTAGGGACCGTTCTTGGTCAACGACCAAAATTTGAAAATCAATTGAATTTTATAATTTTATTCTCTTGTGAAGTAAAAAGTATTTGGGTCATGAGTAATTGTTTTTTTTGCTTTTTTTGCAAACGTCCAGAAAATTATTGTCATTGTGACGCGGTATTATATCCTAACGAGCCAATATTTATCGAGCCACGGTTTTGTTTGTTTCGTCGCCGTTAGTTCAAGTCGTTATCGCCCATTACGTAAGAACAAATCAATTAGGACACTTATGGCGTCCGTAAATGCTGCTGCGTCCGCGCTAATTTTATTAAACTCAAATTGGCAAATTACATTTGTTTGTCCAACTTTTGTCGATGCTAATCGTCTTATTTTTTGGGACGCACACTTTTTGCCGGCGTATTCGGATATACTAGAAAAATTTGACCAGAAAGGCAGAAAGAACAAATGACTTTAACGTGAATAGTAGCCAATTATTTATATCCAAGTTCTTTAACAAAAAATGGAAATACTTCGACGCTTTTCACAATGTATATCGGGAAGCGATAAAAAATAAATCCAACTCTACTGACGCAAAGAACCGAAATGACCAGTGTTTGAAAACCCAATATCGGTAAAGAATTTTAGGCAATTTCGTGGGTGTCCCACATCATCTGCCGTCCAGTTTGCCAAAACACTAATTTTGCATACAAGACGTTGTCAGATTTGTTAAGATTTTCATTATCGGACTGTGGCTACTGAAATTTTTATTTTTTTCCACCAAAATTGTACAAAAGTCTTACAAAAAAAAGAAAGAAATCAAATTTCCTCTGACTTGTTTGGGAATTTCAAAAAAACAAAACAAATATTTATAAAATAAATAATGAATAATAAAAAATATTTCATAGAACTTTGTATTTTGATTACGAAGCAATTTTAGCAGATTTTGTAGTATAAACATGATCAACTGTTAAGGTTGAGCGCAGCTGAGCAAATGCTTAATAAACGAGTGACTGAATAAGTTTATCAACGTGTTGCATACTATGCTTTTTCTACGAACACTAGCTATATATGACTGAGTGAGTTGTGACCTGATCAGAATTGGCAAGGGTCAAAATAACACTAGGGTTTAAAATCTACCGATAACTTCCATCGCTCACGATACGGGACTAAAGCACCAAAACGTTTAATGAAGCTAATGTCTTAAAGTCGCATTTTTCGCACTCTCTGATGAGTGCATATTGGTATTTTACAGTAGAGACTAGCAAAAAGCAGGTGTGTCAAACTTAGATTTTCATTCATTGAATGTTGTATTGTGAATAAGTGCGGTTTAAAAAATGTTTTTGCCTAACTTTTCAATTGGGATCCGAGAAAGCCATGTAAATTGAGGTTGCAAATTGGTCACCGTGTACAAATACCAGGTTCCATTGTCAGTTTTCTTTAGTAGTCGCAGTTAAACAAGGTCCGCCTAACTCACAAGCGGACTACACTAAAATGTAAGAAGAACGAGGACGACAGCACACGCGACGTATATAGCAAAACGTATCGAATTTGAATCGAATTGCTAATATCTCTCAACGGACTAAGGCTGCTTGCTTCTCACTATATCGGATTTCTGGATGTAGCGCAGATTCGTTTAAAAGAAATGCGGTTTCCTAACCGAAGCATAAAAAATTATAATCGCTTTTGCCAATAAACTAGAAACTGCAAATTGAATAATTTAAATGGACAAAGATATTCGTGTTATTACCTTTTTTTTCACGGCCGTGGTATATTTTATTGAGCGAATATTTATGAACCAAATGTTCCGAATCAGTTGAATTATATCGAATTTTAGTTCCTATAAAGTCGGATGTCTCGTTACTCTACGTCAGACCTGAGCCTATTGCAGTGAAAACAAATCACGGACTGGATAAAGTTTTTAATTATTTGAAAAATTTATTGTAAGCCATTTTTTTATTCAAAATTTTGAAATTTGAAAAATTCGTTCAAACTTCTAAAATATTATGAGATTAATAATTATTTTAGTTTTATTATTATTATCAACGTTATTTTTTTTTAAATTAATTTTCGAAATTCAAATCTTTCTGAATATTTTCATGTAAAAATATAGTAGTTTGCGTTGTAAATACGCTCTAATAAATCAATAGCATCAAGTAGGTCCCCTACGAAATTTAAAGGATTATTTTGTGGTACGTGAATTTTTTTTTAAATATCCTTAAATTGCTTTTCATAGCCTCACTTCATTGAAACCCCCTATAACAAAGATAGTTTTATATGAAAACGTTAGGAAAAATATAGTGCTGTTAAAATTTAATGGAAATTTTATCGGAAGATATTCAATAGGGTTTTTGACATTTTGAATTAAGATAACAATTAAGAATACTATAGCGTGTTTTTCATGCACCTCTTTGCCTACGGTGCTGGAAATACGTAAATCTTCAAGACAGTTTAGTTTTTGTTAGTTTAGAAAAGCTGTGCTTTTAGTTACCGTTTGTACCCTTGCCAATTGAGGGGTTTCGTTCGTAAAATGGATTTGCAAAATGGAGGCACAAAGAGAACGAGTGCGCTGTAATTTGTTGTGATTAGTGCTCTAAAGTGGTCCTCTATAAGTATTTCAGACAACTAAAAGTTCTATTTTAAGTTAAACTAACCAAATTGTAAAAAAAAATTAAAATATGTATTGTCAATGACTTATATCTTTTAGCGACTTATAACAAACTTCTCGTCACGACCTGATAAATTACTTAAATTGAAGATAAATTAAATATACATTGCTTCCAAAAAATAGTTTCTATACCTACAACTAAAAGTTCTGTTTTAAGTTTAAGTTAAATTCGGAAAAAATAATTAAAATATGTATTGTCAATGACTTATATCTTTTGGTGAGTTATAACAAACCTCTCGTCACGACCTGATAAATTAAAGATTAAAAATTAAATTAAATTAAATATCGGCTATTATTTAATTCGCTGGATAGAATCTGATCTTGCCAATGAGTTTGGGAAACTACCCTATACATTGCTTCCAAAAAATAGTTTCTATACCTTCTAGGCGTTTCTTTTCCGCCCTCTCTTTCCTGTTCTTATTGAATTCCTCCTTGGACTCGACGTAAAAAAATATCGAAGCCCCGACCAACAAGTACAGCACGAATATGCACAGCAACACGAACCACTGTCTCTTCGACATCTCTCTGATGTCGTACCGCCGATTACCCGAAACGTACGGGAAGCGGGGACTCTTCCAAACACAAAGGTAGCAGGATGGACCGCGGACGTATCGCAGGAGTGGAGCGACTATTGTTCTTTTCTATTCGGATCGTATTATAGAACCGCCGATTGTGTTTGCATCTTTGGTTTAAGATATACAACATCGCGCACACACACACACACAAACGATTTTACGGAACACTCGAAAGATAAACGTTTACGGAGAATTGGAAAAAACGAAACGGGCTTCGTCCATACGACTTTGATAAGTACGAATTGAGTACCTTTGCAAAACGATACAAGCGCTATTAGCGATTTTAGCCTTGTGGTGGTGCTACGAGCGCGATAGATAGGTAAAAACACCCGTAATGGAAACCCATCGCGCTATATGAAAAACCAGCGGACTGCTAGGGTACTATAAGCTTTGTAATAGTTTGAAACTAACCGCTTAATTAACCGATCTTAAAGGTGTGAAATTAGTAACTATTATACCGGGTGTCCTCTCACGCGACTATTTGTAGGAACCTTGACGTTGTGCTACAAGAAATGTTGGTCTCATTGCGCCTTTCTAGAGAAAGGAGTGGTAGATCCGGACTGTTGCCCCCCTTTTTTTTTTAATTTTTCCTTTCTAGTAGATTTAAATCACTTAATGCACGTAAATCTGCCACTTCAAAAAATGCTACGATTTAGTGCTATATATCCGTTATGGAAGATAAATCATTACTTGTCAAAGCAGACCAGACGTCTCGACTAAAGCATCTTGTTTGTTATTAATACCTTGGGTTGTTTATGTATTTTTTAGAACAGCTCAGATAAATGCTGTTTATAGGTTTCGGCTTTGTCGAAGAAAGTGGGAAAGTTGGGTGATTTTATGTAGATGATTTACCAGTTGCCATTAAACCTATTCGTTTATTGATTGTTCGGATCGGTTCTGCTATTGTTGTCTCTTTTTAACTGTGTGCGTTAGATAGAGAGAGATGTATTATTGGATATGTCATATAAACAATGGAATAATAATATATTATACAAGTGCGGTAAACGGCGTTTGAGTCACCAGTTCATTTGACACGAGCGGAGCGAGTGTTTAATAAACGAGTGAGTTACAAAGTTTACCGAACGTGTTGCATAATATACTTTTTTCACGACCTTTAGTTTTTGGGCACATTTTCCCAAAACAACACGACATGACATGATCGTCAGAATTGACAAATGTCAAAATTCAAGGTGTGGGAAATATCTCCGAACACATCCGATTGCTCCCAAACCCGTGCGGTAAAATGCTGGAAATGTCCGAAGTGGCTCGGATCCGTGGGAAACTAAACTGAAGGGGTAAAGCGACGCTTCCCGCACGCTAAATCGGTGTGTAATTAGGTGTTTTACAGACTCCAGTAAAAAAACACAATTTTAAAACGTTATGTTCTTTACTTAACTTTTAAATATGATCGTTAAGTAGTTTATTCAAAGGAAAAGACTGTAATTGGAAGAAAAATCATCCAAGGATAGAGCTTTTAAGAGGATTACATTTTTAAGATCCTATAAGCAAGATAACGCAGGTCATAACCTTCAATTTTATGTTGTTTGTTCCGATGAGACATGGATAATTGAAAATCGTACAATTGGTCTTGCCAAGATATTGGGGAAACTTAAATTATAAACGTTATTTTACTTAGCGATTAGTCCACTACTGATAAATATTAGCTAATAAAATTTTGGCTAACGTAATGTTAGATAACAATTGAATACAATGAAATTATTATTAATATTATTATTATAAATTTAAATAATGCTTTATATTTTAAAGGATTTACTTATGATGTCATCAACATTCGTTGCATTAAATCCTCTTTTTTTCCTTGAACTTTTATCTTGCATTATGGAAATTTATAGTTCTTAGTCCCACATCTCTTGATCACCTTTAGCATGCTTTTCAACACATTCATGAAAGCAACTGTAAAAATGTCAATATCAATCAATATATTAATACAATTACTTAATTACTTTTCCCTCACTATCATAACTGCCAATTTTACAAGAAATGGTGTAACATCTAAAGAAACCAAGCAAAATTTTTGCGTTATTAGAAAAACTATTGAAATTTAAGTTGAACTTTGGAATAAATAAATTGACGAATGCATAACCAGTAAGAGTACAAATGTCACTTCAATTCAATCAATATAATAACTAAAAATTAAATCAACATTAATCAGATGCCTATATTTTTCAGGTTGATAAGTTTTAATACTACCATGTTGATTTTAGCTCTAGTGCATAAAAGTTAGTCATCTGAAATTTTTAATATGGGGTACTGATTTGATTTTTTATTCCGTTTATTGTGAGACGTTGCCTCCAAAATTAAATGGCGCTTGAGCTGATATCTTGCCATCAACTATCACCATCATCCTATTTTTTATGACACCCGCGTAATGTATTAATTAAATATTGGAGTGCGAAATATCCCCTAAAACATCCAATTGCTCCCAAACCCCTTGCGGTAGAATCCCGGAAATGTCCGAAGTGGTTCGGATCTGTGGGAAACGAAACTGATGTGGTAAAGTGACGCTTCCCGCACGCTAGATCGGTGTGTAATTGTAAAATTCATAAGATGTCAGTAGTGAGTAAATAGGTTACTTTCTTTACTTTTAAAACCAAGGATATTAAGTTTACTATATGCAAACGTTAAACGTTTTTGTTATTATAATAGTTATTATATACGATGTTGATCATCCAAATCAACCAAAACTGGCTGCATCCTACAATCACTAACTTTATATTTATTATTATTATTTATTATCTTCTTCTTCTTCTACTCTTCACGGTTTAGACTTATAGTCTGTTCCGGCTTCATACATCCCTCCAGCGTCGGCGGGGTCGACCTACACTTCTTCTGCCTATTGGCTGGTAGTTTGTTATTATTTTCGGGATTCTGTCATCAGGCATTCTATCTACATGTTGTTTCCAGTTGCGTCTATATTCTTTTATTTTATCTGTCATTGCAAATATTTGTAATTCGTTTCTGATATCTTCATTTCTAAATCTATCTAGTCGTGTGCAACCTTTCACCCCTCTTAAAAATTTCATTTCGGCCGCTTGTATTCTGCTATATTCTGCTTTTGTTGGTACCCAGCTTTCGCAACCGTATAGGAGTACTGGAGTTGCCATAGTTTTGTAGAATTTTATTCTGGTGTCTTTCCTTGTTTTATTCTTTAATGTTCTTTGGATTGTTCCACATATATATTCAAATTTACGTAGTTTTTGAGAGATATCATTATCTCTGTCATATCCTACTTCGCAACCAAAGTACTGGAACTGAGACACCTGTTCCAATTATTTATTATTAAACTAAAAAAGTCTGGATTTAAAAACTGTACTCATTTCGCAAGTTACGGCAATGTGATCAACTTTGGTCTCCTACGTCACAGATGGTGTTTTGTCCGCGCGGAAACGGACTTTGGCCGCAGCTGGCACAGCAAGAAGTCGCAAAAATTACTCGAGACAGGATCAAAAGATTTTTGATTACTTAACTGACCCTACCTCGCTTTTGGTCTTCCTTCCGGAGGGGCCGGCCCGTGCTGCGTCCTCTGTGCCTCGAGTGGTGAGGAAATTTGTTTATCACCACGCGTATGACCTGATGCGTTCAACGGCACTTTTTGAACCACACGATGAGAGCGACCGATTTAGCGCTTCACCGTGATTTTTAGTGGAGCATGCGCCTAAGGGCGCTGGCAGGTATAGATGGCCAGTTAAGTTCAAGAATTTAATACCGCGAGGAAAGGAAGAAGAATAACTTCTTGGTGCTGTACTCGCGGCCAATCGATAAGCTATAGGTTTATATATAAATTCATAAGAAGTCGAAAAATAATAAAACGAAAACTGAACATACCGCCCACCAAAATGCAGTAGGTATTTTCCCAAAAAAAAACAAAAAAGCGGTTCCGAAAAAATTATACCCATGTTTACCTACAGTTTATAGGTTAAAAAAAATGAAAATTCAGAATTATACTAATAAATATTACTAATAGAAGTGCTAACATCTTGTATGCTTTAAGCGAAAAATGTGCCTACCACGCTATTGATTTGGTAGAGGGCAGAGTTTTACAACAGGTCTCTTAAAGACACCAGTTGCAGTATGAACCTTGACCACTCTGACAATGCCATCAGGGTCAGGGTAGACCTCGGCTATACGCGCAAGACGCCAGTCAAGAACTGGAGTGTTTTCCTCCTTTACGACCACCAGTGTGCCCACATCAAGATTGGGGCGATTGTCACACCATTTATTACGTTGATTGAGGCTTGTGAGATATTCATTATGCCATCGACGCCAGAAGTGCTGCTGCATTTGCAAGATTAGCTGCCAACGGTTTAGTCTCGACATGTTTGAAGAAGTCATATCAGGGTCAGGGAGTGTCGATACTGGAGCCAACATCAATAAATGGCCTGGTGTAATACAGCTCACGTCATTGGGATCGTTACTGACAGCGCATATGGGTCTAGAGTTAACAATTGATTCTATTTGAACCAAAACTGTATTGAGTTCTTCGTAGGTCATGATGCGGTCACCTACTACACGGACTAGGTGTTTTTTGACGCTTTTGACGCCGGCTTCCCACAAGCCACCGAAGTGCGGACTAGAGGGAGGATTAAATGACCAAGAGATCTGCTCTTCTCTAGCTGCATCGGACATGATATTGGCTATGTATTTTGACGCAGAAATAAAATTCGTTCCGCAGTCGCTGTGGAGAGCAGAAGGTTTTCCTCGGCGCGCAATCATGCGTCGCAATGCGGCTAAAAATGCATCAGTTGATAAATCCGAAACTAACTCACTCACTAACTCCGCCTGGGGCAGTTGTGGGTGGACTGAGTAGCTCACAATTGTCACTGCCGGTCCCAAGCCCGGATAAAGGAGGAGGGTTGAGGCTAGCAACCTCACCTCGGAAAAAGACCTTGCTACGAAAACGGACGATAAGCCTCGGAATAGATTGGATAAAAGGAAACGACAATGGCTAAGAAAACAGGATATGAATATAGGAACATGGAATATCCTCAGCTGGTACCGCCCTGGGGCATCAACCCATGCTATCAAGACACTAGAATCACGGGGACTAGATATTACAGCGGTTCAGGAGGTTAGATGGACTGGAAACGGAAACGTTAAAATCAGCAAATCAGTGGTTTTCTACAGTGGCAATGAACAGGATAGACATGAATATGGAACGGGATTCGTTGTAAAGGAACAATTGGTGCAGTCCATTATAGATTTTTGCC